AACCTTTTGGCACGTCTAACTTGAATTTTAAGAATGAATATTCCTCTTTAAGGTTGAATTCTTGCATGAATTCAATGAATGAAGGAATAAGTGCAGATATGTTAAGCTTTTTGAAATATATGCTCTCAACATTTTCTCCTTAAATTAAATGTGCAAAACTCTCACTCATTCCTTCAATGTAGCCTTTTGAATTAAGTAAGACATACATATCATTTGAAGGGCAGTTAATAACTAATGAGCTGAAAGCAAAATCATCCTGCTTGATAAAATAAAAATTGATAAAAAGTTTAACTCTGAATATATAGCCCATTTTATCTTTTGCAAACATAGTCCTATAGTTTCTTACAGTTTTAGCTACACCTGTGTTAATAAGCCTCATTAAAAACTAATCATGCAACCTTCCTATACAATCAGGTATTAAGTCAGTCACACTTTCCTAAAATATAAAAATAACAATTAACAACTTTAAAATGATTTTAATTTAGCAAAGTTAGCATTAAAATTTACCTTTGTTTGGAATTCTCCTTTGTTGTATTTGAATATTTAGGGAATTTTTTCAGAGAATTTTAAAATCTTTCCATTTTCTTTGACGTTTTTAAAACTAGCAATAATGCTCCCAACATTACCTTACAAAATACTTAAGCTTGTGATAGTAGTTGTTTAATCAACTGACCTTTCTCTATTGATAATTTCTTCAACTGCAGCTTCTGTATCCCTACAATTGATTGGATCAAATAATATGTAAGCCTTTAGCAATGAACTGAACTTGAGAAAATAAATGTTTTGCTTATTTTAATTCATTTAATGTTTTAAAATCTTCTCAAAATATTCTACTAAAAATAAAAAGTTAATAATCTTTTAGCGCATCTCCTCCAAAGATTTAAAGCCCTTTATCATTTCATCCATAAATGTACATTTTTCAACAATCAAATTGCCTAATTTATATTTTTTTTAGATGATAATAATTCAAAAATTATTATTTTAGTAATAAATTAATAAATAAATACCTAAAATTTTTTTTAATCTATCTTTTTCTGTTTCTGATTACACCATTTTATCAAATTTAATGTTATTAATAGCATCTTATCTATCTTTTTGGCTAATAAAATAAAAAGTTTAATCTCCTTTACCATACAAATTGTTATTTGTTTACCTGTAAGAATAGAAATGTGCTTTGTCTTTTTCTTTAATCTTACTTTCTATTAAATTAGTTAAACTTCTTTCTACAGTTTAGAAAAAGCTGTCTTTTCTCTTCAGCATTTGGTTCATAACTTTATTCTAGTAGAGTGCTTTAATTTAATTCTTTTTAAACTTAATCAAAAAAAACCAATATCTCAAGCACACCTCCTATATTAATATGAAACAATAGATAAATAAATAATTGCTATTTGCTTTTACATTTAAATAAATTAATTACTTGAACAATAACTTCTTGACCTTTTTTAACTAGATGGCTGATTAAAACCTCAAATTAGTAATCGATGAAGAGCATAAACCACTTTTCAAATACAGCTTACTCATCACAAATTCTAGCAAAATCAACTCCCTTTATTTTAATGTCTTTTCCTAAATCAATAACCATTCCTCCAGAAATAGTTGGTCTTTCTTCGCCTTTATTTATTTATTTATTTATTTATTTATTTGAATTTTAATAAATTTTAAAGTAAAATCGTACCAGCTAACTCATTAAATTAGGTATCTTTGCAAGGACAAAGAGTATCTCTGCAATTATTCTTATGTAGTTAAAGCGAACCAAAGAGTATAAGCTTGCTGGAAAGTGTTGTACTGCTTTACTCAAATTGTTCACAAAGTTTCTCAAGATATAAGCAAGAAGCCTAAGGGAAATCTGTAAATTTATTTTAATAATATTTATTTATTTGTTATTTTATCTTTTAAAGAAAGCTGAATTAATAAAATTATTTTTATTTTTTACCTCCAAGCCTATTTGGATCAACTGTCATTGCAAATATAATCTTGTTATTCCAAAAAGTTTTGAGTATGCCATACAAAATAGAAATGATGAGTAAGAAAATAATGGGGAAGTTTGCATCTTTTATGCTAGTTGTGTATTCTCTAAAAAGAAGCATTGAGGCATATGTCTGATATACAATTACCATCCATCCATAAATATCAGATATATTTTTATCCATGAGGGGGAAATGATAGAAATATTCAATTAGTAAAAATATACCAATAATCTATCCAAATGAGTAGATTACAATCGTGTTGCCGAAATAAGTAAGGAGGACTAATCCAATTTCCAGTAAGGGTTCTATCTGCTTAAATTGACTGTACCTAGATTTTAGCTAATTTACACTACTTAATTCTGATGAATTGAAAAAAAATAAATTAAATCTTAAATTTTATATTTCAAAAATTATATAAAAAACCTGGATTATGATAAATTAGAACAACAATTATATTTAAAATTATTGTTGTCATCAGCAAGAAAATGGAACACACTATATTAAAGTAGAAAATCATGCCTTAGCTGCTTGGGTTTGTGACAGATAAGCTGCATCTTTATAGGTGGCTGCTACCATCACAAAATAAAACGCTAAAAATTAAATCTAACTTGGGTAAGCAGTAAATCCACTTTTAATGCTCATAGTAGAGCTATACAGCACCTATTTAGTTTGCTTGTGTTTTCAATATATCAACATCGTCTTAATTAATTTTTTGTTAAAAATTTTATGTTATATTCAAAATTTTTTTTTTATGTAGAGTTTCAAACAAAATAAATGCATTAAAAAAAATATAGTAAAAATAATAAAGTTAATTAAAATAAACAGAAATTTATTAATTAGCTGTTTTTTCAAACTGAGCTAGTATAAAGAAAGGATTTATTTTCCATATCTCGCTCTTAATTAAAATAGCGGCATATTCTAAAAAAGAATATTCTATTTTACATCAAATATTATAAATTTTATGATCTTATTTTTGGCTTCTATTTGTAGGCTTGAACAAAGTTCTACATTAATTAAAGATATATATTGCTAATGAGTCAGTACCTTTTATGTTGGCGAAACTCAAATTTATGTTAAACAATATTAAGACAACCTCATATAAGCATAAGCAGAACAATATTACAGCGACTAGTATCCCAGAATCAACAGATTTCAGTAGGTAAGTTATCCTTACTGACTAGCAAAGCTCGAATAAGTATTTTAAGTAATCATCAGTTACATTGACTTGGCTAGCAGTGATAATAAAGCCGGCAATCTAAGAAAAGTAAATTGAAACTAGTCCGACATAGTAAATTCTCTCTCTATTACGTTCGCTATCTTTTAGGAACATTAAAAGAAACAAATTTGAAAGTGCTTCATATAGAACATCTTTAGTTGTTCTCTTTTTCTCAAGCTCTCTTAAATTTTTCATTCAATCAATATCAATCGATCAATCAATCTATACATTTATGATTTTACATAAATTAGAGAGAAAAATATTTTTTAATGCGAAAAAATATTTCTAAAAAAGTAAGAAATTATGAAGTTTTTTTTATAAATTCATTCTTACTTGCAAAAATGAATTACCCAATAGAAATCAAACTTTTTTTGTTTTTAATTCGTCTTTTTTCAACGAAGCTTTTATTCCTACTCCTACTTCAATAATTAATTTTTTTAATAGAACTTTTTATTATTTATTATTTAGTTATCTTTTAACTATTTATTTTTCTTCTTTAGTAAATTAATCAGTACTTACTTATTTTCTGCATGAATTTCTATTTCCTCAAGTAAAACCTTAAAAAATACAATCAAATTTCAACAAAGTTCCCCATATTAAATTATATACTCTTAATTTTTTATCTAAAAATTCATCTAAATCTGATAGTTATATCATAATAACAAACAATACAATGAAAATTTATTTAAATCACAATATCATTTAAAATGCATAATTAATGCCTTTATAAATTAAATTTTATCAAAAGAACACTAATTCCTTTTATCATTATTTAAATTTGCCATTCTCATCTATTTTAAATAATTTATAATCAATAAATAGCTACAGTCTTCTTCATAATAATATTTTTATGCAAATATTTTTTAGTATTTTATAATTTAAAAATTAAATTAAATATTATAATTTGCTACTAAATATATTTACACTATTTTAATAAACTAGATTTTATATTAAGCATAAAATTAAATTCCCAAATGGAATTCATGCTTTTTAGTCATTTTTTATACCATAATAAAATTATTAACGGCTTTTTATTTTCAACATGTGTATTAATTATATAAAGTGTAAATTATCTATTAGAAAAATAAGAATTCTTCATTTTTAACTTAAAAATTAATTTATTCTTACAAATTTTATTTGATAAAAATACTTTAAAAAATATATTTTATTAAATTAAACATTTACAGTCGATTATGGAAAATAATATGCTCATTATGTGAAAGTATTTTTAATTAAAGGTAGGTGGTAAGAAATTCAAAATAAATATTTTTATATGATATGAAATTTTGATTATTTTATGCGAAAATATTTAAAAATAAAAAGATAATTCAAAATTTTGTGAGAATTACAGAAATCTAATTTAAAAAATTTATTAAATATTCAATAAATAAATAAATAAATAAATGGAATTTAAAAAAAGTAAAAAAATAAATTTAGATAAATATAAATATAAATATTAAATAAAATCTATCATAAATTACTTTTAAAATTTATTTAATTATTAATTTAATTAAATTGATATCTTATTTTTTTTAAATAAAAAGAAATATATTTTGTAATAAAAATATCAAGATATAAAGAAAGAGTAATTAATTAAACTAACAGATAAATAAATATCATCAATTTAATTAGTATAAAATAATTTTTAATTTATTTATTTATATAAGTAATAAACTAACTAAGTAAGCAAGTAATAAAGTAAATATAATTTTCTGATTTTCTTCTTCTTCTTCTTTTTTTTGTAACTAAATTAATAAATATAAGGCCAACTTTTAATTAAATGTTAGTTAGCTAAGGTAAAATTTTATTTAGGTGACTCAAACCTATTTTAATAGTTATTTTATAATTTTAAAATAGAATTTAAAATGTATATTAACTATAAGTAAGTAAGTAAGTTTTATTCTGAATCTATTTGTCATTGCAACTAAAAATATTATTTATATTTATTTATAAACAAAATTTTAAAATAAAATATGATTATGTATTACATCCATAACCTTTTTGAGAAGGAACAAAGTCATTGAATCTATATATATGATAAATTGTTTTATTTTAAATATTAAATTTAGGTTAAAGTTTTTAATAAAAATATTTAATGAGTGAATTAATGCATACCTTCGGTTAGTCTCCTGTATGGGACAAGTTAAATAGCTTTCTTAATAACAAGATACTCTCTCTTAAGTTTATTGAGATATATAGCTATCACTATAAAGAAAATTAAAACGTAAACTAAACTTCCTAATGTTAGAATCAGCAGAAGAATATTGAGATAGTCATTTTTGATATTTACGTTTTGATTTTCAAACTAGACTACGACGTAAGTCATTACGTTAGTTAAGAGTTATTGAACAATGATACCATCTTGATACTCTTGGCTTTAAATGAATTTATTAAAATTCTTATCAATATTCATCTCATTTTGGATCTTTTGAATTATAGTTGAAACAGTTGGTTGTAGCCCTTATGTGAGTATTCCTTGAAGAGCCGACTAACAGTATTCTATATACTTTTAGTCTAGAATATTTTGTTCACATATATTTTATTAGCTCACTTTCACAATCATGTTTTAAAAATTGCTGGTACTTCCATGCTACTGAAGTAATACAAATTACTAAGAAAAATACTGCTAACTTTACAACAGCGATTGAGCTCTCAATTCAATAAGCTCATTAAGTTTTTCATCTGTTAAATACTCTATATTATTTTCTTTTAGCAGACTATTAAGTAAAATTGAGTTATGACTACTTGATGCTGTAGTGAATTACATCGAGCCTTATATAAACTATTTATACTAATTAGCAGGAGTACCAAATATAGATTCAAACTGATTCAAGTAGATAAAAATCTATTTATTTTTTTTAAATTAAATTTACCCTTAAAATAATATTTAATATTTTTATTAATATTTATTTATTTATTTATTCATTCATTCATTCATTCATTCATTCATTCAGTATTGTAAAAATTTAAATAAAAAGTATATTTTTCTCTTTTTAAATTGGATAAATATATTGATAAAACAAACTTTAGATATAACTTAAATTTCCATAAAAGAAAATAAATAAATAAAATTGTAAAGAATTATTGAAGGAATAAATAAAATTACTATCAAGAAAAACAAAACGGAAAGAAGACAAAGGAAGATGAGGATGATTATGAAAGACCAAAACTTGAGTTTATTATCAAATATTCTATCATATAAATAGTTCTATCTTTGTTTATTTTTCTTTTTGTTTGCTCTTTGTGATTGTTCAAGCTCATTTTCCTCTCTAAGAGCAAAATTGGAGAAATCTATGTGAAGATACTCATCATCATCTGAAAAGAGCTTGGCTTATATTGCCTTTAAATGGAATATAATATCAGTTGTCTCTTCTTGTTTTAAACGACTTACAATCATTAAAATTCTTTCAGATTTAAATTTTAAATTATTATAAGATGGAATAATGAATCCAAAGGATAGAATGATTAGAACAATAGCTAATACTATACTATAAGTATTAACTACTATAATACTTGATTAAAGGGTACCAAGATCATCGCTAATGCTTTGCATTGATACAAGAAGATAAGACTATGTACAATTTAGATTGTTGACAAGAAGATATTTTTCTTCCATAAAAACCGTAATTTAGTCTAATTTTATTAATTTAAAATAAATAGAAGATAAAAAAAGTAAATACAAAAATTAATTACTTTATTAGTCATTTCTGTTTAAGTTAAATAGCGAAGTGCCTGCTGATTTTAAGTACTCTGTAAAATATGAGCGAGAAACCAATTTTTATCTAAAAGACATCAAAGAAACATCCATAATCATGTTAAAAACAATTTTTTAGTACTAATATTAAACTTATAAGTCTAAGAAATTAAATAAGTTATCAGAATACTACTAATATCCACTTCGAGTTACTTCTTCCATAACAGTCATATAATCAACAGAAGGAACAGGATTCAACTGATCCATATTTTTAAGAGAAGTTATATCTGAAGTAATCATAGCTTAGTTTATAGGAATAAGCATTTTTGATGAACTTTTTTTAAAAAAAATTGTATTCATTTTAAGTAAAAAGAATAATTAAGTTAATTAATTAATTAATTTCTTTCATTACCTTCCCATCCTATTTAATGCTAATTTTATAATAAAAAATTTAATTAATTTATAAATTTATTTTAAATTTTTTTAAAAATTAATCAATAATTATTCAATACTGTAATTAATTAAATTTATATAACATTAAACTTTTACTAATTAATTTTTAATAAAACCCTTTTTTTATTTTCGATTATAAATTTTATTAAAAATTAATTTATTGTAAATTTTGAAGTTGCAGTATAAAAAATAAAATAAAATAAATAAATTTATTTATTTGTTTGTTTGTTTGTTTGCTAACAGAAGAAAAATGAAAATTTGGAAAAATAAATAAATGAATGAGTGAGTGAATACCTTAAGTATAACTGTTAAAGGAGTTAGAAATAGTAACTGACAGCACTATAACTACAGTTATGAATACAAAAAATTAAAATATAAAAACTCCATAAAGTATAACCAAGAAAGGTGGAGTAGACTTGCTTGTGGTGTTATCAATGATATGTTTTACAATGCTTGAAGATGAAGATTGCATAGAAGACTTAGAACCCTAATCAAATGGTAGTTCGTTTTTTCTCCCCATCTGTTTAATTAGGTCATTTCCAATTTCTTTTTTAGCATCATCAAATACAGATATTGATTCTTTTCCGTTATTTTTAGAATCATGGCCTTGAGAACTATCATCTTCTTTTTTCTATTTTTCTGATTCTAACTTCTGCTATTCTTAACTGAGGTGCAATCCTGTTTCTTAATTATCCTAATCTTAACAAGCTTAATTAGTTTATGAAAAATCGTATTTAGTGGTATCTTCGACTTTGGTATACTTCATTGTTTTTGATTTATTCAACTAAGCAACTAATTCTTTTTCATCTTCGTATTATTATGTTGTCATCATCAAGGTATTATTAATTGCATTAGTATCTAGCATATTCTCCTCTAGTTTTTTATTGTCTAAAATAGGCATATTTGAGTCATCTAAGTTGGCATAGTTTTGTAGTTTAGGTTACAAGACAGTAGACTTAAAATTCGGATTCTGTTTGTCTAAATTATCGCAGCTATCAATCTATGCACTTTTCTATCCTTAAATCTCTTTATCTTGCTTTAAATCAATGTATTAATCCGTATTCAATAGGTTTATATTATCATTTTGACTATGTTGAGTATTAAGTTGTCCTATCAATTAATTTGCCATAGTTTCTTAATGAGTGATTTAATAGTTTAAGTTATCCTGCTTAGCTATTTTTTAATAAAAATTGAAAAACTTAAAATGAAAGCTATTTATTTATTTCTTTACTTTTATCGCTCTGTAAAACTTTTTAAGAATGTTTTGACCTTCCTCCAGTACTGTTTGAAAACTCTGATTATAATAAATCATCCCAGTTAACATATGATTGAATTTCTAAAATATAGATCAAAACGTCTTCTCCATTATCTTAAAATAATTCATGTCTTATATTTAAAGTAATTTCGTAGCTACATAGTTTTTGCTAAACTCTTGAATTTAGAAAGGATTAAACATTATTTTTCCATTCAGTGTTGTTTTTAATCGGCTTTTTGATTTCACTTCTACTTTAATTTTCTTTCCCCCTTTCTGAGGTTTATTAAGAGCTGTAGTAATTAGAATGATGGAGAATAAAAGTCTGAATCAGTTTATTCATATCTTTTATTAAAAGTCAAGTTAATATACAAATCCTTCTATTAAAAAGTAAAATTTAAGGTAAATAAATAAATAAATAAAAAACCTTTTGGCACATCTAACTTGAATTTTAGGAACGAGTATTCCTCTTTCATGTTGAATTCTTGCATGAACTCAATGAATTAAGGAATAAGTGCAGATATGTTAAGCTTTTTGAAATACATGCTTTCAACTTTCTCTCCTTAAATTAAATGCGCAAAACTCTCACTCATTCCTTCTATGTATCCTTTAGAATTGAGTAAGACATACATATCATTTGAAGGGCAGTTAATAACTAGTGAGCTGAAAGCAAAATCATCCTGCTTGATAAAATAGAAATTGATAAAAAGTTTAACTCTGAATATATAACCCATTTTATCTTTTGCAAACATCGTCCTATAGTTTCTTACTGTTTTAGCTACACCTGTGCTAATAAGCCTCATTAAAAACTAATCATGCAACCTTCCAATACAATCTGGTATTAAGTCAGTCACACTTTCCTATAGATGTAATATAAAAATAGTGATTAACAGCTTTAATTAATATTACTTTAATTTCGCAAAATTAACATTTATTTATTTACCTTAGTTATGAATTCTCCTTTGTTGTATTTGAATATTTAGGGAATTTTTTCAGAGAATTTTAAAATCTTTCCATTTTCTTTGACATTTTTAAAACTGGCAATAATGCTCCCAACATTACCTTACAGAATACTTAAGCTTGTGATAGTAGTTGTTTAATCAACTGACCTTTCTCTATTGATAATTTCTTCAACTGCAGCCTCTGTATCCCTACAATTGATTGGATCAAATAATATGTAAGCCTTTAGCAATGAACTGAACTTGAGAAAATATATGTTTTGCTTATTTAAGTTCATTTATTCTTTTAAAATCTATTCAAAATATTCTACTAAAAATAAAAAATTAATAATCTTTTGACGCATCTCCTCCAAAGATTTAAAGCCCTTTACCATTTCGTCCATAAATATACATTTTTCAACAATCAAATTGCCTAATTTATATAAATATTTTAATTATTTATTAATAATTATTCACAAATTTATTAATAAATAAAAACCTAATATTTTTTTTATTCTATCTTTTTCTGTTTCTGATTACACCATTTTATCAAATTTAATGTTATTCATAGCATCTTATCTATCTTTTTGGCTAATAAAATAAAAAGCTTAATCTCATTTATCAATTATTATTTGTTTACCTGTAAGAATAGAAATGTGCTTTGTCTTTTTCTTTAATCTTACTTTCTATTAAATTAGTTAAACTTCTTTCTACAGTTTAGAAAAAGCTGTCTTTTCTCTTCAGCATTTGGTTCATAACTTTATTCTAGTAGAGTGCTTTAATTTAATTCTTTTTAAATTTAATCAAAAAAAACCAATATCTCAAGCACACCTCCTGTTAATTTGAAATAATTAATTAATTACTTTTTAATTTTTCATTTAATAAAATTAATTAATTACTTGAACAATAACTTCTTGACCTTTTTTAACTAGGTGGCTGATCAAAACCTCAAATTAGTAATCGATGAAGAGCATGAACCACTTTTCAAATACAACTTACTCATCACAAATTCTAGCAAAATCAACTCCCTTTATTTTAATGTCTTTTCCTAAATCGATGATCATTCCTCCAGAGATAGTTGGTCTTTCTTCACCTGTATTTATTTATTTATTTTTTTAATTTAAAAAAATAAATTTTCAACTAGAATTATACCAGCTAACTCATTAAATTAAGTATCTTTGCAAGGACAAATAGTATCCCTGCAATTATTCTTGTGTAGTTAAAGCGAGCCAAAGAGGATAAGCTTGCTGGAAAGTGTTGTTAAGCATTACTCAAATTGTTCACAAAGTTTTTCAAGGTATAAGCAAGAAGCCTAAGGGAAATCTATTTATTTATTTATTAAAATGTTTTTTTGCTTATGCTATGTTTAAAACTAATTGAAATATTAAATAAATTATTTTATTTTACCGCCAAGTCTATTTGGATCAACTGTCATTGCAAAGATAATCTTGTTATTCCAAAAAGTTTTGAGTATACCATACAATATAGAAATAATGAGCAAGAAAATAATTGGGAAGTTTGCATCTTTTATGCTAGTTGTGTATTCTCTAAAAAGAAGCATTGAGGCATATGTCTGATAAACGATTACCATCCATCCATAAATATCAGATATATTTTTATCCATGAGTGGGAAATGATAGAAATATTCAACTAGTAAAAAAAGACCAAACATCTATCCAAATGAGTATATTATAATTGGGCTGCCTAAATAAGTAAGCAGAACTAATCCAATTTCGAGTAAGGGTTCTATCTGCTTAAATTAGCTGTACCTAGATTTTAGCTAATTTACACTGCTTAGTTCTTTGGAATTAAAAAAATAAATTAGTCTAAAAAAATAATTTCAAAAAGAGGGAAATATATATATAAATAAATAAATAAATAAATAAATCAATAAGTAACCTGGATTATGATAAATTAGAACGACAATTAAATTCAAAATTATTGTTGTCATCAATAAGATGATGGAGCACACTATATTGAAGTAGAAAATCATGCCTTAGTTGCTTGGATTTACCATAGATAAACTACATCTTTATGGGTGGCTGCTTCCATCACAAAATAAAACGCTAAAAATTAAATCTAACTTGGGTAAACAGTAGAGCCACTTTTAATGTTCATAATAAAGCTATACAGCACCAATTTAGTTTGCTTGTGTTTTCAATATATCAACATCATCTTAATTTAATTTTTTATTAAAAATTTTATGTTTTATTTAAAAATTTTTTTTGTTATTCAAACAAAATGCATTTAAAAAAAGTAAAATAATAAAGGTAAGTAAAACAAGCAGAAATTTATTAAATAGCTGTTTTATCAAACCGGGCTAGTATAAAGAAAGGCTTTATTTTACTTATATTACTTTTAATTTAAACAGTGACATATTCTAATAAAGAATATTCTATTTTATCTATAAGATTTTAAGTTTTATGCATTTATTTTTGACTTTTTTTCTATTTTTGGGCTTGAAAAAAGTTCTACAATAGCCAAAATAATAAATATTGTTAATCAATCAGTACCTTTTATGTTTGCGAAGCTTAAATTTAGGTTAAATAATATTAAGGTAACCTCATATATGCATAAACAGAACAATATTACTCCAACTAGGATCCCAGAATCAAGTGACCTAAGTAGATAAGTTATCCTTACTGACTAGCAAAGCTCGAACAAGTATTTCAAGTAATCATCAGTAACAGTAATTTGACTTGCAGTGATAATAAAACCAGCGATTTAGGAAAAGTAAATAGAAACTAGTCCAACATAGTAAACCCTCTCTCTATTTCGTTCACTATCTTTTAGGAACATTAAAAGAAACAAATTCGAAAGTGCTTCATAAAGGATATCTTTAGTTGATCTCTTTTTCTCAAGCTCTCTTAAATTTTTCATTCAATCAATCAATCTATACATTTATGATTTTACATAAATTAGAGAGAAAAATATTTTTTAATACGAAAAAATATTTCTAAAAAAGTAAGAAATTATGAAGTTTTTTTTTATAAATTCATTCTTACATACTAAAATGAATTATCCGATAGAAATCAAATTTTATTTTTTTTTCGTCTTTTCAACGAAGTTTTTATTCCTACTCCTACTTCAATAATTAACTTTTTAAAATAGAACTTTTATTATTAATTAATTTATTTATTATTTAGTGAGTCTTTATTTTTTCAATTTTCTTCTTTAGTCAATTAATCACTGCCTATTTTCTGCATAAATTAGTTTCTAATTCTTTTAATGCAAACATATCTCAACAAAGTTCGTTCACTGTATAAAGTAATAAATAAAAACTCTTAATTTTTCTTTAAATTCATTTAAATCAGATAGTTATTACATTGATAATAATCCAATCAAAATTTATTTAAATAGTATAACCATTTAAAATGCAATATAAAAGCCTTTTATAAATTTAATTTATCAAAGGAATACTCATTCCGTTTATCTTTATTTAACTTTACCACTCTCAGCTATTTTAAATAATTTGGGATCAATAATTAGATTAGCAACAGTATTCTTTCTTTCTTTCATTCTTCTTTCTTTCTCTCTCTCTCTCTCCATAATAATAATTTCATGATATTAAATTTTTAGTATTTTTTAATTGAAATTAAATATGATTATTTGATGCCAAAAATATGTAGTCTCTCATTTAAAACTATATTTTATATTAAATAACATCCCATCCAAATGGAATTCATGCTTTTTAGTTATTTTTTTATAATAACAGAATCATTTACGGCTGTTAATTATTAATATGCTTGCGTACTCAATCCACTTATCAAATAAATAAGAATTACTCATTTCAACTTAATATAAATTAATATTTACATATTTAATTTCACAAAAATACTTGTAAAAATCAAGTTTATTGAATTTAATTATTTTATTTATAATTTAAAGTAAAATAGTTACCATCGATTCTAAAAGATTTAAATAAAGTGCTCTTCTTAATAAGATGTTTTTAATTTAAGGTGGTAAGAATAAGATAATAATTATTTTTCTTTCTTTTTAAACTTTTAGAGAATGTTTTTTTAAAAATTAATAAAAATAGCTATTTATTTTTTAATTATTTTATTTTGTAAAAATATTTTCTTTCCTTCTTATTTAAATGTTAATTAATTAACCAAAAATATTTCTTGAGTTTTTTATGCTTTAAAAAAATGCTCCGGGAGGGGCTTGAACCCTCGACCTTGGGTTTATTAGACCCACGCTCTAACCAACTGAGCTACCCGAGCTGCTTGATTATTATAGTATGAACCAGATTAAATTTTATCATTTTTGAGTTTAATAATATTCCAAAGTATGTTTTTTTGATTTAGTTTGAATATGAATATGTATATACATACTATCTAACTCAGTTGCTTTAAAATAATTAATGTATGTTTGTATGCTAATTAATCCTTTTGTTAATAAAGCAATAGATGAAAAATAAAGAACTAACTACGTATAATTAAAAAGATATTTTTTATTCAAGTTTGAATGATACATTAATTAAGGTAGAAGTTGACAAATTTGGCTTTTTTAGCAAAACAAAGATAAAGGAGCCTACTTTTTAGATCAACTAACTATTCATTCTTTTCAAACATAAACAATTAGAAGAATGAATCTCTATTGAACGCCAAAGTAGATTTTAAGTCTTTAACTAAAATAGAAATAGCTGATTATTTGAGGAAGCTAAATTAAGAATGCACTATGACTGACAAGAATAAATAAGTGTTAGCGAATAAACTAAACAATATAGAATAACAAGCAGCTAATCATATTAGTTTAAATTAAGATGATTTAACAAGTCTTATCTTAATTCTTTAGATTATGTTTCAAAACTAGAGATAGAGCTAAAATATCCTTAATTTGGCTCATACTGTTTTATTGAATTATTTTTCAAAATAAATGAATATGTAGAATACATCTGCATAAAAATTTATGGAAAGTCTCCATGTTTTCCAATAAATAGTTCCTTTGATAGCAAAAAGCGATAAATTTGAATATGAATTAGTTCAAAAATTGCATTTATTTTTTAGCTAAGATTAAGTTTTAAATTAGTTTACTCAAACAAGCTTGCTGCATTTGATTAAGTTTTTCTTTTCAAAAGGTATAATTGAGATCCCCTTAAAAATAAATATCAACCCAGAAAGCTTACCATTTTAAGAGTTAGTTGAGTATATATGGATGACTTCTCTTTCTGGTGCATAGATTACTCAAGATTAAACTAAAATATTGTGTAAGTTTTTATAGGAACAGGTAAAATTTATAGGTTTACTTCAACAAAACATAATTTTTTTATTTTATAATAGCCATCTATTAAGAATATTCCAAAGGCTATTTAATATAAGCTAAAAGAAATATCAATTAGCTCTGATTTGGGTGAAGCAAGCAAATATATTTCTCAATTTGATCATTTTTACACCTAAGAAAGCTAAGTATCTCCAATTCAAGAAGACTGCGAAATTATTTTAAAAGTTCTCAAGTGGAATTTTAAATCAGAGGTTAGAATTGATCCATATACAGTAGATTTTTTAATTACTTTACCAAGCATTAAAAATTAAATAGTGCTTGAAATGAATGGGCCATCTCACTATCCTTATTTTTCAAATAAAGATGTATTTTCTGCTAAAGAACAAATGAAAGTTAAAAACTTAAAGATAAAAAATTATATACCCGTTCTAATCCACCATCAAGACTGGAGTTAAATTAAAGGAGTCACAGGAAAAATAGATTTCATACAAAATTTAGTTTAAAAGCACATTAAATAAACAAACTTATGACAGAAATAAAAAATCTAAACTAAAAAACTCATTCAAAATTATATCCCAAAAAAAAAATATTAAAATAAATAAATTATTAAATGATTTGTTAATTCGAAAACAAACAAATAAGCGATGAATCTTAAATTAAATTACATGTATGCATATAATAAATACCATTTTAATTATTAAACAATTAATAGTAATTCATTTTACATTTTTCTAAATTGTACCAATTTTATCTACAAAAATTTAAGGAATTATTTGATCTGTTAAAAACTTTTATTATATAAAAATTAATATTGAGCCAAAATATTTTTTATATCTAATTTACTGATTATTGATTTATGTTATTAGGTCTTTCGTATAAACTGCAGCCCTCTGCTTAGAAATCTTTGAGATTTAATTTAAAAAATTAATCGCCAACCATTAAATGATATGAGCCATCATCCCACTCAATAATTTTGGCATTTGATTCAAGATTTCCCTATAATAATAAACAGATATTATATTTTAAATTAGCTTTTAAAAGTCTACTTCATTATTTTTCCTATATCTGATGGTGCTTGATTCTTGAATACCAAATAATTATTTTGAATGCTAATTTTACAAAAAAAAGAATATTTAACTTTGTTAAAAACAATTAAAATTACTTATGATTTAATATTATATTCATTTTCTAAATATTTAATATGTTCTTCATTATATTCTTTTGCGCAAAATCCTACAGCCTGCTAATGCTTCAAATACCATCCCTAAATAATATCCAAAATAACAAATTTATGAATAGGAATCTTCCAAAAACTAACTAATACCTTTTAGTTTTTATTAAAGGTGAATTGTTCCTTTGAAACTTAAAATTCATTTTCAGAAAATAAAACATCCTATTCTTCGTCCATCATTTCTCTTTTTCTTTTTCAATGCAACTTTAAAATTTTATTGACCTTAAAAAATGTTTGACTTATTTATTACTTAATTAATTGATTAATTCAAAATCCTTTGAAATTCAATAAAAATTATAATTGCTTTTAAGCTATTAAATAATAACAAAATATATAAACCTATAAATAAAAATTGATATGATATATATATTTATCATTTCATAAGATAAATGCAATTAGATAGACAAATACAAATAATTAATCTATAAATCATAATTTCAGAGTGAATGACTATCATTAATAAATAAATGCATAATAATACATTAAAGAATAGAATATTTTTTTTTAAATATTCATTATCTTTTACTGTTATAGAATAACTTTTTACTGATATTTAAAAGCCTTTTTTTAATATTAATGTGTTAGGTTTCATAATTTAAGTCAATATAGACTTTTTGAAGTTTTTCAATAAGCTTTGTAAGCAACAAAAAGTTAACAATCAAATAGAGATTATTGTCTGTAATATTCCTTAAAACCAATCAAGCATTTAATCACCTCAATTTAAAAAAATTAATTAAAAAATTAGCTTTTAAATTTAGTATAATAATAAATATTAATCCAATCAAGAACTTAATCTTAAAGAGGATTAAATATCATATTACGAATCTTCATTTTTATCTAGCTAGTATTCAAAAAAAATAATTTCGAACCAAATTTTCAAATATGTATTATTCTTTAAGTATATTATAGCTTGGCTTGCAAAAATTTAGAGGATTGAAGTATATAAATTAATGTAAAATACAACTATCTTTTATTTATAAAAAACATGATAAATATATAAAATTTTAATCATGCATGTATGTATGTATGATTAATAATAAAATAAATGAAAATAAATAATTACAAAAAAACGGGAAATAAAACTTAATATATTTATTTATTTATCACTGCTCTTTTAATTTATTTACACTAGAATTTGTATTTATTTATTTATTATAATTTTTATTTATGAATTACTCAGTTTCAAATTTAAGATCCAAAGACAATCTTTCATATCTAAAAACTAAAACTAAAATTAATATCAGAGAAATATTTGATTAGATTAATATTATTTGTAAGAGGGTAATAGATGGATGCAACATTTGCTCAGCTCTTTTTAAAAATTATTAATTAAAATTAGAAAATTAATTTATAAAAAGAATAAATAAATACCCTGGAAACTAAAGTTCACCTTGGAGTGGATTGAATATTATACTATTCTAAATTATTTGTCTAAATCCAAAAAGCAAATATGATGAAGAAGTATTAATTTAGCACTACCCTTAATAGCCTATAAACATAAACTCTGCCAAAGGGATGCTAATCTTATACTGGCTAGTATATATATATAAACTTGGAAATTATGATGCACATTCACATGAAAAACAATTAGTTAATTATGTGTATGAGTTTGAAAAGTATTCACTGTATTTATCCTTTAAATATTTAGCTATTTCTTATTTTAATTTTAAAAGAATTTAATTTTGACCGGCGATTTAAAATAAAATGTATCTACTTATAGGAAGAGCTGAGTAAGTATAAGTTTGAATTATAAAATTTTTAAAATGAGCAATAGCTGTCATGTCAGTATCTCCTAAAAATATTCCAGCCATTTATACATCCTAGAGTAAAAAAAATTAATTTTATAAAACCTCTAAATTAAATAGATGTATGTATGTATGCATAAATGTATAAATTTACCCAATTGTTACTAGAATAAGTCTTTAATATAGGATAAGAAATGTTGGTTGTAATATTATAATTTATTTCAAATAAATCATTTGAATTGAAAGTGCTTCCACTTATTTAAAAATTAGGACTCTAATAAATTAATAAATAAATAATAAAATAATTTAACGTAGTTTATTTGATAATTTGTTAAATATAATTTACAATTAGTTAGTTTTACTAGTATCCTTATATAAAAATGTTATTTTTATTTCCATTTGCTAAATTTAGAAGTCCATTTCCTATCTATAGAAATTGATATGAAAAAAAATAAATATTTTTTTAAATGTTACACATATTTTTTGAGTAAGTTCATTGACAGAAATAAATTATAATTAAATAGAAGTGTCGTTATCTTCAGAAAGGATAAAGCTTTCAGATTCTAAATCTCCTTTGATAATGAATTTTTCTTGAAAATTCTTTAGAAAAAAAAAATTAAAAAAAATATATTTAATTAATTAATTAATTAATAATGAATGGATGAAGAACTGTATACTTAAGTGTAGTCTTTTTGTATTATTTATAAAGTTGTTGATTATTCCTCTTCAAAATACCAAACTGGCTAGTAATTTAGTGGCAATTAATAATCTGAATTCAAATCACAGTAGCCTTAATATGGTAATCTTGAATTGAAAACAAAGTTCATAGTGTCTGCCAAGGGTATTTATATAATCTATAATATTTATATATCATTTTTATTTTTAGTAGATTATTTATTTATTTTTTGTTAATTACTGGATTAGAAAGAATGAAACTAATTAAGATAGTTTACTATGGATATCCTATTCTAATGCTAATCTAACAAATAAGAACCATTTAATCTCTAAAGTCTTTTAAAGTTTTGCATTTTTCAAAGGAAAAGGGTATTTTATTTGAAAAGGTGCTTTAGATAACACATATAAAAATAAATACTGTAAGAAATAACTAACTACGCATTCAATATGTTAGCTAACTAATGTTAAATTAAAATTCTAGACTACAAAAGCTATTTATCTAAAATGTAAACTGTGATATTTACTTATTGCCTATGATAGAACTTAAAAAAATTTATTAACTGAATAGTATATTTGTTTTTATATTGATTGTAATTTTTTTTCAATAATTTATTTATTTTAATTTTTTTTATGAATTTGCAAACTTGTTTTTTATTTATATTATTGTGTATTATTTCTAACTCTGGAAAATAAGAAGTTAATTTTTTTAATTAATATATGAATAAATAAAATAAAAGTAGAATTTATCAGAAATTAATAATTTAAAAAACTTAATGACACTAAAATTTTATTGCTTGCAAGTAGGTTTGATTACAATTTTTATAATTGTTTTGTGCATATAAGTAAAAATAATTGATTCAAGCAGTGTTTGATATATATTTCTTTTAGAGTAAATGAAGAAAAAGCTTTGATAGAAAAGTATAAAAATAGATTTTCAACTAAGATAACTAAGATAAACTAAATATGTATAATAAAAATCCTTAAAATATAATTAATCATTTAAAAATTACTCAATTTTTTAACAACTTTAAATATTATTATTTCATTTTTAATGAACTAATCATGCTTGTCCTAAAAATACTGATGAAAATTGTAAGCTTTTAGTTACATTTATTCAATTGAAAGAAAGGGGAAAAAAAATCAAATTAATTTATAGCTAGTAAATGTATAAATATTAATGTAATGAAAATAAAAATACTTTGGATTTATTTTTCTTATTTTAGAATCTATCATAAAAAAAAGATTATTGATAGTAAAGAAATCATAGTTTTATAAATAAAAACAAGCAAAATACACTGACTAAAATATAATTTGTAAAAGTAGAATATCAAGATTTTAAAAAATATAATTATAATTAAAAACTTTTCAATGGAATATCACCTTTTGTTAGGTATTTAGGTTATATAAATTAATTTTATTAATTTAAAATTATTTAACTGAGAAAATCTAAACCGTTTTCACTTTAAAATTTGGTTTTTATTAAATTTTATTAATTCATTTTTTAGCTTAGTTAATCAAGATAAGTAGAAATAAGAAAAGTTCAAAAAGTTTTTAAATTTGATTAAATAAAAATACTAAATGATACTATAGGCACATTGGGAATAAATTAAACTTTTTGGGTTTGGTTTGAGTCTGTGACTAATACTTTTACAAAACAAAAAAATATTTTTATTTAGGGTGTCAATAAATTAATTAATGAGAATTAATTTACAGTTTGTTTGTAATAAATATCATAGCATTTATTTTATTATTGGACATTTTTTTTTATGATTAAAAGTTTTTGAAGAAAACATAAATTATAAAATGAATAACTATTTTATACAAGTAAAATATAAATGACATAATATCATTTTTGTTATTATTTAGCAATTCTAACAAGTTATAAATAATTATTTTTTTTATCAATATATTATTCAGTTTCAAATATAAGGTCTAAAGAATTTCTTTCATATTTAAAAAGTAATCCTAAAATAAATATAAGCCAAATATTTGATTAAATAAATATTATCTATAAGAGAGTAATAGATGGATGCAACATTTATTTAGCACTTTTTTAAAAAACATTATTAAGATTTGATAATATATTAAAATTAAGAATAATTAATTACCCAGGGAACTAAAGTTCACCTTGAAGTGGATTGAATATTACGCCATTGAAAAGTATCTGTCTGATACCAAACAATAAATTTGAAGAAGAGATATTAATTTAACACTAATTATTTGTGTTTGTAAACAGAAACTCTTCTAATGGAATATTAATTCTATACTCGCTTGTATATACATATAAATTTGGGAATTATGATGCACACTCACAACCAAAACAATTTATCAATGTAGTGTATGAATCTGAAAAATACTAACTGTATTTATTCTTTAAATATTTTGCAATGCCTAATTTAAATTAAATAACTAATAAATATTTACTAGTTGAAATAAAAATAAAATTTACTAATAGGAAGGGCAGAGTATACATAAGTTTGAATAATAAAAGTCTAGTAATGAGCATAGGCTACCATATCCATATCTCCTAAAACCAATCCAGTCATTTGCACATCCTAAAGCAATTAAATATAAATTTTTAAAGATTGTTATATTAGAGGAATATATTTATTTATTTATTTACCCATTTATTAGTCGAATAAGTTTTTATAATTGGATATATAGTATTGCTTGTTATATTATAATCTATTAATAATTTAGCATTAAAAATGTCAACACCAAATTAAAAAATAGGACTCTAATAAAAAAAAATTAATTTTAATTTTTGTTTATATTAAATAATTAATTTTACTATTAGCTTATTCTACAGATAGCCTTATATAAATATACCATTTTGATTTCCATTTACTAAATTTATAAATCCATTTCCAACCTAAATAAATAAATCAATAAAATAAATTTAAATAAAAATATTTATTTTAAAGAATATTTATTACATATTATGTAGTAGTAAAATTGTAGACAGAGATAAATTCCAATTAAATAGGTGAATCATCTTGAGAAAGATAAAAATTGTCTGATACTAAATTGCCTTAAATAACAGAGTATTCATCTAAGTCCTATATAAAAGTCAAATATATAAATGTTAGAAAGATATTTTAATTAAGTATTATTTACTTTAGTGTAGTTTTTTTAAATAGTTTATAAGCTTAGTGACAGTTTTTCATTAAAAAAGTGTAATTATTGAGGCTATGGATTCTCAAATTCACTTGAAGCATATTTGCACTTATTTTAAAGTGAACATTCTGTATTGAAAACAAAATTCATTGTGTCTGCAATAGGTAAGCTCAACTATTAATGTTAAAAATTATTATTGATGAAATTAAAGATAATTTTTTTGAATACAGGATTTGATAAAATAAAGCTCATAGGCTGTTTTTACTTAGGGATTCCAATGTAGACATTAGACATGCAAGTAAAAACCATATTGTCTCTGAAATCTTTGAATATTTTACATTCTTAGATAGAAAAGGATATTTATTTTGTATAGGCATATTAAATAGCTAATATAAAGGCAATCATAGCAGAAAAAAACCAAGTACTCATTTTAATAACTAATTCTATTTTAATAAGAAGTTTTATCAGTTAATAATTATTTTTAAAAATCAAATGTTATTTAAAAATTTCTTATTGTTTGATTGTATGTATGTATGAATATATGAATGTAATCATTTACATTAACTCTTCGTTTGTAGACTTTTTATGAATCCAATTAATTTGGATTGAGTTTATTTGAAATTTAAAAATGTAAATAAATTAATCTTATACAAAATTTATTATAAGATTAATCATATATAAATATTAGGGCTGAAAAATTTATTTTTGAAAGAATATTTTTGCTAAATTAGTATTTGAATAAAAAATTATATATGATATAGAGTGTAATCAATTATTCATAAAAATTAAAAATGTTTAGTTTATTTTATGTATTTAGTAATAGTTGCATAATTTACTTGTTTTTTTGCTATTTTAATACATTCATAATTAAAAATGTCAAATTATATAGAAAAAATAATATAGAATGTATCTCAAAGAAAGTATTGGGGAATCTTTTAAAAAGCGAAGAAAAGAAAAAAAAATCAGAATTAATTAAAATTGAGGCAAATTTTAAATTAAAAAAAGAAAAAATTTATCAGATTAACTTTTTATAGAAAAATTAAATTTTGTTACAATTTTTAAAAAGAGTCTTATTTACTTTTAAAAATGAACAAAATATTTAATGAAGCTCTATACAATAGACAAAACTTTTTCATAAAAAAATTTAAATTTTTCAAAAAGCTTTTTTGAAGTGAAAAACACTTTTTAAACTAAAAACAATAGACCAAATTACATGTAGAGCAACAAATGAATTTTACTATTTAATAAAAACTAATTGCTACAAACTGAGTCCACAAAGTTTTTATAAATATTTCACATAAAATATAAATAATATTTATTGGATTAACTTAAATATATTGGCTAAGCATGAATCTTCATTACTAATTAAATAAATAAATAAATATAATTTCGCTTTATATAAATAAATGAAAATAATCTCTACATTATATTTTAAACTTTTTAAAAATATTTAGAAAAATAAGACATTTTTTATCAAATAAATTCAGTAATATCTTCAAAGCTAAAATTTAAAGCACTAAATGATGCTTAATATTTTAAATGTGTAAAAATTTATAGTAATAATAATGAACAATGTATACTCTTATTATAATTGAGAAATACTAATTTCAAATTTAATAAAAAATAGCCTAAGAAATTAGATAAAATAGAAGAAAGTATTAAGAACCGAAGTAAATAAACAAACAAGTTAAATTTAAAAAAAAAATAATTTATTTTTTATATAAATCTATGAGACAGACTAAACAAGTCGTATAAGTATATAAATAATTTATTTATTCCTTTAATTTAGAAAAAAGCATTAATTATATAAACTATTATATGGTAAGCTATTTATTTATTTATTTATTAATCTAATAATGATTTAAAAAGATATGCAGAATTTATATTTATGCTTTTTATATTAGTTAAATAAATACATAAATTATTGTTTTACTACATACATATAAAGGGAAATAGAGGTAAATATTAAATTTTTTATTTAAAACTTGATTAATATTTGTATTTCGAATGTAACTTATAATTTTTATTAAAAACATACAAAAAAACTGATTATTTTTTAAGATAAAATTTATGTAAATAATTAAATTTTATGTAATATAAATAATATATTTTAGCAAGGATGAACTTTAATAATTAATTAATTAAATGGAAGTTTACAGTGAATATATTAATTAAAATAATATTAATACTCACTTTGCCTATTCTTTAATTTATTTAACTTATTTAACGATATTTTATAATTCGATATATTTTTTAATATCAAATTGCTTAGTTTCCAATTATAAATCTGTTGATACTCTCTCGTATTGAATCAACAAAGCTAAAAGTATAGCTATACAAACATTTGATTATATTAATATTATCTAAAAGTAAGTTATGGATGGATGCTACATTTGTTCAGCTCTTTTTAAAAAAAAAAAAAATTTATTAACATAAGCTAAAAATTAAATATTTGAATTACTCTGGAAATTAAAGTTCACTTTGTAGTGGATCAAAGATAACATTATTCAAAAGTATTTATCTAATACCAAATAGTAAATTTGACTATGAAATATTAATTTCGCATTAACCTTAAGTATTTGTAAATGTAAATTCTTCAATAGGGATAGTAATCTTATATTCAGTTGTGAATATTTCTAAATTAGGAAAATTCTTTTCACAGTTACATTAAAAGCAATCTAACAAAACATATGCATCATCTTCGTTATCAAAATTTTCATTATATTTATTTTTTAAATATTTAGCAATTTCTTTTGTTAAAAAAAAATAAATTATAAAATAAATAAGTCTAAATCTAATAATTAATTACTTTTTGGAATAGCTGAATAAACATATGTCTGTATTATAAAAGTTCTATAATGAGCTATTGCTTCCATATTTTGGCCTCCTAAAGAAATTCCAACCATTTGCACGTCCTAGAGAAGAATTAAATTAATATTTTAATTATCTAAATAAATTGTTTAAGAAATTACCCAAATATTATCTGAATATGTTTTTAGTGCTGGAAAAGAAGAATCTCTAGCAAAATTGTAATTTATCTTTAATCCATCTAAATTATTACCACGATTGAACTAAAATAGTGGAGACTTTTTAAAGTAAAGTAAAATAATTTAATTTTTTAAAAAAATTAATTAAAAATGATTTACAATAAACTTTTTCTGAAGATAACCCTGCAAAAAAATGCTGTTTTAATTACCATTTTGCAAATTAAAAACACCGTTTCCAACCTATATTAATGGATAATTAATTAATTATTTAATAATATAAAAATATATTTTTTAGAATAGTACATATTGTTTTTAAGTGTAGTTGCGAATAGAAATAAACTGCAATTAAATTGGAGAATCATTTCTAAATAGGTAAAATTATTCTGTATCTAAATCACCTTAAATTATTTGTCCTTCTAGTAAATTCTTTTATTAAATTATTTAATTTTTTATAAAAATATAATTATTAAAATTAATGTTACATTTGTGTAGTTGGTTTATATAACTTATAAACTAGTTGAAATTCTTTCTTGATAAAAGTGTTGCGCATACTGTAAATTATGTCTAGCATATGTGCAATTATTTTAAATAGAGCACTTTGAGTTAAATACAAAATTCATTTTGTTTGCAATTGATAAACTCAGCTTAATTTAAAAAATAAATTTTAATAAAGTTAAATATTTTTATTAATTAATTAATTAATTAATTTACTGGATTTGATAAAATTAAACTAATTGGTTGTCTTTGCTTAGGATTACCAATAAGCATTTCAAATGCACAACTAAAAACTTACTATCCTCGAAAATCTTAGAATATCCTACAATTTTATTATGGGAATTATATTGATCTAGACTCAACATATTCAATAGTTAATATAAAAGCCAGTAAAGCAGATGCAATCAAACGAATCATTAAATAATTCTATTTTAATTTTAGTTATTTTTTTTTATTTGAGGCTAGCAATCTTATTTTTAAAAATTTAATTACAAAAATATTCATGTTTGCTTATTTAGCTTTTATACTTGCTTTAAATTTCTAGCTAATTTATTTATAGATCTTTTGTTCTAATGAAATGAAATCGATAAATTATATTTCTGAAATTTAAAAGTTTTCTTAGATTTTTAAGGTAGAACATAATTAGTTTGGTACTTTATGATTTTCATTAATAATTAATGAATAACTAAACTATTTATAGTTATTAAATTAAAATCTGACTTACTATTAAGCTAGAACAGGTATATTTTAAACATAAAATCATTATAGTTTTGTAAGTTTTATTGTTTATGTAACAAAAATAAGAAAAATTTAAATTTTACTTAAATCAAGATGTTATTTATGGTAAAATATATATTGTTAATTCATTTAAATACATTTAATTATATGACTTATCTTTAAAAACAAAGAGTTCATTTACATTTCTTCATAGTAAATAAATTTTCAACCAATTATCATACTAATTAGATTTAAATTAAATTAATATCTAAAAATAATTATCAATGAAAATCTTTATAATCAATCATAAAGAATATGTTTATACTTTAGATAAAATTAAAAATTAAACCAGTTATAATTATTTAATTAGAAATATACTTATTATATAGAACAGTAGAATTAAAATAAATCATAAAAGTTCTATAAATTTTATAGCTTATGTAAGAAAAATAGAAAAATAATTTTAAATAGGTCAAAATTTTATTTATGATTAAGAAATAAATTTTAATTCATTTTAGATACATTTTTATTATTTAATCTAAATAAAAAAGCAAAGAATTAAATTCCTTTTTGTTTAATATATAAATAAATTATCTACTATCTTGCTTAATTTAAAATAAGCTTGGAAGATTTGAATTAAATTACTGATCTCTTTTTGCTTACTATAGTTTTTTAAGAAAATAATTAAAGATTAGAATTAATCACAAATAAGAAATAAATATCAATATCACAGAAAAACCATTAATTAATTTATCATATTAACTAAAAATGATAAAGAATCTTGTAGAAAACATTAATAGCTTTATAAAGTATCTAACTTTGATTTATTTATTTATTTATTATATTGTATCTATGAAAATAACATTTGAGCACATTGTATTAACAAAAATAAAAGAATAATAAATGAAATTTATATATGAGCATGCATGAAGTTTTTCATTTGTTTACAATATTTCTTCAAACTAATTATTATTTTCATATCTATTAAAACAATTTTTGCAATTTTTACATAAGTAAGATACGTTTGTTTTTAAAAAATCTATGATTTATATATTAAAAGGATAAAAATATATATATATTTGCAAGATTATTTAATAATAAATTATTATTTTTGAATTTTAAATACTGATTCAAGCAAGTATTTAAGATTCAATCAAGAATATAGAAATTTATTTAATTAATTAACATTTATAATTAATTTACAAAATTATTTTAAGTTTAATTTTAAATAATTTAGAACTTATTTTATTATTCCCTTTCAAACTATGTTACTAATTATTTGGTTTTACTTGCTTGAAAAACATAGATTGCTAAAGTTTTCTATACATATTTCTTTTTATAACTACATTAACTCACTAATAATTTAATTTTTTTAAGCTGATATTTTTGATTGATCAGATTCCATTTATTTATCTTAGCTTTATTGTGTTTCTATTAATTTATTATTTTGATTGAAAATTTATTTCATTTTATCATTTTCTTCCAGTAAAGAGATATATTTAGTATTTAATTTAATAAACAGTAGAACTAAAAGGCATATTTAAGTCTATCCAATAAAAAATATAGGATAATACAAAAATATAGAAAGGTACTTCATTGAATACTCTCTTTAGAAATTATAATTAATAAAATTAAAAATCGCATTATAGTAATTATTTCGGGAACTAAAGAGTGCTATTTATTTAGTGGGTCAAATACTATGTTTTGATTTTAGATTTATTAAATGCCAAATAATAGATTTGTTTTTGAAACATTTATTTTGCATTCTTAATCACCATTTTTATAATAAAAATAACTAATAGGTATAACAAGTTTATATTCCTTTGTATAAATAACTATGTCTACAAACGATATTTCTTTTAAACATAATTCTAAGATTAGTAAATTATATCTTCCACCCTTTAAAAAGTATTTGCTTTATTCCTAGTTAAGAAATTCAAGTACTTCTTTATTTAGATAAAAATGTATGGTCTTTTATAAAATTCATTAATAAATAATTAATTTACTTCTTGGAGAGCAGAGATAACATAAAATTTAATGATAACTGTCTGAAAGTGTGCTAACGGCAGAACATTTACGTTTTCAATATACATTCCTACCATTTAAAAATCCTTTATGCAAATTATAATTTATTAATTAATTAACACTTCTGAATTATTGATCTCACATAATATATTTGAAAAATTCTATTCATAAAATGAATGTAAAATTTAGAATATTCAAAATATATTTCTGATATTTTTATTCTAATTAAAGATATTCTTTGATCACTGTTATAAATATAATTATTATAATTTTTACCCAAAGTTATTTGGAATATGTTGGTAAAGCAGGTAGTTGCTCTAAGCTTTAATCAGTATAATTAAATCTTAAATCAGTTACTCCTGATTTATCATAGCTGAATGAAAATTTTGGAGTCTTTATTATAAAACAAATCAATTAATTTAAAATATTTTTAATATAATTTACAATTAACTTTTTCTATAAATATCCTTAAGTGAAAATGTTATTTTAATTGTTACTAGATAAGTCTATGATACCGTCATTCAGCTTATTAAATGTTTACTTTTTCTTATAAATTAAAATGACTGACATAAACAAAATTCAATTCCATTGATATATCACTTGGAGAGAATTTAACTTGGTCAGCCACAGTATTTCCATTAAAGATTTAATTTTCTATTCTATTCTTTAAATATTAAAGAAATTAGTAATGCGATTTATAATTAAAAATACAACATTTGGGCCTTTGTTCATTATTGACCTAAGAGTTGATGATTTTTTTTCTTCATAGAATAAATTAGCAATCGCTAAATTGCTCAAGATTTTCAGAACTAAATTTATAGACTTTTTGTAAAATATTCATTCAGTTTTTCTCTTTAATTAAGAGTAAATTGCTTTAAAGAATTATTAATTTAAAGAAAATCAGAAGTAAAAAAATTATATATAAAATTAGAAGATATTTAACAGAATATTTATAATATAAAGAATAAATTAAAATATAACAAATTGAATAATTATAAGAATAATAAATAACATTATAAATATAAAATGAAGATAAAGATAAAAAAATTTAATAATAGTTATAATAAAAGATGATTTAACAAAATAAGCATATTAAATTTATCAAATTGGTGGTGGTTAAAATATTCATTATATTGGTTAAATAAAAGATTTTATGTAATATAAATAATATATTTTAGCAAGGATGAACTTTAATAATTAAATGGAAATTTACAGTGAATATATTAATAAAAATAATATTAATACTCACTTTGCCTATTCTTTAACTTTTTTAATGATATTTTATAATTCGATATATTTTTTAATATCAAATTGCTTAGTTTCCAATTATAAATCTGTTGATAATCTCTCATATTGAATCAACAAAGCTAAAAGTATAGCTATACAAACATTTGATTATATTAATATTATCTAAAAGTAAGTTATTGATGGATGCAACATTTGTTCAGCTCTTTTTTTAAAAAAAATATTTATTACCGTCAGCTAAAAATTAAATATTTGAATTACCCTGGAAATTAAAGTTCATTTTGAAGTGGATCAAAGATAATGTTATTGGAAAGTATTTATCTAATACCAAGTAGTAAATTTGACTCTGATGTATTAATTTTACATTGACCTCTTTCATTTGTATATGTAAATTCTTTAATACGGATAGTAATCTTATACTCAGCTGTGAATATTTCTAAATTAGGTAAATCCTTTATGCAGTTACATTAAAAACAATTTGACAAAACATATCTACTAGCTTCGTTATCGAAATGTTCATTATATTTATTTTTTAAATATTTAGCAATTTCTTTTTTTTAAAAAAAATAAATTATAAAATAAATAAGTCTAAATCTAATAATTAATTACGTTTTGGAATAGCTGAATAAACATATGTCTGTATTATAAAAGTTTTATAATGAGCCATTGCTTCCATATTTTCGCCTCCTAAAGAAATTCCAACAATTTGCACATCCTAGAGAAGATTTAAATTAATATTTTAATTATCTAAATAAATTGTTTAAGAAATTACCCAAATATTATCTGAATATGTTTTTTGTACTGGTAAAGAAGAATCTCTAGCAAAATTGTAATTTATTCTTAATCTTTCAAAATTATTACCAGCATCGAACTAAAATAATGGAGACTTTTAAAGTAAAGTAAAAATAATTTAATTTTAAAAAAATAAATAAATAATTAATTAAATATTATTTACAATAAACTTTTACTGAAGATAACCCTGCAAAAAAATGCTGTTTTAATTGCCATTTTGCAAATTAAAAACACCGTTTCCAACCTATGTTAATAAATAATTATTTATTAATATAAATATATATTTTTTAGAATAGTACATATTGTTTTTCAGTGTAATTGCTAATAGAAATAAACTGCAATTCAATTGGAGAATCATTTCTAGATAGGTAGAATTATTCCGAATCTAAATCGCCTTAAATTATTTTCCCTTCAAGTAAATTCTTTTATTAAATTATTTAATTTTTTATAAAAATTTAATTTTAAAATTTATGTTACATTTGTGTAGTTGGTTTATATAATTTGTAAACTAGTTGAAATACTTTCTTGATAAAAGTGTTGTCCATACTGTAAATTATGTCTAGCGTACTTGCAATTATTTTAAATAGAGCACTTAGAGTTAAATACGAAATTCATATTGTTTGCAATATGTAAACTCAGCTTAATTTAAAAAATAAATTTTAATAAAGTTAAATATTATAATTAATTAATTAATTAATTTACTGGATTTGATAATATAAAACTGATTGGTTATCTTTGCTAAGGATTACCAATAAACATGTCAAATGCACAACTAAAAACTTCTTATCCTCGAAAATCTAAGAATGTCCTACAATTTTATTATGGGAATTATATTGATCTAGACTCAACATATTCAATAGTTAATATAAAAGCCAGTAAAGCAGATGCAATCAAACGAATCATTAAATAATTCTATTTTAATTTTAGTTATTTTTTTTATATTTGAAGCTAACAATCTTATTTTTAAAATTTAATTACAAAAATAATCATGTTTGCTTATTTAGCTTTTAAATTTTTTTAAATTTCTATTTAATTTATTTATTGATCTTTTGTTCTAATCTAATGAAATCGATAAATTATATTTTTGAAATTTAAAAGTTTTCATAGATTTTTAAGGTAGAACATAATTAGTTTGGTACTTTATGATTTTCATTAATAATTATAAACTATTTATAGTTATTAAGTTAAAATCTGACTTACTATTAAGCTAGAACAGGTATATTTTAAACATAAAATATTAATAGTTTTGTAAGTTTTATTGTTTATGTAACAAAAATAAGAAAAATTTAAATTTTACTTAAATCAAGATGTTATTTATGGTAAAATATATATTGTTAATTCATTTAAATATACTTAATTATATAATTTATCTTTAAAAGCAAAGAATTCATTTACATTTCTTCTTAGTAAATAAATTATCAATCAATCATCATGCTAATTAGATTTTAATTAAATTAATAGCTAAAAATAATTATTAATGAAAATCTTTATAATCAATCATAAAGAATATGTTTATACTTTAGATAAAATTAAAAATTAAACCAGTTATAATTATTTAATTAGAAATATACTTATTATATAGAACAGTAGAAGAAGAAAAAATCATAAAAGTTCTATAAATTTTATTGCTTATGTAAGAAAAATAGAAATACAATTTTAAATAAACCAAAATTTTATTTATGATTAAGCAGTAAATTTTAATTCATTTTCTATACATTTTTATGATCTATTCTAAATAAAAAGCAAAGAATTAAATTCATTTTTGCTTAATATATAAATAAATTATCTACTATCTTGCTTAATTTAAAATAAGCTTGGAAGATTTGAATTAAATTACTGATCTCTTATTGCTTACTATAGTATTTTAGGAAAATAATTAAAGATTAGAATTAATCAATCATAAATAAATAAAAAAATCAATCAAATTTAGATAATTTTTAAGCTATTAATGTTTTCTACAAGATTATATTGTATCTATGAAAATTACATTTGAGCACCTTGTATTAACAAAAATAAAAGAATAATAAATGAAATTTGTATATGAGCACGAATGAAGTTTTTCATTTGTTTACAATATTTCTTCAAACTAATTATTATTTTCATATTTATTAAAATTATTTTTGCAATTATCCAATAAGATACTTTTTTAAAAATCCATAATTTATATTGCAAGGATAAAAAATATTTGTTTGCAAGATTATTTAATAATAAATTATTTTTTTGAATTTTAAATACTGATTCAAGCAAGGATACAGAAATTTATTTAATTAACATTTATAATTAATTTACAAAATTATTTTAAGTTTAATTTTAAATAATTTAGAACTGATTTTATTATTCCCTTTCAAACTATGTTACTAATTATTTGGCTTTACTTGCTTGAAAAACATAGATTGCTAAAGTTTTCTATACATATTTCTTTTTATAACTACATTAACTCACTAATAATTTAATTTTTTTAAGCTGATATTTTTGATTGATCAGATTCCATTTATTTATCTTAGCTTTATTGTGTTTCTATTAATTTATTATTTTGATTGAAAATTTATTTCATTTTATCATTTTCTTCCAATAAAGAGATATATTTAGTATTTAATTTAATAAACAGTAGAACTAAAAGGCATATTTAAGTCTATCCAATAAAAAATATAGGATAATATAAATATATAGAAAGGTGCTTCATTGAATACTCTCTATAGAAATTATAATTAATAAAATTAAAAATCGCATTAATTTTAGTTTAGTAATTACTTTGGGAACTAAAGGGTGCTATTTAATGGGTCAAATACTATGTTTTGATTTTGGATTTATTAAATGCCAAATAATAGATTTGTTTTTGAAACATTTATTTTGCATTCTTGATCACCATTTTTATAATAAAAATAACTAATAGGTATAACAAGTTTATATTCCTTTGTATAAATAACTATGTCTACAAACGATATTTCTTTTAAACATAATTCTAACATTAGTTAATTATATCTTCCACTCTTTAAAAAGTATTTGCTATATTCCTAGTTAAGAAATTCAACTACTTCTTTATTTAGATAAAAATGTATGGTCTTTTATAAAATTCATTAATAAATAATTAATTTACTTCTTGGTAGAGCAGAGATAACATAAAATTAAATGATAACTGTCTGAAAGTGTGCTAACGGCAGAACATTTACGTTTTCAATATACATTCCTACCATTTAAAAATCCTTTATGCAAATTATAATTGATTAATTAATTAACACTTCTTAATTATTGATCTCACAGAATATATTTGAAAAATTCTATTCATAAAATGAATGTAAAATTTAGAATATTCAAAATATATTTCTGATATTTTTATTCTAATTAAAGATATTCTTTGATCACTGTTATAAATATAATTATTATAATTTTTACCCAAAGTTATTTGGAATATGTTGGTAAAGCAGGTAGTTGCTCTAAGCTTTAATCAGTATAATTAAATCTTAAATCAGTTACTCCTGATTTATCATAGCTGAATGAAAATTTTGGAGTCTTTATTATAAAACAAATCAATTAATTTAAAATATTTTAAATAAAATTTACAATTAACTTTTTCTATAAATATCCTTAAGTGAAAATGTTATTTTAATTGTTACTAGATAAGTCTATGATACCGTCATTCAGCTTATTAAATGTTTAAATAATTATTACAAATTTTGCGCTAAATTTAATTTAAAATACTTTTTCTTATAAATTAAAATGACTGACAGAAACAAAATTCATTTCCATTGATATATCACTTGGAGAGAATTTAACTTGGTCAGCCACAGTATTTCCATTAAAGATTTAATTTTCTATTCTATTCTTTAAATATTAAAGAAATTAGTAATGCGATTTGTAATTAAAAAATACAACATTTGGACCTTCGTTCATTATTGACCTAAGAGTCGATGATTTTTTTTCTTCATAGAATAAATTAGCAATCGCTAAATTGCTCATTGCATAAGGACACATGTCTTAAACAGAACATTCAGAATTGAAAATCATATTGATATTCTAAGCCAATTTCTGATTAACCTTATATTATATACCAATAAAATATATTGCTATTTCTTCAATATTTATACTGGGCTAGAAAGAAACAAAGTGACTGTCAAAGCTTGTGAAGGATTACCAAGGTGTATAGGTATGTTAAACCCTAAGATTTACAGTTCACTGAAATTATCAAATACAGAGATGTCAGCATTTTTGATTGCAATAATATTCTAACTCTTAATCTATTCTATTGCTATATTTTAATAAGTAAGTAAATTCTTATAAAATTTTAAATTTCATTTTAGTACTATTCGTCTTTATGCTATACAAAAATATAAAAAATAAAAGAGCCTTGTTCATAATTTGTAAATTATGATTTTGTTTGTTCTAAATAAAAAATGTATTTCTAAATAATTTGGATGAATTTTATAAGAATTTAAATCAGAAAAACAAATAGAAAATTAATTCATTGTATCAGTCTGAAAAAGATTTTCAGAACTAAATTTATAGACTTTTTGTAAAATATTCATTCAGTTTTTCTCTTTAATTAAGAGTAAAGATAACTAATTCTTTCTTAAATAAGTATTTTTCGCTTTAAAAGTACTTTTTAGCAAAGCAATTTATGTAAAATAAGATCTTACTTTGTATTAAACCTGTAATAGAATTAAAATTCAAACTAAAAAAATAAAAAATATTAAAGAGTTTTACCATTTGAAGAACAACTTTTCAGCTAATTACATCAAATAATTAAGTTTAAATTAAATTATTAAAAGAGTAAATTTCATTTAGTGATCTCTCTTGACAATTAAAAAATTTATTTGATTTTGATGTTTTTTAATTCAATCTAAAAGATTCGAGCCACACAATATTTTTTCCTCTTATAGCAAAAGTGTATGTAATAAATAATATTTCATTATCTTAGTTAGAGATGGCATCGTAGTCAAAGTAAAAAAAATAAATTCTATTCATTTTATTTAAATCAAATTATATTGAATTCATCAAAAACTAAATAAAAATTAAAACATAACCATTAATAAATAAATACAAACTAAAAATTATATTTGATTTATTTTCCGCATCTTCAAATTATGACATTTATTTGTTGTAAGAACTAATAATTTCAAAATTTACGCATAATAAGATTTCATAGGTATAACCCAAAAAAATTTAAATCAATAAATAAAGGTGACAAATAATTTAGATACTTTATTGAATATTTTTAATAAATTAATATTTTGTAAGATTTAAAAGATATTAACTCTATGTTTTATGAGTTAAAAGTATTTCCTATTTACATAAAGAAAAAAAGGTATTTGGATAACATAATCTTTAAAATTATATTACCATGCTTTAATTTAATATCAAATTTTGTAGTGATAAGTTGTGTGATTTTTACATATATTATGTATTTGATCTTTGATCTTTAATCTTTAAAATCTTGGGGAATAAATATTCATTCAAAATAAAAGTTAAGCAGCCTTTGGTTTAGAGAACTTCGATTGGCTGGATATGCACGCTTGTAAATAATACAAATTTCTTTAAAAATTTAATAATTACCACATGATATTTAGAAGATAGATATCCAATGACAGACAAGAAAAGAGAAATTTATTCTTCTTACTATTTGTAGAATTTTTTGAAATTTAAATTTTAAACAAATTTTTATTGTATTATTTATAAGAGAAACAAACATTTATCAGTGCGATTGAGTTATAAAAACAAGCAAGCAAAAAACAATATTCAAAGCAATTTTTATTATTTTAAAGTAATTAAAGTAAATATTATTTAAAAATGATTGAAAAAAAAATAATTTATTTTTTAAAAGATTTTGAAAGAAAAGATATTTAATATTAAATGCAACTATTATCATTTTACTATTATGATTATCTATCTATTTTTTATAAAAATAACTAATACTATTCCCATTAATTTTTTATCTCTCCCTCAAGCAGCAGAGAAGAATTTTTTTAAGTTTTTCTAATTATTAAAATCTCAGAGTTTGGGTTGGAGTTAATGTTGAAGACGTTTAGAAATCTGACTTTAGTTTATCCTTTTTTTGTAAATTAAAGCTAGCTGAAAATAATAAAATTAATTTTACTTCTTAAATTAAAAACCTATAGATTAAGCAAATATTACATATACAGTTCAACCTGTATAGATTGTATGCTAATACATTAGGCAAACTCTATATATTGGGCAATATAATGGTCCCTTGAAATTAGTGGGCACTTTTATTAATAAAATTATCTCAAAATTTCTTTTTGATGAATTTAGGGTGTTAATTAATGAAAACTTACAGTAGTTGAAATCAAATCATTAAATTTTTTTGGATATCTTTTCTTTGATATGGTAATAATAAATTTCAAAAAAATATTAAAAGTCTTTTAAGATAAAATAATAAATAAAAAATGAATAACTATAGAGTATAAATACCATATCATTTTTCTTATTATATTTTGATTCTAACTAGCTATTAAAAATACCTCTTCTTATAATTAAATTATTTAGTTTCAAATTTAATATCAAAAGAATTCCTTTCATTTTTAAATTGTAATCATAAAATAAAAAAATATTATCTATTTGAAGAGAGTAATGTGTGGATGCAACATCTAATTAGCTCTTTTTTAAAAAATATTAATTAAGATTAGACAATTAATTAAAATTAAGATTATCTGGGATAGGAAGGGCAAAGTAAAATTAAGCTTGCATATTAAAAGTCTACAAATGAACATACGCTGTCATATCTGTATCTCCTAAAACTAATCCAGTCATTTGCACTCCAAAAGCAATTAAAAATAAATTTTTAAAGAAAAATATTTTAGAGGAATATTTTTATACATATGTCAGTTGAATAAGTTTTTATTATCAGATATAAAGGATAGCTTATTATATTATAACCAACTAATATGACCATGATAAATATCAACACCAAATTATAAAAATGAAACTCTAATAAATAAAAATTAATTTTAATATTTTGAATAATTAGTAATAATTTACTATTAGTATATTCTACAGATAGTCTTATATAAATATATCATTTTTATTTCCATTTACTAATTTTATAAATCCATTTCCAAGATATATAAAAATAAACAAACAAACAAAAACAAATTTAAATAAAAAAATATTTATTTTAAAGAATGTTTATTACATATTATGTTGTAGTAAAATTGTAGACAGAGATAAATTCCATTTAAATTGGTGAATCATCTTGATTGAGAAAGAAAGATAAACATTTTCAGTAACTAAATTGCCTTAAATATAAGAGTATTCATTTAAGTCATTTAAAATCAAATAAGTAAATGATAGATGTATGATATTTTAATTGAGTATTATTTACTTTAGTGTAGTCTTTTTATAGAATTTATAAATATAGTGATAATTTTTCATAAAAAATTTTTAGTATTTGAGGTTATGAATTCTCAAATTCACTTTAGGTATATTTGTATTTATTTAAATGTTAAAATATTATATTGAAAACAAAATTCTTTTGTATAAAAAAAGATAAATAAAAATAATTTCTACATTTTATTTTAAAATGTTTGTTTTAAAAATATTTAGAAAAAATATATTTTTTATCAAATAAATTCTGTAATATTGATAAAGATAAAATATAAAGCATGAAATGATACGAAGTAATAAATGTTTAAAAATTTATAATGATAACGAATACAGTTTACTCTTTTTAAAATTGAGATATAGTTATTCCAAATTAAATAAAAATGAGGCTAATAAATTAATTAAAATAGAAGAATGAATACATTAATAACCTAAGTAAAAAACAAACAAATTAAATTTTTAATGAAATAACAGCTTATCTAATAAATCTATTAGAATGAACAAATCAAAAAATATGTCAATAATTTATTCATCATATTTTAAGGTATATAATAAATCATAAAAATATTATAAAATTATTTAATAAATAAATTACTTTTTTAGAATTTTTAATTTGGATACAAAATACATGCATACAGATATACATACATACATGGTTATTATTTTTCATTTATAATTAATTTTTTAAATTATTTTAAATTTAATTTTATTTAAATTATTGTTTTAACTAAATAGAATTTATTTTATTGTTTCCTTTCAAACTACGTAATTACAGATGTGGCTTTACTTGCTTGAATTACATAGATTGCTATGGTTATCAATACATGTCTCCTTTGATAACTATATTAACTCGCTAATGATATAATTTTTTTAAGCTAAAATTTTTGATTGATCAGTTACTATTTATTTTTCTTTGCTTTATTGTGTATTTTTTAATTTATTATTTTGGTAGAAAATTAACTTCCATTTATCATTTTCTTCCAGTAAAGATATATATGTATTATTTAATTTAATAAACAGTAGAACTAATAAGCCTGCTTTAATCGATCCCATCAAAAATATAGGATAATATAAATATATAGAAAGGTGCTTCATTTATTAGTCTCTATAGAAATTATAATTAATAAAGTTAAAAATCGCATTAATTTTAGTTTATTAATTACTTTGGGAACTAAAGGGTGCTATTTAGTGGGTCAAATACTATATTTTAATCTTGGATTTATTAAATGCCAAATAATACATTTGTTTTTGAAACATTTATTTTGCATTGTAAATCATTGTTTAAATAAAAAAAATACCTAATAGGTATTACAAATTTATATTCCTTAGTATAAATAACTATGTCTAAAAATGATATTTCTTTAAAACAAACTTCTTAGTTAAGTTAATTATACCTTCCACCTTTTAAAAAATATTAACTATATTCCTAGTTAAGATATTCAACTATTTCTTTATTTAGTTAAAAATATATGGTCTTTTACAAAAATCATTTAGTTATTAATTTACTTCTTGGAAGCGCAGAGATAATGTAAAATTGAATGACAACTGTCTAAAAGTGAGCTAATGGTAGAACATTTATATTTTCAATAAACATTCCTACCATTTAAAAATCCTATTTTTAAATGATAATAAATTAATTAATTAATTAACACTTCTTAATAATTGATTTCGCGGGATATTCAAAATATTCTATTCATAAAATAAATGTAAATTCAGAATACACAGAAAATTCGAATGTATTCTGATATTTTTATTATTCTAATTAAAGATATTCTGTTATCAATGTTATAAATATAATAATTATAACATTTACCCAAAATTATTTGGAATATGTGGGTAAAGCAGGTAGTTACTCTAAAATTTAATCATTATAATTAAATCTTAAGTCAGTTCTTCCTATTTTATCATAGCTGAATGAAAATTTTGGAGACTTTATTATAAAATAAATAATTTTATTATTAAATAAAGGAATTAATTAGTTAAAATATTTTAGATAAAATTTACTATTAGCTTTTTCTATAAATATCCTTAAGTGAAAATGTTATTTTAATTGCCACTAGATAAGTCTATGATTCCGTCATTCAGCTTATTAAATGTTTTAATAATTATTATATAATTTCGCACTAAAATTAATTTGAAATACTTTTTCTTGTAAATTAAAATGACTGATAGAAACGAAATTCATTTCCATGGATATTTCGTTTGGAGCAAATTTTATTTGGTCAACCATATTATTTCCATGAAAGATTTAATTTTCTATGGTTTTCTTTAAAAATTAAAGAAATTAGTATTGTGATTTGTAATTAAAAAATACAACCTTTGGACCTTTGTTAATTATTGACTTAAGAGATGATGATTTTTTTTCTTCGTAGAATAAATTAGCAATCCCTAAATTACTTATTGCATAAGGACACATGTTTTAAACAGAGCATTCAGAATTGAAAATCATATTGAGATTCTAAGCAAATGTTATATTAACCTAATTTAATAAACTAATAAAATATATTGCTATTTTTTGAATATTTTTACTGGGCTAGAAAGAAACATAGTGACAGTCAAGGTTTGTGAGGGAGTACCTAGAAATATAGGTATGTTAAACCCTATGACATAAAGGTCTCTGAAATCTTCAAATGTAGAGATGTCAGCATTTTTGATTCCAATAATATTCTAACTCATAAGCTAGTCTAGTGCTATATTTTAAAAATTAAATAAATTCTTGAAAAAAAGTGAAATTTCATTTTAGTACTATAAACCTGACTTATGCTATACACAAATATAAAAAAATAAAGAGCTCTGTTCATATATTGTAAATGATGATTTTGTTTGTTCTAAATAAAAATGTATTTCTAACTAATTTGAATGAATTTTATAAGAATTTAAATCAGAAAACAAATAGAAAATTAATTCATTATATTATTCTTAAAAAGGTTTTCTAAACTCAATTTATAGACTTTATAAAAAATATTCATATTTTCGTTTAATTATGAGAACAGATAATTAATCCCTTCTTAGATACATCTTCTTTACTTCAAAAATACTTTTTAACTAAACATTTTATTAAAATAAGATCTTACTGAGTTGTAAATCTGTAATAGAATTAAAATATAAAATTAAAAAAATATATCATAGACTTTTAAGATTAAGAAGACTGAGTTAGCATTTGTTTACAATAAATAATTAAGCTAAAATTCAATCATCAAATAAGTAAATTTTATTTAAGTGATCTCTCTACCAAAGTAAAGAATTGATTTGATTTTGATATTTAGAATTCAACCAAAAAAGATTGGAGTTCAAAATATTTATTCTCTTATAGCAATATTAAGTGTATGTAATAATTTTTCATAATTATAGTTAGAAAATGGAATAGTAATCAAAGAAATAAAATAAATTCTATTCATTTTATTTAAAAAGAATCATGTTGCAATCATAAAAAACTTACACAAAATTATTACATAATCTATAATATATATTCAAACTAAAAAATTTTATGATTTATTTATTCATCTACAAATTATGGTATTTCTCTTCTATTATAATTAATAATTTCAAAATATAAAGATACTAAGATTTCATAGGGTTATCCAACAATACTTTATAACAATAATAAGAAGTGATAAATAATTTAGATATTTTATTTAGCATTTTTAATCAATTAATATTTTATAAAATTTAAAAGTTCTTAATTCTATGTTTTAGGAAGTAAAAATTTTTATTATCAACAGAAAAAGAAGAAAGGTTATTTGGATTACATAATCTTTAAAGTTACATTATGGTGCTATAACTTAAATTTTATAATAATCATTTGTATACTTTTTACATACATTTCATGCATTTTTGATCCTTGAAATATTGGGGAATTTATTTATTCTAAATAAAAAATTTGAGCATGATTTTGATAGAGAAATTAAATTTGTTGGATAAATGTGCTTGAATTGAATACAAGTCAATCATTGACTTTTCATCTTATTATTTGTAGACTTTTTTGAAATTTAAAATTTAAACTAATTTTTTATTAATAAGAGTAATATTTATTTATAAGCTTGATTCAATTTTAAAAACAAGCAAACAAAAATATATTATTCAAAGCTACTTTTATTATTTATTTAAAATATACCTAGAAATAAAAGTCAATAAATATTTAAAAATCATTAATTTTTAACTAAAATTATATGATAGAAAAAATAAAATAAACCATAAATTAATATGAAATGCAAGTGTTATCATTTTGCGATTAATTTCTTTTCATTTAGCTCTATTTATGTTTAATTTGTTAAAAAAAAACCTATTAAAAATCTTTAAAATCATTTTTTTTAATAAGAAAAATTAATAAAACACAATTTATTTATTTAACAAAAGTTTGATTAAATCAGCTTAAAAATTAAAAATATATTTTATCTTGTGATACAAAACAAAATTCACTAATTAATTAACTAGATATTAGATATTTAGAAGATAGATATTCATAGACTTTTCATCTTGATATTTGAAGACTTTTTTGAAATTTAGATTTAACCCAATTTTTTGTTATGTTATTAATAAGAGTAATATTTATAAACTTGATTCAATTTTCAAAACAAGCAAACAAAAAATATTATTCAAAGCTACTTTTATTATTTATTTATTTAAAATTCACCTAGCAATAAAAGTTAATAAATATTTAAAAATTATTAAATCAAAAATCATTAATTTTTAAATAAGATTACTTGATAGAAAAAATAAAATAAACCATAAATTAATATCAAATGCAGGTATTATAATTTTGCGATTAATTTCTTTTCATTTAGCTCTGTTTTTGTCAAATTTGTTAAAAAAAACTTTATTAAAAATCTTTAAAATCATTTTTTAATAAGATAAATTAATAAAACTCAATTTATTTAACAAAGGTTTAATTAACTTAAAAAATTTTTAAATATATTTTATCCATACAGTCTATAGTGATACAATATAAAATTCATTAATTAATTAACTTGTGTAAATCTATTTTTGAATATTTAAAAATGAACAAATTGATTTTTAATACCTATTTAATTATAAATAATACATCTTTTTTGTCTATAAAGAATTTAATAATATTCTTACGATAGATAAACTAATGTATATTTATTTCAAGGAGAATATTTTTTATTTGTAGATAAAAAGAAACCATTTACTGATTAACAAAGTTGAATTGAAAAAGTTAAATCTTCAATAGCTATTCCGACTAACTTCTTTCATATATCTTTGAAGGATACTACAATTTTCTCTGATACTCCCCCAAAAAAAATAAATAATACCTTCAAAATATTTAGTTTATTTTAGTTTGAAATAAAAATTATTATATTTGTCATAAATTAATAAATACAATAATTTATTTTAATAAACCACTAATTAATTTAATAACCATATTAAATCATAGAAATTAATTCATTTTAATGAAAAATTTTAATAGTTAATTAAATAAATTACTAATTAATTTTTTTTATTAAGTTACAAATCTTATCAAAACATATAAATTAATACATTTTAATGAAAATGTTCTATATTTAATTCATTAAATTACCAATTAATATTATATTATGAACTTAATTACCCTTAAAATTATGAGCTTGATTCATAAATAGCTAATTTGAAAAACGGTAATTATTAATTTACATATGTATCAAAATTTTTAATTGGTTTCTTTTCTAGAATATTTTATAAATTAAGAAAATTTAGTAGATTTTCGAGAATTAATAGCTATATTCTCAAAAATAAATAGATAAATTTTTTTATAATTAGAAATTAATTGTTGATTCAAAGTCATTTTCTTTCTAGAAAATTATATATGAATTCTCCTCATTTTTAAAGATATTTTTATTGATTTATTAGATCATTTTAAACAAATTGAAGTATGAAGAAAAAAAATTATTTTTTAGTGAGATTCTTTCTTTAAGACACAAAATAAAACTTATCAATTTAAAAAGAAGAATTTGAAATAATTTTAAAAACAGTTCTTATATACTTAAAAAATGAAATGCATAAACAGTTAACAAGCTCAAACTTTTTAAATTATTTCGAATCAATTTTCTAATGGAATTCATAATAGTATGTATTATTTTTGATTAATAATATTTTTGATACTTATTAATATTATTAAAAATAATTAATTTAGGAGGTTTGCCTATCATCACAAATTTATATGTAAATTATCAATTATGTTAATATAACCAGATATCATAGGCTCTCAGCTTAATAATATTATATTACTATCTAACTAACTGTTAATTTATAGAAAGTTAAGTATGAAAGTTAAAGTAGATTATTGATAAATATCAAAAACACATATAAGATAAAAAATATATTTTTTATCAATAATTAGTGATAAAAATATAAAAATTGATTATTTTTGCATTTCTGATAGACTCTATCTTGGTTACGCATCGTATTTTTAATCACTTCTTTTTTTTTTTTGAAAATAATAAGGACTTTTTTCAACTTTTCATGTTAATTAAAACAAATAAATTTTTTTGTATCTTGTATTGTTAAGAAAACAAATATTTCTTGATTGTACACAAAAATCCAAATTTAATTAATAAGTTGTCTATGCTATTATATAATATACGGCTAATTAATGCTAAATACCTAACTTGCAAAGTGATTTTTAATTAAAATTTAACGTTATAGTGATATTCAAAGTACTTAACAAGGAAATCTGCTAAGAAAATAAGATATTACTAGAGGGATATTTGAACTTCAATTTTGTTACTAAAAATGGAGCTTAAAGTTAAAGATATTTAAAATTATGATTTGGATTGGCTGTGTGTGTAAATAACAAATTTAATCTAAGGTAGTTTTTATCAGAATTTAGTTATTCGTGATAACTCCTGGATTGATGTCACTTGCATTTTCTTTTCTTTTGAAAAATTGTGATGAAGATTAATTTTTTTGACGGAATATTAAAAAAGATGAGTTAAAAAGCCCGTCATTATTTTGCTTGAAGTATTCTATTTGGGAAATTAGAAAGAAGGAATTTTAGTTTTAGAACGCAGTTAGAGAAAAGAAAAATAATCAAATCTATCAAATAATAGTATCAATTTTTATCAGATTAAGTGATAAGTATAATATCGATAAATATTACGTTATCAAATTATATGTGAGAATCGATTGTGTTGTGTAAATTTGCTAGTGACAGACTAACAAAATACTATTAACTCCTTTCTCGAATAAATTTACAAAAATTCACCTTTTAATTTTCATGACTGATAATAATATTATAATTATTATGTCAATATTTTGAGTGTAACATTCAAGCAAAACCCTCATTTATTTTTAATACAAATCTTTTAATTTAAAAACTGAAGATTGATAATTTTCTTACATAATTGTAATATTATAAAAAATATCTAATATATATTAAATAAAGTAAAGCAGATTCGCTAAAAAAACTAAATAAGCAAGCAAGCAAACAAAAGAGCACTCAAATATAAGCAAAATAGATTTAATGAACATATAAGACTCCTATACAAAGGGTGATACATCTTCTCAACTTTTGAACGTCAGTATTGGCTAAAGGTTAGAATAAATTGCTCAAAAACTCCCTAACTAGCTTGCTTTTATCTCCCATTATCAAGAAGTCTAATTCACATATATAGAGTTCTTTAATATTTGTCAGAAGCTAGGAGCTGCTTTGCTGAAAATTGGCTTATAAAAGGGAGACAGAGTAGGTATTTATTCTCCTAACAATTACCAATGGTGCATAACTCAGTTTGCTGCTTCAATGGCAGATCTCATTTTAGTTAATATCAACCCTGCCTATTAATAGCATGAGCTTGAGTACTGTTTGAATAAAGGTATAAAATTGTTATTAAAAAATAAATAAATATTTTGTTTAACTATCAGAAAAATCTTTATCAAAAAATTAGAAATAAATTTGTCTTCTGACTTTAATGTTACACTCAGAATTTATTTTTTATTCATTGATCAAAATTTCATTACAGTCAATTCAAAAAAAGAAAATAGCAAACTTTATTTCCAAAAATATTTTTCTACAAAACTCTCATTTCATATTTTGAAATTTGCTATTTATTTTCTTGATAAAAAAGTTACTATGCTTTTACTTTTATTGAAAAAATAAAAAATTTTTGCTTACCTTTTCTTGTTTTTTTCTGCTTATTAGTTTTACTAAGTAGTTCTTCTCTTTATTAACTTTTTATACTATTCATTAAAGTTGGATGTAAGGGACTGATTATGGCTTCTCACCATCGCAAAAGCAATTATATTAAATTCATCAACGAATTAGCTCCTGAACTCTAAGATTGCCAATTTGGTGAGCTAAATTCACGCAGACTTCCTTCTTTGAAATATGTAGTTAGAATTGATGACGAATAAACTCCAGGCATGATTAACTTCTAAACATTGATAGAGAAAGTCAATCAAGACGATATAAATCATTTACAAAAAGTAATGGAACAAATTAACCCTAACGATCCTACTAATATTTAGTTCACATCAGGTACCACAGGATATCCTAAAGGAGCTACTTTAACTCATAATAATATTCTTAATAATGGCTACTTCATTGGAGAGAGACTATCTTATTCTCCTTAAGACAGAATCTGTCTTTCAGTCCCTCTTTATCACTGCTTCGGTATGGTTTTGGGTAATCTTGCAGCACTCAACTTTGGAGCTACTATTGTTCTTCCTTCTGAAGGATTTAACGCATAAAAAGCTCTTGAAGCAGTGACAAAACACAAGTGCACTTCTCTCTATGGAGTTCCCACTATGTTTATTGAATACTTTAAAGAATATGACAATAATCCAGGATTATATAAGGTCGACTCTCTCAGAAAGGGTATTATGGCTGGCGCTTTATGTCCATAAGTAATTTAAAATATATTTATTACAAGAATTAAAAATAGAATTAGACAAACAAACAAGCTAATTTAATATAATATTATTAAAATTATAAATTATTCGTTAAAGTAGCATTTAATTTTTTTAGTCTAATATTCAATATCCATCTATCTAGCAATAAATTTATTTAAAAAATCTATTTGATATTGCAAAGCGTAAGTAATACTAAATTTACTTTTTAAATGAAAAGCCTTTAATGAATAAATTGATTACAGAATGGAATATCTAAAATATTCAAATATGCTATGGTCAAACTGAATGCTCACCAGTTGTATTTTAAACATTAGAAAATGATTCAGTTGAAGATAAATGTTCAACTGTAGGAACAATCTTCCCTCACTGCGAAATGAAGCTCATTGATAATGAAGGTAAAATAGTTCCTGTTGGCGAAAAAGGAGAAATTTGCATAAGAGGATTTGGTGTTATGCAAAAGTATTGGGGCGATATCAAGGCCACAAGCGAAACTATTAACGAAGAAGGATGGCTTAAGACTGGTGACCTAGGACAAGTGGATGTTAGAGGCTACTTAAAGATTGTTGGTAGAATAAAAGAATTAATAATTAGAGGAGGAGAAAATATTTATCCAAAGTAAATAAAAATTTATATCAAAAAAAAAAGATTAATTGTATGAATTAAAAAAAGGGAAATAGAAGAGTATTTAAGAAGACATGAAAAAGTTTTAGATGTCCAAGTTGTTGCCATTCCTGATGTAAAGTATGGCGAAGAAACATTTTGCTTGATTAAGCTTAAAGAGGGAGTCACCTTAGAATCTAAAGACATATATCATTTCTGCCATGGATAAATATCTCACTATAAGATCCCTAAGTATGTAAAATTCGTAGACTCATTCCCTCAAACAGTAACTGGAAAATACTAAAAATTCAAAATGGTAGAAGAATTGGTAGAAGAATAAAAATAAAATCCTGCAATCTTCGAACAATATAAAATTAGACACTATTGATAATTTATAGACAAAAACTAACTAATTGTCTTCAAAATCAAATAAATGACTTACTAATACTTTATAAATAATTAATTAACTAAGTAATTTATAATCATACAAACAAATAAATAATAAAGATATATATATATATATTAATGCATTTTATCTTGGAATTTACATTAAAATCGTATTATATTTGCAATGAAAAATCAATTACAAAAAGAAATCTTTGATTAATACTCCCCTATTATTATTGTTGAACAATCTCTTTCTTGAATAAAAAAAAACACATAAATTTACTTTTAATTTCAACATATTTTTGATTTATTTAGTAGTATTAATAGAAAATAATACATATTATTAGATAATAATAAATATTTTAATAATTATTAAATTTTGCATTCACATATTAAATCTTAATATTTTATTTCACTCTTTGAATTTATTTATTTGTTTTTATATATTCTCTCAGATTGATATATACAAATAAACTAATCTTAGTAATTTCCTCTATATCTTATCAATTTGTTCTATATTTTCAACATCGTTGTCCCTATATTTAGAGATTTAGTAAAGGAAATTTATGTTTACCATATGTGTAAAAAATATAATTATAGTTAAGTTACTCGAGGTCTAAATCTAAAGATATCATTTGCTTGCATTTAATCAAGCTATTAACCAAGCTTATAAAACCTTCACCACTGAGTCTGTTTTCGCTTTAAAATATTTGAAATTAGGCTTGTTATAATTTTTAAATAAATTCTATTTACAAAAGAGATAGCTTCAAATGTAGTAAATTAGTCATTTTTACCAGATTTTACCCAAAAATTTGAATGCTTTCATCTCCTATTTTATTTTTCCTAATTTATTCAAATCATTTTTTAAATATTTTTATTGGTTGTTTATTTATCTTACATGAGTGATAAAGTTAAGTGTTCCATTTTCGAACAATTTCCTAGCTGATTAACTAATTCACTAAATGATTCATTATTCAACCTTGTTTTTCTAGTTTAGATATTTGTTAAAATTTTTACACTTATAGTAAAAAAATGTAACAAATTACCTTAAATCTAACCAAAGCTACTTAAGATCTTAGCTATTTTGTATAGCATAACCAAATTACTGTGCACTTTCAAGATTTATAATACATCCTCTTTTATTTAGAATTTTTTTAAAAAAAATAAATTAAAATCTTAATTTACTCTAGCATGAACTCATAATTTTCAATTTTTTAGCACTTACTCACATTTTAAGAGAACCCAACTACTCCAGAATGCGTTATCTAATTATTCCTAATAAAAATATAAATAAATAAAATTAAATGTCAGTTGTTTCTTAAAATTATTACTGTAATAGAAGCTTAAGAGTATTAATTTTCTTTAGTGTAGACAAATATTGAGAAAAACCTACTATTCCCTAATCTTAAATATTGTTATCTCTATATTTATATTTATAATTATTAATAAGTAAATATTAAAATATTAATAATTTTTGAAAATTATTTTTCTTGTATTACCCTAAATAGATTTTAATTTTTTCCAAGCTGGGATGATCTTTGAGAGATTCTCCAAACGCTTGTGCACCTGTTGAACCAATTTTATTTATTCTAATAAAAATACAATTTGACTTTGGTTTATTGATAAAAATATGTAAAGCATACCCTATGTAAAACTTAAGATTATATATTTTATCACAATTCTTGATTATTTAGGCAGCATCACAAGCTCCTTTTGAACTAATTTAATTCGTACTAATTATTAATGTATTTTTAAATTTTATTAACTGCAACTGAGACATCAATGAATTATTACCCCAAGTAGATTTTGAGCTACTTTAAATAATTGCATTTACTTAAATTTTTTCCTATTGCTGAAGCTCCATCATCCCCAATATTATTCTCACTAATTTAGTTTTAAAATTTATTAAAGCACTGCATAAGTAATAAATTACTATATCGAAAGCTCCAGTTTTTCCAAGTTTTAACATTTAGATATTGCTGCTGTAATACTATTAGAACCAATGAAGCCAATTTAATTCTTCCTTTATTAGTTTGTTTAAAAATAGTTGTTTTTGATTTTATTAACTCAAAGAAAGGTTAAAATTATGAAATAAAAAATGTCGTAGAAAATTGTTTTATGTTAACTTACTATTTAATTATTGTAATTTGATCTATTTTTCTAATTAATTAAAATCAAGTTGCATTGTAAAAATTAATTTGATAAGTTCTAAATCAGAAATTAAACATTTCATTAATGTTCATGAACTTTTTTAGAATAATTTATTATTTCGCAAATCAAAATTAGATTTTTTAGAAAATTTTTTTTAAAATTTAAAAATTATTTTTTATATTTTTTAAAATAAAAAGTAAAAATGAAAAAAATGATTTATATACCCTAAATAGAGTTTCAAATGATTCATATTAGTGTTATTTTCAATAGCTTGACTTAAACTGAGAACTCCTTGATCTGAAATTTAATTTTCACTATTAAATATTTAAAATCATATATTAGTATTTATTTATTTATTATTCTTTTTAGTTACTAAAGAGATAATTCAAGCTTTTGTAAAGAAGTGCAGAATTTCAAATTTTGAGAAAGCTTTTCAACTCCGATGCAACCAATTTAATTATGCCTTATTTGCAATTAAATATTTAATTTATTAAAATTAAATTTATTAGTTACTCTAAAATCAACTCAAGTGAAACAAGCTAATTCAAACTCTTTAGGGACTAGCCTATGTATTCTATCCCTTCACTTCCAATACATTAGTTATCTCTAAAAATAATTAAAAATTAATTTTATACAATCTCAAATAATTAGTCCTTTATTATAAACTAACTTACGATAAATATAAAACTAAATTTTTAGCGTTTGTTAGAGACTTGATGCCATCTGATAAAAACTTCGCTCTATCTGGAATGATATTATTGTCACTGTTTTGTTTATTACAAGCTTTAAAACAAAATATTAATGTTTAAGTCAAATTTACTATAAACAGATTTCGAAATCTTGAACTGAAGTACAATATTTGAGATTGTTTCTAATTTTCTTTACATCTGAGCTATCTATAATACTCTTACTATAAATAAAAATGGTATTAAAGAAGAGTTAGTATTGCTCAAAGTTCAAAAAAAAATTAAATGAAATGTACTCACTTTAATTAGATAGCTATTTTATTCATGCCTGGAACTAAAAATCGCAACAAATATAGTTTTTCTAAGCTGTTTATAACTAGTTTATCAGACATTTATATCTTAATAATGGCTATCTGTAAGTTAGTAAATCAATTGTAAATGTTATTTCAAAAGCTCTTAACTTAAAAAAAGTTCAAAGACCTAATTTAATCTTAAATGCTATCGACTGTTTAAAAGAGAATATTTTTAAACTAGAATTGATTGACGTGTTTTTACAGCGATTAATATGCAAACAAATAAATAAAAAGGGAATTTAAGTTGCTAAGTTCTTCTTCCTAAAAAATTGCTTTTATTAATAAATTTTCTAATCAATTTTCAATGAATTAATGAATAAACAAGCAATTTTGATCTAAGAAAAATATAAAAGGTAAATAAATGAAATGTGATTTAATGATAAAATATCTCTTAATTAACTATTAATAGAACTTATTTAAAACCTAATTTATAAAAAAAATTACATTCATAAGTAGATTTTATCCATAAATGCATCAATCAAATTATAGTTTATTTTTTTAATTAAGTGATGGATAACTTTCTAATCTTTTTAACTACTATTAATAACTAAATTTAAAATAAATAGCGGCTACTTAATTTTATTTTACTCTACATTTTTAAACAATTAAACAAGTTTTATTTAGAAAATAGTGATTAATTATTTATAAAATAAATCACAAAATACGTCTACAAAAAATTAAAAAATATTTCTAAAATTTTAAAAGTATTTGGAAATTTTAATTAATTTTTTAAAATTTAGTTTTATAAAATTAATTTTAACTATTGTTTTTCATATTTTCCTTGTTAGTTTATATTATGCTAAGAAACTATTGATTCAAAATATATTTTGATAAATAAATAAAAAAAATATTAAAATATACTTTTACAAAATATATTTTTTTTGTTTTTCTAGATATAAATATCTTAAAAAATTCTAATACATTTAAAAAATAATTAAATTAGCTAAATTTTGTTTTTATTTTGAATTTCTATTAAAGAAATATTCTCAATTCTTATTAAAGATATGATAAATATAATATAAATACTAATTAATTAATAAAATAAAATCTGCTCTTATATTTAATTCAAATGAGGACTTTTTATTTTATTACTATTATTTATCATACATAATTATCTTTCACATTTTATTTATCATTGTTTTATTAATCTTTTGTGATGATAATGGTAATGTTATTTTCTTTTTTTTTTCTTTTTGTTAATCATTTTTTGAGAAAAAATACTTATTAAATAAATTATACAAAACAGGATAAAATAAATATTAGTGTTTTTTTATAAATAATTGTGATAAATGTAGACAACATTTTTATTTATAGTTTTTAGTAATACTTATTTAAATCTCTTTTTAAGATATTTTCTATTCCTGTAAAACAAATATTTGAATATTTTTTTAAAAAAAATAGTAAAATAAAGCTAATAAATCAATTTTATTATTGATTGATAGGTTTTTGGTATCCAAAATTTATACCAGTTTAATGTGGAAAACTAGTATATTCAAAGTAAAATTATTTCTCAAATTTTAGTTTTTATTCATTAAAATGCATTTATGTTTTAAAAATACAAAAATTTTATATTTTTGATGTTATTAGAGTTTTATTGTCTTTTTTGATTAATAATATAAAAATTTGCAATATTAATTCACTCAGATTACAAAAAAAGTGAGTAAAATAAATGTATGTGATAAAAATAGTAGCAATTGCATTTCAAAACTATCTTCATGTAAAAATGACATGTTTCGTGAACTTTTTAATTTGATTTCTGATAATGTCTATTGAAATCAGGATTTTAATTAACAAATTTTAATGAAATTTAGTTGTAATTTAACAAATGCAATTAAAAAAATTTAAGAAATTGATCAAACAAAATTAAAATTTCAAACTAAATTTTAGAATTAATTTGCGATCACAACTTAAAGAACTATATTTACTCATTAAATATAATGAAAAACCATAATTTAAACATTAATATTAATAACTGCTAGAAAAGTGATGTAATAACAAGCTCTCCATTTAAAAACTTAATGCATTGATTATGCAATTTTTTGGTACATAAAATACGCTAGAAATGGACAGCAAGTTAAAATCTAAATAATAAATTTTATAAAATAAATAAATCTTAGCCAACAAGATATCTCATAAATCAATTTATTTATAGTTTTTTTTGCATAATTAACACTCATAAGTAGAAATGCTTAAAAATCTTTTAAGACTGAGCTATTGCTAATCTTATATGACTGCGGCACGTTCACATTCTCATCCTAAAAAAATGTCTTATTTGAACGGAACATCCAATACTCCTCTATAGTATCTTACAATTGGATAAAAGCTTAGAGAAACATCCGAAAAATTTCCTGATAATCAAGCATTAATATCTCATGAGCAAAATAAAATATTTACTTATCAAGAATATTTCAAAGAAATTTAAAAGTTTGCAGCAGGTCTCCTAAACATGGGCTTAAAGAAAGGGGATAGAATTGGTATTTATTCTCCCAACAACTATGAATGGTGTATTACTTAGTTTGCAGCTTCAATGGCTGATTTAATACTTGTTAATATAAACCCTGCATACCAAGAGCATGAGCTAGAATACTGTTTGAATAAGGGTAAGACATTCAATTTTTCATCTTTATTTCAATTTTTAATCTAAGTTTTCATCTTTCAATTTTAATTAAAGAATTTTATTATTCTTAGTTGGATGCAAAGCTCTTGTACTTGCCTCTCATCACAAAAAAAGTAACTACATCTAATTCATTAATGACTTGGCTCCTGAATTAAAAACAAGCAAGTTTGGATCTCTTAAATCCCAAAGGTTACCTTCACTTAAATATTTAATTCGTATAGATGACGAAGTTACTCCTGGTATGATTAATTACAAAGATGTCTTATAAATGGGAGGGTTAAAAGATTTTAAAACACTGGACCGTATTATGAATATTGCTAGTCCAGATGATGCTACAAACATTTAGTTTACATCAGGAACAACAGGTTTACCAAAAGGAGCAACTTTAACTCATTTTAATATATTAAATAACTCCTTCTTCATAGGTAACAGATTAGGATATTCTGAGAAAGATGTAATATGTGTTCCAGTCCCTCTATATCATTGCTTTGGCATGGTTTTGGGTAATTTATGTGCTATAAATTTTGGGTCTACAGTAGTGATGCCTAGTGAAGGTTTTAGTGCAAAGAAGGCTATGGAATCTGTGACTAAATATAAATGTACTTCGATTTATGGTGTACCTACAATGTTTTTAGAATATGTTAAAGAATATGAGTCCAATCCCTCCATTTATAATTATTCAACTTTGAAAAAAGGTGTAATGTCTGGAGCTTTATGCCCATAAGTAATTATTAATATTATATAGTTTTTAATCAATCAGATTTATTTTTAGTAAATATAAACAAAATTTGAAAAGTTTGTTTTAAAAGGAATTTAATTACTGATCAATAAAAGTTGTAGAAAATCAAAAATTAAATTAATAACTAAGAATATTAACTTTAAAATAATTGAGCAAGCAAATAATCATGTTTTAAATAAATAATAGGCATTAATGAGTAAGTTAATATCTGAATGGGATGTCCCAAACATTTAGATATGCTATGGATAAACAGAGGTTTCTCCTATTATATTCCAGACTAATTAAAATGATAGTCTGGAAGATAAGTGCACTACTGTAGGAACAATTTTCCCCCATTCTGAGGTGAAAATAATAAATAAAAAAGGTCATATTGTTCCAATTGGAGAATCTGGAGAAATATGTATTAGAGGATTTGGTGTGATGGAAAAATACTGGGCAGACAGAAAAGCTACGAGCAAAACAATAGATTAAGATTAGTGGATAAAAACAGGAGACATGGGAATAATCGATGAGAGAGGTTACATGAAAATAGTAGGTAGACTTAAAGAAATGATTATTAGAGGAGGTGAAAACATTTATCCAAAGTAATATTTTATTTAATCATTCAAATTCTTTTTGCTTTTGCTTTATATGTACTAAATTAACAATATAAATATAAAGAGAAATAGAAGAATATTTGAGATCTCATAGAAGTATTTAGGATGTGTAGGTTTTAGGAGTACCTGATGAAAAGTTTGGAGAAGAAACATTCGCTTTAATAAAGTTAAAATAGGACTAAGTCTTAGAAGGCAAAGATATTTTTGAATACTGCAAAGGTTAAATAGCTCATTATAAAGTCCCTAAATATGTTAAATTTGTAAATGAATTTCCATTGACTGTAACAGGTAAACCTTAAAAATTTAAAATGCTAGATGAATTGAAGAAAGAATTATAATAAAACCCAAAAGCATTTGATTAGTATAAAATAAGGAGCTATTGATTTATCTAAGTTATTTGAGCCAGTTTAAATGTATTTATTTATTAATATTATCTGTAAAAATTGAGAAATCATTTTATGTTTGTATTTAGTATCATATATTAATAACTCTTTTCAATTACATATTAATTTTACTACAGAGTTTTTCTAAATGATAATAATTTTATTTTACAAATTTTTTACTTTTTGTCTTATATTATAACTGCAATCATGATCTTAGATTTTGTAGATTTTTGAGTAAAAATTGCAACATTTTAAAACCCTTATCAACTAAAACCTTTTTTTTTCTAATTTCGATTATTATTTTAATTTTTTTAGTTTTTTTTCAAATAAATAATTCAAAAATTTTTCATTTGATTGATTTTTACCATAAATATATAAATATGAGTAAAATGAGCAATTATAATGTTTTTTTGTAAAAAAAATATTTATGAACTTATAAATAAAAAATGTTAACTATATATACATAATAAAATTAATGAATATCAACAAAATATCAGTTATTTATCTAATCTCTGAATTGCTTTAGTGTTTTAAGAAGAAATACTCTTTATTCTTTTAATAATATAAATTTTTATCTTAAAAAATATTATTTTTAATATATTTTATTGAAAATATATTCATAGAAATCTTATTCTTAATCAAATGCTTTTACTGTTGTTGTTTCGAAATTCCTTTAGTGTTAAAAGCGTTATTTTAAGTTTTGTCTAAATAATTAATAAATATTATGAAAATTTATTTCTTTATCTTTATGTTATTTCACTTTAAATCAATTTGAATTATTTTTTCATTTTTCTAACTTAAAACGCATAATTTTTGAACAAATTCATAAGTTTTTAATAAATAATCTTTATAAATCAATTTAATTACATTTTACATTAGCTTTTATCAAACAAAAAAGTATAAAAATATTAATATATATACATTAAAGATAGCTAAAAAAGCACAGTTATACTTAAATTGAGTAGTAGAGTATAAAATATATTAATTTCCTAATCTAAATTAAGCCATTTTGATGATATAGGCAAATTGATATTTTGATTTGTGGATTTTATTTAATAAAATAATAATATTCAAGATTAAAGTGACGATAAGAGAAAATTAGATTATATAAGAATTAGTATTTTGGAGTTTATATAAAACTAATAATACCTAGTTTATAATGAAGGCTAAATATCAGGATTGCTCAACTTATATTTTGCTATGAAAATATGCTAGACTTAAATAATAATTTATCTATCATATGCTAATTAAATACAAAATTAGCAATAGTAAATTGCATACAAAATAAAGTAAATATAATATAATGCAAACAATTTACGCATTTTGATAATTGTATTGTCATTGAGTTTAATAGTATGCAAATATATATGACAATTACTAATTTTCTATGACGATCAAGAGTTTTAAATTTGACGATTTTGACGAAATCAAAAATTTATATAAATAGCTTTCTTAAAAATAAATTATTTATATTCAAATTAATAATGTATTGAATTGAATGTAAATAAAGTTAGAGCAAAAACTTGAACTATTATTTAAGGACCCAAATTATTTTATTTTTGTATATTTTAATGGTCTATCATAAAAATTTAAAATAGATTTTTGATACATTTTAAAGTTACTAAATTAATTTATACAATTAAATTAAATTATAATTCTACTAGTACTTGATGACTATTTTTGTCTTTAAAGCATTACTTAATTAACAATAAGAATATTTATATATTATCTGTTTTACTCTTCCTTGATGTCATCTCATGTTAAAAATAAATGGAAATTGATATAACAATTGGCATTATTAAATAGATAAGCTTTGGATATATTGAATTTAATAATTAATTAATTAATTTATAAAAAAAACTAATAATATATTAAAAATAAATAACAACAATTTTTCTAAATCAGACAGAGATGTAATTCCAATACGAAGAAAGACCAGTTTACCGTTTAAAGCTCACTCCTAAAGACATAAAAATGCACTTTTCAAAGGCTAATTTAAATAAGTACTCTAATGGGTAATAAGAAGATGATGTTCCCTAAGATATTATGGATGCCTTTGCTAAGCTAGAATAGATTAAAAACAACTAATTTAAAGACGAGAGTGCTTCTCTCTAAATATGCTGAATTAAAAGGCTTGCAGACTACAATTGACTTGGGCAATATAATTTAGCTATATAAACCAACTAAATATAAATAACTTCTGAATTATCTTGCCCAATCAGGAGGCTCTCAACTGCTTTAAAACTTTTCATACTAAAATTTTATTTTAAAACAGTAGACTCTATTAAATATATTAGCTTATAAGTTGGTTTGAATGGAAAAAGATATAAAAGAATTATTTAAATATATTTATTAGCATTTAGAAACTGATGAAAGATCCTAAGTAAATAGGATATCAGAAATTGTTTCCTCTCTCTAATCAGTTAATCGATCAACCAATAAATATATAAATCATTCAATTAGTATTTCTAAATCTTAAAGGCAATAGAAATTCTTTTACAAAAACTATAAGATAATATATAAAATATATAAATAAATATTTTAATTTTATAATAGTTATAATAATAATGCAAACCTATATTAATGTATAATAATGTATTTATTCTTCTATAATAAATTCTTTTATTCAAATCTATTTTAACAAATACCAATAAAATTTTGAGTATCTCTTTTAGGAAAGCTTTCTATTCTCTTCAAGAGTTTACAATTTTAAGAAAATTAATAGAAAACAATCAAACAAACAAACAAAAAATAGTGATAATCTTATCTGTAAATCCAATTTGATCAGAAAAATTAAGAAATCTTTATTTAAAAATACTTTGTTTAAGCTTAATCAATATTTTAAATAAATTAATATGAAATTATTTTCTAAATGTGTTTAAAAATAAAGAATGTTAAAAAAACAATTAATATTAACAAATTTACTTACTTGATTAACAAACAAACTTTTATTTTTCCTTTCTATCATTTAGTATTAACATATTATAGCATCTATTTCAGTTTTTGAATTTTATTACTTACTATAATTACTCAAAAATAATAAAAAAACTATTAACGTATTTAAATTTATCTATACCAAATCTTCTTTCACTTTTAATATTTTCTGCTTTACTTTTTTTTCTTATCTTATTTAACCATTTATTTTTTTTAATGTTATCCTATAGAAAAGAAAAGAAAAAACTAATTTATTCTATAACAAAAATAACTATCGATACAAAAATTAACTAGTGTTTTGGAAATAAAAAATATTTTAAAAAGAAAATCAATCATTATTTGATTTTTTGATAAAACATTTATAAAAAAAGTAAAGAGAAAAATTTCATCATTATAATTTTAAAATGTATTATAATTTAATTTCAATTTAGCAATGTATTTTTTATACTAAAAAAATTTGAAATAATTTTTATTTAAAATAATACTTATAAAAAAATTTATTGATATATATGTAGGTAAATTTATTATAATAGTGCTGAAGGCAATATATCGGATGATTTATATATCAAATTTTATAATAAATTTTTATAATTTTTTTAAATCAAATATAGGTGGATACAAAAAATTTCATTATGAATCAACACTAATTTAAATATATATATATAATAATTATCATTCATTAGTTTAAGTTATAAATTCAAAATAAAAATATTATGATATTAATAATGCTTATTAAATTAAAGAGTTGTATTGATGCTGAGGATTTAGTTCCTGCTGTTAATAAAAAGGTTATAGAATTATCTGGGTTGTTTTATCCTAAAGGTTGAATTGACGTATTTGCTTTTTAAGACAATGAATTTTCACTTTAGATCATTTATATACCTAGTGCATCCTCAACATTTAAGATAATAAATTTTCCAGTAACATCATTAATTTATATTTTGTTGGGATTAAATTCTATAATACTTGAAGGGGAGTTGTTGATATATCCACTTTAAATCTATATTGTTGACTCAATTAAATAGATATTTTGTTTTTTGTTTGAATTAGAGTATAAAGCAATTGTGAATATTTTTTAATTATTTTCCCCAAACAATAAAGTGTATTTTGTACCTATAAAACCTGAAATATAGTTAGAGAATGCATCTTAGTAATAATATTAAGTCACAGATGATATTTTCAACTATCCAATAGCATCTACATTAAATGTTATATCATATACAAATGAATTTTTAAATGCTATTCTAAATTTGGTATCTTCATATTGATCTACTTATGAAATTTGATCATTTCCTGAAACAATAAAATTGTATTACTACAAAAGAGTAGCAATGTTGTAAGCTGCCAATTGTTTTTTTGATCTTAATAAAGTTTAAATTAAACCATTGGGGTATATCGTCAATTAGGTATCATATATTTATACTATGTTAATGCTAGCTTCATAATAAAACCCATATAACCAATTATATTAAGCTTATTGAGTTTAGCTATCTAAAATAACTTCGCAAATATTTTCTAAAAATGAATTTGAGTATAAAATTAACTAATTATTAGCACTTATTATTCTTTTAAATGACAAAACACTCCATCCTCCTTAAGAAGTTATTGTATAAGTACCTTGGGTAGAAACTGAAGAAGTTATAATTTTGTTGGTTTGCTAATCTACTGAATAGTGTATTTAGTACTGACTGATCTACTTCTCACAGATAACATATAAATTGAATTAATAGTTCAAGTTATCATTAGTTTATAAAGAACCCATGTCATCTAAAACTACACATCCTTGAAATTATCCTTAAATCAAAAAGAAACTTTGAATACTCTCTTTATATATAGTCGCTTAAAATTTGTATAAAATAGTAAACACTTATTTATCTACACCTTCTTGTTAGGTTTATATTCTCTAAATAACTTTAGAATAGGAGTCTTCATTTTACCACCCAAGAATGCAACTATTAAACACTTACCAGTCATAGAATGAGAAAATTTAACCAACTTAGAAGTTAGAGTCTTAGATTTAGGTTCTAATTTGCTACAAAGTACTTGCTTAGTTATTAACAACACCATACTAGGCGCTAGCATTTCTATTTATTATATAGTTAATATTTAGAGAGCTTGTTTCTGATTATAAGCTTTAAATGATTCTTTATTCAGAATTTACACTCTTCAGATTCTATGATTTAACCACATGGTTTTATTAGGAAATCTAAAGATTTATTAGAGCATTTTGGGATAAATTAGAATTGAAATCATCAGAAGTTATTCCTAATTAATATAAAACACTAGCCTCTTCAAGGATAAAAGTATATTACTGAGGATTGATCATATACAAGAGATATGAGCTTATTACAGTTTGTTTAGAATCAAATGTAAAAGTAGCATAGAGTTAGTTAGACCACAACTTACTGTTTATCCTATACATATAATAGGTATTTGGCTTAGTCGATAAGATATAAGCAAATTCTTATTCTGACTATCTTTTTGGAATGATAACTGCTTAACTATTTACATGATGTTTTTCATCAATTTATAAATTTCTCATAAAAGTAGGATCATTTGTTTTAAAGTTGTTATATGAGAATTAAGCAATTGTTGTTAGTGGATCATCAAGGACGGTTATCAAAAAGGAAGATTTAAAAAGAGTAACTTATTATTTCTTTCCTTAAGCAATTGCTGGAATGCTAATCTAACCGATAAAACCTGGGTTTATATAGTCATAGGCGATAATATTTATGCTATTATACATAAAAAGTGTGCCTTAAATGCAAATGAGATTAGTCAGCTATGAAGAGTCAATATCTAGATTATAAGTACTAACTTCTTGAATCAATTCATCACTTGAACTAAATCTAAAAATAGTCTATGTAACAGTTTTACCACATAGAGTAAACAGAATATTGTAAGCAGGATCTGAAGCAAATGTGAAATTGATTTCTGAGCATAAAACTTGTATCTTATTATATTTAAATTATCCTCCTATACCTTAGGAGAAATCAATATAAGGTATGTAAATGTAAATCTCAGAAGTAGGTGGGACTATTTTTAAATTGAAAGAACCATAGTTGTCTATATACTCCAAAGGATATTTAAAGACGTTTTTACTTCTATAACTTACAAAATCTCCTTTTTATTAACCTGTTTATCCTTAACAGCCTGGAATAACTGCACGTAAATAATAAACTTACCCTTATTAAGGGAAATAAACAGGACACAGGAACATAGATGAAAAATACCCATCTGTTTAGTAGGATAAGCAAGATTAATCAATAACATTTTAATCATTACCTTGTATTTGTAAATACTTAACGATCTTAGGATTTAAGATAGCTCCTTTAGATTGATCTACTGTTACAGTTAAATCTAAGTCTGAGCCTACAACAAAGTCCTCAATAGGAATAGTGTACAAATTTTGAGTTTGAATGCTTTCGATTGTATTTTGTAAACTTACTAAGCTTTGAGTAAATAAAATTGTATTTTGTTAAACTATATTAACATTAATTTACACTTGGTAAGTAGTAGTAGAAATAGTCTTTATATTCAAAGTTATAGGTTCTGTAGTTGAAGTTTAGGTTTGAATAATTAAGGAGGGGTTATTTATTTCAGCTGCAAGAGTACTTTAATAATTTCCTATTTTATCATAAAGATATATCATAATTTGATTTCCTAGATTTTCTACTTTATTTATGTAGAGATTAAATTCACAGACATAGTTCTCATAGATTAAAACTTAGTTGTTCAAATCATATAAGTAGATCATGTTACTACTATAGTGGAGAACGCTACTTGGGTAGAACATTAGTAAATTTGTTGAGATGAACTTTACTATAAATAGAGGAGTTAAATCTATTGTAACCTATGATTATAAACTTAACTGTTAGTCAATGATGCTTTGATTTGAATTTAATGTCAAAATAGTAAATTTTTTGTTCAATTAATCTGTAAGACCAATGAAGATTTAGTTTCCAATTCTTTAAAGCTAAGGTGTGACTACTTAATCCATATTCAAATCAATCTAAGTAAATTAAAAATTTTCTACTGTAAAATCTATCGAAACTGTTTTTATGTAAGAGCCTTTGATAGAATAACAATAATTAAAGAAATTCCTTCCAGTATCAATCAAATGTATTTCAGCTTGACAATCTTCATATGTTTCCTTAACAAATTTTTAATTAAAAGATTCATCAAATTTAAGTAGCTGGTAGTAATTGTTTGCTATTTAAATTATGTATATAGAGTTTTGAGGTCCTAAGATTGCAACATGATCATATAATGAGACACCACTGAGATATTTAAAAGTTGCTTCTCCCTGACTATTAATTTAGAAGTTGTATGATTTGTAAACATTTCCTGCCATGTATGATATAAAACCTGCAGTACTTGAATAAAAACTCCCATATAATTTCAGCTAATCAGAGCTAGCTTAAACTTCATCTAAAGGCTATGGATTAAATGTTTTTTATTTTATACAAGAGCATTCTTTATCTATACTCAATTACTGGTAGACTAATGAGAGCTAAATTTTATCTTGCTGAATAACTTATTGTATTCCAATAATATACTTGGTTGATACTCCTTAGTTAAATGTAGCTATATCTAACAATGGAGGAGAATTCTTATCTGTAGATAGTAAGCTATAAGGCTGCAGTAGACTAGAGGATGCTGATGGAACCAAATCTAGTTCATACGCTGGTTCTTTCACAAAATCAGACAAGCTTTGAATGTATCTTTCATTTGATTGTAAATTTACTATCTTCTACAGGTTTATTGTTTGAGATTTTATTATGTTGAATGATAATAATAACAACAATAAAACCTAAAATTTAGTGTTTTTATTTTTATTTGTCATATTTTAGTTCTAACTTATTTTCTGATTTAATTATTTTTATTTTATTTTTAGTTTTGTTAATCAATTTAAGGTTCAAATAAACCTTTAAGAATCTGTAAATTCCTTAATACACTTTTAAAGGTTGAGAAACTTTACATTCTTGCAGATACTGAAATCTATAAATTTAATAATAAAAAAATCTTCTATCAAAACCAAATATTTTGTTATTTATTGTGAGGATTATTAATTAAGGCTAAATTAATATAATACCTATTATGTTAGCATATAAGCACTATCCTAAATTTTAATTTTATACATAAGCTTTTATTGAAAGAATAAATAATCAATTATATAAAAAATGTATTAAATAATATCAATACTTTGCTATATTTAATTTATTTAAATAGTTAATTAAAAATGTTATCTCAATTCTAACATCTTTATATATTATTTTAAAAATACTTACATAAATATGCTAATAGTATATTATTTTGATTCTATTTTCTATTTTTGTTTGTTCAAATATCTTCCTATTTTCTATCTGGTAAGGTTATCAATTTTAATTAATCTTCGGAAAACATCGTAATTTAGTTAATTTACTTATTAAGTTAAAGTAATTTGACACATATATTTTTTTAAAGAAAAAATTTTTTATCAGAAATATATCTAAAAAAATATAAAAAAAATATTCACAAGAAATTTATTCAACTTAATTATTTTAAAATATTTAAATAACAATTATATATGAATTTGAATTTCTTAATGTATTATATTTTAACTTTTTGCTTACATAAATATGGTTTTAGTCTGTTACTACATTTCTATGTTTAATTTTTTCTTTTATTATGTCTTCCTATTCTCTTTCTGATAAGGTTATCTATTTTAATAATCTTTCGAAAAAATCAATATTTTAAGTATTAAATGTAAACTGAAGTGGACTCAGTAATACATTTACAAATAAAATTCTATCAAAGATGATTTTAATCTTCCTATTAAAACCTAATAAAAAATATAATAGGCGGGTTTTTAAATTTTATATTTCTAACTTTTTTTTATTTAAAAATAAACTTAATTTATTATTATTTATTTTTTAAACATAAAAAAATACTAAATAAACCATATAATATTTATTATTTTTATTATTAAATATAAAGGAAATTAAAAGATAAAATATATTTACATATACCAAATTAAAGCTTATTCATAGTATTTTCATGTTATAATATTTATTTTAAAAAATATTCATCTTATACAATCAGTTTCCAACTTTCCTGAAAACACTATAGTTGCACTTGCAATATTAAAATAAATTTTTAAGCATGATATACATTTAATTTTTTTTATTAGAATAATTTGCAATTTTTCCATATTTTTATGGCAATATGCTATTTTAAAAATATATTACTTGTAATGAGTAATCAAGTAGATGTTTTTTATTTCGAAAAATAAATTTATTATAGAATTAATTATAAATAGGAACTAAAAATTATAATTAATGGACTTTATTTAGGTTTTAATTATGATATTGGCTTTAATTTGTGTATGAATAATTGAATAAAGCCTTTTTCGATTTGTTAGCTCATCTAATATTAACTATATAAATTGATTAATTGGATCATAATTAAAAAATTTACTATTTATATTGAAATTCTTTTGATTTTTAGACTTACTAAAACAAAACAAAAAAACAAAGTAGAATTAATTAAAATGAAGAAATAATCAATTAATATCTCTAAGCCATCTTTTATTTTGACTTGTAAATTGATCTATATTAATAAAATTACTAATAATATGCTTATTAGAAAGCGTCGAGTAGCAATATGAAGTAAAAAAAGTAATGAAGGTTTCTTCATCAGGATAAATATCATTAGTAGAACACAAAATTTCAAGTATATTAATTGCCTTATTGTGAAGTAGAAATGCTAAAAAAAATTATTTTTTAAATATAAAGGAGAAAAGTTTATTTTAAAGGAAGTATAAAAAAAACACATTAGTAACATTAGCTAATTCTATTCAGATATAGGAGTAGTTCTTAAAATTGTAATATTTTGATTTCAAAGTTAAGAAATGCTAATTGCTAATCAAAAAATTTTTAAATGTAGGATCATCCAAATATACTAAAGGTATTCTAAGTTTACGAAAGTATAGATAAATTTCATATTGTTGAAGAGTATAATTAAATGTTTTATTGGTTCATTCATTTAATTATAATTAATTTATTAATTAAAAAGGTACTGCTAAGGAGGATCGGTGCTAGAATTTGTAGCCAAGAAGTAGAACTATAATGAAAGGCAATGTGCTAAAATAGTTTAATAAATATGTTCTGCATTACTACACAGCCATTAAAAAGCAATTATACATTAGTATAATATTTACAGCAATTTAAATGCTAAACAACTTAAATAAATAATTTATTAGGAATATAAAATCGTCAAAAATATTGCTAAAATATAAAAATGATGATAACTCTATTAAGCTGATTGATTTAGGAATTAATTTATAAAGCAAAGATAAGAAATAATCTGAATCATAATTACCATAAATTCAAGAGGTAAATTAGAGCTTAGAATTTTTTAGATAAATTAACTTTTTTTTAAATTAAAAAATTAAAGTTACCTTTCTTAGCCCCAGAATAGCTTGAAGGAAGAAATATTGAAGTGAGCAATAGTTGGAATGTTGGGGTATTTTTGTACATTCTATTTTCTGGTTAGCATCCCTTTTAAAGCTTAGATCCTCAAAAATCTTTAGACCAAATAAAAAAGGGTATATTTACATTCACTAAGTAGTGTTTCCATAATTGCAGTGTGGAAGTAACAAAGAATTTTTAATTTCATTTTTTTATTCAAAAATATTAAATTCATAATATAATAAAAATGAAAGAATGAAACACATAAATAGTTTTTGCATTAAGATAAAAAATAAATAAATAATTTCTAATTTGTTAACTTGATTAATTATGTTATTTTTTCAACTATTTTCATAAATATCTAAAAAGTGATTAAATTTTTTTGATAAAGTTAAATTGTTTATAATTTAATTGATATTATTGCAAATAAATTATTATTTTTCACTTGGAATTTAGAACTTGTTTTTAAATTTATAAATTTAATTTAGAAAATCATTTAATAAATATCAATTAATTAAATTATTTTTTTTTTGTTATGTTAATAAAAACTTTGGAGCAAGCTGTATTTATTGATTTTTTTAATAATCTATTTCATTCAGCTGAACTAATTATCAAATAAAAAATAAAATTTGCATATTAAAAAAGCTTTAAAATTAAATTAAAATATTTTACTCATTAATTTTATCTTAAACCATACTTTATTATAATCAACAAAAGCTTAAAGACTTGCTATCGAAACTGCTTACTAAAAATGAAAGAAAGCGAATCAGTATAAAATAGTGCTTAGATCACGAGTGGATAATTTAGTCAGACAACTCTCCTATTTTCGATTAATCATTGACTGAGAAGACTTTTGCGAATCTTAAAAAATTTTACTCACAATTGTATTATTTTATTTATTTATTTATTTTTAATCTAAGAAAAATTTTTAACAAACAAAAAAAAAGTATTGATGAAGTTGATTATGAAGAAGAATAGAGGCTTAATGCATTGAAAAGATAATAAGAAGAAGATGAGAGGAGAAGGCTGGAAGAAGAGAGAAGAAGACTTGAAGAAGAAATGAGAAGAATGGAGGAAGAAAAGGAGAGATTGAGAAGGCTTCAAGAAGAAGAAGAGCAAAGAATGAAATTAGTTCAAGAGGAAAATTTAAAAAGGAGAATGCTAATGTCTCTTGTTGGTAAAATTCCTTAGCATTACATTGATAAACTTCAGGCTGTAAATCCTAATTTAATTTAATTTGATTATTAATATGAATTTTTAAATACTTGTTTTTAAGGTTTTTACTGCAATCGATGAAAATGGAAATGGACAACTTTCTTTAGATGAGCTATTAACAGGTATAAAATTCCTATTTTATTAAAAAAAATCGCTTGACTTATTTATCTTATAGATTATTTAAAAATTATTGAAATAAAATTAATTATTTCTAAGGTATGGCTAGATTTTAGTCGGGAGCTAACAAATTTAGTGAAGAAGAATTGAAAGATATTTTTTAGAAGATGGATGAAGATAATTCTGGAGAAGTAAGCTAAGAAGGTATTTTTTATTTATTATAGAAATTAAGTTTTTATTTTTAATTAACATACAAAATCAAAATTAATTAAATTCACAAATTTTATTATTTTAGAATTCATTCATGCTTTTGCAGAATAGTTTTCAATCAAGAATAAGAATATGATATTATAATCATTTAAATAACTTGATTAGGATGGAAGTGGTATTGTAAATTTAGAAGAATTTACATATTTACTTTAGAATGGAAATTTACCTTTGGGTGAAGTTTCTGTAGAATAAATTTTAGGCTTTATTAATGACAACAACTAAGGCAAAGTAAGCTTTATTTTTTATTTTTTAAGATCTTTATTGAATTTTTAATAAAATAAGATCAATTACATAGATTTCTTTGAAGGACTTCAAATAACTGAATGAATTAATATTTTTTAATGTAATTATCAGTCAAAAATAAATTCCCATTAATTTTGCTGTAGTAAAATTTAATCGCATAGGTTTGTATGTATTTATGTATGTATACATGCTTGAGTAAATTTATCTATTTGTTTGTTGCTATGAGAAAAATAGAAGATATTTTTCTTTTTGATATTTCCAGTGTAAAATGATTAAATTAATCTATCAAAAAGTTTTACAGTCAGTGACTATTGTCTATTTTTTTGTGATAAAATTCTATTAAACTAAATTAAAATTATGAGAAGAAATACTTAATTATTTATTACTTTCTTAATTATGAAAATCACATTTTTTAAACATAACCTTCGTTATGATTTTTCGAATTTAATCAGAATTGATATAGAATGATTAATAAGTGTATTATCTTTCAAGCAAACATAATATAATTAAAGAATATATATTATTTATGCAGATATTAAAATAATCTCCTTTCTAAATTAATAGTTTACATAAATTAATGAAAAATAAAAAAAACGCAAGCATAAAAGAAATTATAAAGCAGCAAAATCTTAATGAATTTTTTTCATAATTATTTTGAATTTACTTTTTTTATTTATAAAAATTTGTATAAATGATCATAAATTAATAATTTGATTTAAATATTTGAAGTATTAATATCCAATCAATAACTTTTTTAATTATGTCTTAATATTTTTGATTGCGCAACCACTAAATTGATTGATTTTTAGCTAAGCTTGAATATTTTATATAATAGCTACTTTTCATAGACTATAAATTAAGATTATTAAGATTATCAAAAACTAATTTTAAAATGGCTTATGAAGTAATTTTAAATATAAAATCACAAATAGATTAGTCGGTTTATTTAAGTTTGTATTTCAACTAAATTAAGTTCAAATCAAATCATCCTCTCGATGATTGGACTCTCTTAAAGTCAGTCAATTTCAAAAACTTTTTATCAAAGATCAATCAATCATTCATTGAATTAATTTATATATTTGCGAACCTGGTTATCATCAATTCAAAAATCTTTTAATATCTAAATTTTATCATGAATGTATTGAATAATGTTATCTTGATAAAGAAATCAGGCATGTCTGTATGTATGTATACAAGCAATCAATTAAATTAGATGAAATCAATTAACTAAAGCGAAATTAAATTAACAAAATAGCCAGAAAAAACAAAAAAAAAGAATTTCACTGATATTTAATAAAAAAAGAAAATAATAAATTTTAAAAGCATTCTAACTTAGAAGGAAAACAAGCCAATCAACAAAAGCAAGATAAAGCACGTCAAAGGAAAGAACAAAGCAAGCAAAAAAGCAAATTAAAGAGAGTAAAGAGTGACAGAAAGACTTTAATAGGAAAATCTTGTTCATTTCTGGTTGATTTCAAGACTAAAAATCTTCATCTTAAACAATAAAATAAAATAATTTAAAATTAAATGTCAGCTACACAAAAAAGGAATAGTGATACAGATTTATTTTTTATAATTGAGTCTCTCACAATTTATTTTGAGAAGATCCTCGAAATTATGGATGAACCTCTCAAAAATTATTCAAAAACAGAATGGTTTAAATTCAAAGAACTGCTTACCTCTCCAGATCTTTCGCCCTGTAAGTGTTTTTCTTATGCCAACTCTTTAAAATTAGTTAAGCCTTAGCCTATTGTAAAAGTGGCAACATTCAACTTAGGTGATTTAGGGGATTAGTAATCAACTGTGTCACAACCTTAATCTAATCAATAATCTGTAACATAAACACCAGTCTTAACTTTAAAAAAATAAGAACCTTCGATTACAGTGCCAAGTTTAATTTCTCTTAGCACAGTGAGCCCACCAAATACTTTTTAGAAGTAATACTCCTTTAACACATCTAAAATACTTAATGAAAATAAAGAACAAGAATAAAAGAAAACAAAAAATTCAATAATTAACGTTCAATCACTTTAGTAAACTAGCTAGCCATAAATTTAGCAGTAAAATGGAAATAGTTCTACCCAATAAAATTTATTATCACCTCCTCCTTAAACATATTTAGGAGCTTAGTCACAACCACATTTTAATTATAGCAATTAAATATCTATGAATTCGATAAGTGGTTCACCTAGCAAAATTTAGAGCTCTGCTCAAACTTAAACTAATATTAGCACAACCCAAGCTGGAAAATCTTCACATAACACTAGCAATTAAAGTTCTTTAGGAAATAATAATTATTTAAATGGAGGCTCTTCAAACAATCCTAGTTAAAATGTTAAGCAAATTCAATAGACATTGCAGAATATTAGCTCAATCGGTATATCTTCAGCTAACCAAAATTAAGCAGTAGGATCCAATAGAATTCATAGTATCTCTATCAATTCTGCTAATAACTCAAGCAATCTTAATTTTTCATCTAACCAAACCAACGCTCATAATGCAGCAGCAGCAGGTTCTAACCCAAATAATAATAATTCTTCAAGTAACAACTATGCAGTCGATGAAAGACTGCGTTCACCCTAATTAAATAGCAGTAATCAAAATGGCATTTATTTATCAAAAACCTCTTCTCGAAATTAAGCCACATCAGCTTCTAGATTAAAAAATAAAAATCATATTTCAGTTTCAAACATTTCAAACCTCTAAGTTAGTAGCAAGAAATCACCTTCGTAGCTTGAAAAGCTAGTTTCTTCTACAAAAGTACCATAGGCTCATATGAAAGCTCAAAAATCGCTTTAGATTGATATCAAAGAAAATAGCTTTTAATCAAGAAATAATTTGTAAAGCAATCCAAGCGTTATGTCTTCAACCTCAACTCGTGTTGATTTGAGCAAAATTAATTAAAATTCTATTGGAAATTTGCTTAGTACAAGTAAAAATTTAACTGGCTCACCATAGTATATAACTTCATCAACTAATTATGGAAACTACAATTCTCATCTTTTATCTTCTGTTGGTTCATCTTAAAATGGTTACAGTAGCTCTGCTAGCAAAGGCTTGACCAACAACTTAAGTAGCAAGAGATTTGAAGGATAAAGTATGACTGATCGTATCAGAGACAAACCTTAGATGAATTCAATTAAAACGGAGTCTGTATTAATAGAAAATAGCCCTCCTAATCATAATAATTACACTGATAATAGCTCTAATGGCAATTTTAATAATGCTTCTCCTGAAAACAAATAGAATTAGAATCCTTTAACATTCACTTCCTCAACTAGCAATAGCATACTTAATTTAGGTCTTTAATAGGTACCTTAAAACATAGTTTAAATATAGCAATAAGTTATACAAGAATAGCCTTAAAATGAGTCAATTGGATCACCTTCTAATACACCCTTAACTACTGCTATAGGAATAGAGCATCCTCCAATTCGTAAAAGAGCAAGAAGAGAGACTAGAAAGCTCAGTTTAGAGAAATTCTAAAATAATATTGATGCAGTTTAGAGATAGAGTGAATTAGAAGAAAATGGCATTACTCCTATCCTTCCCTTAGCCCATAATAAAGGATATTAGCAAGTTCTTATGAACCGTCTAGATATTCTCCATTCACCAAATAATCATTAAGAAAAAAAGCGTGATCCTTCACCTGTAAATAATAGAATCGCTTGCGATAAAATACAAGGAATCCACGACTTCTAAAAATTCAAAGCAGAAGAAGATGTAGTAAAAGAAAATCCATACAAGCATTTATTGTAAAAAGTTCAACAAAGAATTAATGTATTTTTGATGGATTCAAAAACATTAGAGTTGATATCAGGAAAGTTCACAGATGTAGAAGAAACTAAAAGACATAGAGAATAAGCAAATAAGCAAGGAGCTGCTGTTAGTTTCTAATCTGCCAATAATAATGTTAATGGAGGAGTGCAGGAAAGACAAGAAATCAAAAGAGATAAGTTAAAAAAATACTCAGTATTTGCTAAAAAAGGATAAGATTAGCAAAACCTCAAAAAGGTAGATGATCAAATTACAAAAGACGAGCTTAAATTAGTCAATCCTCTAATAAAACAAAGAAAAAGGGATGAAAAAAAGAAGTTAATTATTTGAAAGGATCATGTTAATTAATTAGCCTATCAAAAACTTAAAACTATAATATACTGAAACTACTAATCACAACAAAATTTTCCATGACATAGACAACTTATTCGTGCTTCTTCAAAGTAATAAAAGAAAAAGTAGGTCTATAAAAATTTTAAAAGTTTTTAATTAGACTAAAAATAACAACAAAAAAGAAATGTATTTGATTAAATCTATCAAGAATACTAACTAAAAATACTAAAAATTATTATAAAAGAAAAAACTAAACACAACCACCATTTCTATAATAAATATTTATACTAAATTAAACTGAACTAAAAAAATAGTTAGCTAGCTTACATATTTGAATATATCTATCAATTCATTTAATTATTGATTCATTATTTCTAAATTATTGTAATTTTATTGAAATATTTACTATTTATATATTTGTATTTATTATTTTTCCGAATCCACTTATTAATAAAGATAGATAAAAATAAAGATATTAAGTTGTTAGAGAAAAATTTTTAAATATTAACTTTTATTTTGATTAACAACATTAACTAATGTTAAAAGTCAAATTTTTACATTTATCCAATTTTATTGCTAAAAAGGAAATTTATTTAACGAATATTAAGTTTTTTTTAGTCAAAAATATAATTTTATAAAAACTTATTTTAGCAGAAGAAATTTTATATGATAATAAATACAATTATTATATTTATAGAAAATAAAAATCTCAGTCACTAGAATTGTGAACACAAATAAATTTTATTAATTTTTTATTTCGCTACTTATTTTTTCACTAAAATAGTCCTTTTTTTGCTTTTACTTTAGAAACCATTTCTTATTATAAACAATTTTAATACATGTCACATTTTTCAATTGCTCTTGATTATTGCTTAAGATTTGCATTCATGTTCATAAGCATTTTGAATTTACCTTCACTTTCATAAACTCCAGGCTTAGCATTTTATTGACATTCTTCTAAATCCTTTTTGATGAGCTAAAGCTTTTCTTTATTTTTAGGATGTGACTTATCAAAACGTTCAATCATAGATTGAAGAATTTGTTAACCAGATTCATACTTTTACTATTCAGCTTCTTTCATAGCTTAGTCCATGGCTTCAGAGGCCTTTACACGTAAGTAATTTAACTCTACACTATCATTAATTTCTGAGTCCTAGGCTACTTTTTCATTCTAAGTAAATAGTGTCAAAACTAAATTATTATCTTTAACTACCTTTGTTGTATAAGTGGGATCAACTGGAATAGCAGAAACCGTTGCTTTTACTATTTCTGCATTTCTTTCAAAGTCTTCAAGTCTTTCAACATTATTAGCAGGAATAGTAATTTCAAAAATAAAATCTTTTGAAATTCCACTCAATAATTAATTAATTTAGACACGATATTAAGTATCTTATTTAATTACACTCCACATATCTCCATATATTTTAGAAACATTAGCATTCTAAAAGAATTTTTTATATTATGAATGAAGTAATAGTTCTACATCTATAATAATTTCTTGTGCAATAACTGAGAAAAGTCCACCAAGAGCGTCAACAAAAAATTCATCAACTTAATTTATTTTTTCTACATAATAGAAGTTACCATCCTTTAAGCTACAAATCTTGTTCATCAAAGGACCATCATGGTCAGAACCAAATCCGAAAGAGTGAATAGTAAAACATTCTTACGATAGATGCTTTTCTAAACTCTATCTAACCCTTAAATCAGCTCCTCCATCTTACCCATCAGACAAAAGGAATATAGAACTAACAGGATTATAATATTTACGTTCTTTCAATACTCTAAAAGCTAATTCCATACCACTGTTAATGTTAGTTCCACCATGACAGTGAATTTCGTTGATAATTTTAATTAAATTAGGTTTGTTAGAACTATTTGTCTTCATTAAATGGCAGCGTCGAGAGACACATGAATCGAATGCAATTAAGCATAATCTATCGTTTTCTCCTAGAAGCTCTAGCAAGTACTCAAGAGTCTTTTTAACATTTTCAATCTTATTACCAGACATAGATCCAGATCTGTCGATAACACAAACAAGATCAAGGTTGGGTCTATTTTCAAGTCTATCTTATTTAGCTGCTTCTAAATCTGTCTTTGGAGAATCTTCAGTTTTATCAAGAGTTTTGACTGAGACCATAACTGGAATAGATTAACTAGCAGAAGAGTTAAACTAAAAGTGTTTATGTAAAGTCTTAACATCCAAACTTAATCCTTTGTCTAGATTATACTTTTATTTATTTTAACCTACACCCATCTTTTAGAAGTTATATTCAATAGGTTCATCATCATCTAAAATATCTACAACTGGTTTGTAATCTAGGAAATCTTCGTCTAAAATTTAGGATTAAACTTACTTTTTTTCAAAGTTTTGATTTTTTTTTGATCGAGAAGAGCTTGATTTGTTGTTTCCCATTTATTAGTTTAGTGATTGCTAGAAATATTTGTTTGATTTACAATTTTTTAATTTTTAATTTTTATATTTACTATTTATATAAAATTTAGTAAAAGAAAGATATCTTTTTCTAAGAAATAATTTAATTTTTAACAAATTTTTTTGACCATAAAATTTTATAATAATACAAATAATTTGTTTCTATATTTTTTTATAATATTTTTGGCAGAGTTTTTAAATTAAACAAATAAATACTTCTTTTATACAAATTTAATTTATAATTTTGAAAAATTTTTATCATTATATTAAATAAGATATGTAAACACTGTTGAATCCTAATACAAAAACATTCTACAATAATATAAAAATAGAAAAAAAAAATATTGTTAGTTTGTTTGTATTTTATAATTTATAAATTAAATTTATACTTATCAACATTTCTTATAAATTCTTAGATTATAATTATTAAATGAAAAATATTTCTATATTATGAATAAATATATAAAGAAAAGAAGTTTTATATTAAAATTATAGTAAGCACTTTTTATTTATCAGCTGATAAAGACTATTTACTAATATTATATAAAACAGATATAAAGAATTCATAAGTAGAAGTTAAACTTCTTCTATTTGATAAACATCCTAAAGTATAAACCCCTTATCTTTACCATTCATTAAATATAAAATACTATTTAAAATTTAAATTATATTTTTATCTATCTAAAATAAATTTATAAACAATAAAAAATCAAATTATTAAAAAATAAATATAATAAGATTAATATTGATTGAGTAATAGTTTTTAATTATAAATGCGTGAATTATGATATAATTTAAATTTAAGTTATTATTCGAATATTTTTATTATTTAAAATTTATTTTTTTATTTAAAAATTAGAATATTTAAAAGTTTATTTTTTTTAATAGCTTTTAATTTAAAAAATAAATAAATCTAAAGGCAACATGTTAATATTTAAATAAATTTAAAATAAGTAGATTATTATTTAGAAAAATTAATTATAATTATAAAGTAGTATGCTATATAAAATTTAATGTATCATTATAAAATTGTTTTTAATAAGAATACAAATAATTTAAATTTATTAAAATATAAGTTTAGTTTTTAATTCTATCCTTTCACCAGAATGATCCCTTTTTAGCTTTTGCTCTAGAAACCATTTCTTATTATAAACAATTTTAATACATGTCACATTTTTCAACTGCTCTTGATTATTATTTTAGATTTGCATTCATGTTCTTAAGCATTTTGAATTTACCTTCATGCTCAAAGACCCTAGGCTTAGCATTTTATTAACATTCTTCTAAATCCTTTTTAATGAGTTAAAGCTTTTCTTTATTTTTAGGATGTGACTTATCAAAACGTTCAATCATAGATTGAAGAATTTGTTAACCGGATTCATACTTTTATTATTAAGCTTCTTTCATGGCTTAGTCCATAGCTTCAGAGGCTTTAACACGTAAGTAATTTAACTCAACACTATCATTAATTTCAGAGTCCTCAGCAACTTTTTCATTCTCAGTAAATAGTGTCAAAACTAAATTATTATCTTTAACTACCTTTGTTGTATATGTGGGATCAATTGGGATAGCGGAAACTGTTACTTTAACTATTTCTGCATTTCTTTCAAAGTCTTCAAGTTTTTCTACTTTATTAGCAGGGAAAGTAATTTCAAAAATAAAATCTTTTGAGACTCCACTCAATAACTAGTTTATTTATATACGATAAGAAGTATCTTTCTTAATTACACTCCACATATCTCCATATGTTTTAGAGACAGTAGCATTCTAAAAGAATTTCTTATATTATGAATGAAGTGATAATTCTACATCTATAACAATTTCTTATGCAACAACTGAGAAAAGTCCACCAAGAGCATCAACGAAGAATTCATCAACTTAATTAATTTTTTCTACATAGTAGAAGTTACCATCCTTTAAGCTACAAATCTTGTTCATCAAAGGACCGTCATGGTCAGAACCAAATCCGAAAGAGTGAATAGTGAAACATTCTTAAGGAAGATGTCTTTCTAAGCTCTATCTGACTTTTAAATCAGCGCTTCCATCTTACCCATCAGATAAAAGGAATACAGAACTAACAGGATTATGATATTTACGATCTTTCAATACTCTAAAAGCTAATTCCATGCCACTATTAATGTCAGTACCACCATTTGCTTCAATTTTGTTGATAATTTCTTTGAAAGCTGGTTTGTTTGAATTGTTTGTCCTCATTAAATGGCAAAGTTTAGTAGCTTTGGAATTGAATAAAATCAAACACAATCTATCATTATCTCCCAAAAGCTCAAGCAAGTATTCAAGGGTCTTTTTGACGTTTTGAATCTTTTCACCTTCCATAGATCCAGAGTTATCTATAACACAAATAAGATCAAGGTTAGGTCTATTTTCAAGAATATCTTATTTAACAGCTTCTTAATTTCCTTTAGGAGCATCTTCAGTTTTATCAAGAGTTTTAACTGAAACCATAATAGGAATAGATTAATTAGTTGATGAACTGAATTAGAAGTGCTTATGCAAAGTCTTAACATCCAAACTCAATCCTTTATCAAGATTGTATTTCTATTTATTTTTACCATCGCCCACATTTTTGAAGTTTTAATCAATAGGTTCATCAGAACTTAAAATGCTTCCCATTTTATTTTATTAGTTTAGTGCAAGAAATGTTTGTTTGAATTGTAATTTTTTTAATTTTTATTTTTTATTTTCACACAATTTATAAAGATTTTATTTTTGAAGCAATCTTATTCTTAGAGAAAATAGAATTTCTGATAAATTTGTTTGATCATAAAATTTAATAGAGACACAAATAATAAGAATCTAATAAATTTTTATGTAGAACTTTTAAATGAAAAATGTGTCTATAATAAGAATGAAAAAACATTAATTTAAAATTTTTGATAAAATAGATTTATATTAAAGATTATTAAAAGCACTTTTATTAGTGTTAAATACTCTTCTAAAATTATATAAAATAGACAAAAATAATTATAAGTAAATTTGTATTTTTATCTAAAGAATTCACAAGTTGAAGCTAAGCTTGCTCATTTTTGATAAACATTCTAAATTATAAATTTCTAAGCTTTAATTTTCATTTAATTACAAAAAATAAAATACAAATTAAAATTTTATTTTAATCTATCTAAAATAAATTTAATAATAATTAAAAAGATTTGTTATGTTATTATAGCTTAAAAAAAGCTAAACTAAATAAAAAACATAATTATAAAAAATAAATATTATATGATTGTAATTGATTAAATGCTTGAATTTGGATATATTTTAAATTTTAATTATTATTCAAATATTTTTATTTTTTAAATCTTTTTAATATTAAAATTGGTTAATTTAAAAGTTTATATTTTTTAACAAAATATGTTAATCTTTCAATAAATTGAAGTTAAATTAATTATTTTTTAGAAATCCTAATTAAAATAATAAAGTAATTTTGTTTTTAAGTATTATATAAAATGCATTTTAACAATATAAAGTATCAATTTTAATAAGAATAGTTTTTATTTTTTTATATTTCTGTTTGGTTTTTTATTTTATTCTTTCACCAGAATGATCCCTTTTTAGCTTTTGCTTAAGAAACCATTTCTTTTTATGCACAATTTTAATACATGTCACATTATTCAACTGCTCTTGATTGTTATTTTAGATTTGCATTCATGTTCTTAAGCATTTTGAATTTACCTTCGTGCTCATAGACCCTAGGCTTAGCATTTTATTGACATTCTTCCAAATCCTTTTTAATGATTTAAAGCTTTTCTTTATTTTTAGGATGTGACTTATCAAAACGTTCAATCATAGATTGAAGAATTTATTAACCAGATTCATATTTTTGTTATTCAGCTTCTTTCATGGCTTAGTCCATAGCTTCAGAGGCTTTAACACGTAAGTAATTTAACTCAACACTATCATTAATTTCAGAGTCCTCAGCAACTTTTTCGTTCTAAGTAAATAGTGTCAAAACTAAATTATTATCTTTAACTACCTTTGTTGTATATATGGGATCAACTGGAATGGCAGACACAGTTGCTTTTACAATTTCTGCATTTCTTTCAAAGTCTTCAAGTTTTTCTACTTTATTAGCAGGGAAAGTAATTTCAAAAATAAAATCTTTTGAGACTCCACTCAATAACTAGTTTATTTATATACGATAAGAAGTATCTTTCTTAATTACACTCCACATATCTCCATATGTTTTAGAGACAGTAGCATTTTAAAAGAATTTCTTATATTATGAATGAAGAAATAGTTCTACATCTATAACTATTTCTTATGCAACAACTGAGAAAAGTCCACCAAGAGCATCAACGAAGAATTCATCAACTTAATTAATTTTTTCTACATAGTAGAAGTTACCATCCTTTAAGCTACAAATCTTGTTCATCAAAGGACCGTCATGGTCAGAACCAAATCCGAAAGAGTGAATAGTGAAGCATTCTTATGGAAGATGTCTTTCTAAGCTCTATCTGACTCTTAAATCAGCACTTCCATCTTACCCATCAGATAAAAGGAATATTGAACTAACAGGATTTTGATATTTACGCTCTTTCAATACTCTAAAAGCTAATTCCATGCCACTGTTAATGTCAGTACCTCCAGTTGCTTAGATTTTGTTGATAATTTCTTTGAAAGCTGGCTTGTTAGAATTATTTGTCTTCATTAAATGGCAAAGTCTAGTGGAATACGAATTAAACAAAATCAAACAAAGTCTATCGTTATCTCCCAAAAGCTCAAGCAAATATTCAAGAGTCTTTTTGACATTTTGAATCTTTTCACCAGACATAGATCCAGAGTTATCAATGACACAAATAAGATCAAGGTTAGGTCTATTTTCAAGACTTTCTTATTTAACAGCTTCTTGATCTCCCTTAGGAGCATCTTCAGTTTTATCAAGAGTTTTAACTGAAACCATTACAGGAATAGATTAATTAGTTAAAGAGCTGAACTAAAAGTGTTTATGCAAAGTCTTAACATCCAAACTCAATCCTTTTTCAAGATTGTACTTCTATTTATTTTTACCATCGCCTAACTTTTTGAAGTTTTAATCAATAGGTTCATCATCATTATTAATCTTTGTAGGCTCTGAAACTTGGTTTTCTTAATTTAGCTATGGCTAATTGTAATAATGTTGAGAGTTATAATTTTGGTTTGATGTAGAAGAACTAGATTTGTTTCCCATTTTTTTATATTAGTTTGGTTATTGCTAGAAATTTTTGTTTTTTGAATTGTAATTTTTTTAATTTGTAATTTTTTATGTTCAAACAATCTATAAAGATTTTGTATATGAAGATATCTTTTTCTTAGAGACAACAAAATTTCTGATAAATTTGTTTGGCCATTAAATTTAATAGAGACGCAAAAAATAATAGTCAATATTTCTTATAAATTTTTACTTAGAATTTTTAAATGAAAAATGTTTCTATAATGAACTTAAAATTTTTGAAGAAATAGACGTTTTATATCAAAGATTATTGAAATCACTTTTTATAAGTGTTAAAACTTCTAAAATTATATAAAATAGACAAAAATAATTATTATAAGTAAATTTGTATTTTTATGTAAAGAATTCATTAGTTGAAGATAAATTTGTTCATTTTTGATAAACATCCTAAAATATAAACTTATGAGCTTTAATTTTCATTAAAGAGCAGAAAATAAATTACAAGTTAAAATTAAAATTTTATTTTTAATTTATAAAATATAATATAAATTTATTAATTATTAAAAAGATTTTTTGTATTATAAAAACTAAAATAAAAATAATTAAACTAAATAAAAAGCAAAACTATTAAAAATAAATATAATATCATTGATATTAAATGACTAATTATTATTCAAATATTTTTACTTTTAATATTTTTTATATAAAATTTGTATATTTTTTTAATATGTTTTAAATTAAAAAAATAAAATTTAAAAACAGCAAAAATTAATTTTACAATAAATTAAAAATAAATAAATTATTTTTTAGAAGTATTAATTAAAATAATGAAGTAGTTTTGTTTTTAAGTATTATATAAAATGCATTTTAACAATATAAAGTATCAATTTTAATAAGAATAGTTTTTATTTTTTTGTATATCTTTTTTGCTTTTAATTTTATTCTTTCACCAGAATGATCCCTTTTTAGCTTTTGCTTTAGAAACCATTTCTTTTTATGCACAATTTTAATACATGTCACATTATTCAACTGCTCTTGATTATTATTTTAGATTTGCATTCATGTTTTTAAGCATTCTGAATTTACCTTCGTTTTCATATACTCTAGGTTTAGCATTTTATTGACATTCTTCCAAATCCTTTTTGATGATTTAAAGCTTTTCTTTATTTTTAGGATGTGACTTATCAAAACGTTCAATCATAGATTGAAGAATTTATTAACCAGATTCATATTTTTGTTATTCAGCTTCTTTCATGGCTTAGTCCATAGCTTCAGAGGCTTTAACACGTAAGTAATTTAACTCAACACTATCATTAATTTCAGAGTCCTCAGCAACTTTTTCGTTCTAAGTAAATAGTGTCAAAACTAAATTATTATCTTTAACTACCTTTGTTGTATATGTGGGATCAACTGGAATGGCAGACACAGTTGCTTTTACAATTTCTGCATTTCTTTCAAAGTCTTCAAGCTTATCTACTTTATTAGCAGGGATATTAATTTCAAAAATAAAATCTTTTGAGACTCCACTCAATAACTAGTTTATTTATATACGATAAGAAGTATCTTTCTTAATTACACTCCACATATCTCCATATGTTTTAGAGACAGTAGCATTTTAAAAGAATTTCTTATATTATGAATGAAGAAATAGTTCTACATCTATAACTATTTCTTATGCAACAACTGAGAAAAGTCCACCAAGAGCATCAACGAAGAATTCATCAACTTAATTAATTTTTTCTACATAGTAGAAGTTACCATCCTTTAAGCTACAAATCTTGTTCATCAAAGGACCGTCATGGTCAGAACCAAATCCGAAAGAGTGAATAGTGAAACATTCTTAAGGAAGATGTCTTTCTAAGCTCTATCTGACTCTTAAATCAGCACTTCCATCTTACCCATCAGATAATAGGAATACAGAACTAACAGGATTTTGATATTTACGATCTTTCAATACTCTAAAAGCTAATTCCATGCCACTGTTAATGTCAGTACCACCAGTTGAATAGATTTTGTTGATAATTTCTTTGAAAGCTGGTTTGTTTGAATTGTTTGTCTTCATTAAGTGACAAAGACGAGTGGCATATGAGTTGAATAAAATCAAACAAAGTCTATCATTATCTCCCAAAAGCTCAAGCAAATATTCAAGAGTCTTTTTGACATTTTGAATCTTTTCACCAGACATAGATCCAGAGTTATCAATGACACAAATAAGATCAAGGTTAGGTCTATTTTCAAGACTTTCTTATTTAACAGCTTCTTGATCTCCCTTAGGAGCATCTTCAGTTTTATCAAGAGTTTTAACTGAAACCATAACAGGAATAGATTAATTAGTTGAAGAGCTGAACTAGAAGTGTTTATGCAAAGTCTTAACATCCAAACTCAATCCTTTTTCAAGATTGTACTTCTATTTATTTTTACCATCACCTAACTTTATGAAGTTTTAGTCAATAGGTTCATCATCATTGTTAATCTTTGTAGGTTCTGAAACTGGGTAATTTTATTCATTTAGCTATGGCTAAATGTAATTTTATTGATTTAGCTAAGGCTAAATGTAATTTTATTGAAGGTTTTAATTTTTGTTTTAAGGAGAAGAGCTTGAATTATTGTTTCCCATTTTAAATTTTGAAAGTAAGTTTTTGTTTAAATCTTAGAATTATCTTTTTTAATTTTATTTTATTTCTTATAACTTATTTAATTGTACAAAAAAGTCAAATAAATAAGGAAATAATTAAGAGAGAGGGCTTATAATCTGATAAATTTGTTTCACCAAAAGTTAATAGAGACACTATTTGTTAAAGTTTTAATTTTCTTATAAATTCTTTTAATAGAAATTTTAATTAAATTTTTCACCCATAAAAGATATGATATAAATTCTTAAAAATTTACTGTTTAACAGCAAATCAATCTAGAATATAAGAATTATTTAATAAAATTCAAAGCGCATATATATTAATAATTTTTGGTTGATTTGTTTTTATCTATTCAATATTTTATTTAATTGATAAAAAGAAATGAATGACTAAAATATAATAGTTAAATTATTAAAATATAAATATAAATATAAGAATAAATACTCGCTTAAGACTTTTTTTAATATAAACTTTATTGTGACAATTGATTACATTTTTAATTTTTTTTAGTAATAGAAGAACTGACTATATAGAAAAATTAATTAATTAAGAACTGAAAATCTAAAGAATTGATTTTGTATCTATCTATTATTAAGTAAATTCTTATAGACAAACAAATTAAATATCTTTCACTTTCTTAAAAAATAAGCTTTTAAATTTGTTGTTAGTGCCTACACATTAAATAAATAATAGGAACACTTTAAAGAATAAAATTTATTTTTTTAAATTTAACTTAAGTTTTGAAATTCAGAAAATAATATTTTTGTTTGTTTTAAATAAATTAAATGGTAAAAATTAAAATTAATTTATTTGATAAGACAAAACATTCAGATAATTTAACATCTTTTATCGTTATTAATAAGTTTACTATAAGTACAATTTATTGATTAATTTAATTTTAATTTATTTTAAGTTTAAATTCAATTAAAAATTTAAAACAAATATTTATTATTACCAAAAGTTTTTTATTTTAATAAATCAAGTGAAAGAATAAACGAATTAATTTAATTTTAATTAAATTAAATTAAATTACTGAGCATATAATTAAATATATAAATAAAACATTCATTTGTTATTATTATTCATTATGGATCCAAATATTTTATTTCTTTGTTCAAGCATTTACTCTAATTTATTAATTGTTTCTTCTTTGTATTTAATTTCTTCCTTCAATCTTATAATTTGTTGGTCTTTTTTCATTACAACAACTTTAACTCTACTCTCTACGTCTTCAAGAGACTTAGAGTGTTTTTCTTCTATTTTTTCTAATTCTACATTATGTTCAGCACCCATTTGAGTAAGAGTTTTATTTAGCACTAGAATTTAATCATGTAATTTTTGTATCTCTAAAGTCATCTCTCTCCTAATATTTTCTTCATGTATTTTTAAAAGATTTTTTTAAGAGAGCAGTTGTGCTTCAAGATCTTTAACTTCTTTTTTAAGTTCTTTATTCTCCTTTTCAGATTTTTCAAGGCTATTCTATACATCTAAAAGCTTTTTGGTCAGTGTCTATTTAATACAATAATAATTATTTCATTTAAATTGAAATTAAAAAATAATTTTACATCCATATTTTCCTTTATTTGGTTTTTAGAAAGTGAGGTTTATGCATTTTAATCTTCGTAGTAGCTCAGTTCTCTTTTGAGTTCTTTTATTTCACTACGGTGTTCTTGTTGCAATTAAGATATCTTTTGCTCATATTTTGATGCTATCTGTTTTTCTAAATTGACATTTTCTTCTGTTATTTTATTAATTACAACTTCTATTTAAAAATCTCTTTCTTTTTCTAGCTTTTTTCTAATTTCTTATGTCTTTTTAGTTAGCTCATCATTTTATTTTTAAATTTGCTTTTCCATCCACTTTTCTTGCTCAATTTTAATTTATTCTCTCTGTTATTACAAGGATTGCTTGCTGTCATACTTGCACTCGTCCATTTTATTTTGCATTTCGTTTTTAAGTTTTTTTATTTCTTCAATATGATCTTCTTGAATTTCTTTTATTTTTTTCAAAAAGTAGTCATTTTCTTCTCTCCTTTTATTTTCTAACTCTTTAATTTCTGATTCGTAGTTTTTCTTCATTCTTTCCCTATCTTCTTAATAGTTGGTTTCTATTCTTTAGATCTGCTCTTTTGTTTTTTCAGTCTTAAAAGACCTCTCTTTACTTATTAAATCTTCAGTTTCCATCATAACCTTGTCCTTATAAGCTCTAAATTTTTATTCATACTCTTCCTAAACGTTCTATCTCAATTCATTAATTTATTTTTGGTGCTTTTCTTCAAGTTTTTTGATTTCGATTTTATTTCTGTTGATAATTCTTTCGATTTCAGGTTCCAATCCTTTTATAGTGACTTCTTTAATTTCATTTGTTTTTTCATTCATCCATTTTTCTTTCCTTTATTTTTCTGCTGCAAACCACGCTTCCTTTTATAACTTTAAACAAAAAAAACATTTAAAAGAAGCAAAAATTATAAGCTAATATTTTAATTCAATGATTTCTACTTTAAGATCTTTGATATATTTTTCTTTCTATTCTTTCTCAAAGGCAAGTCTGCTTTCTTCCATAATTCTATATTTTTCAGTTAAATCCTCAACTTATGAATTCAATTCTTTCTTATCCAAAATAAGCTAATCTATAAATTACAAATGTCTCTCAATTACGCATTCTAATTCTTCTTTTTAGGTGCTTAGTCTATTTTCATAATGGTTTCTTAATTCATTTTCTATATATAATTTTTACATACAAAAAATAAAATATTTAGATTTAAACTTGTTTGGTCATTTAAACTAAATTTACCTTATTCCACGCATTTCTTTTATTCTTGCTAAAGCAATTCTCTTAACATTTCAACTGTTTTATTAGCCTCATCTAATTCCAATTTTGTTAACTTCAAATCATTCGCTTATTGATTGAACTTACTAAGCTAGCTTTCCCATTCCTCTAATTTTGTTTATTCTCTTTCTCTAAATTAAATATCATCATCAAATCTTTCTTCGTTTATATTTTTATATTTAGCGATTTCTCCTCCATTTTTACTTTTTCCTTTCTTATTAAAATACTATATTGAATTTTCAAAATCGGATTCACTCATATTAGATTCGCTCTCCACATTTTCAAGAAATTTGTGTAAATTTTTAATCTTTTCAGAAGTGTATTATGAAATAGAATTATTATCACCTCCTTTATTACTGGCCCCATAATTCATATACTTGTTGATTTTTCTTTCTAATCTAATTTTATCGTCAGACATTTATATTTATAGTTTGTTTGCTATTTATTTTACTTAAAAATATCACTTGTTTAAAATATTTGATGCAGCTAATGCTAAAATTTGCGAATTAATTAACTTAATTTAATTTTTGAAAAAAGATTTAATAACCAACAATAATGAAAAAGAATTTTTAAAATCTTGTTTAAAGTATGCATTAATATTTAAAAAGAGAATCACATTTTGAGTAAATAAAGGAAATTCTAAGTTTTAATATAAAAAGAATAATGAAAGTTTTATATAAAAGTGCATAAAATTTTTAATATAAAAAATATATTGATAAATTGAGCTGGCAAATTTAATATAGATAAACAAACAATAAATATAAAACTTACAAAAAACATGCATGGACACTCAAATATGATTTTAGCAGTATAAAGATTATTTTATTTAAGCAATTTTAAATGAATATTTAAAATTAAATTGAAGTGTTTTCAAAAGTTTGATAACAACAATGATTTTAGTTTTCTCTCTAAAGAGTTAATTTCTTATTAAATCAAATTGTATTGGTCTAAATTAAATTCATATTTAAGATAAAGCTTCTCTAATTATTTATCCTTAAGGTAATCATAGAAACCTTCATTTGAATAATCCTAAAAGTACTTAAAAAAGTGAGTGTTTAAATATATAACACCAGCAGAAGTTAAGAAGTATGCCATAGGTTCTACAATATCCCAACTCCAAACATGGTAAGTACCAAAACCAACGAAGCAAAATTAACCTAAAATTTTTAAAAAAATACAATTAAAATGTCATTAATTTCAAAAACCAATTTTATAAATAAGAAAATAACCAAACAAACAAACATTTACCTACTAAAGCAAAAAGTCCAAGACTCATTTTTCTCTTTACTTACTTGTGAGCCTATTTTAAAATTAAAAATATTTTTAGATAAAAATATACCAGATTCAATATATTTGTTTATTTAAATGTGTATTATATCTAATTAAGGAAAATTTGAATTTATGGAAGTATTTTTTAAATTAAAAAGTTTTAAAAAATTTATTTTTTAGATGTTTAAACTGAAATTATAGTTTTTATTTATTTAGTGATGATTCTTTTTAAAATTCTAAAATAATTTTAAATTTTTAGCTATTATTGTTAAATAATAAGGAGATATTTACAAATTTATGTAAAAACCGCTGTTTTTTGTTTATTTATGTTTAATTAATATTATTTGGTTGAAATAAATTATGCTTTTGCTATATTTACTATGTTATCGATAAAGGCTTTTTGCTAAGACATTTGAGAGAGAACTTTTTGAAGTTCTTGGTAACGCAGCATCAAGGATGCTTCATATTCTGTGTGTTAATTTTTGTTTGTTGGAAGAGCTTCTATCATGCTTTTAACCAAATCACTTTTGTTGATGAGAAGTCTTTTGTCTGGTTGTTAGGATTCATCTGAAAATATTTCTTATCCTGTTTTCATACGGACAATTGTATCTACTCTGTTTAGATAATTGATTATGGTTTGCTTTTAAATGTAGCTAAGATTTATATCCTTGCAATATTTATCAATCTTTTAATATTCGTTCTTTATTTCGACGTCTTAGTTATGGACCAAAAATAGGTGCTTATTTGTTAAGTCGCAAATGTAAAAATTAGATCCTTCTAAATCATCGAGCATAACCGTTTCTGATAATTCCTTTTTATCTAGAGTGTATGCACGCAAGTCTCCTTTGATTTTATATTGTTCTCTAATGCCTTCTAAAAGATCTCCAATATTTCCTTCAGAGTCTGTTTGCAAAACAGTGACTTATTCTTATTGTTAGTTTGCAAAAAGTACTTCAATTTCAAACAAATCTTCGTTTTTGCGTGACATAATGATTTTGAAAGGATTTTTAAAATTCAAATCCTTTTAAATAGCAGCAAGAGAAGAAAATGCTTAGTGTACTGGATAATAGAAAAGCTTTTAATTTTAGAAACTTTTCTGAGTATGCTTGAGTATATTACGCAAAATCATTTTAATCTTTCTATAAATTTTTCAAATTATTTATTGTTAATTTAAGAATAATCAATGAATAGGTAGAGTATTTTATTTAAGTTTATTATTTATATCCTCTCTGTTTAAAAAAAAGAAAATCTTGTTTATATTAATTAAAAAACTAACTAGCTAGTAAATACCTTTGCTCAATCAATTTATAATAATTGCCTAAAATAGAATTATAAGAACAACTGCTAATAATTTTTAAAAAGTAAATTTATTATTTAAATTTTGTATTGACTTTAAATTATTTTAAATAAAATTCAAACAATAGAAAATTTAATTTTTAAATATTTTCAGATAGTTTTATGTTTTTAAAAATATGAAATGAACCATTTTTCTAAATAAAATAAAATAGAGTAGATTTTATTAAAGTCAAACAATATATTAATCATATAAAAATAAATCAATTAATTAATTAATCTTTTTTATTTAGAACATTATTTAGTTATTTTAAAATAATAACAAAATTAATAAATAAAAGTTCATTCATATTTATAAAAATTTTTATTTTTGGCCTAATAAAAAAAAATAAAAACAAATATAATTGATAATTAAAATATTTTAAAATTTTGTTTTTTAAATTTTACATTTCCTAACGAATATTAATTAATTGATTTACTAAGAAATTAAATTAGCAAGTAATTTTAAACATACCATTTAAAATTCTTTTTAGTTCGAAATAAATTATTTATTTATGTATGTATGTATTTATTTATTTAATATTTTATAACAATTTTTACTTTTCATCTTTTGAAAAAAGCAACAGGATGGAAAGATTGAATATCAAGAAAAATCAATTAAATTACTAAATTAGATCAATATTTCTAACACCTTCAAATAGCAAAGAAAGAACAATCATACATATAAACAAACAAACAAACATATATCCCCTGTATACTTTTTTAAATTAAAAAATTAAATTTTTGAAAGCATTATAAATTAAAAAAAGAAATTTTTTCATTTAAATAAGCAAATCGAATAATTAGTAGATAGGATATTATTTGAGCAAGAAGTTAAAAAAATCGCAAATATTCATTAAATAGAGAGTTAGATTAATTAATACATGGGAGCAGGAGATTCTAAGGTAGACTTTGGTTAGCTGTAAATTGAGCACTATAGAAAACCAGGCTTGAATGATCAAGAAATCTATTAATTATATTAAATTTTTTAAGGACTAGGACCTAACAAGGAAGGAATGGTTAAGGCTTCTAAAGTAAAGCAATAGTATTAAGAGTCTATGAATAAGAAAGATTTTGACTTGCAAATTGGAAATTTAGAACACCTGAATTGGGATACATTCTTCCATATTATGAGTAATGATATTATTGAAAAAAAATAAAGATTTGGAGATGTCTAATTTGATACTTCTGCTAATGATGTTGGATGTGTATTTTGTCCTTATACTGTAGATAAGAGATAATAATGAAAACCTTTAATAATAATTTATTGCATAAATGGCTTCAGTAGCTCAAACTATTTGTTGAGAGGAGTAAAATCTGTAGCTCAAATAAGTTTTGAAGGAATTGTTTAAAATTTGAATCAAAAATAGCTAGCACTGAGCAATACAAAAAAATAATAATTAAATATGAAAAAAATTTCGAATTGAAATGTATTAAGAAAATAATATCCTATAAAATATTTGGTTAACCAATTAATTAGTTAATTTATAATTAATTATTCATTTATTATCATTTGAGTATAGTATTATATTTATAATTGAGTAAAATAAATTTCTCTTCAAATTAATTAACTGATTCTCTATAAAAATTATCTTATATATTCTATTACATTCACACACACAAACAATTAAGCATGCTGGCTTCTCTTTCAAAAATATTTTCTTTAATTTAAATTCATAAAAAGCTATGTTGATATTTTTATAATATTTATTCAAATACTTTTTCTTTTTATTTATTATTTATTATTAATTGTAAATAAATATCTTGTTAAATAAAATTCTTAATTAATTTAAATAATGTTAAGTATGTCAAATATCATACTAACAATTTAGTTACAATACATATTCATATCTATCTATCTAACTTATTTATTTATTTTTAAATTAATTAGAATATGTAATTTTATGTTTGCTGCTTTTTAGTTTATAAAAATCAATTTTTAATATAAAAATATATAATAAATTGATTTAATTTTGAGCATAAAATGTGTGTAGATTATTTCTACTTTTGTTTAATAGTAAATAAATCATATTATTTTTATCTTTTAAAAAGATTAATTATTGATGAATTATTACAATTAAAATCACAATTTTTTTGTTTTAACCACAAATCTAAATAAATCAATTAAAATCAACATAAATAGTAAATAAGGCTTAAATTTACATCAACCAGCAAAGAAAATCTTTTTATTAATACCAAAAATAGAATAAAATGTTTTCTGATGATGCTCAAAATTTTAATTCGAAAAACAGTTTAAATTTAAGTGAAATTACCTCATTATAATGTATTAATTCATAGTAAATTCGATAACATAACATGAATAATAGCTAAATAGAGGCTTTGTAAATAATAAAAAGAATTGAAAAGTAGGCTAAAGATAGTGATTAATGTAAGTGGATATAACTAAAATATAATAAGAAAAAGAAGAAAAATTAGTTTATTAATTTATATATTGAATACCCTTTTAAATCTGAGTTTATTTATCACATTTCTGGAAATATTCTAACTGAAATAAACCCTCATGAAAATAATAGTTATTAAATATGTGTTAGAAAATTAGAGAAAACTGAATAATCATACACTATTTTTCCTTAGAATATTAAATATTTGACTGATTTGGAATATATTATTTTTTTATTACAAAATTCATAGTGCTAAGACTCCTATAAGGCAAGCATATTGCTATAATAGTATTAAAATATTATATAAAATTAAAAGGAGCTTTGCAGATAAGTTAAGTAGGAATTAGATGAAGAATAATAGCTTCATCTCCTAGAAGAAAGGAATAAATTTAAAAATGAAATAATTAAATAGCATATAGAGCAAAATTTAAAAGATGAGCATTTTTATGCAATTTCAAATATAAGCATGAACATTCAAGACGAAGTTTCATATTTAGAATATGTTAAATTCAGTAAAGGTTTGTTTTATATCTTAGGAATTGAACAAAAGGGTATCGAAAATCTATTATTTAAGTAGCATATTCTTTTTTTGATGCTTTTGCCTTCTTAAAGAAAACTTCATTTTGTAAATTAGGTTAAGAGATATCTACACTTGGATTTGTAAAAATAAATAACTGATAATTTTGTGATATAAACCATAGACTAGATCCAAGTAGCATGTAGCTTAGAATCTTACTATATTCCTATTAATTACCCACATAATTTAGTTATAAAAAATTAAGAATATTTTAATATTTCTATGGATAACATTTAAGTAACAATATTCAACATCCCTGCTGATTAAATTAAAAAAGTAGTAGAGTAAAGATAAAAATAAATTGATCACCCTTTCGAAGATTTTGAATACTCTATGCTCAGCTAAATATTTATTGAAAAATATTATACAAATCATATAAAAAAGGATAAAAAATCAGATGAATATGATGAATAGAAAGAATTTTTAAAATCGTAAATGGTTGAATATCTAAATAATAATGAGCATAAAAGAGCTTCCTACAAACCAATTAAAAATTAATAGAATTGAAAAATAAATAAGCAAACTAAAGCACTTAGAATATTATTATTGTTATTAATTAAGTTAGGCTGTATCTTAAAAAAATTAAAAGAAGAAACAATAAAAATGGGTCAATTTTAAAACCAATACTACAATTTATATTTAAAAAATATTCAATATTTAGAATTGTTATAAAAAATAAATAAATTTCATTCTAAAATAATTAACAAATTAGTTAATTTATTTATTCATTATTTTTTATTTTTAAAATAGAAAAGTAAAAATTTATTTTATTAAAAATACATTTATTTTCTTTTGTTTCATTTATTCATGCACTTATTTATTCTTTTGTTTGTTTATTTTATTTTAGTATTCAAGAAATAATTTTTTAAAATAAAATTTAGTACAAATAAAAATATTTAATTCACTTTTTATAGATTTGAATAATTTTATATTTTTAGCTTTTATTTGAATGTGAATAATTTGTAATTTAAACTTATCAAATATTTGAAAGTATATCAATAGTATTAAATAATAAATAAACAAAAAAGCTTTGAATCAGTAGAAAATTTCTGATCAAAATATGATAAATTATTTAATAGGAGATTCGCTTTTCTTAAGATATAAATAATATCAAAAAAAAAAATAAATTTGTAAAAAAAGAAGATTAATAGAATCTGTTTGTTTTTTAATGTAAAGCAAGTAAAGTTTGAGTTTATTCTTTGCTACTAAAAAAGCAAGTGCTATATCATTAGCTCTTTTAGCTGCTGCTGTAGCTGCAATAACCTATACTATATCTTTTTAAGACTTTGAAGTTTGTTTGAAAAATTAACAAAGGTAATTTAATTGCGATCAATTTCCTGACTTTAAATAAAAAATGGAATGCTTAAAGTATCTTACAAAAATAAATGCATAAATTAAATTAGATCAAGGATTTCAGTAAGCAATTGATGCTTTTGAATCTAAATTTTATAAATTTAAATAGACTCTAAATTTTTCAAAAAGAATAAGAAATTTACCCTATGGTTTTGAATAAAACTTCTTAAAAACTTTAGAATTTGCTTAAGGAAACGAAGAATTATTTACCAAAATATTTAAACCTACTTATTTATATTGCTTCAAATATTAGTGATTTGATAAAGTTATTGACTTAAAGTATTTAAAATACAAAAATATATAACTAGCATTCTTATTTAAAAATCTATTTTTGTTATCATTTCAAAGTTTCTGTTTCTTTAATAATTTTTTTGTAAATATTAAAAAAAAGATCACTATTTATCAAATAAAAAACATTTTTATAAATTTGAATTGACTTTTTGCTTTAAATTAAATTTAATAAAATGAAATATCTTATAATAATATGATGACTTTGTTCAATTTTAAGTAATAAAAAAATTTAACATCTTTTTAAAAACATTAAAAAATTAAACTAAAATAAAATGAAATATTTTTATAATAAAATGACTAGTTTCATTTGTAATAACAAATTAAAACAATAAATTTGCCAATCATCAAATTTAAAACATTTTTATAAATTATTTGGCTTTATACTTTAAAAAAACATTAAAAATTAACACTTAAATAAAATGAAATATTTTCTAATAAAATGACTTAGTTTAATTGTACAAATAGAAGCAATTGCAAGTCATCTTAAAAAAAGCTGTTTATTTATTTTGATATATAAATTATTTGAGTGTTTTTAAGGATAAAGTATATTAAATTTGATTTATTATATTTTTTTTACATTAAATTAATTAAAAAAAAAGAAATAAACTCCTACTTATCTATTTTAAAGTATCTTATTATTTTTATTTTTTGTTAATAGAAAAAAAAAATGATAAAGGATCCTGATTAATTTAACTAAAACACAGAAACAGATGAAGAAGCACCTTACTTTATAGAAAATTTTGATATATAAAAAGAGTTAGATAAATATAAATATGTTAAACAAAGCAGAAACTTAGCTTACTAATATTTGAGTGAAAATAAACTAATAATTGACTAAAGATATGATCTCAAAAAATAAACCAATGATTATAATGCATCATATAAATGCAAAGCATATGATAATAAATCACACTAAGATGTTTTCATTTACTATTATATTACTTTTGCACAATATGATATATATTACTTAAAATAAATTTTAAAAGCAATTGAGATTTAAAAATTCTTAAACCATGAAAACATAGAAAAAATATATAACTTTGATATTATCTCTTATCCTGAAATCAATAAAATGTATGTTGTTTCTGATTTCATGCAAACAAATTTGAGTTTTATCACATAATCTTAGCAATAGCTAACGGATGAACATATTTAGTTTTTTATGTATTAAATTTTAAGAGCTTTACACTACATTCACTCTGCTAAAATAGTATTTGGATTTTTATTACCTAGATTCATTCAAATCAATTCTGATTGCTCTATAAAAATATCAGAGTTTACTTCATGTGTTGGAAATCAAAATCAAAAGATCAGAAGTTACATACATAAAAACTATTATATGTCTCCTGAATACATTGTTGAAAAAATTATCACAGAAAAATCAGATATTTGGTCAGCTGGTTGCATTTTTGCTGAATTAATCAATAGAGTAAAGCTTTTCAGTGGACATGATGATTTTACAGCCATAACTTAAATTCTTTAATTTTGTGGTGAGCAAAATGAAGAAGATTTGAAATTTTACAAATAAATAAATAGAGAAAAACTATCAACACTTATGCCAAAAGAAGAATAAATATCCTTGCAAGTAAGATTTCCAAATGCTAATCCTTTGGCATTAGATTTATTGGGTAAAATGCTTACATTTAATTTAGAAAAAAGATTTAATGCTCTTGAGTGTTTATAACATGAGTATTTAGCTGATTTATATGACCCTTAAAGCGAATTAATATGTGATTAAGAATTCGACTGGAGCTTTCTAGATTAACAATTGACTAAAGAAGAAATTATAATGAGATTATACAAAAATTAACTATTTTTTTAATAAAATTGAAACAAAAATATTAAAATTAAAAATAATTATTTTATTTTATGTAAACTAACAGTACAGTCTTAATTGGTAAGTTAAGAAAGAAGCATTTTTTCAAAATTTAAAAAACTGGAGTTATAAAAAAAATACAACGAATTTTTTTACTCTGCTGACGCCGTGTTTCCAATATCTATTATATTAAAAATTAAAAAAAGTTCACTATTTATCAAAATAAAAAACATTTTTATAAATTTTAATTGATTTTTTGCTTTAAATAAAATATATTTCCTAATAAAATGACTTTGCTCAATTTTAATAATGAGTTGATAAAAAATAACAGATTTTAAAAAACATTAAAAGATTAAACTAAAATAATAAGAAATATTTTTCTAATAAAATGACTTGTTTGAATTGTAACAATAAAATAAAAATAAAAATTAAATTTATCAAATAAAAAACATTTTTTTTTTTATTTTAAATTTAATCTTACTTTAAAAAACAAACATTAAAAATTAATGAAATATTTTCTAATAAAATGACTTAGTTTAATTTTACAAATGGAAGCAATTGCAAGCCATCATAAAAATATTTGCTTATTTATTTTGATATAAATTATTTGATTTCTTTTAAGGATTAAGTATATAAAAGTTTATTTATTAGATTTTTTTTTGCTTTAAATTAATTAAAAAAAGAAATAAACTCCTACTTATCTATTTTTTAAAGTATCTTACTATTTTTATTTTTGGTTGATAGAAAGTAAAAATGATAAATAATCCAGATTAATTTAACTAAAACATAGAAACAAATGAAGAAGCTCCCTACTTTATAGAAAATTTTGATAAATAATTAGAGTTATATAAATTTAAAAATGTTAAACAAAGCAGAAATATAACTTACTAATATTTTAAAAGAAGTAAATTAATAATTGACTAAAGATATGTTCTCAAAGAAGAAATCTCTTATAGCAGTTATGAATATAAATGCAAAGCATATGATAATAAATCACACTAAGATGTTTAAATTAATTATTATTTTTTTTATAGTCAATATTAATTAAAAGAAATTTTAAAAGCAATTGAGATTTAAAAATTCTTAAATCATGAAAACATAGAAAAAATATATAACTTTAATTTTACTTCTTATCCTGAAATTAATGAAATGTATGTTGTTTCTGATTTCATGCAAACAAGTTTGAATTATATCATATAATCTGAGCAATAGTTAACGGAGGATCATATTAAGTATTTTATGTATTAAATTTTAAGAGCTTTACACTACATCCACTCTGCTAAAATAGTATTTGTCTAATTAGAACCTAAATTAATTAAAATTAATTCTGATTGCTCTATAAAAATATCAGACTTTATTTGGTGTATTGGAAATCAAAATTAAGAGATAGAAACAAATTACGTAAATTAATACTATTATATGTCTCCTGAATATATTGTTGAATAAATGGGCACAGAAAAATCAGATATTTGGTCAGCTGGTTGTATTTTTGCAGAATTAATAAGTAGAAGAAAACTTTTCACTGGATATGAATATCCTCAAGCCATAACTTAAATTCTTAAATTTTGTGGTAAACAAAATGAAGAAGACTTGAAATACTACAAAATAATAAATAGAGAAAGACTATTAAAATCTATGCCAAAAGAAAAATAAATATCATCATTGCAAGCATATTTTCCAAATGCTAATCCTTTGGCATTAGATTTATTGGGTAAAATGCTTACATTTAATTTAGATAAACGATTTAACGCTCTTGAGTGTTTATAACATGAATATTTAGCTGATTTATATGACCCATAAGAGGAATTTACATGTGATTAAGAATTTGACTGGAGTTTTCTAGATTAAAAATTAACTGAAAAAGAAATTATAATGAGATTATACAAAAATTAGCTATTTTTTTAAGAAAATTGAAACAAAAATAATAATTTAAAATTAAAAACAATTAATGTAAGCTCTTATTAATTAAAACAACCCCCTTTTAAAATTTTGTGTGATATTTTGGGCGTTAGATTTGAATTTGTTATTTATTTATTTATGTAATACAATTATATTTATTAAAACAATTTATAGATACATTTTATTAATTATTTAATCAACTTACAAATTTTAGCAACAAAAGTTAAAATATTTAGAATTATTTTTTTGTTTGTTTGTTTTTAAATTAGTTATAAAACTCAATTTTAGGTATTTTAAATTTTTGCGTTTAATTGATAACTACTATTTCTTAGCTTAATTCTTATATTTTAAGGTTATTATTAGACTAGTGATATATTGACTTTATTATCGCTTATATTAGTATCTTTACATTTTATTCTATCTGAATTTCTATTTAAAGAGAATTAATCATCCTAAAATTAATTTTCAAGAATTATTTCATCATTTTTTTATAAGTTAGGAGATTAAACACTTGATTTTTTTAATGATGCTCCATTACTGCTTATATATGATCCTAAACTAATTTTTCTAACACAAAGTGCTTCTAAATTATTATGATCAGATGTGGGGCTAATATTTTGTTTGTTTTCTGAGGAATTATCTTTCTAAATATCAGAGTTTCTACTCGAAGCTTAAGATTTTTCAAGTTTTTTGCTTAGTAAAGTGTTATTAAATATTTGAGAGCTATTTTTTCTGGAATTTTATTTGAATTCTTCAACAGTTTGAACATCTGTTTATGAAAATATGTTAATTTTGGTTGATTATTTTTTTTGATAATTCTAAGTCATAATCTAATATTTCACAAACTAGCTATTTTAAATGTCATCTTTTTTATATTTATTTTTACTTACATTTGTCAATGGTCTTTTTTAAATGGTAATATTTGGACTTAACTGGATTTTTTCTGTTATTTGATTATTCTAATTTTTATCATTTTAAAGTTTAGGATTTGTATTTTTTGTATTATTAGAGTGATTATTATTTTTATTATTAAGTTAAGTAAAATCATTTATATCTATAGGGATTATATTTAAATAGGACTCATAATTTGCTATAGGTCTAATATTATTAATTAAATTGTTGTTGTTACTGTTATAGCTATTATGATTTGGGGACTATTAATAAGAAAGATATTTTGATTGTTGAATTAAATTTTTTTTGACAGCATATCTGCATTCCAAATTAAAATCTAATCTTTCATCTTCATCTTCTTATGATGGTAATGAGTTTACAGCTGTAAAATTGGTAGAGTTTTTAATTAAATTTGTTTAAGAATTTGCATTTTAATCAATTATATTTATTTCCTATTTATTTTGATTTGAAACTTAGCTAATACCATCTTTAGCATGATTGTTTAGTATTTCTATAAAATTATTTCTTTCATTTTTAGATTTTATTTCTAAAATACTTGTTTGAATCTTTGAATTTTCCACAGATTAAGCAGCAAAATAACCATTTTAAGCATTCCTTTATCTAATATAAGAAGTTAAAGTTGCTCTCTATTTATTCGGTTATTCTTATTCTTCAGTGTTATTGTTACTCTTTGTAATTTAAGTCATCGTATTAGAAAATGAATTGTATTCTTTAGATTGGCATGTTTAGATTTGATTTGAAGAAGGAGATTAAACTTGAGAGTTCTACTGAGTTTGAGCTTTCCTTGATCTGGAAGGAGTATTTATCCTTTTTATTACAAACCATGATTAATCTGTTTAAAATTATTTCAAATTATTGTTATTGTTGTTCTCGCTTTAGTAATTTTAGATTTCCTTGTTATCTAAAAGTTTACGTGAGCTACTTTTTTTAAATTCTTAATAGATATTTGAGTTAAGTGTTGACACTTTTTTAGCTACTTGTGAATAAAATCTGTTGGATTAAAAATCTGTTTTATTCTGCTTAATCTTTTCTTATAAATAATCTTAAAGCTAATTTTCTTGAGCACTCAACTTAAGTAAAGATAAATAATTGCTGTTAGATGTTTAGAAAGGAGGCATCTAATAATTTTAACTTGATGTCCCCATAGTGAATATAAGGCCACTAGTTTATAGCTAATGAGTAACTTTTGGTGGAGGATTCGCTATGCAAGAAACAATAGTTTATGTGGATTAAGCTATTGGATTTCCCTATATATGCTTTACATTACTATTAATATTCTACTATGTTTAAAGGCATTCTCTTTGTTAAATTTAATTTATTGATGTATTATTAGAGTTTTCTTATGTTCTCATACTCATTTATGAAGAAACTTATCTTGTTTCTCTATGATTTTGTTAGCTCTAACTCCTATTTTAACTACTATGGACTTAAGATTTTGATAATCTGTGATTCTGATTAAAAGAATTTTCACTATTTTCCATTTTATACCTTTTCAATTAGCTTTTTCTCTGAGATTCAAAAGCAACATGTTAAAATTTAAAGCTAGCCTCCTAGTATTACTCGAGTTTCTTTCTTCCCTATTTCATTAGAGTTTTAAGCAATTCAAGAGATACAACTTCGCATAAATCAAACACGTTTACACAATAAAGAGTGCATAAGTTCTTATCCTTTGTTTCAGCAGATATGGTTCTATCTTATTCTGATAGAGCATTTTCATGTCCAAATATTTTACCTTAATTAATCTCTGCCACTTTTAAATCCCCCTTTTTGATAACAACTACACCCTTTTTAACTATAAAAATTTCTTTTGATTCTTCTTATTCATTAAAAATACTTCCAGTTAATATTCTTTCTTTAAACAGTTTGCTCATTTTTGATATTTCACTCTAAAATTGTTTGTGTTTAATAAAAAAAATTAACATTAAACCATCTTTGAAAGTAGTTAATTAATTAAATGTTAGGATTTTTAGTTATTTAAGTAAGTCAATAAAAATGCTCTCAAAAATAATTTCTCAAAAAATCAATAAAATGTTTATTCAAATCTTAAGAAACCAATTTAATTTAATATTAATCTGATTTACTTTGTTTATGCCATTTGATAAAAGCTTTTCTAAGCATCTTATAATAAAGTTATGCTGCTAAATAGATGAAGAAAATAATTTTGTATAGCTATCTTAAGGTAAGTATGCAATATCTATATCCTGCTTTGCAATCATGAGATAATTTGACACTTAATTGATATCGTATATATCTCCTAAACAATTAAATTGCTTTATTTAATCGTTGACTTATTTATACATGCAAATTTTTTAATTATGTTTGTAGAACTCTTGATAAGGTAGCAGTAAAATTTGATCATCTAAAGGAGTTTATAGCACTTTAAGAAATCCTTCTGCTTTTTAAACCTGTTCTTTAAGCTTTTAAATCTACATCTAGTTTAATGAGTCAGCTTAGTTAGAGTTTAGTAATTGTTATGCATTTGTGTGTTGCTTGAACCAATTCAGTTCTTAATTATATTGCTCTTGAGTTTTTTTTACAAACAAATTCAAACTACCTTACAAAATAAGGTAAAAATTATGAAATTTCTCACCCTGTTAGATAAATATTTATCCTTTAGCTACCCTTTTGTATTGCAAATTAACAGCTATATCTCTTAGAAATGATTGCTCATAAATTTCATTATTTATATAGCAAATCAATTAAGGAAATTGCTTTAAATAACAGACTATCTGACTAATTTAGTTAGCATTAAGTTTATCTTTAGATTCTAATTCAATGAGTTGCCTTAGCTCCTATACTTCATCCTAATCAGAATTCTTGTTTTCTTCATAGTCCATATTTGAATATTTATAATGAATAGAGTATTTTAAATAAATCCCTTCCCTATCTAGTGGTTCTGCTACCTAAATAATAATATTTTAGTTGCTACTAGAGATGAATATGTTTTAAAGCTAAATTAAATTTTTTGCAAACTAAAAAAGTTGATTTCTAAATATTAAAGAATCAATAATTTTAATCAGTTTCTACTTTAGTTAATTATAATTTACTCAATATTTTAATCATAAATAAGCATACATAATATTTCACCATAAAAAACCTGAATTAGAAAGTTTAATTTTTATTTTATTATTCTTAAATACACAATAAATTTCAAATGAATATTTTTTTATTGGCTTATCTTTTACATAAGGTATTTTGAATAACCTTAGTAATATAGTAAATTAATATTGTTCATTCATTTTTGAACTAATTTGTTATAAAATATAAACATAAATAAGTTAATAAGTAAATGAGTAAGCAAAGTAAGCAGTAGTAAATTTATATTTTTGCTTTTTTTATGGTAACAAAGTAGAAAGTAAGACTATTCATTTTTTAAAATCAAATTGATTTCAAGAAATATTGAGTCCTTCCTAATTATGATAAATTGAACAGGTTTAAAATTATTTAGGAATAGATAAATTGTTAAATTTGTATTTTTAAAATACAAAAATTAGCTGAAGTTAAAAACTCTTCTCTTCATTTTATTTGATTACTTACTTACAAAAATTTAATCAACAAAAATAATAAAATTATTTTTTAATTTTTGATATTCTGAATAGATTCGATAACAGGTAATTAATGCTTTGGTTTAGCTTAGATTGAATCATATAGTAAAAATATAAAATAACAATAATAAACTAAATAGATATTAATTTTATCTAATATTACTTTATCTTTTGGATTATAAAATTTAAAATAAAAATTTAATAAAAAATAGAATTATTTTGTAAAATAAATTCAACACTAAGTTTGTAAATTAAATAAATATTTTTATATTATAAACAAAATTAAATAAAATCAATTTATTTTTTATATTAAATTTAAGTCTGAGCTCTACATTTTTTAACACTCTATTTTTATTAATTTATTAATTTCAGGATTTTGTAAACTATCAAATCCATTAAATGGGGATTCTTATTATATTTTAGGAGTTTAGTCAGAGTCTATTTTTTTAATAGAAACTCTTTTCTAAAAAATTGACGAAGTTTCTGTTTTTTTTGGTGCACTCAATTAGCTACCTATAAGAATAAAATTAAAATCAAATTATTTAATAATTTATGTAATTAAATTACAATCTGGTTCAAATACGATCAATTATACATTTTTTTCATCGTTCATTTCAGTAACCTATTCGAATTTTATATTTTAAACATCTAAAGCTTTTTATTGTAATTCTATTTTATCACTTTTCCTCTACACTGTAGTTTCAGAAAAAGCTTTTTAATTCAAATTCTGAGACTCTCTTTCAAAAAATTAGTTTACTTTCTTCTTGGCTTTATCATATTCTTAATTATTCAAATCGGCTTTAAATAGTTATAAAGAAAATTATAAACATAAAATTTTTATAATTTATAATTAGTTACTTAATTGCTCTTCATAAATCTTAAGGATTACAGCTTTCTTTTCAGCTGGAGGAAGTTTTATGAATTTATTGAAAATATTTCTCATTTTTTAGCGGACTTCAGGATTCATTTTTCTTTTTTATTCTTCTTTAGGAAGGTATTTTTTAAAGTAGTCAATTTTTTCTGCTAATTTCTCTATTATAATTTTTTTGATGCCTTTGATCTTATATATATATCCACTTAAAATTTTAATCACTAGACTGATTATGTACCAAGCATTTAAAATAATTAGCATTATAAAACCTATAATTACTAGATAGTTATATGAATTGTCATATATGAAAACACCAATCAATATACTAGCTGCAGAGCAGTTAGTTGAGTACACATCCAGTTTGTTAATAAATTCTTCTTTATATGGATTAAATCTTTGAGCTAAGAGACCATATATCACGATGATCTAAAAAGAGATCAACCCTTTTACTGGTACATTTGAATAAAAGAAATTCAAAACTAATATAATAGCTATTTTTTCTGCCATTTTTACAAATTCCCAGTACCATCTTTGATATTCTTTATAGAGGAATCCATATTTTAGTTTGACTTATAGAGTATCTAAACTTTTTACCTTTCTCCATAAAAGTAACCATAATATAAATGGAATTAAAAATATCCAAAGGAATAATACAGGAATTAAAAAGAAATAGGAGTATTTATTATGTTATTCATTATGGCACATGTAAGACACATTTCCAAGAATATATTCTTCATCACCGATTTTTCTGCATGATAATAACGATATAACTTATGAAACCAAATCTGGCTGCACATAAATAATTAAGAACATTATTCCTGTTGAAACTATGTACCAAGGAAAAGGTTTTCCTCTATTAAATAACTAAGCAATAACTATTCCAAAAAAGAATAATAATAAATAAATTAATGGGATGATTAGTGAAAACATGACTCTTAAATAAATAATAGGAACATCTGTTTTTATTTCTGCTAATGCACAATCCAACGAATTCATTGACTATTAGAGAGGTCTTCCAACTGCTTCAGGAGCACTGTAAATACCTATATATTACAAATTTAATTGCTTTTATCTTTACAAAATTATAATTTTAGTAATTAATAAAAAAAAAATTTTCAACTTATTGTAGTTGCTTAAAAAAAAAACTTTTTAAATATCATTAAATTTTTGTTTTATTAAATTTAAATTTTTCTCATAAATTGGCTGTGCTGAATAAATTCTTAAAAAATTTTAGAAGAATATAAACGGTATGCATTTATGATGAATGATTTTTGCTTAGAAAATTAAAAATTAACATTTATAATATAGATTAATTCTGATTATAAAAATGGTTCAATCAATGAATTTTGAAAAATAATGAATGAAAAAATAAATGAAGATGAGTAAAATAAATGAAATACCTGATGGTAAAGTGAGATTAAATGAAGCAAGAGTATTTACAATCTACAAATAATTTGTTAGCATTTTGACGTAAGTACCTGCTCTTTATTCATCTTCTTAATTATTACCAAATTTTTTCTTATTTATCATAGATGCATGAGTAGGTCTTTTTTCTATGGAACTTGACCCATTTTTTTCAATATATCTTTTAATGGTTAAGGCTCCTGCTGCATTCTCTAACGTATCAATATCACCCCTGATTGCGATAGTCATCGATATCATAGTCCAAACTGTCATCAAAATTACTATATAGAGATTTCCTGTAATTTTATTACAGTTTGTACAACTATAATCTCCTGACTTGGCAAACCTTTCCAACCAAAATTATCCTTGAGTCTTTGTTTTAAAACAAACGTCTTATAAGAAAGCAAAATTAAATAAATAAAAATTTACATCGCATTCTTCACATAATGCTCCAATATGTCCTTCATAACAAATTTAATTTCCGTGTGAGCCTTCTAGGCAATTAGATAAGGCATTATTGCATTTTATTACTTTACTTGAAGAAAGTGAACTTCTCCAGTAACCAGATTCTACTATAATATTTTAACCTCCACTACACTTTGCTCCATCAGGACACGGCTAACAACCGTTCAGATCTAAAGAAAAAGTATTTTCTGCACAAGGACTACATTCAGTTAGCTGCTTGTATTTTAGAATTTCCTCACCAGCTTAGCATGATCTAAATTCAATTTTAATTTTTAAAGAATAGTTTGAAACATAAGTATATGTGATTGGATCTAAAATTTTAATATTGTTTGATTTAAATTCAAAATATTGAGAAGTTTCAGGGGTTCCTACTGCTTGGACATCAGTAAAAACAAAACTTTTTGAATCTTTATCATAGACTGAAACAAGCTTTCCTACTAAGTCGTACTAAACATTCTGAGAAGCTTGATAAACATCTACTTAAATAGAATACATGCTGATTTCGCTTTCTTATAAAGGATATATTATGCTTTCTTCATTTTTAAACTAAAGGGCAAGAGTAGGGATTTTATCTCCGCTTCTAAAATTCTTAATAGTTAGCAAACCATCAACGTAAGTTGAATTTTTATTTTCTTTTAAAAAGTGATCTAAATTGTAAAATCCTAGCTGAGTTGGATAAGATATTTCATTATTGCCATAAATCAAGGCTTTGTTGTTACTAATCTAATTTTAAGTGCTATTGGGAGCTATGTTTTCACTGCTCAACGCTCCTCCCACCATAGCTTAATTCTATTAAATTTAGTTATTGTAAATGGTTATATTTTAATTTAAAGTATTTAGTGAACTGCTGTAAATGTAAATAGCTCCGCCTTTACCATTTTAGGATATATTTTCTGTAAATGAGTTTGAATCAACAATGAGATTGAATACCTTTAAGATAATAAATATTGATAAAATCTATTTTTTTTATATTTAAAATATTTACATCAGTGTCTCCAGCATTTAAATACAATGATCCACCATCATATTTTGCTGTATTTTAAGTAAAACTACAACTTTTTATTTAATTCTAACCAGTAAAAGCTTAAACAAAGATAGCTCCACCAAAATTAGACTATTTATTAATTTATTATTAAATAGTTAAAAGAAAATTTATTCTAAATAAAATAAAATTTTACACTAGATTATGAAAATGATGTATCTTAGATAGTGAAAGTAGTATTTAATATTTAAAGAGAACTTCCTTAACAATTTGAGGTACAATTAATTTTTGAGAGCAAAGAAGTATCTTTTAATATGAGCTTACTATTACTTACTAAGATCAATGAATTTCCACTTGAAAGTGGTTATTTTTAAATCAGTTATTGTAAGAATCTATTAGAAAATAAATCTGAAAAGCTGCTGAAAGCAATTTATGAAAAATTGGTGAAAGTAACTTAGCTAAATTAAACTGATCCTCCTATTATTTTCATAACTTAATATTTGAATTTGCTATCAGTAAAAGAGCTATTTGTTATGGTCACCTTACTATCAAGAGATTAGAGTAAAAGAGGCATCTACGTGTTTCTATTTTGGCTCCAATTTGTTAAATTGCAGTTTGTCATTTAAAAGCTTGAATTCTGAATATTTACTAGTTATGCTGGCGACGCCATTCTATAGAGTGTACCAGCCTTCTTGACAAGTTATATAAACAATTAATTAAAGTTATCAATAGTTATTGTTTAGAAATCATTGATTTGCAAGTCAACTTTTATGAGGTAAATGAAGTTATTGTCTCCGTTTCCATATATATTTTTGATTACTCCACCGTTGAAATTAATAGAATGACGCGAAGTATCTAATGAGGCTGAATTCCTAAATTATAAATATTTTTAAAAAGTATTTTTTCATTTAAAAAGTATTTTTTCATTTAAAAATTTTACTCTAAGCCAATAGTTGCTGCAGATAAAGCTACGCTTATAGTGTAAATATTAGTGAAATTACAGTTATCACAATTAAATTATATTGTATTTGAAGGATATAAGTAAATCGCTCCTCCGTTATTACTTGCATAACCTTCATTAAATGTAGAATCTGAGATATACATTTCTAAAATTGAGGAAAAAGGTTATGCATAAATGAATGAACCAAATGCAGCAGTTGATTAAGAGAAATAACATTTTGTAAAAAAGATGCTTTTCACTTAAAGATAAAGATTTCCACCATAATTTTTGAAAATGAAAGCTTATTTTGTTACTATTTCAGTAAAAGAGGACTATATAAATGTTGATTTTTCCATATATATTGAATCACCTTAGACATAAATATAATTATACCCAGCGTTGCTTGTTGAATTTTTAAAATTGCAGTTCTTAATATTTAAATTTCCTGACAAGAAATGAGTTCCAATCCCATTTGTAGAAACTATGAACTTGTCGTGATATTTCTCCTTAATATAATAATTATTTGAAGTGAAATTGCTGTTGAGGATATTAATCGTTGCATTATACATTATCATTATATAAAGAGGGTTCATTGGGGCGTTTCCTGCTAACTGTGATTAATTATTATTAGCAAATGTAGCATTTTGTACATTTATCGTTATGTATTTAGTAAAATAGCTCTCGAATCTGATTAAATTTTCATCAATCGTTTATTTATTGATTATATTAAGTGTAGAAATATTTAAATTTGATACTTCTATAAAATATAAGCATCCTGCAGTTCTTTTAGTGAATGGAATATCTTTGTTATAAGCTGGCTCGTTAGTGCAATTGAAATTTGAGATCTGCACTTAGTTAGATGTGTCAACTACAGATAGGAATATGTAAGTTTGATTCACTATATTAGTGTTAGTAAATGTGACATCAGATATTTTGGTTGTATAAATTAAACTAGAAATTTGCTGGTCAGTTTGACTGTTGGTGATATTTAGCTTATTATTAGAAACCATTAAATTGTTAAATATAACCTGGTGAGCTGGCTTAGATATCATAGAATAAAGAGCATTAAATAAAATGTATGAAGTTTTAGTAACAAAAGTATTTCCTGAAACTGTAATTTAATTAAAGCTAAATGTTTGATTAGCTTGCTTAATCGAGGCAGCTGTTGTGAATACAACAGTGTTACAAATATCATTATCATTGAAATAAAAATTTTTAACCGAAAATAGGCTTGCGACAAACAGAGAAGAAACGATGCTGTCATCTGGAACATTTTATGCACAGGTATTTCCACTAATTGTTACTGAGTCTAGATTTAGTTTTACGTCATCTAGCTAAGATAGAATACTAAAACTTCTGCCTAAAGTGCACTATGATAAACCGAAGTTGGTCAATGTTATCTAGAATATATAAAAAATTTTATTTTTTAAAACTAAATAAATATCTTAAATTACCTCAGCTGATTTACTTATAGTTATAATCGAATTGTGCTTGGAAAAGTCTTAATTAGTAACTTAATAATTATTTATTGTTATTGTTGAATTATTAATGAAAATTTAATTGCAGTTTTATTTATAACTTGATGAGCTTATGATTTAGATATTACTTATTTTAGAATTTTATTGAATATTTTAAATTTTTAGGCCACAGCTCTGACTATAACTTAAATTTGTAAAGTTCACTGAAACTTAATTCAAATTAAATTGAACAAAGTTTTATAATAGCAACTAATCTGATGAATATAAACTAAAATACTCACTTTATTAACAACTTGTGCATTGCATAGATAAAGAAATAATATTGCTAAAGTCAAAAATGAGTAAACCGGAGTTTAAAATAAATGGATTAGCCTTATCGATATACATATTGACATCCAAAGAAGTAAGTTATCTTACTAGATTTTTGTATATTTGAGCCTAAAATAGTAACAAAAAAAATTTTTAATCTTAAAAAAATAAATTAAGTAGAAAAAAATATAAAATTTATTTACTTTAATAAAAGTCAATTTTTAACTTTGAAAAAGAGTTTTTAAAAAAAATGAATTACCTTCAAAACAGCTGTGAGGAAGCTTTAAGATGTAATAAATTCTACACCCTATTTACCTTGCCCATAGCTTTATTTAGAATCAAGACCATCTTGAATTTTGAAATAATAATTTTAGTTGCATCCCAAACAATTGTTAATATCCTACAAGCAAGAGCTAAATTGGAAGAATATGATGCCATTTTTAAATTAAAGTAATAAATTAGAGTCACTTAATAAATCTACAGATAGAAGGATGTCCACTCCCTTACTAGAGAATATTTCTATAAAAAAATCAAAACTTTGGGAAATAGTATTAAGCTTGAAAATTTTTGCAGATCCTCTATCAATATCTCCAAGAGCAATAATTGAGGAACTACTAAATACTTACAGGACAAAAGGAGATACGTATAAATTTGTTACAATGCTTTAAGTTTTACTTACTAAGTTATATGCTATAATATCATTGTTTTAACATCCAAAAATTAAGAATTAATAAGGATCTTATATGAAAATCTCTCCAATATAAGCATTTAAGCAGCCATCTTGTTTTTTTATAAAATTTTAATATTAATGCTAAATATAAAATATACTTATTAAAATTACTAATTTAAAAGCTTTGAACCAAGTTTTTATTTTAGATATCATATTTATAGACTGTACCTCCTGAGTCTATGCCATATAAAATTTTATTCAAAGAATCATAAACAGCTAAGCTGGTTCTATTTTAATTTTAATTTGTAGTGAGCTTTACATCTGCAATTTAAGATAAATCTACCGCCGAGAACTGCAATAAATAAAAGTAATAATTCTCTCCTTATGGAAGTGTAATCTAGTTTGGTTGAGAAAAAACAACATATAGTTAATCATTTAAAATAAAAGGATCTAAATTTTAGTTTATTTAACTCCAAGTTAATGAAACTGTTCCAATATCGTATTACTTTTAGTATAAAAAAAGTATGTTTGATGAGATTTTAAATGAATTTCAATATTTACGAATGAAGGACTTTTAATATCATCAAATTTTGTATAAACAATATAATTTTTATTAGAACTATCACTTGTTTTGATGAAAAAGCAATTTCCACAGTTTTTAACTCTATAAAAACTATTTTGCTACTAAAGAACAGCTGATTACAAAGCCTATTTTTGCATCTAATACTGAACTCCTAAATTGCTTCTTTGATACACAACTAAATTATTCTGATTAATAGTTAAGAATAAATCTTCCTATTTAGTAGAATTCTAAAAAATAAAGCTTTTATTTATGTAATCACTAGAAAAGTCTATTTTTTATTAATATTAAATCAATAATTATTATAAACAATATTTAAGATCTAAAATAAATTAATTCAGCTAAATCCTATTTTAAACTGTGATAATGAATATATTTTAATCAATTTACTTAAATTATAGCTCAAACTTTTGCTTTGGTAATTATAAAATGTAACTAAATTATTGCTTGCATAAACAATAATTGGGAGTTCAATAAGCTTGTAGGCGTCATAATGATTTTCTTATTAAACTTAATAATCCAACTTAAAAGATTCTATTGTATTATCAACAGGGTTTACACTAAACTAGTAAATGAAAATACTCTGAGAATCTCCTATAATTATATTATCTGATGAATTAATGCTCTAGTATATAATGCTTTCAACACTGCTAAAATTAACTTTATAATTATATTAGAAAAATGAGTTAGATAATATCAAAACAATAACAAAAATAAATTGAAAATTCTTTTTCAAATTTCAACAACTTATTTAAAATAATAAATAAGTAGAACTTAATCATTTACTTTTTCATAAAATATTGCTTTAAAAACCAATAATAGTAATAGAAATAAATAATAAAGAATTAAAAATAAATATAATTGTTTTGTAATAGAAAATTTACCAAATTTTTATAAATAAACTGTTAAATTAAATTGTTTACCTGTTTATATTGATAACGTAGTGTATTTTTGGTCTTATATTTAAATGAATTTAACATTCTTTAATCCACCTACAATTAAGATATCATATTTTGGGTGTTTTTCAAATTTTTTGATCGAGGAATTCAAAGCTATTATTTTAAAATAAAACTTGTTAATAATCATCTATCTAGTTTATTTATAATAGTTTTTGATTACTATCAGGGATATATCCATTGTAACTAAACTCTGATTACTCAAAATTGACCTTCCAGGCATACAAACCTTACTCATCAGAGCAAATTATAAAATTCTGTTAAAAAGAAAGAGTATAAAATTGAGTTGATATTTATAATACACCCTTTTTACTTAGAAAGCTAGTATTATCCAATATCTTTATAGTTTTTAAGCTTGAAGAGTCTAAAATAACAATTTAATTGTAAGCTAGAGTGACAACAATATAATTTGTGTTCTATACTTAAAAAAAGTCTACTATCTAATTCAATACAGCATTACTTTAAGCTTAAAGCGTGTAAGGATTAGCTATGATAATTTTATTGTTGTTAGCTACCAATATACTGTTTTGGGAGAGCATGTATTCCATTTAAGTAATTAAAAAATCAGCTTTTGGTTTATCAAAAAATATGAATAATGATTAATTAACATTAATACAAAAAAAACAATTATTCTAAATTGAAAAAAAAAATAAGTCATTACGCCTTATTGTTGTAATAACTATTCCTGGGTTCATTGAAATGTCAATATAGTAAACTACGCTAGATCCCTAAATCACATCAGATACTGTATTAACTACTAAAAGGTTGGTTTTTGGTAATTTCAAAAAGCTTCTTGCATAATATTGAGGAAGGATATCTATATTTAAAATAAATAAGTTAGTTAGAAATGAGCTTAGCCAAAACTCCCAAACTTACTTAAATATCTTGCAATACTTGGACATTCTTAACTAAATATTTATTTTAAATTTATAATTGTAATAAATAGCAGTACTAAATGCTATTTTAAATTCTTCATTCTCATTTAAACTAAAGATTCAGATTGTATGTATGTATTCTTTTGTTTTAATTAAATATTATTTTTTGTAATCTAATTAATAGATCCTATTTTCTTATGGTGAAAATAACAGTGGTTTTGAATTAACTAATTAATTGACTAATTTTCCATCTAAAAGGTTAAATCGAATTAGAAAAAGAAAAAAAAATTGATTAGAAGCTGCTCATAAATAAATAAATAACGAAATTAATGATAAAATTCAATTTAATAGTATAGGAGTTTCTATATATTATTAAAAAGGAAAGTAAGTGCAATATTAAAAACAGTAGAAATATTAAGAGCTACTTTATTTATTTATTTGTTAAAAGTCTATACGTCAATCGTTTCGTTAGTTAATTTTGTTATTTTAACAAAAACTAAATATGTCAGTTTTTTAAATGTTAAAAAACAAAATTAATTAGTAAAATTATTAATTTTCAAAAGTTATTGTTATTTAAATTCATAGCATTTATTATTTTCCGAATTATGTGACAATAAAATTCTATTTAGAGCAGATTAATTATTCATTCATTTATTTATTATTTTCTAAAACTTTAAAGAAGTTTAAAATAATAATTTAATATTTTTTTAGATAAATAAATAGTAGTTACTTGCTTTTTAATTTTTTGCATAATTACAAGAAAATATATTATGTTTATGTTTCTGTGGATGTTTTTGATTTGTATCATAATTCACAACATTTATTATCACAAATAACATTTTTATATTTCAAAATCCACAGAAGTTAATTAAATAGATAGAAAAAAATATTTGGTTCTAGTGAGCTTATTTAACAAATTAGATTAAATCAAAATTTGCGATTTTAAAGAAAAAACAAAACTTCTTTATTATAGACAAATTTTTATCTTAATCCGGTGTATCTTTTAAGTATTCTAATTAATTAAATTTGCTTTTTTCCAATACGTTTTTATTAAATTTCCTTATTATATCATATCTAATCTATTAAAATATAATAATAAAATTAACAGCTGTTAGTTCATCATTCTTGATCAGTCTTAACTGTTAATTATTGGTCAATTTTTTGCGAGAATTTTAAATATTTTTTTATTATGCTTTATTACTCTGAAAAAAGACAAATGAAGAATTAATATTAAGCAGAATCTAATTAATTATTTCAAAATATTTAATTAATTTATCTTACTGTGTCAAATATTGTTAATCCCACATTATTTTCTTTTCTTTCGAATTTTCCTAAATATTTATCAAACTAAATCAATTTAACATTTCATCTTAAAATTAACTTTAATTTAGCTTGCTAAATCTACTATTATTTTTTAAAATTTAGTGTTAAATATCTTATTATTTAACTTCTAAATATTAAGTTAATAAAAATGTATTAATTTTCTGAAAAAATAATATTTTCTAACAATATATATGTAACCAAAAAAAGTTAGTTATTATTAAAAGAAAAATTGGAGCAGATAAAGATTATTTTTTAAATTACACTTTGACAAATTAATTTATTTTGACCTCATCAATAAATAAATTCCTCTTGTATTTAGGATAATAAAATTCTATTTACATATTTCTTTTTTAAACTTTTAAAAGCAATATTTAGCAATAAATGATTATAATTATTAAAATAAAATGGTCATAACTATTTATTAAAAATGATCATAGCTTTCTATATAAAATAATCTATGGTAAGACATATAGTATTAGTATTTATTCAATATAATATTTAATATTTATCATTCAAGCTAATTTTCTAAATTTTAGCCACTTTAATTAATTAATTATTTATGCAATGATCGTCTTTCAAAATCTTTACAAAAAATTTAAAAATTTATTAAGAATAATAAGTTTTCTCAGTTTAAGAAGAATCTCATAATATGCTAAGCAAGAATTAAATTTTAAATTATTATTATTTCTATCAAATACATAGAAGAAATTTAGTTTCTAAATATAAACAAACATACATAAAATTTTAAAAATTTTGTTCAGTAAATTACTGATATAAAATTAAAGGCTTAACTTATTTTAAGATAACTACAGATGTAATATTATTTTTATTTACTTACTTATATTTTTATTTATAAACTAATTATCATATCATTATTTTAATTTTTAAATGCTTCAATAATAGATAAATCTTTGTCTTATTTAAAAAATTTGAAGGACAAATTCTGTTATGATAATGCTCACACCTTTATACTTTATTTTAATCAATTAATCAATCAAACAAACAAACAAAACATAAATACTATTAGAGATAAAGTAAAAGTTATCAATAGTGACCAATCAATAAAATTATGATAGTTCTAATATTATCGGGTTTTATATGTATTTTTATTAATATTTTTAAAAATATACCTAAAATAAACAGTGCTCATATTGAGATGGCCACAAACTAAAATTTGTTTCTATGTATTTTTAAAGCTTAAATAAACTACTTACTTACTTACACTTTTTGAATAGCAATACTAAAATAAGAAATTATTGTCACTTTATAATAGTTTATAAATCATATAGTATTGAGCAATATTTAAATCAAAACTTAAATTACATCTTAATGTCAAAGTAATTTTAATAATAAAACTAACCTTGAGCTGTTGTGAATTATTTATAAAATAAACTTAACCAGATAATTGAAAAAAAACATAGAATAAGTATTTGTAATTGTTAATTAAATATTAAGAAATTTAAATAAATTTATAGTATTATAATTAAATTGATCTGATACCATACTTCATATGATATAGAATTTTAAAACAATTTTTCTAAAACATTCAATCTATCTACTTAAATTAAATTATAAAATTTATTAAATTATATTCTACGATTTTCTAAAAGAGAAAATAAAATAATTAATTAATTATATTGATTGATTATCTTTTTCTTTTTATTGATGTAAAATAATTAATAAAAAATGATTTAATTTATGCCAAAAATTATTTAATTTTAAAATGAATTATTTGATTGATTAGTTAGGAATGTAAATTATGTATTACTTTAAGCTTTTTTATCTTTTAACTGACTGATTAATTTTTGTTTTAGATTTAGCATATAACTAACTTTATTAAACAATATTTCAATTAATTACATATTGAAATAAAAAGTATGATCAATTAGTTGGTTTTAGATAAGTTGAATGAATTAAAAAGCAATAATTTTTAAGACCCAGCAAGAAGGTAAATAGAAGCAAACTACAATGCATACAGCTTAAATAATTAAAAAGTACCCAAAATATCTAAAATATTTGTTAGGAAATAAAATCACAGCTCTGGTAATTTAGAATCTCTCATTTATTATTAGAAAGATTTTTTAATTCTGAAGATTATCTCTATACAATATGGATTTAATAATTCAATTTTTTAATTTAAGAGGATAGATTTAGGGATTAGAAAAGACTAGATGTTCTTTAAGAAGTTGCTAGTGAATTCGATGAATGCGAATATGCTTAAAATAAAAGACTGGCATCATAGTTTGCTTAAATAAATTACAACTTTATCAAAAAAAACAACTTGCAAGTGGTAGGAAGTAACTAGAACAGGAGTTTTAGTATGAATAATAACAATAAGAGAGATGTTGATTAATCCTTCTAAGAATTAAAAAGCATTCATGGGTCTGGATCTAAAAATTTATAAAATATAAATAGCAGTATTAGTTAATTCTACAGCTGTAATTGTAGTGCAGAAAAATAGGACAAAAATTAAATATAGGTTAACTTCAATTAATCTTTTTCAAGAAGCACTTAAATAAATACACCAAAAACAACTTTTAGAGAAAAACTAAGAAAAGTATAAGTTATTAAAGTATTGTAGAATATTCATTTGAAAGACATCCTAAGATTTAATTCTAAAACAGAAGAGCACAATAAAAACAGACAAAATCTAGTAAGGCTTATCTTAACTCCTTCGAATAACACTACATTTTTAAGAGATTCTAATTCAAATATAATCCCTTTGTCAAAAATTAACTGGTAGCTCATTTGTTCATGTAAAAAGTAGTTCATAAATAAGATATATTTACAACAAAATTAATTAACCAAACAATCATTCACATAATTTGGTTAATTTAAATTTATGTTTGAAAACATTCACTCAAATAATTTGATTATTCAATTATTTATTTATTGCATATTTATGCCTGTTTTAATAACGAACTCTATTTTATATAAAGATAATTAAAACAGATAGCTCTATCTAACCATATATGATATGAATACTTTTTAGGATATTACTTTTGAAGTTTAGTTTATTCCTCGCCTTGTTTAAGATATAAGTGTAAGATAAGCTTTAAAAATAATTTGAATTTTATAAAAATTTTTCAAAAGTAATTCTTAAAAATATATATAGCTTTTTTATATAAAAGAATGACCTAATAAGGTAGATAAGGGAATGGATGAAAGAAAAGAATTCCTCTGTTTGTTTGCTTACTCTTTACACTCCTTAGCAAAATACTACCTTTTGTCCCTCCTTTTAAGCAACCTAAGATGACTAATAAATGCAAGTTCTATTTCACAAGATACTTGCTTGCTCTGACCTAAAATAAATAGGGACAGTACCAAAATGGGTATTTTTTGATTTTAATAATTAAAATTTAATTAAGTACAACAAAATATTTAATTAGATGCTTTAAATCATCAAGAAGTTCTATTTAAAAATACTTGATATTCAAAAGAGGCTCCATTAAAATTTATGTAAATAAATACACAGATATTTTTAATTAAGCAAAGTTTCAAATTTAAAACAATAATTTAAAAAAATTTACAAGTGCCACGATTTTTAGTTAAATTAGTTAATTTATTTAACTATCAATTAATGATGAAATATGTTCTAAATGTGTATAAAATTTTTATTTTTGCAAAGAGTGTTTGTTCTAAGATAACATGGTAAAATCAAGTTGCTCAATTAAAAATATCTGTTTTTTTATAATATAAAATATAAATTATTTAAATAATTTTAAAAAGAGATACTAAAAATAAATTGTAGCTTAGAATCTGAAAGCATCCTTAACCAAAAGGTATATTTGGAGGATGATAACGAGATGTGCTGGATTATTAATTTTGAAAGCCTTTTTAACAGCCAAAATATTTAAGACTAGAATAAAAATCACAATCGTTCTAATAATTACTGTAAGTTTTTTATATGTAATTGCTGATCAATTATTATTTAAATAAATTTAATATCAGCTCTGAAACCTGATATAGTTATAGAAGACATTTAATCCTAGAATAATATAAATATTATTGGAAGCCACGGTAATCTATCAGTAAATGATAAACTGCAATTAGCTTTAGAAGAAAGAAAATGCAGAGATATGTTAATTCATTAGCATAAAATTCAGAGTACACCTTTAAGGAAGATTAAATATTTATCATCTGAAGCATTAAACGATGACCTCAGTAAATCTCATACAAGGGCTAATAGCTTGCTAAGCTAATATTAGAATAACCCAATTGTAAAATAAAACAAGATTGAACCCAAGAGAAGGACTTCTAATCAGTTAGAAAAAATAGATACTAATGAAATATCTAAGAAATTATTAACAGAATTCAGCAATTTTGAATCGCCATTATCAAACCATAACTAGCTACTTAAAAGAATAGATTTTAATAGACAAACTAATAAATAGACCCTTCAGAACATTTCCTTCTACTCTTGATAAAAACACAAATAATAAATTTAATTTATTATTTTAGACAGCATTAGAAATAATAAATAATTAGTTAATAATTAATTTAAAAAAATGGTAATAATTAAAAGAAAGACTATATTTATTCAAATTTATTTTATTCCCTCCTTATGAATAATAAAGAATTCAAATTTATTGCTTGCTAAATCTAATTTGATAAGAAACTAGATCAATTTAAAATAATTGTAAAAAGTATTACTAAAATTACCACAAAAGAAAGAAAGAAAGTACAATAATCAATCTTTATTTATAGTAATTAATTTAAATCATTTGATGATATATTAATAAAAATATGATGAGTTATATATATAAATATATTTTATAGTAATATGTTAATAATTTATTTTTGCTAATAATTAATTAATTAATACTAACTAAATATATATTTTTGTTACTGTAAACTAATCAATAGATACATTTTTTAATTAGCTGTTTGTATTTATTTAATTATCAAAAAAAAAAGATTAGAAAATACAAAGGATTAAATGTAAGCAAACATACATCAATTTAGGTATTTATAAGAATAGCAAATATATTTTATATAAAAAAAAACAAACAAATCAATTTTTTAATGGTTACTGTAAATTTTAATTAAGGTCTTAATTACAAATCATAAACAATTAATAAATTACATCAATATTTAAGAATTATTCATTTTAAATTGAAAACTATTTTTTGTAGAATTTTAGTATAAGATATTTTTAAATTAGATTGTTTGTTTGTTTGTTTATTTATTTATTTGTTACTTATTTAATAATTCAAGATTTTGAAACTATTTTCATCTCTTCATCTTTCTTTACGCTTAAATTAATATCTTCTATCATTTCTTTATCAGTTAATATACTAGCTCTCATATCGTCTTCTTTGGTAGGATTTGGCTTAACTACCACTTTATACAGTCCATAAAAAGTGAGGAATATTCCAAATATTTCTAGTAGTTGAGGTATCCTGCTTTCAAAGATAATTTAGTAAATATATGAGTAAAATACAGGAATATAGTTGGTCAGAGAAAACTTTCCTTAATCCTTGGCAATAATTGTGCCATGGATAAACAGAATTTAACTTAGATAAACAGGTATAGCTAAAAAGACGAATACAAATAGTAAATCAGAGATAGAAGGCATTGTAATATGATCTGATCTATAGATTAAGGCTATAGCTCCAAATGCCATCATATGAACTCCCAAGCTGACATTAACAGCTAAAGAAGAAGCATTTTTGCATAGTCTAATTACTACTATACCAAATGCCCACAATCCAAGACTTAAAAATGATACAAGGGCAACAATCATTTAGAAGGCATTCATTTCGCCTACAACTTCATTTGCATCAATAGGGAAGATATAGGAAAGAAGCTAAATAACTACTTAAGGAGAAGTAACTACATTAATACCAATTAAGCTAAGAGCTAGGAAAGCCACATCCCTAGGTTTTATTTGCTAACCTAGCATAAAGTAGGCTATTATAAAAACAAATATTGGCCCTGCATTATTAATTATCCATGTGATATTCAAAGGGATGACTGAAATCGAGAAATAAAATATGAGCTGCTAAATCGTTATAGGGAAATTACGCAAAATTACATACTTAATTTCGTCTCCTGAAAATAATACACTCTTTTTGTAAGCCATAGCTACAAGATTAGAGAATATAAAAGTAGCAATTCCACGAATAAGCATACAAATACTCCAATCAATGTGAGGATAGAGCTTGATAACCAAATTACCTAAGAAAAATGTTGTGTTTGACAAAATCCCATACAAGTAATACCCTTAAGGACCAATTTTTTCTATCTACCTATCAACTAAATTAGTTAAAAAATCGAAAAAATATCTAAGTCTTGTTAAAAAGACATCTGTTAACCTATTTAAACTATTTAGCATTTATATCAAACAATATCTATCTATCAATCAATTAATAATAATACTTTAAATTAATTTGCACAGAAAAAATCAAATAAAAATAAGATTTTGTTTGTTGCTTTTTAATATTTATAAAGATAATTAATAGTTGCTTTAAAATTTAAAGTAATCAAAAATCAAGTAACAATCCCCATAACTTACAAATTTCATATTAGGTTAAAGACTTATGATTATTAAAAATAGTAGATACTATTATTAATTTATCAAAATTTGTGTAAAAGATATTGGCTAATATTTTTTGTCAACTTAATACTATTAATTAATTAGAGTAACTTTTCTCTATAGAAAACTTCTAGAAAAAAATTTTATTTTATTCCTCAAATTACTTTGATTTAATTCTAACATTTCAATTTATATATACCTTTTCTTAGTTTTAAATTCATAGCTGCTTATACAAATCTATTTCTTATTTATTTGATTGAATTTGATTACAATTTTTTAATTTTTAAAGATGTCACTTTTACTAAATATTGGCGAATTGTGATAATATTCAATTTATTAAATCAATTATAATTGCAATTGTTCAAGAAAATTCATTGATATTTTTGATTAAGCCTCAGTAAATATAAATAAATAACCTTAAGCTAAAAAATACTAATTAAATTTTCGAAAATTTTTCTTTTTTTGTTAAACTAGAACTTTTTATCTATTTCAAATATTTAAATTAAATAACTATCGTTGTAATCTTTGCTTTAAATTTTTTAAATATTACTAGTATAAATCTTTGAATAAAATATTTTTTTTCAAATTAATTAAAAAAATCAAGACTTCAATTAAGTAAAATTGAATTCATTTTTATTATTTGCTGTCTTTTTAACTTGGTTTAAATACAATTAAAATTTGATGATTTAATTAATATAAACAACTAGTCCTTCAAACTATGCCTTCCTTAGCTTAATGTTAAGCTTTAATTTTTCTATTCTATTTAAAACAGTTAAATAAAATAAAAATTTGTTTATCAAATTCCCTGCTTGCTTACCTATGCAAATCCATATTTAAATTTTTCAAAGGTAATTTATATTTAATAACATTTAAAAAATATTTATTATTTAAAAAACCAATTGATTCATAAATTAGAATTAAAGAATAACTTTTTTTATTATTTTATTGATTAATAATAAATATTTAAATTCTATTATTTTCTCCAACCATTAAGTAGTTAACTTGAGTGTAAATTTAATTTTAGTAATATCAATTAAATGAGATAAATGTTAAATTTTTTTATTTTTTTTGCATTTTATAATAAATCCATTTTAATTAGAATTTACAAACAACAAAAAAAGAGAAAAATCTAGTTTTAATTATACAATTTAATTGATTTTAGAAAAAAACAAATTATTTAGTATTTTTTAATTGATTGAGTAGTGTAATTTAATCAATAAAATAAATAAAAAATTAATTAAAATAAAATATAAATAAATAAAATCTTTATAATTTATTTAATTTTAAATCATTTATTTTTAAAATATTGCCCCAAATATTTATTGTAGATGATTAAATATAAGATAAAAAATAGAAAAAAAAAGATAAAACTGACAACAAATTAATTAAAATTTTGAAGAGGTTAAAATTAAAAATTATTTACATCCTTAATATATAAAATTTAAAAAACGAATATCTAATAAAAGAATAAAATCAATAATTAAAATAAACAAAGTTAGCGTTTGTTTTGTTTGATTTTGTAAAAGAATATCTGTGTTGAAATAAGTAACACACACATGGCTAAAAAATTCAAAAAGATTTTTGGGAAGAAAAAGTTAATCTTTTTTGATTTTAAAAATTTGATTAACAAAAAAAAGAAAATATAAAAATGAAAGAAAGCTAAAAATTAATTTTGGCAATTAATAAAATAAATAATAAAATAGTGAATACCTTTGATTGTGTAGTCATTAGTCTAAATAAGTTAGCAAATAAATTTGGAGATGATGGATATTTATTATATGGATTTTTATCATCAACAGGACTTTTTATTGGAATGACTAGCTTAAAATTCATACCAAGTGTAGATTGGTCTATATGCTTTATTCTTAGAGGAGTAGCTTATTACCTATTTGGAATTATATTCGCTGCTATCTATAAATCTGATATTTCATTTAGTGGTAATAGCTTTTACTACACAAATGTAAGAAATACTTTAATAGGAATTTATTAGCTATTTTTATAATATGTAATGGTCTTATTACCTGTGAGTATTATTTGGATTATCATAAATAGCACTCCTGTTTTTGTATTTATTGCTAATTATTTTATGTTCTCTATTCCAATAAGTGGCAATTAGATTTTGTTATTACTTTTAAGCTTGTTTGGAGTTAGTTTAATCATGGATCCTGAGATGTTTTAACATTTATTTAGCACATTAATCAAAAAAGACAATTCAATTTAAGAGGATTAAAATAAAGATTAAGGTTATTAAATTAGTCTAAAACATTTTTTATCTACTCTTTTGCTTTTATCTTAATGTCTTTGTGCCTATGCTGTTTGTGTTATCAAAAAGGCAAATAAAGTTAATTCTCTATCTATTACTCTTCATTTGGGATTTGTGTTCATTACAATTGGAAGTATAGCCTTATTTTCAAGATCTGATTTTATTACCATTCCTAGCTTATCAGATTTAACTCTAGTTTTTTTATTTTATGGATTTGGAACATTTTTGCCATCTATTCTTTTTATTTAGGGAACTTTAGTTGCTAAATGCTAAGGAAAGTATTCTTTAACTACCTACATAAATGTATTTTATGCTTTCATTTTTTAAATTATTTTTGAGAATAAAAATCCTTCAGTCTTTGAGTTCATAGGAGTCATTATAACATTCTATGGATTGTATAAGTTGATGGTAAAGTGAAATTTGTTTATAATAAGCGCTTAAGAGATAAATCAAAATTAAAATCCCATTGATAAAAAATTTAAAATTGTAAGCCAATTTACTTAAATTGTTTTTATGAATAGAAATAAATAAATAATAAATAAAATCTATGAAATAATTTTTTTAATATAATTGAAATATTTTATCTGTGTGTTTCATTTGAATTATACTTTCATAAAAGTAAGAATTTAATATTCGAACAATAAAATATATCAATTTTATTTATTTAATCACTCACTATCACTTAAATGTATTTTTAAACTGTTTTTTGATTTAAGTTAAATTTAAAAAATTTTTTAATATTTCTTAATTTTAAAAACAAAAACGTCAAGAAATTGATTTAATTAATTAATTAAAAATATTTGGTATTGATTAAAAATATTTTTTTTTAAAGTATGAATGCAAAGTAAGTTTATATATAATGAATTTAATTCTCAGTATTAGTTTAATAAAATATTTTTTATTCTGGCTAATTTGTATGGTATTATTTAAAGATAAATTTCATCCATCAAACAGATTTCATTTTTAAAGAGAGAAAAAATTAAATTAAATATTTTATATTATTTTTTTAAAGTAATTACCTTTCTCAAATATAATAATAAAGAAAATGACTGATAAAATTATGTATGTATAAACTTAAAGAAAAAATGGTTTAATTCAAAAATAAAATTGATAATTAAAAATAAGAAAGCAAGCAAGCACAGATAAAAGTTCTTGTATTTTAATATATTATAAAAATTCCCAGTTTTTAGAAGAATATTTTCAAAGAATATTGAATAATAAATATAAAATAATATAATTAAATCTTATTTGAAATATTAAATTTTCTATTGTTTGCTTTTAATAAATTTCTATTTTAGCCAATAAACATACAACAATTAATAAATAGTAAAATTTAAATTAATACTAATTTAACGTATAATGCTATTGTTAAGAAAGACTAAACTTAAAAGGCTCATTTAGAATATTTTTAAATAAATCTAAAAAAGGCTTTTTTTCAAAATAAATTAAATCTATGAAAAAAATACTTTTAAAATTTGCTATAACTTTCCTTAAAATAATACAAAAATAATTTTTTAAACCAAAATCTAATAATTGATATTATGCCTTTACAAGTATTTTTAATCTTAATAAAAAAAGACAAATATTACATCAATTAGTAATAAATAAATGAAGTATATGGCTAAAAGTAATAATTGAATCTTTGAAAATTAAATTTGAATCATAAAAATAATTAATATCCTCGTGTAAATACTTTTATTTTAAAATTTAAGAGTAAGCAAAAAAAGAAAATTAAGTATTTGATTTAATGAAACTTTTTAATAAATAAATAAAATTTAAAATTTATTAATCCAATTTCAATTTCAATTTGTTAGAACATATAGCTAGCTAAGTATTATTTAATATCTGCATTTTTATTTCATTTTAAAATGATTTTTTAATTAGTTTTTCTTTAAATTTTTTAAAGTTTGTTTGTTTCAATTTGCTTGAATAAAAATCAAAGAATATTTAACAAAAAAATTAAGCTGAAAAAAAAATTTTTATTTTTTAATAACATCTTTCGAACCTAATTATTAACTCGCTTGAATTGGCTCATCATATTAATCCAGTTAAAGATTTATAAAAATTTTTAATGGCTAGATATTTTCTATATTTTAAGAGGAAAAAATTAATTATTTTTGAAAAAAAAGTAATCCAAACAAATAAAATTTTTAAATGTTAATTCTATATAAAGACTAACTACTTATTAAAATAGATTCACACACACGCAATTCTTTAAAATATCTAAAATATAGCTAATAAAAAGTCATAATTTTCTACAACATAAGTAATTATACATGTAATAATTAAGAAAAGATTGATTAATATATGTTAGTTATTTCAATATGTATTTAAAATTATTATTCGAATATAAAGTAGACTTTTAAGAATATAAGCAAATAAATAATTAAATAGAAAAGTAATTATAAAATTGAAATATTTAATAAGTTAATATATAGAAGCTAATTTTATTTGTAAAAGAAAAGATAAATTTTAGTAAAAGATTTCACTTATTTGTTTAAGTATTATATTTTATAAATACAGCTTAACCTGTATGTATTGCGCACTGTCTGGGGTATTAATTTTTGGTTTCAAGGGACTATTATTTTGCCCAATTATTGATGCCCAATGTATACAGGTTTACTTAAATTTACTATATATAAATAAATAAATACATTATAACGCTAATAATATATAAACTATTTTTAAAAAATGGAGAAGTTTTTTATATTAATCATTTAACCAATAATTTGTAAAGTCCAAAGAAAGTAATAAAGAATCCTATGATTTCGTACAGAGATAATTGCTTTTATTCATAAATCATTGAGAATAAAAATGAATAGAACACATTAACATAAGAGGTCAGAGAGTATTTTCCTTAGCATTTGGCGACCATGGTACCATGTATAAAAATTATACAGGGAAAGAAAGTGCCAAGTCCATAGACTAAAAACACCATAAATAAATCGTAGGTGCTAGGCATTTAAATGAAATCAGAACGTTAGAATAACGCAAAGCTTCCAAAAATTATGCAGACAAGCCCTAGATGCAAAGTAACAGTTAATGAACTAATATTATTAGCCTTTTTAATAATAGAAATTCCGAAAGCAGCTAGTATTTAAGAAGCTAAAAAAAGAACAGATATTATTTAAATAAATGGTGTAATTGCTTAGCCTTCATCCTTTTCGTTTTCTTTGTCAGAAATAATAGTTTTTCTAAACATTTCAAAAATCTATTTAAACATGCTAGGATCCATGATCAATAAGACTCCTAGCAAACTAACAAATAAAAATATGATTTGTTTTAAAGAGATATCAACAGAAAAAATATAATAATTGACTAAAAAAATAAACAGTGGCATACTGTTTACAGTTATCCAAACAATTGTAATAGGTAAAACAACAACAGCATATTATAAGAATAATGAGGATACTCCCATAAGCAGATTTCTTATATTTAAATAATACAGATCCTTCCCTTAGAATTACATTTCAGACTGGTAGATCACTGAGCAAATAATACCAAAAAAGTAGTAAGCTACTCCTCTAATAATAAAACAAATAGACCAGTCAACATTTGGGATAAATTTTAAACTAGTCATCGATACAAATACCAGAGTATTAGAGAGAAATCCGAAAAATAAGTAACCATTTTCACCAAGTTTCTTAGAAATTGAATTAAGAAAGCTTGCAGCTTTGTTAAATGTGTTTAATAAACCAACATTTATTCTGTTAATTGCTGCAAAATTTTTATTCGAGTTTGATGTTTTCATCTTCTATTTATTATTTAATTTGCTAATTTAATTTATTTGGATTTTATTTTCTTTTATTATTTTAATTTGTTTTCTTTTTCTTTTTCATGATTAAATTCAAATGAATTTTCTAACATTTTTCTTAAACAATTAAATTAAAAATTTGGAAAATCAATCAATCAATAATTTAATTGATTTTATTAATTATTTTTTTAAATGAAAAAAAATCAATCAATTATTGAAATAATAAGAACTCATTTAAGAATTATATTTTTTTCTTCTAAAAGTCTCTACTAGTCTTTTCCTTAAAAGTTCTTTCAATTATTTTTAAACAAATTTTCAATAGCGTTTATTTTTCGTATTTTTCTGATCTCAATCATTATTTAAAATTGTATGAATCTTAAATAATTTTTGGTATATTTGCTAATAAATATGAAAAGTAAAACAAAAGTCTTCAAAATTTTAAATTTGAAGAATTTCAAAAACAATTTCATGAAATAAATACATGCTTGTATTATCTATCATTAACTAAAATATTTAAAGGAATTTAATTTCTTTAAATAAATTACCACAAACTAAGATATATCCAAAAATTTATGGAGAGAAATTATGATTTGTTTATCAAAATTTAACTTATATTGACGCATTATTAGCTTAAAATAAAGTGGGATATAGGATAGACAAAGAATAAGTGTACTAATTATTTTTAATTACAATTGTATTTTTATTATATTCATTCAAGCAATTAAATATTCATGCATGATAAGTATTTATATATAGAAATTAGGTACTAAGTTGGCTTTGTTTGCTTGCTTTTTTAGAAATTTATTAATTTAAATATTTGATTTTTGTGAATTTATTTATGATAATTTAATACTTTTTTGGATATTTACATTAATATTTACATATTTATTTGTTAAAAAATATTTATTATAACTATCTATTAAATAATATAAATTTTCAAGTTCTATTTAATTCAATCGTTCATTCATTAAAATCTTAGCTTTCATTTACGTCATCTTCAAATAGTGGCTTTTCTTTATATGTTTCTTTACATTTGTTAAGCAACACGCGCTGTAAATGTTTTATAAATGTATTTCTTTAATTTTAATCGATAGCTTAAAGTTCCAGTCTCCTGTCTTTTTTACAACGAATGTAAAAAAAGTTATCCTCGCATTTCTAATTGTTTTCTTGTTTCTTCAATCTTAAAAATCCAGGACTGTCTCTTCCAATATTAATAGATATGATATCTTCAAGCTTTATGGATTTAGCTTTTTTCTCATCTTTAGTTACAGGGAACCAAATCAATTCTAAATTTCTTATTTTAATTGTTTTTTCTTTTGGACCTAGTATACCATTCTTACTATATTTGATCATATTCTCTCCCTTCTTTAAATAGTCCATAGCTTCTTCATAAATTCTCTCATCACTTATTATTTGTTTTTTATTCTTTTTTTACTTAGTTGAAACTATAGATTTGTTTAGATTAGAATCATTTAAGATAGAAAGATTTTATAGGTTAGATTAATTTTTATTTATTTCAGTTGTTTCTTGGGTTCCTTCTTTGCTAAAATTTCTGATATCATTAATTTTTTAGCTAGAAATATTGTTGAACTATTAATCAGAATTTATTTTATTAGGTTAAAAGCTTAATAACTCTTTTCCACTCTCTTATCTTAAAGATCTTCTCTGCTAGTACATTTTTAATGCTGAGCTAATTTTTAAATATATTTACATTTAAGATAGATAGAAGATATAAATCAAAGTTTATATAAATATATTTTTTATTCACCAGAAATTTTCTAAAATTTATTTTTTCAAAAGAGTAAGAAAAAATACTATTCAAAAATTTAATTTCGTTAAGGCTTTCTAGAGTTTTTAAATTACTTAAGAATAATAATGTAATAAATACAGTAGATTTTTATTTATAAAAAATTAATTATGATGGTGAATCAAAAATACTAAAAAATTAATTAATTAATTTAAATAATAATTAATTTAATCTCCCTTTTTATTTAAAAAATAAAATAAATTTACTTTATTTTTTGAGGGCTTTTTGGAATTTAAAAATTTTCATTTGAAATTGTTTCTTTTTTTATTCCTTGTGTCGTAGGATTAAGTTGCTACGATTAAGTTATTGGCTTTTACTTTTCTTCGTCCTGAGCTTCATTAGATGATCTAAAATATGCAGATTGCAGAATATTTATGTTATTTTGTTAATCTATACAAATTATTATTAAAATTAATTTTGTTAAGCATATTTAGATGTATGTATTTATGTTTTTATTTTTCTAAAAAATTAATAAACAAATAGATTTATTTATTTTGAAAATTTACTTTAATTTTGGTTTTCTTGTTAATTTTTAGTATTAAATACTGAGCTTGACACTTTTAATTTATAAAAAAAATTAGATTTGCATTTTAATTCATTTTTTACCTGAAATACTAGTGTTTAATTCAGGATTATATGTTTATGTTCTAATGGGAGAAAAGCTCCTGTTTTCTATATGTTCGAATACTCTAGCCTAAACTCCATCAGCTTTAGGTAGCTAAGGATGATAAAAAAAAGGTTTTTTTGGATATAAAACTTTTTTCATTCTTTAGATGTATAGAATTGAATCAAATTATTTTAAATCATCTCTATGTTTAAATTAAATTTTAAGTGTCAAAGATTTTTCAAAGTTCATTTTAATAGTGATTTTTTGATATTCTATTGAGACAAGCTCGTAGATTTAAAATATTTTGTCAGGTGAAGTTTTTAATTCAGAATTAATTTCATCATAAATAATAATTTTATTTCCTTAGATAGTGACGAGTCCTTAACACACAGATACATCTATTTAGACTTTTTTATATTTATTATAATAATATTAAATTTTTAGATATTTTATTTTTTTCTGGTCAGATTTCTTTATTAAAGACTTAATTTAGGCCTTGATGAAATAGATAATTATCAAAATATACCTTTTCATTATCTTTATTTTTGGCTCATTTTTTCTCAAATAAGAAAATTTTAATTTGGGTTTTAAACATTTATTTATTTATTGAGAAATTTTGTGAATATTTCGCAATGAAGAAATCTTTTTCTGCAATATTTTTTTTGTAGTACAAAACTAAAAATTAAGTTTTGAAAATCGTAAAGCAAACATCTAAAATTAAATTGCTTATTCCTTAAAAATGTTATATTTACTGTAACACTAATAGTTTAATACTAGAATCAAACTATTGTTTTTAAAAGCAAATTAAATGATTGATTAATAGATTACCTTGAGCTGATTAAACAACTTGATATATTTATTATTATGCAAAGCTGCAGGTATATAGAAGGCTCGTTATTTATTCATTTCTTTATTTTATTTAATTTTATTCTTCCATCTGCTTTTCTATTGTTGAGTTGAGTTAGTTTATTCTTTCTACTAGCCTTTTATTAGTATTTTCTAAAAGCAAGTTTTGAGAGTTGAGTTTTTCCTATTATCATAATTAAAAAGAAATGAATGAGTTACTTCTCTTATTATTCAATGTTTGGATATATTTTTAAATTATTAGTGCCTTACAAAAATAAATAAATAAATTAAAAAAATAGTGATGTGTAAATTTTAATAAAAATTAGGTAAGCTGATTTTGAAATGGAGTACTCTGTAAGCAATTTTTCGAAGTAAAAAATATTTAAATTTAAAGGCATTATTAACCACTCAATAAGTAAAAGTAATTGCAAAAATTAACTTGATGGTTATCTAAATTATTTAATAAAATAAGTAATAATAAAATAAACTGATTCCTACTATTTACAAATCTTCTGAATTGCTATCCTCTTCACTTTCAGAGTCAGATACTTAGCTTTCAGAGTTTGATTTGTTGCTATTTTAAGAAGGTTGTTAGATCTTTTATTGCTATATTTATGGTTAAGTGGCATTTTAATTTAAATTTTCTATCTATTATGGCAAGGTTATTTGCTGCTCCTCTTACTTATACTAACTCCCTTCCTCTTAAATTGCTTAAGCTTCTTGTCTGGGGCTGAGGATGTTAGTTTAAGGTTTTTAATTCTAATTGTTAAAGCTAAATGTTTTTTAAATATTTCCCTTTTCAAATTCACTCTTTTCTTAATAAAGCTTTTTTTGTTGTTGAGTATACTCAATAATTGATTAATCAAAATCAGATTTTTTTTCTTCATAAAATTTTTATTTCAAAATAATAGCCATGCTTTTGAGTTCTTTTATCTGTTACTGGATTATTGTTTGAATGTTTTCATTACAGGATATTTCCTAGTTTTGATCGCTCCCATTTTCTGGATTTAAATTTTTATTATTAATTTCATATTCGCATTCTTCGTTTGAGCTTTTTTAATCATTTTTTAAGTTATTTTCAGGATCATTAAATTTATTATGATACTAATGTAGAGACTAATTAAACAAATGGCCAGACTAGCCCTACGCTGAAAGTATATCCACTTAGTTCATCCTTCTTTATCTCTAAGTTTGATTGCTGATGATTTCTATACTAATTGATTGTTTAATATTTTTAAGTTAGTAGTTTGTTAGCAGCTTTCTTTAAGATGAAGAAATATGTATATAATTTGAGTAGTATTTTGCTTTTAATAATATAGAGAAGTTAGATATATAATTGATTGTTTAACAATTTTAATTACTTTTTTAATACTATTGAAATTTAACAAAATTAAATTTTCCTACAGAACAAAAATTTACTTGGATAGTAAAATTACTTATTTAAGAATACAGCTAAAAATTTATATTTTTTACTTTATATCAATCAAAAAAATATTCAAAGCATATTAATTGCTTGTTTTTTAGGCGAAAAAGACTGACCAAAAAAAATTTGGATTGGATCTATATATTTTATAGAATACTACTTTGCTAATCTGTTGAAATAGATAAGAGAATATTCTATCAGATTTTATCTAGAAAACATTCATTGATCAATTTAAATTGTTTGTTGTTCTTATATTAATTAATAAACTAAAATCTTCATACAATTTACTAATCTTATTTAGATGATAAAGATTATAGCAAATTGAATTTGCTTTATGCCTACCTAAGTCTTTTAAAATCTCTGATTAAAATATATTGCGATAATTTAATACTTAAATTTTCTAAATACCTTAATTACTCTAATTTTTGTTTTTTATTTTTGATATTTATAGCTGTTCCTGTATTTGAAATATTTTAGTAGAAAAAATATTTTTAAAAAACATATTATTTAATATTTTGTTAAGAGAATTTATAGTAAGATAACATAGTTAGTGTATTTTTAATTAAAATAAACAGATGATAAAAATTAAGAAAGAAATTATAAAAGAATATAATAAAGTTTGCCTTAATAAAATAAAATAGGAATTTGAAATAAAACACAGCCTTTACAAAATTTATTTTAGTTGAAAATATTTTTAAATTATTTTGATTAATTATTGAATTTCTTTAATAAGAAAAGTTAGTAAATAAGTAGGTAAATAAATAAATAAATACTTATTATTTTCATAAATATTAAATAAAAATTTTAGGAAAAGATAATGTATGCAAGCAAACCTTTTAATATTCTAATAACATTCCTATTCATCTTTAAATTTGCCAAATTTTATTTTTTTTAAATTTATTAGGCTTATTGAGATAATTTTTTTTTCCTTCTTTTATGCAAACAAATAGAATAAATTGAAAAAAATAAGAGAAGTTTGGAAAAAAAATATAAAAATTGAGAAAATTATTAAAGTGTTAAATATTAATAAAATAGATACAAATATTTAGGTAAATTAATAAGAAATAGCTATGAGCGATCCTTTAAATGATATGTTAATAGAAGATTAATAACAATTTAACTTGATATGCTATAACTCCTTAGTCCCTCTTTACTCACCATATTATTTTCATAACCACAATATGGTAGTTTACAACGAAGATCAATTAGAAATAATTAAGAAGAAATTAGTTGATCATTATTAAATTCATTAAAATTGCATGATTGACGAAGAATGCTAAATTGATTTCAGTAGCCTTGAATTCTTAAAACCTAAAAAGCAATTAGCTTTTCAGGAACTTCTAAATTAGAGGGTTTTGAATACCTCTCACTAAGAGTACATCCAATTAGAAGATAACCACTCATGTGGAAATACAGATACATAATATTTTTATAATAATAAGATTTACTTACCTTTTAAAGAAGATGAATATGAAATGACTGATTGTAAGAAAATTTCATACAATATTATCTAATTTTATTTATTAATTAATTAATTAAATTAGCTATGATTTCATAAAATCCCTAGATCTTTTAGATGTTAAACGATGGTAATAAACTAATTAATTTATTTATATTTTAGAATTTTTAAAATTTTTTAATAAAATATTATTTTAGAATTTATAGCAGCTCATTTATATTGGCAAAATATATTTTAGTTTATGGCAAATGATGTTGATTTAACAGAAGATTAACATTTTGAACTATAAAAAAATTATAAAGTAACTTTCGCATTTAAAAAATTATTTTTTAAGTATTTTTATTTATTTTTTAAATTAGAATAAAAACTTTTACAATTTGTGCTTACTCACTGGAGATATTGTGTTGATTCCAATCAGACTAAATGGTTGCAATCATTTAGAATGTTTTGACTTAAATTCAATATACAGATTTATAGTAAGTAAGTAGCCTATATATTTATTTTTGTGAGTTAATAACTATTTTTACAATTATCATTTCAGAATAAAAAACAGCGACTATTTAATGCCCTCTTTGTAGACACGAAGCTAATTTTTTTGAAGAGAAAGACAGTTTTTATTTAGATAAAAAACTATTAAAAGTAATAAATAAAAACACTAGTTACTCACCAGTTTGGAAATTTATTTCAGATGAGTTTGGTATGCAAGATATTTTAAGATCTAATACAAAATTGGATATTTCAAAATCAAATAAGGTCTTTTGGAAAAGCAAAAAAGATGAAAATTATATTATTCAATTAAAGTAGCATTATCAAAATTTTGTTGGCAGATTAATATAAAATTGCAGTTAAAATAGCATCTATCCTATTCCTGTTAGGTGTATAAAATGTTTTGATTTGACTAAGTATTGTGACCTAGCTTAGTAACTACTCACACCTGATCAGTAATTAATTAATTGCTAATTTTACCAAAAATTTTTATTTAAATATTTCAAATTAATTAGATGCTTGTGCTGTAACTAATAACTATCATGTAATAATGATGGGTTTTTAGACGAACTTAGAATCGATTTCATACTTTTAAATGAAATAACAAAATATGCTCAATTAACGATTTAGTCTTTTTTTGTTTTGGGTCATAATAATGGATAAGTTTTTTTATAAGCCTCATATTAAGATCTCACAGGAAAGATACAAAAGGTGTCTGATAACTCTTATATCTAAAATGCATTAGTAATTAGATTAGATATGTTTACAGGCTAAAGGATATAAGGACTTCCAATCAGGTAACTTAATTATTTATTATTTTGTCTATTAGCTTATTTATTAATTAGTCAAGATGATTGATTATTCTATCTATTCAGAGTTTCGAATAAAAATTAATATTTAATTTAAAAATTAGGTGGAAAGATTGCAACCATACAAACTGTATAGATTTAAATAACTATTGCAATTAGGAACTTCCAAGGTATTGTTTGATGTGTAACAAGACATATGAACTAACTGATTTAGTTTGGGATGAAGTTATTTTTAATTCTTTATAGTATCTTCCATAGAATGATAATTTATATTACGATTACAATTCGAAGCAATACGTACTCTCTGATATTTAATTAAGTTAATCAAGCGTAAAGGCTTAAGGGTTTCAAGCAAACTAATTTGCTTAGAATAAAAATGTTGAACCATCGTTAGACAATTAAAAATCACCTTCAAATACTTAAAATAATATTAATAGTGGTGCTCGATACAATAATTTTATGGAAGGCCCTACAACAATGCCAACTAATTTCAAATAAATGAATGTAACATAAGGATATTAAGATTAGAGCAACCAAGAATAAAATATTTATAAAAATAGAACTGATGGCTATCAAAATATAGATTAGTCAAAGTAAAACTTTACTCAAACACAAGGTTTAAAGCAATAGTAAAATTAAGTACCAGACGTAAGAGATAATAATGTTTAAAATAAACCTGGTTAGTAATAGAATGCTTTTAAAAAAACACTTTAGGATGATTGTTATGCAAATGCATTTAAAAATGGAGTTTAAAAGTATCACTAAATGTTTAATCTAAAACCAAATACTTGCCAAACTTATTAATTTTAAAATAATTCTCCTGCTGATTAAGCTGATCCATCTATAATTGGTTAGAATAACCTAAATACATTTAGTCAATCTAGCCAAAATATGTTTTAATAGTAGGGTTAAGGATTTTAGAATCAGTAATAATAGCTTAATTTAAATAATAATTAGTTTTAATAATAATTTACCAATAATTAATAACCAGTTGTAATGCAAGATACATTTGATATAAATTAGTCAGCAAATCCTCTGTAATAAGTATACTAGTAACAATACTAAAATCATCCTTAAGGGTAACCAATTACCTTTTAAAACGTTTCTTTTCAATAAAACCAAACTCACATACCTCAACCACAAATCATTCCTGGTTAACTTATAAACTAAAGCGTTTAATAAAATGAATAAAGAAGTGCTTAATTTTAACAAAACTAATATTCCTTTTAAGCTAACTTCCCTGATGCTAACAATATAAATTTAAATAACTATAATTAATTTAATACAGCATAATTTAATCCAAATTAAATGAGCTATCCTAATCAGATCCAAAATTAGATGCCTTAAGCTTTTTAAAATTAAATTGTTAACCCTTTTATTCCTAGTTATTATGATATAAATTAACAATTTGTACCTTTTGCTAGAAGCAATAGATAAGTATAGTAAAGAGACAACTATATAGCCAATAACGTCATCAATAATCCTTCTTATTATCAATAACCTGATAATATCAGAGTATCTATTCAGCCATAATAAGTACAACAAAATTAGCAACAGCCACAATAAAGCTAACCAATCCAAGTTAGAGAAATAAATAAAAATGGTAAAACAATAATCTTTAAATAAGTTACTAAAAAGTGATATAGATATTATAATTAGTAAATAAATAAAGAAATTTTTTTTGTAATTATTTTATTTTTAAATCAGTATTAAATTTTTTTATGTTTGCTAACTTATCCTTTAACAAACTATTTTTTTAATTTAAATTATTTTTTATAAGAAATTTAATTCATTTATAAAAATTTAATATTTTTTTTAATGAAATTAATTAATTTATTATCTAATGTATCAAATTCAAATTTCATAGAATTTGTAAATATATTTCTAATTTTTAAATTAAAATATTTAGTAAAATGTGGTGTAGGTCATTATTTTAAGAATTAGCCTAATTTTAAAATATTACACTACATATTAATATTAATTTAGAATAAATTTTTAATGTATATAAAATAAAATTTGATAAGCAAAATTTAAAAGATAGATTTGAGCAATTAGCAAAATAAATTAACTAACATATTTCTATTAAATAATTAAAAATTTTTGAAAATGAATGTATTCTCTTGAACTTTAATAATCAATCACTTAGTACTGTTTTTAAACGCTCCTAAAAATTGTAATCAAAATTTAAATTTAGAGCAAATTAGATTACAATCCTTTCTATTAAAATTAATTTTATAAAAATTGAAAACTAATTAAAAAAAGAGAAAAGGAAATATTAAATCTTTGAATTGAAAGACTAATTATTTTTGTAGAAATATGATCGAAAAAATATCTTAAAAATGCAAAGAATTATTTCTGCAGTCTGATATTTATGGGTAGAGCGTTATTATTCATTTAGGCAAAAAGAAATATCACTAAACTTATGTTGGTTCGTGTTTTACTTTACTAACAGCCATAATTATGGGAGTAGCTTTATTCTATTTAATGTAAGAGTTCATATAAAAATAAGATCCAACGGTCATATCATTAGAAGCTATGATTAGTGATGGAAATAATTACTTAGATTAGATTAAAAAAATTAAGTTTGGAATTCAATTCTTTGATGAATCAGCGAGCATAATTACAGAAGAATAGGAGTTATAAAATATTCAAGAGTCTATCAGTTTTAAATTATGCTCTGAAGAAGATTATACCAAATGTGTTTAAATACCTACAATGAATGTAGAACTAGACAATACCTAGGAAGATCTAAACTCTAAATATATTTAACCAAATTTAAGTTATGTCGATTTTGAATAATTTTTGCTGTAGAACATCAATAAATTAAGCTAATGGAGTTTATAGATCTTCATAGAATAAAATATTTCTTTAACTTAAGCAAAATACTGGTAAATAACTTGCTTTGACTCGTATATTGATATATAAAATTATGAAAATCCAGTTTAAACTTTTAGGAGAAATTATTTTATGTATTTATATGATAATAAAACTCATTATCAGTTTGATTTCCTAAATGTAAATGTTCAAACAGATAAAGGCATGATGTATGAAGACATAACAAAATAGGAATATTTAACAATAAAAGATACTAGCTTTTCAACTCTTTCAAATGATTATCTTTACGCTTAGTGTGTAGAAATTATATTAGATAGGAAGCTAAAGGTTGTAAAAGTAAATAAAATTTATTATTTTTATGTATTTTCTTTTTAAAAAAAGACATTTTTGTTGAAATTTTAGATTATTTGGCTAGTTATTATTTTTTTTGTTGGAGAGCTTCTTTAATTAACTTACACTTTTTAATTTTTAAATAGAGAAGTTATCTTAAGATATAAAACATTCTTACGTAAATTGGTGGTCTTATCAAAATTGTAGTTTTATTCTTTTAATTTGTTTCATCCCCGCTTATTAAATTATCATTACAATTAGAGTTAGTTAACTCTGTATTTTAGTTTGAAGACCAAGAGAATATTATTGATGAGAATTAATAGAGCAAATCTAAAAACTCAAAATATGTGGATGATAAGGCAGATAGTATTATGTATAACGATAACTCAAATAAAAATTAATAGTAATAAAATAATCTAACTGAGTTTTCAAGGAATAGATTTTTTAAATTGACGTTAAATTTAAATAAAAACGCAAATATTCATTAGGATTAGTAAAACTGTACTAACTAGAAAACAATAGAAGAGTGTGTAATAATAAATAAAAAGAATAGCAAATCAGAAATAGATCAAATTGAATAAAACAATTCTTATAATAGCACCATTAATGCTTAGAAAAAAAATAGTATTTTTAAGCTGGATCAACTTCAATCTCTCAATTTAGCTCAGACTGATATTAAGCAAAATCCATAACTGTCATTCTAAAAATAGCAAAATAAATTAAAAAATAAGCATGATAACTCTCTTAAATCAATGAATTGCTCAGCTGGTGTATTTGGCCCAAAAGAGATGAATAATAATATTAATAATCAAAGCGCAATTTAGAACATAATGAGCTTGTCTTAGAATTAAAATCATGTTGCAGATGCCTCTCTATTTTCTCCAAAAACATAGAGAAATAAATCTCATTCATTGTTCTAACAAAACTATTAAAGTAACCATGGATTTTAGACAAACTTATAAATGTTAAAAGGTTCTGAGGAAGCTAATAAAGCTAAACTAATTAAAAAGCTAGTGCATTAAAAGCTCACCAAATTAAGCATGAGAAACTCTAGCTAACCTGACTCTCCACTTTAGAGTGTTGAAATGGAATAAGCTAGAGACATGGTTAAGGGTAAAAAAAATGAAGGTTTCAATAGCATTTTTATCAAACTTTTCAAAAATGTGACTCATAATTATTTAGTGATGAAGTTTTTAGACAAAATCAAATATCTCTTAAAAATAAAATTCAACAAGCGACAGCAACTTAAGTTTTCTATGGACAAAATAAGCGAACGCTTAGATATTATCTTTATAATTAAAAAAATTGTTGAAATAGATAAACTGAAAATGATTTTATTTGACTAAAATTAGCTTAAAATATTTGAATATCTACCTCGCCCTATAATTAAATTTGATCCTTACACTATAGAGGAAAATGATAAATTAAAAATGGAACAAAATAGAATTAAAAATTTAGATGGGATTAAAAATGCAAATCATTCCATTCAAGAAAATAACTACAGTGATGATGCAAATAATGTCCACGAGTTATGGTAGCATGCCCTAATTGAAAGTGATAAGCCTTACTTTTAGAAAGTTCATGAAGCAGCTAAAGCATATGAAACGCTAATCAAAAAAGAAAGCAAAGATATTTATGATATGCGTCTTTTATAATTTCTTGACAACAAAAGAAGAGATTATTTTGAAGAGATGCTTAAACCAAGCTCTCCCTCAGTTACCAGCTAAAATTAAAAACTGTAAGATTACATAAATAAAAGAAATCATTATCCTGGAAACGAACCAGTTTTAGATTAAATACCAGAAAATTAATTTTCTAATAAATAAATAACACTTTAAAATGTAAATATTCCAATAAATGGAAGTTTGATCTTAGGTAAGTCTCTAAGTTAAAATGGTATGCAATAAAATGTAGATAAATAGACTAGTTTAAATCAAGACCTTAAAGAAATGAATTACTAGGATAATGGTAAAAATATGTAGACGGCTATTTAAAATTAAAATTATTTGAAATAAAAAAATACCAGTGAATAAAGTTAGCTTTAAATTTCAATTAATCAAAGTTAAGATTTTTATGAAGGAGATTAGAAGTATTTACCTTCAATTAAACAAATAGATTTTATGGATTAAATTAATAAATTCATGCAATAGAAAGAAATAATTAACAAATTATGACAGATCTACTTTAAAATTTCGTATTCACCTTTTTAAACTAAATCTATTAAATGTAAATAAATAAATTAATTATAAAAAATTATTAAAAATATATTAAAAATATTTAAATGTATTTGTCATTATACTTACAAATTTGTTTATTAAAATATATTAAGTTTTTCATCTTATTTTAACTCTTTAGATTTTCTAAATCTATAAAATCAAAAATCTTATTTATAAAATTTGAAATCTAATTAATCAAAAAAAATAAAAATATATATTTCAAAGATATAATATATATATATATATATATATATAATCTAGCAACACTCCTCGTTAAGATTTAAAATATTATACAATCTAATTTATTGATAAAAGTTATTAAATTGATAATTCCTTTTGCTATTTTTACATATTTCTAACTTATTAGCATTAAAAATTAATTGTGCAATACTAATTTATTAAAGATTTATTTATATGAAGGAAGAATGGATTTTATTTTTTAATAACTCCATTGATTATAAACTTCTTAAAATTTATAAATAACTAACTACTCCATTGATTTTAAACTTCTTAAAATTAAATTAATAGCAATTTTAAAATATTTATAATCTTAAATTTCATTTAATGCTAAATATTTATTTATTTAGTTTATTTGAAGTAACCAATCTATAAAATGAAAAATATATTATATTATATGATTGATTTATTTATTTTGTAGGAAAGTACTTTTGAAGATTGGTAAGTTTATTTACTTAGTTTAAGGAATTAATAGTTTATATATAATATCAATCATATTTTTACTTTAAAATTTAAATAAAATTAGTAGCTACTCTTCTTTTAAAATAACTTAAATACGTACAAAGCTCAATTCATTAAAGTAATTTTAATTTAAAATGAATTTGTGCTTTATTTTTAAAATTTTTTGACATATCTCCGATTTCTTTAATTTTAATTGAATGGAGTAATTATTTATATATATTTTTTTTTAAGATAATAGATGAAATTGATAAAAAGAAACTAAGTAGCATACGTATTGAATATTTTATATAAGCACATATTTAAAATATTATATTTATTATTTTAAATTATATTCAGTAAAGATAAACGCCGTAAACAGTTACAAGACAAAATAGTGAGTCATTGACATAATAATCACTAGCTACATAATCAGTATCGAAATCCCAAAATTAACGAGATCCGACTCTTACACCTTAACCTTTTTATTATCCAATAATAACTGATACCATAAACTTATATCTTGGTAATCCTAAATCTTTTAATTTGTATTTAATGGTGTCAGCAATATCTCTAGAGATTGTAGACACAGTAGCTGCATCAGTGTATACTTAGTTTTTTAATTTTAAATTTAATGTTTCACTAATTATTTCTTTTGCTTTGCCTGGTCTAAATTTTTCTCTTTATTTAGGGCGGATTTAATATTCCTAGTTAGTAGTGCCTCCTTATCCTCTTTTCATTTTAAGACTTTTTCTTTTTTTGTTCTACTTAAAAATGGAAAATCTTTAAACTATTCCCTTTCGTATTAATAATTTTGAAATTTATAAAGTATGTTATGATATATATATATATCTAATAATTGTTAGTTATCTTTTTGATATTTTTACTTTATCAATAATCTTAATTCTAAATAAATAAATAAATAATTAATTAATTAATCAATAATTTTTTGCATTTCAAAATGTTCAAAAAAATACTTATTTATGCAATTTAAGTCTGTCTAATCTTTTGTAAATTTTAAAATATAAATCAAATAAATTTATTATTTTAAATTTTAATTGATTATCCTAAAATATTTTATATCATTAATTATTTTATCCAAAAAAAATATTTTCATAGCACTTATTAATTATAATATATTTATTTATTTTTGTTAGTAAGTTTGATAATTTATTTTTCAAAAACTTTAAATGTTAAAATATACAAAAGTTATTCATGCAATTTAGAATCTATTTCATTTAGAAATTAGAAATAAAATAAATAAACTCTATTCTAATTAAATTGGATTTATATTTTTGCAAATTTTGTGAAAAAAAAGTTATATTTACTTAAATTAATTTTTCATTTTATAAATGAAATCGGTAAATATAACAAGCACCACTATTTTACCATGCTCTCCAAAACATAAATATTTGAAAAAAAATTATACACTTGATGATAAATCAAAAAAAAAATAAATTTCTCTGTATATTTTTAGTTTTGAATATAGATTTTACCTGATTTTTAAAATTAAATTTTTTTAACAGATTAGTAAGAAGAATTAAATGTAAGAAAGTAATTTATTGATTTTAATTCTAATATAAATTCTAAGCTTAGACTCTTTAATAATAAAAAATTATTTTATATCTTAAAAATCTATTAAAAACAATATAATTATGCCTCAAAAGAAAGAAGAGGATAAAAAAAAAATGTTATTTTCAATTCCAACAATATTATATAATTTTTGCAAATAATTGAATTAAAGATTTATGAAAATCAAATTAATTATTTTATTTTTAAAATTAATTAATTTAAATGCAAAGTTTGATTCAATTAAATAAATATTTTAGAAAATATTTTTCTTTTAACATGAAATTATTTTAATAAAGCTTAAATAATATCTTTCAAGTTCAATTTCTAATATTAAAATTTAACATTTAAGTTGAATGCGCTAAAATTTTTGGAGGTTAATAATTTTATTAAATTTGATAATTTTTTATTGTTTATAGAGAATCTTAATAGATAGATACATATCATTTTAAGTTAGGTAAATAAATATATAGATAATAGCTAGCTAGATAGATAAAATGCAACTCAATACTTAGCTAAAATAGCAAACATTTTCAAAGCCTATAGTTTATGGAACTATATCTTATTCATTAGGAGCAAGTAAAAATTTACTTTAGTGCACTAAATAAAAATATTAAATGGAGCTTTTGTTATTTTTTAGCATTTGAAATTAATATTTACCAACAAGAATGATTTAGAAAATGTCTTAAATAATTATTTGTCTTTAAATTAGATAAAAAATAAACTGACAAAAATACTCATAGATGGTGCGCTTATGTTAGAGGTCCTAACAACGAAGATTTATCTACTTTCATTGATAAGGTAGTTTTTGTACTTCATGAGACTTTTACTGATCATCAGAGAGGTAAAAATTTAATTTAAAAAATCACAAACAAGCTGAAAATATTTTTTGAAATTAGCTATTACAAAACCTCCATTTGAAGTAGTAGAAAAAGGTTGGGGTGAATTCGATATATTAATTTAAATCCACTTTAAAACTCATTATCCTTAGCTCGAGCTTGTCCATAAACTCAAAGTATACTTATTCATTTTAAACAAAAGTAAATTTATTGATTTCAAAACAGTTTTATGGAGCTAAATCTGGAGGTAATTCTTAAAGTACAAAGAAGCCTGTTGTTTCAGAATTCTATGATGAAATAGTCTTTGTTAATCCCAGCGTAAATTGCGTTTAATTTATCTAAAAAGAATTCAATAACTTAAAAGATATCCTTTGTTCTAAGAGATAAAGGATACTATCCAAAAACTTAACCAAGATGATTCATTCATTCATTTTGATTTTAATACAAACTAAATACACAAACTATATTAGAGTTTATTTGCTTATTCAAAAATTTGATTGTTAAAAATAGGTTGAATTTTATGATATGTTAAGAGTTGAGAAATATTTATAAAATGAAGAAAAGCTCTCAAAGGAGTCAAAGGGTGAAGGTGATAATGCATAAATGGAAGAAGAGTAGCCAGCTGAAAAAGAAGAAGAAGAATATTATGATTGGAAATAGCACTACTTGAAATTTGATGCTTAAGATCACAAGTAAAAGTTAGATGACGCTTTAGTAGTTATAAAAGAACAAAATGAAAAAACAAAAATGGATTTAGAAAAGTGTGATAAAGATATTGAAGCATTAAACAAGGAAATTGAATAATTATAAAAAGAACAAGATTTAAAATAAAAGAAGCTCTTAGAGGAATAGCAATTACAATAGCAATAATAATAGTAATAATCTTAGGATGGAAATTAATTCTCATATCCAACTCCTAATTTCTAAAACCCATAAAGTTAATCACAAATAAATGAATTCCCTAACGAATAGATTAGAAGCATACCTTCTACTCCTTCAAATATCCAACAACAACCTCCCAACATACCTATTTAAAACATAGCTCCTCCACCTCAAATGCAAAACTAATATAATCCTCCAAATTAGTATCCAATGGGATAACCACCTGCAGCTCCCATGCCATAATAATAAGGACCTCCTCCTCCTTTAAACATGATGCCAAATAGTTATGCTCCTCCTAATCCAAATATTAAAATGAATAACCCATATCAATAACCACCACCCAATATGCCTATGTGAAAATAAACTATTTAAATTAAAAATATTGTAAAGAGTTATTAGATAGATTATATTAAAATTCTGTAAAATTTTTGAATTAAAAAACATCTAAATCAATAAATTAATAAAATCTTTTTTAACAATTCAAATAAATTATTTTTTTATCTCATTTTATAAATGTTGAAAATCCTTTAAATAAATAAATTAATTATTAAAACAACTTTTTTTAAAAAATTAAAAGAGCAAATCCTTTGAATTTAATTTAAATTTATTCTAATTTTTTATTTTTAATTAAATTAATTTTAGATATTAGTATTTTTAAGCATGCTTTTTATTGCTAGTTTTTGCTTTAAATAATCAATTTTTGTATGAATTTGCTTTCCAAAGGTAGGTACTAAAGCAAAATAATTTTAACACTTTAACATTATAAGCAAGCATATATTTTAACTTTTTAATGAGTTGAAAATCCTTTAAATAAATTGTAAAATAACTCTTTTTAAAAAATTACAGTTGAATTTAATTTAAGTTAATTGTAATTTTTTTAATTTTTAATTAAATTTTACATATTAGTATTTACTTTAACTAATTAATTTTTGTATGCATTTGCTTTCCAAAGGTACTAAATCAGATACTTTTAACAATTTAACATAAAAAACAAAAATACATTTTAAACTTTTGAATGAGTTAAAAATCCTTTAAATAATGTTAAAAATTCTCTTTTTAAAGAATTACGAGAAAAAATCTGTTGAATTTAATTTCAGTTTATTCTAATTTTTTATTTTTAATTAAATTATACATATTAGAATTTTTAAGCATGCTTTTTGTTGTAATTTTTGCTTTTATAAATTAATTTTTGTATACATTTGCTTTCCAAAGGTAGTAAAAAAAATACTTTTAAAAATTAAAGTAAATTAAAATATATTTTTAGGATATTTTTTGTTAATTTAGATATTTTTTATCTTTTTTTATTGATTTTTTACTTATTTATTTAAGCAAGCAAATTATGATGAATACAAATGTTAAATTTAAAAAGATAGATAAATAGATAGATAGAATATGAATATATTCCTTTGCATTTGTTATAAACAGTTCTTATTTTTGATAAATTTTTAACGTTGTTTAATAGATGGAAGTAATAAATGTATTTGAATCAATATTTCAGTAAAAGATTTTATGTAAATAGTTCATATATTTCTAAAGTAAATACAAAGTAGTTTTTTTTAATTAAACAAAAGGTAATCTCTCAACTTAAATTTGGCAATCAATTTAAAATCGAATAATTAGAAAGTTCATCTTCCAAACTCTTTTGTTGGGTTTAAATAGACTAAATCATTTATCTTAAAGTATTACTAACTTGACTTTAATTATTTTCATAAGTTTAATTGTAGATTGATGAGTGCCCAAAAGATTTTTGAGGACCTAATGTTTGTTAATAGAAGCTGTTTGTTGTGGAACCAAATATTTTTTTTCCACTTGACCTTACATTATTTGAGTAACTTCTAACATGGGTGTTTAAATTGCTATTATTATTATTAGATTCGTTAGGTACAAAATTAAAATCGAAAAAGCCGATGCTTAGTTGCTGCTAATATTTCTATTCTTCATCATTAACATGATCGCTTGATTTCTTTTTAAGTGATGATTTTCCTACAGTCTTATTTATTTCTTTTTTTATATTTGGAGAAAATTGGCTCTAAATGTTTGCTGGGTCATTACTAGGGGATGCAATAGGAGAGTATTATGGGATTTTTAAATTAATTTAATTTGGAATTTTACTTTCATTTAGTGCATTTGTAGGAGAATTTATTTATTAAAATGTTATCTAATTTTGCAACTAAAGCGATGGTAATTGCTGCTATTATTACGATTACTACGATTAGAATTAAAATTATTATTGTTATGTTTAAGGTTGTTATTGCTACTATTATTAAACTTATTGTTACTAATATTAAAAAGGTTATTACTAACTCTACAAAGGCTGTTATTATCCCTACTGCTAGTTTTGCTATTTTATATATTATTACTGCTAACCACCGTTAGACTGTAAATTAGGAGAATTACCCTAGATTTCTAGCTTTTAAGGTTTGATGTAATTATTTTAGTTATAACTATAAAAATCAGATTTTTAATCTTAAGACTCATATGTTTCTAAATAATTATCATCATTTAAATCCTCATCATAGTTGTTCCTGTTTTCATAATTATATGCTCTCCTTTAATCTTTTAAATCACTGCTATTTTAGCTCATATGCAAATCATCTTCTTTGTTTTGACTTTTTCCGAATTGTCTATTTTTTATAATTAAAAAAATATAATTTAAAATATATAATCTATAATAAATTTCTTAAAATATTTTTGAAGAATAACTTCGGTAATATTTGGAAGGAAGATGTTTATTTATTTGCTAGGATCTTCATATTTACAATAAAAAATAACCAAAACCTATTTCTTTTTTATTGTAATAATTTCATCATTGAAAACACTAAATTAATTATATTTAGTTTTTTTATTGTTTATTAAAGAATTATCAATTTTGATATTTGTATTTTGAAATTTATATTTTAACTTTTTGTTTTATCAAAAGCTTAAAATCTTTATTATTTATTTATTTATTTAAAAATATATTTTAAGCTTGGAATTTTTTTATCAGAAAAATAAATTCTTAATTTATTTTTGGGAAGATATTAATTACAATTAATTAATGAATGAATCTTTAAGATATTTATTTATCTTTAGTTTTAAATGAATAACTTTTGTTATTAAATTAAATTAATTTACTTATTATAGTAATAAATGGAGGCAGTTGAGTTTCTGTCGGATCTCTTCATAAAAGTTTCTGGGTTGTTGTTACCTTTAGGAGGATTTAGTGATTATTCTGGTTGAGCTTACTTCTTTAACTCTTTTTCTTACCTTAACTCTTCTTGAAGTTTTTTTAATTCTTCTTTTTCCTTTTAAATCCCTTTGAGTTGTTCTTTGATAATTTCTTTAGCTTTTTAAGCATCATAAAATAAGGTTTTGAAATCATCTATCCTCTTTTTTAACTCTTCCTCTAACTCTCTTCTTCTTTTTTGTTCATTTAGAATTTATTTTTCTAGATATTCGTTTTTATTTTTATATTCTAATTCTTATTAGGTAGGGAGTTCTTAATTGAAGTTTTTCAGCTTATTTAAATCATCAATAATGATCTTATGGAATTACTTGATAGTGTTTGCCATTTTACTTGAAATTTATCTATATTTTTTGCAATCATCAAGCATCCTAATATTATACTTTACATGTTACACTGTCTCCATTTTGCTTTCTATAATCTTTTCCATATACTCTTTAATATTTTTGAATACTTCTTACTCAGAAATTTCCTATTGTTTGCTACGTAGCAATTTCGTGTAAGTATTTAAATTTTCTTATAATAATCGTTCTACATCTTTAGGATTCGGAATATTTGAATTTATGAATGGCATTATCTTCTCATTTATTATTACTTATTAAAGTTATTTGATTTCTTCTTCTGTTTTACGCTCTTTTAAAGTTTTTTAATTCTCATCTAATATTTTGAAATTTTTTGATTTGTAGATTTACTCATATGTATTCCTATCTAACTAAATCTGCTCCTCTAATTTCTTTAATATACTTTTTAGTTTAACCTCTTCTTTTATTTGCTTATCTGTTGCCTCAATCATTTTATTTAATTGTTATATATATCCTCCTATAGCTTCTTTATCATTTAAATCTTCTTTTTTAAGTTAATCAGTTAGATTCCCTTTTTTAATTTCTATATCTTATTAAATCACCTTCTTTTAATTACTATTTATTTATTCCATTACTTCTTTTTTTTCCAACTCTTCTTGCTGTTTCTACTATTTATTATACATATTCATATTGTTTGCGCTTAAATTTAAATTAACATTTGCTGCCTTTTGCTAAGGTGTATTTAGAGCTTTGTTAGTATTATTATCACTAACAGATAAATTATCTCTGGATTTTTAATTTAAATTTATTCTACTAAGATCTGTTAAATTATTATCGCCTGCTTTATTTCCATTTTAACTCTTTTAATCTAATTTATTTTATAACAATTCAGAAATTAATTTATATTCATAAAATAATGTATATTTTATAAATTACCAAAAGGTAGATTTGTTTATTAATTATTGCTCTGTTAATATTTTATTGTGGGAGAAGTCTCATAATCATATTCAAGTCTAGGTGGCAATTCATCATCGTCATCATCATCTTCTTGTATATTATCTTGGTATGCCCTATTTAAATAAATTTTTGATGATAAATGTTGTTAATATGAATATAATTCAAAATACTGATATCCTTAATTCTCATTTTAAAATGTCTTTTGCTATTTTAGTTATGGAGCAACACTCAATCTTTCTTGATATTATTAATCTAACTAACCCTATAACTTTAAACCAAAAGCGTATTATTTTTGTTCAGGACTATAATCATAAGTTTATTGCCTCAAGCTCATAAAAAAAAAATATATATTTATTGATAATTTTTCTTCTAAATTACTAGGAGTTTGATCTAAATTTATTAATAAATTTTCACAAGAAATTTTTATAAGCAAACAAAGAAGTAAATTTCTAAGAAATTTAGTTTTAAAAATAATTATTATCAATCAAATTAGAATTAGCAACAGACATATTTTTATCAAAATATTACAATTTTTTAGAAAAAAAATTTAATCTGTTAATATTTAATTGGTTTTAGAATAACACAAACATAAAATTTTGTTTGTCATATTAAGTATTTACATAAGATTTCTAATTTATAGTTCATTCATTCATTCATTTAATTTTTTTTATTTTGCAGGATTATTAACCATATTAACTTTATTTATTTTGTAAATCAAAATGTTAAGATTTTTTTAATTTTTTTGAATTATTTAAAATTAATTTATTTTATTTGTATTTAAATTGTTTTGTAAATACAACATGTGAAATATAAAGGTTAATATATCCATTTATTGATTCAATACTATGGAAATAAATTTTAGATGTAAATTTAAAAAACATATTTTCAAACAAATATTTTTAGGTTAAGATTAATAAATATTATAAAGAAACAAATAATTTATTTAAGCTTTGCTTTTATACATCAAAGTTGATCATGCTATCTCTAGTTTTTTATAAAAATTTATTATTTTTAATTATTTATTAATTAGGATAAGAAGAATTTAGATTAGAATTTTTACTTATTTATAAAATAAATTTCAACTTAAATTAAAATGATCGAAAAATTTTTCATAAATTTTCAAAAAATATTTTTGAATTTAACTTTATAAATTAATTTAAATATTTATTTTGCTAGTATGTCTTCTGACTTGATTATTAATTTTAATCTATATTTCAATGAATTTTAATTTTTATTTATATTTAAAAAACAAAAATTTTATTTCAATTTAATAAAATATAAAATAATAAGATTTTAGAACTAAATTGATTGATTAAATAATCTAAATTAATGAAAAATAGCTATTTATGAATATAATAATTAGCTATATGAGTTTATTATAAATTACTCTAAATATTCCTTTATTTTCAAACTCTCTACCCCAATCTTAAGTCTAAGTCACATTTTTAAGGTGAAAATTTACCAAAAAAACTTCTTTGTGAAAAAATTTATAAAGGTGAGATATTATGAGGATTTATTTAAAGTATATCAAATAATTATTTTATTTGAAAATAAATTAATGTGCAAACTCAATAACAAATGTCTTTATTTCTCAATTAAAACTATAAATTTTAAAAAAACTGCGAATTAAATATGAAAAAAAGTTTTTACTTGCTTAGAGTTTTTAAAATGTTTCTTTTTTCTTAAAAATTATGGGAAAATTTTTTACTCTAATCTAAATTTGGTTAAATTTTAAACATAAATTTACTTATTTATGATTTACATTCTATTTGAGTTATAGTACTCATTATTTAGATCTTTAGAAAGTTTTGAATTACTCTATTTTTAGATTATTAATCTATTTAACGATATGACAAATAAATTTTATATTTAATTAATTTCTTATTTTTAAATTAAATTTTATGAAGAAGTATTAGTCAAGAAAATATTAATTATCAGTATTATATTTTTAAATATTACTAAATTAATTAAGAAATTTTATAAAAGCTTTTTTATTTTTTCTAATATTTAACTTACTCATTTTAATAACTACAAAACAATATAGTACTAAATTTGAAAAAGTAAATTACTTTGTTGTAATTTAGAGTAACTAATTTATTTTCTTATTTAAATTTTTTTGTAAAATTACCATATTTTATTTATTTAAAATAAATAGTACAACTCCAATTAATCCAGTATAAAATATTATCAATTTGATAGACAATTTTATTTGATCATCAATTACTTACTTATAATTAATTATTTTTGGAATTATCAAGTGTGTGTTTTTAACTAAAACCGATTAGTGAAATTTCTCATTATAACAAAAAAATATAAATAAATTAAACATATTAATTTGGATTAAAAGCTTAACAACTAATTTTTCTAAATACTCCTTTCTTTCAAAAACATATAAGATAAAACAAACTGAAAAGCTTTAAAATTTTTTAAGTTTTTTTAACAAAAAATAACACTATTAGAATTGAAATAATAGCAATATGGGTAATTAGAAATCTAGTAGTTATCCTTTATGTTCGATTTAGTACGAATGCGAAAGAAATAGGTAGGAACAAAAAGTGGATAATAAATCCTACTTGTAAGGATAGTCTTAATAGGATGAACATTTCAATTAAGAATTGACAGATGATTATTTTGGAAAAGTAGTAGTTATAACAAAAAAGTTTGCATAATCTAAAAAGAAATCAAATTCAAGTGCTAATTTAGATTCAGATATTTTAAAGGATTAAGTAGGCAAAGACAATTAAACAATATTAACAAGTAGTTGTTTAATTATTGAAAAAACATTTTAAGATTAAAACTAACTTAATGAGGCGCTAAAATCAGTAAATTTACTTTAAAAAATTATTCACCCAAATATTATAAATATCTAATCGACTTAAACAATTGCTACAACAAACTAGAATAATGATAAGCTTTTTGTTGGAAGAGTATAATGTGATTATTACTCTGAAAATCTCTTTAGCGTATTAAAGAAGAGGAAGCTAATCATATCATAACTTAACTAAAAATCTAGTTTGTCGCTTAATGGAGATAAAAAATAAGAATAATCAGTGCCGAGCTCTACATCAAGAAGCTATTCAAGTTAAAAAAAATAATCAAAATAAACATATAAAAAGAATCCCTCTTCGCAGGTTACTCCTAGAGGCAATTAAAATAGTTATGTGCCTGCTTTTACTGAAAAAGAAATTTGGTATATTATTGACTCAGTAGTTGATACCCTTAATTTGTTATAGCAAAAATCTATAATCCATGGGGATTTACGTCCATAAACAATATTTTTTACTCATGATGGCCACTTGAAGCTTTCAATAGTTTAATGCTACAATAAAGATTTTTCTCATACAAATTTTCACATTGCTACCCACCACATTTTGAAAACAAAATAACTTCAATAAAAGATTTAAGAAGACAATATTTTACTCTCACTAGAACAACTAAATTAGCTTTAGAAATTAAATCCAGTAGCTCACAATAATTCTACTCAGTAAACTAAAAACTTGGCCAAATAAATACTTTCCAATTTAGAATTTGATCCTTACAAAAGTTAAGTCTTTAGTTTTGGAATGCTCTTGCTTTAAATAATCTTTTGTGGAAATGTAGAATGTTGCTAAGCTCCACTTAATTCATAGTAGTTCTAGTAAAAATCAAACTTAAATGCATCTCAAAATATAAAATATCTTTATATTACAAATGAAAAGACAAAGGATGTTACTATAAATTTTTAACTCGTATTTGATTTACTTTCACAAGTGAAATAAATGTTCTCTCTATCTCTTTATTAAATACTTAGTACATGCTTAGAAGCCAAAGAATAAAAAAGACCAAATTGCATTGAATTATATAATTAATTACATAACTTGGATTTACAAACTGAAGCTTCTCTCACTATGGACGAATTTGTAACTGTAAAACGTCCTCTTCAACTAGAATATCAATAAAATTTGAGCTAAAAATTAAAAATTCCCCCCTTAGATGTTAGAAATTTGGAAACCACTCCAAAATAAGATTAAAACTCCAACAATTTAATTGGAGGAGCAACTCTTTTAAACAATTATTTGTTTTAAAAAAATTAATAATTTGAAAATTTATAATATTGTTCCTCACAAAAAATGAATCTTTCAGATATAAATTTAAATTAAAATATAAATTCTAAGATAAATTCATCTCAAAAAAATAACTAAAAACATTAAAACTGCTCTGAACTTTTAAAGTCCCCTTCTCATCCTAAAGAAATCGAAAATGAAAATGAAAAAAAGCTGAACAATTTTCTAAAAAATGTTCAAGTTGATATCATACAAAGAAGCAAAAATGATGATGATGAAATGTAATTTTAAAGTATAAGCAAATAAAATAATTTACTTAATAAGTCAAAGATGATTTAAAATGAATTAAGTGTGACAAACAAAAAACACTTGGCATTACAAGAAGCAGAATAAATTAAAAGTAAAAACTAAAAAGAAAATTAATTTGATTATAAATAATAGCTTGAAATAGATTAAAAAAATTATTAAAGTATTTTAAAGCACAAAAGTTATTCCTTAGTTTAATCTTATCAAACTAAGACCACAAAAGATATAAAAAACTAAATAACGAATACTCAATAATTTAAAAGCATCAAGTAACAATCAAGTCCTATTTCAATTCCTTGTTTCAAAATTTCAGAAAGTAAATTACAAAATCAAGATTTTAATTAATAAAAAAATGTTAGTTTATTGGCTGATAAATAGAATTCCTTAATAATTAAAAATTAGCCAGAAAATACTCAAAAAATAAATTAAATAAGTATCGATAATAATAATAAATATTCTTCTTAATTTTGTACTAATTTAAATTAATAATTCTTAAATAATAAATAAATTGCAAAAAACGAAAGTGTTTCTGAGAATAGAATATCAAACTTCAGTGAATATCCAACATAGAATAGCGGAAAAGAGTATTCAGTTTCTAACCACAACAATAAAGATTGCTTAAATTCAAACAAAGACACAATATCTATTAGCAATTAGTCTATCATAAAAGATAACAACAATTTCTTAAATTAGAATTAAATAACAATTATGACAACAGGAAGAAGATAGTCTGAGTCTTCGACTACAAACTAATCACTTTCTACTACACTCCAGTTCTATAATCCACTATCAAATTAAGCAGTTACTAGTATTAAGAGTCCAGAGATATCTATCCCTTATGTTGGTCATCAAAAGTTTTATTCTTTGAATTTGAATTTAAATAACGACATGTCAAGCTAAAAGCCATATGAGAGGACAAATAAAAATTTTTATTTTTTGAATACTTAAGAAGAGAAAAAAGGAACTGAGCTATAAAAAGAATATGATTCTATTCAAAACAAAAGCAGTATTCATACGGAGTAGGCAAGTAAGTAGAATATTTCATACCTAAGCAACGATTAAAACTTTTATCAATCCAAGTTATAATCACCCTAATAAAGTACTTATTCCTTTAATCAATTTAATTTATACAACAGCAATAATCAGAGTTAAGTATTATTAAATAATTACCATGTTTAATAAAGAAGTATCAATCTAATTGATAATTTAGCCTTCGATGGAAAATAAAATTCCATTCAAATTTATTAAAAAGATATCCCATCATAAATAAAAAATGTAAATCAGCTAAATAGCACAACTATCGATAATAGCAATTCTTTTCTCTCAAGCTAAAATTTTAAAAGTGAGAATTTTCATCATCAATAAAATTTATATTAACCAGATATAGGCTTGTATAATAATTTACTTAAAAGCCCTTACTCACAAAATATTGTTAAATTTAATGAGTAAAATCTTCAATAGTCGCAAATCATTCATCAATCGATTGATTTGAATGAGTCTTTATAAAAAAAATTTTTAGGGGAAAGCTGTGTTAATATTAATGCAAACACATACACTTTTAGTAGTCCATAAAATTAAAGGTTTGAGGAATTGAAAAACTCACAATAATTTTTAACAGAAGAAAAAGTTAAACATGCACAATAAGGAAAAACTTATCTAAATTAAAATAGCATTGAAAATCATCTATAGCAAACTGCTAAATTTGTTAATGAATCAAGCAGACATTAGTTTTCAACCTCAATTCATGAACAAATTTCAAAGCATGATACCTTAAAAGACGAAATTACTGAACAGTGTTTTAGTCATGTATATGGATCTCCATAGAGAGTAATTGTCAGTAGATCAAATATATAATCTCCTTTAAATTATATCTAATCACCAATCACACAAAGGAATAAATCATATGACTTCTATAATAAAACTATAAATTAAATCGGTAGTGAGATTTACTCTCAAAAAAATTATAATTTAAAATAAATTGATTAAAACAACAACAACAACAACTCAAAAACTTTAATTATTTTAAGCCCTTAGAAAAACATTTCTACAAATACAAAACTAACAACAACACCATCTAAATTTGAATCAGAAAAAAATTATTTAAATTAACTTGTAAAAAACGATGATGTACAATCATAAAATAGCTTAGCTTATTGTGCTTGTGAAGTAAAGGAAAAATAAATACTTCAGACTCCTAATATCAGCTAAAGTAAAGCTTTAAACGAGTAGCTTGATACATTGAATAATGAGGGTATTGCTAATAAAAATATAGAAATTGAAGAGTGGAATGATATTGAAAGCTATATGAGTGAAAATCTTTAAAATAGCATGTCTGAGAGTATAAAAGTAAATAGCACCCTCTTAAATACTCATATAAAAGATTTATCTTCTTTGATAGTCTAAAATAGATCATTCGAAAATAATTAAATTGGAACTAAAAACCAAACTTTTAACATTTCTAATAACTATAATACGACCTCATAATAATATTGTATTGATAATCAAAAAAATAAACTTGAATAATAACCCAAGAGCATACTTCTACTATCAAACAACAACCTAAAAAATATGCAAAATAATAACTCAATATTACATTAGACGAATAATACACAAAATATTAAAATTGATATCTAGTCAAACAACAACTTTTAAAACAGTTAATATTAATAAAAAACTAATCACAAAAGATATTAATCGACTACATTAACACCCTCTTTAATATAAGAAAATCTAATTCCTAGAAATTAATCTCATTCAATACATTAAATAAATCTAACTTCTCCTAAACAAGATGGCTCAACCAATTTAAATATGTAAAAAAATGTATTTGGTAGTAGTAATAATTATAATAATTTTACATAAACGAATAATCAAACTATTTCTAATAAAAATATATCTTAAAATTACTAACCTTATTAGCATATTAATTCACTTAATCAAAATAATTTGGGTAATCTCAATAGTTAGATAAAACAAAATAAAACTCAAAATAATCAGATTTCTAAAAACAAAGAAGACCAAGAAACTAGCTTTCAAACCTTAAATTAAGCCAAAATAATGAGTAATAAAGTGATATCTGTTAGCAATAATGGCAGTCCTTTTTATTCTCCTAATCCTATAGTAGAATCTTCAAAATATAAATAGATTCTAACAAGCAACAATAACAGTTACAAGATATAATAGTTAGATTTTAAACAGTAAAATAATAGTTTATAGGCATTAAAACTTAATTATCTTCTTTCACCAAGTAATACTTCAACACAGTTCACATATAGCTCACCATAATCTTAGGTGAAAAAAGCTGATAAATATACTCCTTCTTAGTTTAATTAAAATTTTCAATAAAATTTTAATTTTAATAAAAGTAAAGAATAAGTAGCTGACAAAGTTTCCTTATCTAAATCATAACTAAATAATAATATTTAATAAAGATAATAAAAACTTTAATATCAAAAATAGCAAAGCAAATTAATTTAAGATAACTTTTCATCTTAAAGCTAAATTTATTGATTTATTTTTCCAAAATAATTTTTATATAATAAAATTAATTATGGTGTGTTTGTATTATTAAAATTAATTTTTCATAATAGAATTTATCAATTAAAAATTATGTATGTATGTATTTTATCCATTCATATTTATTAAATTCTCTTTTTATAAATTAAATTTTTGCTACAAAGTTATATCAAGAAACTAATTTTACACTTTTAATTATTAATTCATTATAAATATAAGATTAAAACTTATAATTTTGTTGTCGGCCATACTAAGGTGAAAACACCGGATCCCATTCGAACTCCGAAGTTAAGCGCCTTAAGGCTGGGTTAGTACTAAGGTGGGGGACCGCTTGGGAAGTCCCAGTGTCGACAACCTTTTTTAATTTTTAGTTAAAATAATTCAAGATTAATAAAATAATTTTTTCTTATTTTTGATTTTATTGGCTTAACAATTTGTTATTTTTTTTATACTTAACTATAAAAACACAATCGTAAGCTTTAATTTTGTTGTCGGCCATACTAAGGTGAAAACACCGGATCCCATTCGAACTCCGAAGTTAAGCGCCTTAAGGCTGGGTTAGTACTAAGGTGGGGGACCGCTTGGGAAGTCCCAGTGTCGACAACCTTTTTTAGTTTTTGTTTCAAATAATTAAAACTTAATTAAATGATTTTTTTATTTAGATTTAGTTTGCTTTGAAGTTATTTGATAAAAAGTTTGCTACTTTTTTATAGATTATAAAAACACAGTCTAAGTTTTAATTTTGTTGTCGGCCATACTAAGGTGAAAACACCGGATCCCATTCGAACTCCGAAGTTAAGCGCCTTAAGGCTGGGTTAGTACTAAGGTGGGGGACCGCTTGGGAAGTCCCAGTGTCGACAACCTTTTTTAATTTTTAGTTAAAATAATTCAAGATTAATAAAATAATTTTTTCTTATTTTTGATTTTATTGGCTTAACAATTTGTTATTTTTTTTATACTTAACTATAAAAACACAATCGTAAGCTTTAATTTTGTTGTCGGCCATACTAAGGTGAAAACACCGGATCCCATTCGAACTCCGAAGTTAAGCGCCTTAAGGCTGGGTTAGTACTAAGGTGGGGGACCGCTTGGGAAGTCCCAGTGTCGACAACCTTTTTTAATTTTTGTTTCAAATAATAGAAATTTAACAAAATAATTTTTTTATTTTCACTTTTCTACTTTAAAATTAATTGTTAATGGATTTACTATTTTTTTCTAATCTATAAAAACACAATCTAAGTTTTAATTTTGTTGTCGGCCATACTAAGGTGAAAACACCGGATCCCATTCGAACTCCGAAGTTAAGCGCCTTAAGGCTGGGTTAGTACTAAGGTGGGGGACCGCTTGGGAAGTCCCAGTGTCGACAACCTTTTTTAATTTTTAGTTTAAATAATTTAAACTTAATAAAATAATTTTTTAATACATTTGACTTTGTTTCCTTAAAAATTTATTATTACTTTTTTACATAACTATAAAAATACGATAGTAAGCTTTAATTTTGTTGTCGGCCATACTAAGGTGAAAACACCGGATCCCATTCGAACTCCGAAGTTAAGCGCCTTAAGGCTGGGTTAGTACTAAGGTGGGGGACCGCTTGGGAAGTCCCAGTGTCGACAACCTTTTTTACTTTTATCATTTTATTATTGACAGCAACTTAAATAATTTAGTATTATTTTTAAAATGAAATATCAGCACAAGAAATTCAAGAATGAAAGAAAGAATTGCTGTTTCTGCTTAAAAATGAAATAAATTAGTCGATTAATGGCTAGAAACATAAATATTTTAGTAAATTCGATTGATTGAATGTTTGTTTAATAATTTTTTTAAAAGAATTTATAAAGTTATTTATAAATAATTTTTATTAAATAAGTTATTTATAATTTTTTATGTGAATGGTGTTTAATAAATAACAAAAAAGGTAGAGTTTGGTTTATAAAAAGTATATAAATGAATGAAATAAATATTTAGAGACACTAAATAAATGAACAGACAAAAATAAATATTGTGCTTGAAATAAGTAATAGAAAGATAATAGTTAATAATAAAGAGGAGCAAGTAAATATTTAAGAGATACATACTTAATTTAAATAATTTTCTTATAAGAAATGTTTTATGCATTGAAATATTTATAGTTCTTGCGCTCTTATCTCAGTTGATTATTTTTCAGTATGTTTTGAGCTCTTTTCATTCATTATGTAATTTAAAATTTTGTTAATTTGATCAGAAATTCTTCCATATCTTGAGTAAGAAGGTAGGTTCTTCAACCTTAATTTCACCTATTAGATCGAGGAGAGTATCAATATCATTTAACTTTTGTTATTAAGCTCTTGTAAGGGATGCAGCTCTAAGTTATTGAGACTTGAGCTTGAAGACTTCAACAATGAGAGCAGTTTCAAACTTACGAGGAGAATTATTGGGATCTTCACCTCTAAGTAATTCAATTTTTTCTTCATTTCTCAAAGCTTCCTTAACATTTTAGAAAGGTAAACCACTTAATTTGGTGAAATCGAAAGAGTTATCAATTAAAGCTCTTGGGAAAACATTTTCTAAATCAATTCCTTTATAGAAATCTCTTGAATCTACAGCATTTTTATCATTTCCATATAAACTATTTTTTTCAATGTGGAATTCAGCGTTCAATTCTTCTTCCTATTTTATTAATGAAATTAAAATCATATTTAAAAAAATAAAAATCTTTTACAGCTTTTTTTTCAAATTGAAGCATTAAATTTTCGATAGCCTTTTCAGGGTTTAAAAGATCATCTTGAATAGTTTGCTTTTGTTCAGCTTATTCTTCTTCTGCTTATTCCTTTTCCATTTGGAGCTTTCTTTCTTCAAAAAGTCTCTATTATTCCTTAATTTTTTCTTGTCTTAACTTTTCTTCTTCAATCAATTTAGCAATATCAATTTCATCTTCAGAGTCTGAAGTTTCTCTTTCGTCATTACTTTGAATATCAGAATCTTATTCATTTTCTTCAGTATCTCTATCTTAATTTTTAGCCTATTCTAAATTTTACTTTCTAATAAGTTTCTTCTTTTCCAACATTACTTATCTTTCGTGAAGAATATCTCTAACAACAGTAGCAGGTATTTTTAACATATTAGTGTACTCACCCCATTTTCTTAACATATTGTATAAAATTAATAAATGTTCATGTAAGAACTCCAATTGATTTTCAGGCTAATCGAATTTCTCCTTTTAAGCTTTTCTCTATTTAAATTAATTTATAAATTGTTATTATTAAACACTTTAAAATAATTTTGATTCATCTTTTTTATTCAATTTAGTTTGTATGTAATATTTACAAGAGTATTGAAAGCCTTTTCGAGTTTTGCCATCTTTTCTTCAAGTTAATCTTCGATTTACATATTTCTGCAGTCTTCAATGAGAATTCTTTTAGCAGCCTAGAATTCCTTTTCTAATTTGAATGATTCAGTGCTCTTTAAATGCTTAATCATAGAAATAACATCTTGGTAGATCTTTTCAATTTAAAATATAATTAAATTTAGAATTAAATTCTAATAAAATATGAATGAATCTTTTAGTATTTTTATATAGTAAAGTGGGTAGTTTATGCATAAAAATAGCAGCTTTCAGTGCTTTACATCCATATTAACTAAGTTCATAGAATTACAAATAAATATATTTGCATTTTAATTTTGCTTGACAAATCCATATTTACTATCGCTAAAATAAAAGAAGCTAAATTATGAATGAAAGCAAGAAAAGCTATCAAAAGCAAGCAAGCAATCAGCTTTATTAAAACAAAAAAAGAACAAACAAACTAACCCAAGTTAAAAAAAATATTATTATATGTTTGCCATTTCTGTCTTTAAATATTTACAGGCATGAGAACTGAGTTCTTATATTATATTTCTTCGGTTTCAAGAGAGACTTTTTCCATTTCTTCTAATCTACCTTATTCGAAAAGGAAAGCTTATTCGTGTAATTTAAGATAGTAGTCAGTTTCGTCGTAAATAGTAGCAGGCATAATGGAATCAGGATTAATATTATTAACATTTTATTGATTGATCCAATGTCTAGATTCTTATTGCATAATATTCAAAATTCTCTTTTTGTTCATAGCTTTAACGTCTTGTTCTAAAATGTGTTTGCGTTCTTTAGCTTCATCAAGAGCTGATCTCTTTTTCAAGAATTCAACATGGTTTTAAGTTGCTTTGGCAATACGAATAATTGAATCACGGAAATTTTGATCGCTTTTCTTCTTACGTTCTAATTCTTCGCGTGTATATTTCTCAATGTATTCATTTTCTAAAATTGTTTATGAATTCCAATAATCACTTATAACTTTAGCTCTGTATTCTTTTTCTAATTATTTCTAAGCTCTTCTTTCTTATTCATAAATAGTAACTTTTCTGCTTGGTTTTCTCAACTTCCAGCCCATACGAGGCATGACGATAAATTCTTTGAAGAGACCTAATTAAGATCTAGCTTTGTTAATGAAATTCATCTATGCTGCTTTTAATTCTTTTTGAATTTTATTTTTAACTAATACTTGATACTTACTATCAATATACTATATATCTTAATTTTAAATATACTTTGTTTTTGTTTGTGTTTTTGTTTAATTTTTCAGAATTTTCTTTCTTCAATATAGTATCTATATATCTATCTATGGATCCATCTATCTATTAATCTATTTATTTATTTATTTTTCATGTTCAATACAATAATCCTAACCTTTATTTTATCATATATTAATTAAACATAATGAATAAGTCAGCAGTCCATTCATACATTTTATACAAAAAAAATATAATGAATGTTATTTCTTTGATGGAATACTGCAGATTTTAATTACCAAAAATTTTTCTTCATTATTTTTTACCTTAAATAAAATTAATTAAAACTGAGTATCCAATTATTCTTGCATTCATAGAATTTTTCTTTTTGTCATTGATTTTTAAGATAATCTTAAAATTAAAAAATTATTTTTAAAAAACAAACATAAATAATTTTTTTGTTTTTTTTACAAAGTTAAATTTAAATATGAATTTAAATTAATTGATTTTATTATTTAAATTTAATTTAATTTTTAATATTTAACAAACATATATTTTTTTTTAGTATTTCAAACAAATTTACATTTCTAAAATTTTAAAGTTAAAATAAAATATGAATTTAAATAAATAGATTTTATTATTTTAATTTAATTAAGAAGTTTATTTAATTAATATCGAATTTCAATTTGTCTTTCCAAAGTTTGTAAAGGAAAGGGCAGTAAAAGTACCACAAGAAATTCCAAAAGTGAGCATAACTACATTTACAAATCCTAGTTATTCTTTTAGAACTAACTCATCTTCTTTTAAGAGGGAAGGAGATAACTACATCAAAGCAGAAGTGCAAAAGCCAGTCAGAAAAGAAAAAATAATTATGTTTAAAACTATAAAATACGATTATCTAAAGAATATCTATTCATCTTCATAAGTATAGTATGCACTCAAAATAAAAAAAGCAATTAAGAGGAATCTAGACATGATCAAAGCTATTATGATCTTTAAATTGTAATACTTTTTAATTATTCCTGCAGCATATTTTCCTATTGTGTCTCCTACATTTGCAAAAGTTATTAAGAAAAGAGAATTCCAAGTGTTTGAAGACCATCCTAAATCTACCTTAAACACAGCTAAACCTGGAAACACTGTTTAAAGTTAAACAAAATGAAGCCAAATTAGCAATGGAATTGGGAAACCTGCCTTAAATGCTCTCCATATGAGACTAAAATACTCAGATTTTCCTCCCTGGTTATAAGAAGATTAGCTTTTTGTTGACCTTTTTTATATATTAATGTCTCCTAAATGAATTACTAACAATTATATTTAATTTTGACCTCAAATTCTAAATAGAATTTATCAAACTTTCAAAAAAAAAAATAAGTGTAAAATTGTCCATACAAACTTTTTAAAGCATTAAATGTTTAAGAATAAATTTATACTTCTAAATTAGAAGAGAATATTTTAAAAGCTAAAAATTATTGAAATTAAATAAATTAATTACGATTTTTCATATAAGTCATCATCAAGCAATTAGTGCTCTTGTTAATCATCTCCGATGTTATATTTTTTGTTGTAGTATTTATTAAAGAAAAATGCTGCAGTAGATATAAACAGTGCAGAAATTGAATAGTAAAAAATAGCACCTGTTTGAAGACTTGAAGGAAAAATCAATAACGAAATTGCATAAAAAAGATTCATAAGTAAACCAGAAAACCCATTATATGTCCAGTAAATAGCTGCCAATTTATGATGAACAACATTCGTTATGCTAACTACAGCGCCCTATAGTACTGCATTAAACATACCTAAAAAGAAAGACAGTGTCAAAACAAAAATAAAACCCATCAGAGTTTGGCTCATAAAGTAAGTTATCACGGGCAAAGTTGCTAAACAAATAATCATTCCAATCATAGACCCAATAACACAAACCTTTACATGGATATACTTTCTCAATTAAGGTAGAATAGCTCCAAAAAAGAAATTTGCAAACAATTAAGGGATTGGGAGTAAAAAGCTAATATCATAATTTTCAAACTAATCATCAAAGTATTGAAGAGAAGTAAGAACAGCATTCCAACCCAATACACCACTAACACCTAAAAAGGCGTAGTTCAATTTTTCTAAAAAATTAGGATCATTTTTTTAGTCTATTAATAGTAAAATGTCATTCATTTAAGCTTCTTTTTTTATGTATCCTTAATTTTTAATTGAATTATTTGCTTTGTTTTGTTGTATAATTTACTCAAATTATTAGTAAATTTGTAATATTTTGATAAATCTGAAATTAAAATCTCTGTTTTGAACAAATATTTAGGTATAAACTCAATATAAAATTAATCTTATATTTAAGTACATAGATTATGTATTTAAAAGATTTAATACAAAATTCATTTATTGCTTACATTTGTTTAAAATTAATACAAATAATAAACTTAATTAATCTTTTTAATTTTTGACTACAGCATTTCCTATTTTTTATTTTTAAATTTAACATCATATGAAAGAAAATGAATAAGGTACACAAAAGATTCACTTAATTTTATTTTTAAAGTTTTAGACTTGTAAAAAAATAAATCTAACGAAATTTAATTCTTATTATTATTTTTTAAAGACTAACTAAAAATATATATATATAAGATATGTTGATTGAGTTAATAATAAGGAAAATAAACACTATTGAAGTAAATAAACATAAATTTATTTCTTAAACACTTATTAAACTCTATTTTCTATTAATAAAATTTAATTCTAAATATTTATCTAATATAAATGTTTTTAGCAAAGAAAAAATCATCCTTAAACTGATTGTCCATATACAATATTTTAATTATTATTTTAGTCATGATTTATTGCGCCATCTATTAAAACACCTTAGTCTTAGAACTGATTTTATTCTTATTAATGATTGTTATCATTTTAATAATCCCCATCTATAGCAACATCTTAACCTTAGAAATATATTTATTGCTGATTTTAATTTGATAACAGCTATTGATTTAGATAATTACGATTTCTTTCTCTTCTTTCTTTTACTTTTCTGTATAAACAGTAGGAAATAACACCTATAATTAAAACTCCTCCTACTACAATAAGAGCAATTTACCATCCTTTAAGAGGATAATTTCTATAATCATCATCTGGATTAGCAACTGATAGAGTTAGACCTTTAAGTTTAAAAAAATTTAATTTAATGTATTTTTGATATTTACTCAATCAAATAAATAAATAAATAAATTTTAATCTTTTATCAAATTAAAAAAAATGGTAGAGGTATAAACTAGCAGCTATTAATTAATAATAATGTTTGGATTAATTTTTTGGGTTTGATATTTAATTATAAAAAATAATTTTGAAATTTTACCCTATTTCAAAATATTATATTTTATAAGAATAGATTCTAAAGCTAGTTTTTTTGAGTTTATTTTTGTAAAAGAATAAGTTAAATAAATTAATAATAGAATTAACTAAGTGCTTACCAATAGTAGCGTTATTATGAGTAAATATAGTAACATATCTTCTCATGAAAACGTTACCAAGAATAATTTACACGTCTGACAATTTATCTGGCATTCTTTTAATGCCAATTAAACATTCGTCTTAGATCTCTATATAGTAGAAAGATGAAGGAATAGAATATTATCTTTCGATTCCATCAGTGTCATTTAAAATAAAATTTATGTTGGGGAGTGAGGTACTACAACTTGTGTAATAATATTCACTCGATTTCTCATAAACTTTATAATTTTAAATCAAATATGTAAAAAATTATCTGTGCATATCACTGCTTAAGTAAATAAGTGATGCTCCAGAGTCAACAAGAGCAAAATTACTGTTAATGCTTAAATTATAGCTAAATTTTTCAAAATTAACTTATTTGACTGGGATCTACCATCTTTACAACTCTTTTTGAATTAACGTGACTGGATGAAAATAAATTTAGGAAGTGTCAGCTACTTTTTTAGGATCAAAACCTCCAAAAACTAGTTAAGAATCGCTCTTGCCAAATCCAAGATAAAAACTAAACATATCTTGTTAAATTATTCCGTTATTCTTCATATTAGTAACAAATGAGTTACCATTACCATTAATTAAATCATACATTCCTAAACCAAGTAGACAGTCATACTATTATAAAATTTAAAATTAAGTATTTTTTAGATAAACTCAGTTTTTATAGTCATTTTTTAAAAGTTTTTTACTTAACTATTTTAGAAGTCTTAGGTTTGTTATACTAAAACGAAGGACTACTAAACTTGCTAAAGTCCACAAACACCGACAGTAGTAGTTGCTATATAACCACTAATTTCTCCTGTTCCATATTATATAGAGTATTATTTTGTTGTTTAACTGCATCCATTTGAAGCAGAGCAATCATAGTGTACATTTAATCCCTATTTTTTATATTAGATAATTTAAGTTTATATTTAAAAAGATCACAATAGTTAATTTACCTAGCATTTACCACTCTAGACACAATCTTTACTAGGTATCCATAAGGTATCTGAACCTGTATCAAAATTAACCTTAAATGTTTGATTCTAACTCCCAACTTGAATAGTACCATAATAGTGTGCCAATTCATAGTTAACCAAAGAATTAACACTATATGATTGTAAAAAGCTTCTATTTTGCTTAACTGATTCATTATTGGCCTCCTATTTTGTCAGGGGAATATTTAATATATTTTAAAAAGTTATTTAAAAGCTTAGAGCCAAGCTTAACACAAATAAAAACCTCATTTTTTACTTAATTTTAGTTAGTGTTAAAGTATTCTTTAAATTAATTAGGTTTTCAAAGTTTTTATTTCTTAAATATATTTATTAAATTTGGAGTTTACTTGTGTTTTGCACCTATTAATATAAATTTCAATCGGTGATTTTGCTTTACTCTGATAAAAAACCATCAAAAATATTAACATTTAGATATTTTGTTGTTTTAGAATATATGTGGTAATTAGCCTTTGTTTTTTATTTTAATAAAGATTAAAATATCTAAATTTATAAAAGAATTAGATAAATCAATCATTTTAAGGAAACAAAAACAGTAAAAGTTATCATTTTTAAATAAACTAACTATATGGAAAAACCAAATACACATAATAAATAATTTTAGTTTTCAATTTTACACATATTATAAAAGTCTAAAAAATCATATTTAAAACTGCATGATAAAATAAAAATAAAAAAAGTTATTGACTAGATTAGTTGACATTTTAAGAAAGTTAAATTAATTTAATAGATATTAAGTTAAATATTTTTATCATTTATAATAGTTTAAAGCATATTATAATTAGGATGATATTAATGACATAACAAGCAGAATTTAAATTAAAACAAAAAAATACAAAGCAGAATTAATAATAAATAAATGGAAAAAAATAGTTTAGACCTAAAAGATGGTTACTAAATTTAACAATTAATTATTAAAAAAAAGCTGTAAATAATTTTCAAATAAATAGAATACAATTTTATTATTTTTTTTTTTTTATTAAAAGTTAAGCAAGCAAACATGCTTGAAGAATTTTATGAAGAAAAAAAATATTGAATAACTTAAAAAGTATTTTTTAATTAATGGTGATTAAAGTATATTCAAAATAAATGAAATAAAATTATTGATAAAAAAATAAATGAAATTAGTTGATATTTATATGAAAATTAATAATTTGATTGAATATTTAATTATTCGAAAGCAAAAAGAAGTTTACAAACAAATTATTTTTTTAGTGATGTAAACTCATTAAAAGGAATAAATATATCCAAATAATAAGATTTAAATTTGATAGAGGTATATTTTTTCTTTTTTTCGTATTTTTCTAGATTTAAAGATCATTATTTAAAGATTTAAAACATTTTTTGTTTTTTTATGTACTTTAAAATTAAGCTATAAATATGTCATAAGTTATCTTGGTAATCATAATTATTTTATATTATACCTTATTATTTTTTATTCTCAGATTTCAGATTTTAGCTTCAAATTACAAATGAAGAATCTTTATTTTAATTTTAATTTGAATCAACAATAGGATGTTTACTTGTGTTTTAAATGATTTCTTTACAATCTATGTTCTATTCTTTAATTAAAACACCATTTTTTAGCTTAGATTTATTTATTTTACATTGCTTGCAAAAACAAACTCCAAAAACTATCAATAGAATACTACAAAATATTGAAGCTTTTATTATACACAATGCTTAATCCATAGCACTTTAATGCTTTTATTGATTATAAACAGACTATGCAAATCATTTGATAAAAATTAATAATTTTATAAAAGATAAATCTATTATTTGAAACATTTATATTTATATAATATATTTAAATTTATTAATTTTTAAAGATTTTAAATTTTTTATTTTGAAAATATTAAAATTTAAATTTATTTCATAAAAAGTGGCATCTAAACCACTAAATTTTTGTATGGCATCTTGCTATACTTTATATTTGTTATAAAATTGAAAAAAAATGTAATTTCATACAATATTTAGAATAACATTCATTAAATTATATTCGATTATTAATATATTCATTAATCCTAATGTTTAAAAAAAAGAATAAGTTTTTGGTTTTTATTGTATTTATAACCTAAATTTATATCCTCTACTCTTATTATCAAACAAAAATTAATTTAATACCATAAATTCTTTAAGTGATTAATATCTTTCTATTTGAACCATTAAAATTTACATCAATTCATCATTTGTATATTATTAAGCTGTTTTAGAATTTATGGTGGTATTTTACTTTAATTTGAGGTGCTTTTTAATAAATTGTAACCTTAATTAGCAAGAATAAGAAAATATCTAAATAAAAAATTTATAAATTTTTCAAGGATGAAAAAGCATATAATCTATCTATCTAACTATTTATCCTTTAATATATAATATTAATAATATTTATAATTTCTTGATAAATATAAATTTCTTATTATTTATATAAATCTTAGATATTTTACAATCATTTTAATAAGCTTCTTTATTTTTAAACTAAAAATTCTTTACATATTAAACACATTTATTATTTACTTATTAGTTAATTTAGTTATTAATATAATTTTATCTAACAATGTAACAATTATGTATACAAAGTTAAGTCTTTAAAAACATTTCATTTTAAAATACCCCATATTTTTTATAAAAAAAGATAAGCTAATCACTTTCAGTAATATTGTTTTTAAATATCCTGCATAACTTTGATAAATTAAATATTAGGTTTATCATAAATTTTTCTCAATAATTATTATTATATTAAAAAAAAATTATCAAAAAGTGTTTGACATTTATTTATTTCTGTATAAAAATGTCTACCAATTAATTATTGAAAAGTCAAGCATATTAAATAATAAAAACAATCTTTTATTTGCTTTGTTTTAAAATATATATGCATGTAATTTACATAAAGATAAATCAAATATTCTTTTAATGCATAAAACAAACACTAACATAAAATATATCATAAATCAAGATTTGTATATTTGAGTTACTTGTATTCTTTGAGATTACACAGTTCGAAGCAAACATAAATTATATTTCTTAAACACTTGTTAAACTGTATTTTCTTTTAAGTAACTTTAATTCTAGATATTTATCTAATTTAAATATTTTTAGCAAATAAAAAATGAAAGAAATAATCATCCTTAAACTGGTTGCCCATATACAATATTTTAGTTATTATTTATTCCACCACCTATTAATACACCTTAGCCTTAGAAATAATTTTATTGTTATTAATAGTTGTTTTAATTTTAATAATTTCCGCCAATAGCCACACCTTAACCTTAGAAATAATTTTATTGTTGATTTTAATTTGATAACAGCTATTGATTTAGATAATTACGATTTCTTTCTCTTCTTTCTTTTGCTTTTCTGTATAAACAAAAAGAAACAACACCAATAATTAGTAGTCCTCCTATTACAATAAGAGCAATTTACCATCCTTCAAGAGGAGAATTTGTATAATCATCATCTGGATCAGCAACTGATAAAGTTAGACCTTTAAGTTTAAACAAATTTAATTTAAATATATTTATTTATTAACTAAGTGCTTACCAACAGTTTAGTTTTTATAACTAAATAAAGAAACATATCTTCTCATGAAAATGTCACCAAGAATAATTTATACGTCTGAGATACCTACTGAGGGGGGGAGACTTGAAATGCCAATTATGCATTAGCCTTAAGTCTTTATATAGTAAAAAGATGAAGGGATAGAATATTATCTTTAAATTCCATCTTTGTCATTTAAAATAAAATTTATGTTAGGGAGTGAGGTACTACAACTTGTATAATAGTATCCATCTTATGTCTAATAAACTTTATAATTTTAAATCAAATATGTAACAAATTATTTGTACATATCACTGTTTAAGAGAATAAGTGATGTTCCAGAGTCAACAATAGCAAAATTATTAACAGCATTTAAAGTATAGCTAAATGTCTTAAAATTAACTACTTAAACTCTGATCGACCATCTTTAATAACCTTATTAACCATATAATATGACTGGATGAAAGTAAATTTAGGAAGAGTCAGCTACTTTTTTTGGATCGAAACCTCCGAAAATTAGTTAAGAATCGCTCTTTCCAAATCCAAGATAAAAGCTAAACATTTCTTCTTAAATTATTCCGCTATTCTTCATATTAGTAACAAATGAGTTACCATTATCATTGTATGAATCATACAATCCCAAACCAAGTAGACCGTCTGCCTATTATAAAATATAAAATTAAGTATTTTTTAGATTAAATCAATTTTTTAAGTCATTTTTTAAATGTTTTTTACCTAAATATTTGAGAAGTCTTAGGCTAGTTATACTAAAAGGAAGGACTATTTAACTTGCTAAAGTCCACAAACTCCAACAGTAGTGGTTGCTATATAACCACTAACTTATCCTTTTCCATAGGAAAGAGTTTTCTGGGTTGCTGATAAGCTGCATCCATTTGAAGCAGAGCAATCATAATATCCATTTAATCCCTATTTTTATATTAGAAAATTTAATTTTATATTTAAAAAGATCACCATAGTTAGTTTACCTTGCAATTATAGTCACTCTAGATACAGTTTTTACTAGGAAGCCATAACTAATATGAACCTGTATCAAAAATGACCTTAAATGTTTGATTCTAACTCCCAACTTGAATAGTTCCATAGTAACTCATCTATTAATTATTAACCAAAGAATCAACGCTATACGATTATAAAAAGCTTCTATTTTGTTTAACAGATTCATTATTGGCCTCTTATTTTGCCAAGGGAATAGTTATCATATTTTAAAAACTTATTTAAAAGCTTAAAGCCAAGCTTAGCACTAATAAAAACCTCATTTTATACTGACTTACTTACTTAATTTTAGTTAGTATTAAAGTATACTTTAAATTAATTAAGTATTCAAAGCTCTATTTCTAATAAGAATATATATTAAATTTGGGGTTTACTTGTGCTGTGTACCTATTAATATAAATTTCAATCTGTGATCTTGCTTTTCTCTGATAAGCAAAAAAAATCACCTAAAATGTTAATTTTTGATATTTTGTTGTTTTAGAATCGATTTGGGAAACTTCATTTTTTATTTTTATAAAGATAAAAATATCTAAATAGAAAAAAGAAATAGATAAATTAATGATTTTAAGTAAAAGAAAATAGTCAAAATTATCATTTATAAATATGCTAGCAACTTACCAAAAGCAAATATACATAATAAATAATTTTAGTTTTCAATTTTATACATAGAATTAAAGTCTAAAAAATTATATTTAAAGCCTTAAGATAAAATAAAAGTAAAAAAATTTATTGACTAGATTAGTTGAAATTTTTAAGAATCTAAATTAATTTAATAATTATCAAAAACAAATAGATGTAATAGTAAGCAAGGAATTAATTTGAGTGTATATAAAATTATCATAAGACGAATTCGATTAAATAAGAATTTAAACTAATAGATTTTAATTTAATTATTTTTTTTTCATTTATAATAGCTTTAAGCATATTAAATTAGGATGATATTTATTATACAACAAGTAGAATTTTTATTAAGTTAAAAAAATACAAAGCAAAATTAAGAAATAATAATAAATAAATGGATAAAATTAGTTTAGATATAAAAAAGGGTTACTAAATTAAAAAAATAAGCAGTAAAGAATTTTCAATTAAATAGAATACAATTGTATTACTTTTTCTTTTTTATTAAAAGTAAAAGTTAAGCAAGCAACACGCTTGAAGAATTTTATTAAGAAAATAAAATATAATATAACTATAAACACACTTTGTAATTAATGTTGAATAAAGTAAATTAAAAGTACAAGAAATCAAATTATAGATAAAAAATAGATAAAATTAGTTGATATTTTTAAGAAAATTAATAAATTGATTGAATATTTAATTATACTAAAGCAATAAGAAGTTTACATACAATTTATTTTTTATTAAGTAAATTAAATTATATGCTTCTATTATTTTTGGTGATGTAAACTTGTTAAAAGAAATAAATATATCCAAGTAATAAGATTTAGATTTGATAGAGGTATATATATTTTTTGTTTATATAGTTTTTTTTTCTAGATTTAAAGATCATTTTTAAAAGAGTTAAAACATTTTTTGTTTTTTTATCTACTTTAATATAGCGATATAAAAATTTCATAAGTTATCTTGGTGATTATCATTATTTTCTTCTAGAACACATTATCCTTTTTTATTTTCAGATTTCAGATTTTAGCTACAAATTATAAATGAAGAATCATGATTTTGATTTTAATTTGTATTAAAAATTGGGTTTTTGATTGTGTTTTAATCGCTTTCTTTATTATCTGTATGTTATTCTTTAAGTAAAACACCATTTTTTAGCTTAGATTTATTTATTTTGCATTGCTTGTAAAAACAAACTCCAATAATAATCAGTAGAATACTACAACATATTGACACTATTATTATACATAATACTTAATCTAAAGGACTTTAATGCTTTTATTGATTTTAAACAGACTAGGCAAATCCTATTTAATAAAAATTAAAAATATTACATAAGACAAATAAATATATTATTGAAACAGTGATCTATAATATATTTAAATTTTTTCATTTTAAAGATTTTAGATTTTTTATTTTGTAAATATTTAATTTAAAATTTTAATTTTTTACTATTTTAGAAAATTTATTATTAATACATTTCATATAGTGTTTAAAATTTATAAATATCAAGTAAATTTAAATTAATCAAAATAATTAATTACCTATTGTTGAATTTGAAATTGTAAAAATTGAGACATATTTTTCAAGGAAAGATGTTCCCAGAATCATATTAAGATCTGGATTTTCTAATGATTTAATCATTAATTAGCATGTCTAGGTAGTATTATTTATATAATAATCCGATGTAAGATTATATATCCTGCTTGTACTATTAGAGTCAGGCAATGCGATTAAAATTGGAGGCATGATTTATTTACAGTCGACAAAATAATATCCTTAATTTTAAAATACTTTGTATTATTTTGTGAGATAATTCATCAAATCATTGAAAATGTCTTAGTTCAATCCAATAAATTAGTCTACTGAAGAAATTAGAATTTATTTTTATGTTGCATTTAAGCTAGCTGAATAAGATCCTATTTTTAATTCATCTCCTCTTACAGCCCATTGGAAGGTTTCATCTGTCTGATTTTTTGATATCACTTTATGATAATATATTTTTTTTTAATCCATTATTGAGGCTGGATCAAAACCTCCTAAAGTAATTTTAGAGCCTTCTTTTTAGTTCAAGAATAAAGAAAACATAGGCACTTTTATTTTTCCTTCAGATTGAATGATTGAAAGAAAAGATTCCTAGCTTTTGTTCTATGATTTTAACAATTACATTCCTATAACACCATCTACCTAAAAATAATTTTTGAAAAAAATAAAATATTTTTGTATTTAAACAATTTTATTATTTATTTATTTATTTATTTATTACTGGTAAATTTTCAAGATTTAAAATTTGATTTGCAGAATAGAATTGTGTGTTTTAAGATGTTAATCCAGAAATTTGTAATGTTGCGATTATTTATTATCCATACAATTGCCCACCAGAGTAATTGTAATTAGATAGTGCTTATTTATTATCTTGGTAACACATATCACTATAAATACAGAGATATGTCTTGTTAAATCCCTAATTATAATTAAAACAAAATATTTTAAAAGGTATGTAAAATAAAGTTTTGAGTTACTTGGCAAGAATCGCTTGTGCAAGAAGAGCTAGGAATCCAACTAAAAGAAGAAGTTGTGTCAAAGAAAACATCGAAGCTGTTATTTTTACCATTGCCTAATTGAATTTTTCCATAGTAAAACGACTAATTTGTATCACTTATAACATTTAAGTTGAGATTAGCGCTATCCTACTGTAAGCTTCTAAGTCTTTAAGAATTTAAGGCTTGGATTTCATTTTATTTTTTTGAGAAGCTAAGAGGAATTTGTAAAATCTATGCTTGACTAAGAGATAAGATTGTGATTAAAATGTATGTAAATAATTATTACATTTATAAGCTTTTTATTTATTTATATCTTTTTTTCTTTTATTTTACTGAGCAATTATTATTAATAATTTATTTATTTATTTTAAAAGCTCTAAAAATTTCAGTATTTATTATCAATTAATATTATCAAAATGCAGAACCTCTCCTCTTTTTATGACAAATCAATTTTCAAAATTTTTCTAATAATTAACAAATTAGTGAATACACTTTTACAATTTTTAATTAAAAGTACTTTTTAGGTTATGAAGTTTTATTAGAAACTTTTGCTTGCCAGATTCTTGAGTATAATAGAAATTATAATATATATATTTAAACTCTTTTCAATTTATTTTGAGAAATAAAATTGGATTTTGGATTACAAATATAAATTAAAAATACAGTATTTTCTGATTAGAAAAATTTAAGCAATTTATAAAAAATAAAATAGAAAAGAAGAAATAAATATAGTAACACAATTTCAATAGACAATATATTTATTTATTTATCTATCAAACTCCAAAAAACTAAATTTCTTATAAGTTTGTGAAAGTATTATTACTTCATTTTCCATGTTCTAGAACAAATTTATACAATTAAATATTTTTGAAAAAAATTGCAAGGTAGATTAATTTCATACAATATTTAGAATAACATACATTAAATTATATCCAATTGTTAATTTATTCATTAATTTTGATGTTTAAAAAAAAGGATAAGTTTTTGAAATTTAGTGTTCTGCTCTTATTATCAAACAAAAATTAATTAGAATACCTGAAGTTTTTTTTGTTATTCAGATATGTTTCTATTTGAAGCAATAAATAACATTAAATTTAAATTAATTCTGTATTTGCATATAATTAAGCTGTATTAGGATTGTTGGTGGTATTTTGTTTTAATTGCGGCGCTTTTAAATAAATTGTAACCTTAATTAGCAAGAAAAATAAAATATCTTAACAAAAAATTGATATATTTATCAGGGATGAAAAAAAAACCTTTATTAAATAAATTATGAGATAAATTAAAAAAGGATAAAAAAGCATATAATCTATCTATCTATTTATCCTTTAATATATCATGTGAATAATATTTATAACTTCTTGGTAAATATGCATTTCTTATTATTAATATAAATCTTAGATATTTTACAATCATTTTAATAGGCTGCTAAAAATTTTTCACATAATGAAACCATTTATTTATTAATTAATTTTTATTTATATTATTTTATCTATCAGTTTAGCAGTTATGTATACAAAGTTAAGCCTTTTTAAAAAGTCTTCATTTTAAAATACCCCATATTGTTATAAAAATGATAAACTAATCACATCACTTTCAGAAATGTTGTTTTTAAATATCCTGCTTAACTTTGATAAATTATATATTAGGATTATCATAAATTTTTCTCTATAATTATTATTTATATTAAACAACAAATTATTAAAAAGTGATTGACATTTATTTCTGTATAAAAAGTGTCAACCAATTTATAATTGAAAATTCAAGCATATTAAATAATAAAAACAATCTTTTATTTATTTTATATTAAAATTTTCCATTTAATTTACATAAAGATAAATCAAATATTCTTTTAATGATAAACACACTTACATAAAATATATATATCATCAATCAAGATTTGTTATTTGAATTACATGTATTTTTTGAGATTACACAGTTATAATTAGATTAAAAATCAGATGAAAAAAAATTTATTTGAAGTAACTATCATAATTTTTCTCCTTTTACAATTATTTACATTATAAAAAAACTATTAAAAAGTATTTTTCATTTATTTTTGTATAAAAAATGTCTACCGATTAATTATTGAAAAGTAATACATATTTAATAATAAAAATAATCTTTTATTTGTTTTATATTATAATATGCAATTTTACACGAATATAAATCAAATATTCTTTTAATGCTTAACAAACATTCTTACATAAAATATAATCAAAATGCGTATTTTAGAGTTACATATATTCTTTGAGATTACAAAGTTCTAATCAAATCAAATCAATCAGATGACAAAAATTTTTTTAAAAGTTACTCATCTAATTTATAAAAGCTTATTTTCGAAATTAAAATATAAGCCCCTTAATTACTTTCTACTTGTCTCAATCAAGATTTCGAAACCCTTTTTTTTTTAAGTAATTAAATTAAATAATTTGTCATTTTTAATTTGTAAATAAAAAAGCTTAGGAAGATAATTATGGTTGGTTGGTTGTATCTAAGTGTAAAACAATTAATTTGAAATTTAATCACCATTAATTTTCCAAATTAAGGCTAATAAATACTTTGTTAATTTGTTAAGTAAATAAAAATTTTTTTTTACAGGGGTAAAGTTCCTTCCTATCTTACTATTTATCTTAATTAATGATAACTTACATTATTGTGAGCAAATAAAATTAAAAGAAGCCAGAATAAATGAATGACATCAAATTAAATTTAAATAAATAAAAATTTTATCATATTTTTTTTCTTCGAATTTTGTATTAACATGTATTAATGAAAAGTAGTTGAGTAATTTGTTTTAGATAAATAAAAAGTAGTGTCATTTCAATTCATGTTTAGAAAAAATCGCTTTATTCAATTCATCTAAAAGATTTTGATTCGCTAAATATATATTTAATAAACAAGTAAATAAGTTATTTTTTAGGCTATATTATGATACTGCCTAGATATATTGGAATCTTATTCAAATGCTATTCAATTTTATTCACTTTTATCTTTAAATAATAATTAATTATTTATATTGCAAAATTATTTCAACCATTTATTTATTATTCTTTTATAACAAACACAATTGAAAATTCATGATAAAAATAATATACTTTTTTTATGAATTTCTGGAAATAAAATTTGGGATATTGATTGATTAATAAAAAAAATTTCAAGTATAAAATTATGAACAATAACGAGCGAAGGCTTTTAGCTAAAAAATATAAAGAAGGTATAAAGACAAATAATGATTGATATAAAATAAAATAATGATATAATTAATATTAAATGATAGCCAAGCATTTACTACCACTTTATTTAATTGACTAGCATAAGAATATTTCAAAAATTGTTATTATTGGAAATTTCATACTTAGAGGTAGAAGTTACTTATTTGGAACTAGTTGAAGTAGAAGTTACTATTTTCTAAGTTGATATTTATTAAGAACTAACTACCTATTTGGAGGAAGTGACGGTAGAAGAGCTAAAATTTCCTGTTTATATAGTAACATTTCCATTTGTTTTGCTACTAACAACTTGGTTACTTGTATTCATTACTGCTAAGTTAGTTGAAACATTTTAGTTTTTGTTACTAACAACTTAATTACTGGTATTCATTACTGATAAGTTAGTTGAGATATTATTAGCAGAGCTTGCATTTGCTTTATTGTTGCTATTGTTAAAGTTGCTTTATCTTTTTGAATAAGTTATAATGTCACCATTTGAATCTGTTGAGAAATCTCTGTCTTTGTTTGACCTCCACTTTCTATATAAGAAGAACAATATAAGTGCAACAATAATAATACAAGCGATGACTATTAATGCAATAGCCCAGCCAGGAAGAGAAGAAGATCCTGATGATGAGTTAACAGATGCTAAAGAAAAACCTACCAAATAAATAATATAAAAGTTATATAAATATATTCATTTAATAATTTATTTTTTACCTATTGTTGCATTATTCATGCTAAATATTGAGACATATTTCTGAAGGAATGGAGTTCCTAAGACAATCTTAACTGTTTGCTGATATCCTAGATCAGCAATCATTAAAAAACATGTATCAGATTATTTATTTATGAAATAATCTGAAGTCAAGTTGTAAATCTGCATATTGCCATTATTATCAGGTAAATAAAGTACAAAATTGGGAAATTTCTGACTACATGGCAAAGTATACTAGCTTCCTTGCTTTTATACTTTTAAATTATTAATAAAGTACCTCATTAAGTTAACAAAGATATCTTCGCTTACTTTAATATAAGAATCAGCTGTTGAAACTTATACTAAATTATATCCTTATAAAAAGTATTAAGAAAAGTTGCCAACTACTAATTATGAGCCTCTAACAACCCATTACTGAGTATTGTCATTATTTCCATTCATAACTACATTATGGTAGTTAATATTACTTACATTTTATACTGAAGAAGCATCAAATCCTCCAACTGTAAGCTAGGGAGTAGAGCCAAAGTAGAAAGAAAACATATTTTATTAGATATTACCATTTTTAAATAAATTAGCAACATAAGAATTTCCATTTGGTTTGTAAAAGCTAAACATTTACATACCTAACACTCCTTCTGCCTATTTATTAAAATTAAATTTAATTTATTTCAAACAGATATTTAGTTATTAACAAAGTAATTAGTATTTGCTAATATTTGTTAAAGATATATATATATCAAAAATTTACAAAAATTAATTTAATTACTTATAAATATGTGAAATTGCTTATAGATAGGACTTAAATGAAATTGTGGCTAATGGCTTTTTAGCCAGCGAAACTTGTTAAAACATCTATACTTTGACCTGTTAGAGTACCATTTTTATAGTTATATTAATTCAATAACTACTATCCTGCAGTACATCCATCAGTCGAAGTACAATTATAAGTTTTTGAGAAGCTCTTTGATTTATTTAATAAAAAAAGATTAAACTTTAATAATTATGGTTTAGCTTGAATGCTTTTATTATTGTATATGAAGAATTTATACCTAGCAGTTATTATTGCCAATGCAGTAAACGCTGGGTATCCACGAAATTGAAGTTGTGGTATCGAACAATAAGGAAAAGGACTATTCTTGGCTTCCAATCTTGACTGTTCCTACATAATATAAGCTACTTTGCTTTGAAAATTATTATTTGGGAGTAGAACCTTGTTCTAGATTTCTCATATAAGCATGATTACTAAGCTTAGGTTCTTCAATCCTTACAGCCTAAAGAGGAATTTTAATTAACTCAGCTGCGTAAACTTCTAATATGGTTGCAAAAGTAAAAATTGCAAATAGAACTTTCATAATATCTACTTTTTTATTTATTATTTTTGATCAATTATTTGCTTTTTTGAATCTAAATTAATTTTTGGTATCACTTCTATCTAGACTCTATTTAAAATATTAAATTAAATAGACTTATCTGCCAAAATAGATTTTTTGTTTGTTAGTTTGTCATATTTGTAATTAGAATACTTAGATAGAGTAGCAAATAATTTCGTTTATTTTTTTAATAAATCAATTAAAATTGAGAATTTCTCAAGCATATTTTATTTTCTCAATATAAATTTTACTTAAAATTCTGTAGATTTATGTCATAGAATTGCACAAATACTAACAAATAAGGTCAATGAATTTGGATATTACACTAAATTTAATCAGCTATCCAACTTAACATATTAAGTAAAATTTTATTTTCTCAAAATTTACTAATTCATCTCCTTCAATTTATAAAAAAATGTAAAATCTAATTTTATGAATTGACAACTCAAGTATCTAATAAATAATACTAAATTTATCATATTAGAATAAAAGATAAATTAAATTTTCGCAAAAAATGAACTAAAGTTATTCATTTTAAAATATTTTTATAACCTCGAACATTTTTAAATGAAATTAAATGTTTTATTATCCCTTAAAAATAATTTTTTTATGATTAAAAAGTTGATTAAAAATAGAAAAAAAGTGATTATTACAACCACTAGTTTAATCATATTTCAAAATTATGAGAAACTAAAATGATTATTATTTTCTCCTTATAAATTTCAAGAGCTAAAAGATTTATTTAATCTCCATCCATGCTCTCAATTATTGAAAATTTACAAAAGCATTAAAAAATATCTAAAATATTTAATAAATTTATTCTCAATTTTCTAAATAATCTAAAAGAAGGTGATTATTGTATTCTTTTTAAAATTAGAATAAGCAAAATATAACTATAGATAGATAGATTACTTACAATAAAAAAATAGTATTACGATATATGAATTAGTAAAATATTATATAGAATAAGTTTGAATAAGGTAAAACTGTCAAAAAACAATAACTGTATTAAAAACTAAATGTTTATTAAATAAATATTAGTTAGATAATTAATTACACAAATCAATTTTTTTTTAATTTAATTTTTATTTATCTTAAAAAAAAGAAAATCCGAATAATTTAAAGATAAATAGCAATAGAATCAATATATTTCAACTTTTTCTATTTAATCTTTTGCTTTTTAAAATTTTATATTAAATTTAATAAAGAAATAATTATTATTTTGTGATATATTTTGAGATATTTAAATATAATTTTGCAAATAAATCTTTATATGATCAAAAAATGATTAGTTTTGCAAAATAATTAATTTTTTATTTTTATTAAATGGTAGTATTGCTAATATTAATTTCATTTGATTTCTTTCATATTTTTTTAACAGAGTTTTAATAAAAATATAATTGTTAAATCAAATATCTTACAATATTAATACTTCTTTTTATTAATTTAATTGTTGTAAGTAAATACTAAGATAAAATATAATTATAATTTTTTGAAATTTATCGTTAAAGCCATTTTTTTATTATATTTAAATCTGATTTCTATAATATCTTATACATTATTTTTAATATATTTCAGCAATGTTTAAATAATACAAAAAATAAAAATTTTCTTAATTTTTTAAAATTAATTTAAAAGAATAAAAATGATATTTTTAATTTATTTAATTAGATATATAATTCAACATATTTTAATTAAATGATTATCATTTATAAAATTATCATATATTTTAATAATTTAATTTTTTGTTGCGTTTAACTGAGTAACTAAATTTATGCTAAAAGATATTTATTCTCTTAATAATTTTAATTTTGATAAAGTTAATTTAAAAATTAAATAAATAGTATGATAAGATGCTATGCAATTTCTGAAAATAAAAGAATAATTTTAGTTTATTTATTTTATTGGTTAAAAGTATATTTATTTATTGAATCAGAAAGAGATGCTTTTTGCAAAAATATAAATTATTTAGCAAGTAAAAAAATTAAAAAAAAGAGCCACTTGGCGGGATTGAACCGCCGACCTTTCGCTTACTAGGCGAATGCTCTAACCACTGAGCTAAAGCGGCGAACTTGAAAGTATTACAATGACTCATAAAATATAGTTGAAAGTAATGGTATTGATTTTGTTTAATTGGGTATTTATATTTTCATTATAAATTTGAAAGTTGTAACCATTCATTAAATTTGTATTTAAATATTTTAATGAAATAATTATTTTCTAAAATAAAACTATTTTTAGTCATCTAATTCACTCATTTATTAATTTATTTACTTATTTACTTACTTACTCGTTATTTGATAAAAAAAAATTTATTTTTTGTAAAATCGCATATTTTATCAGAATTCATTTATATGAATTAATTTATTTTTCTTACTCAATTTTCAAAATTAAAAACTCATTTTTACCTGAAACGTGTTTTAGACATAAGTAAATTAATTAAATAATAATTTACTAAACATATCAAAATAAATCAGATTTAATCTTTTCTCCTTTAATTATTTAGAAAAGTTCTAAACTTTAATATAAAGGACTAAGTTTTAATAAATCTATTTCTAAAATTGATAAATTATGATACATTTTTAAGCATTACTTAAAATTAATTCAAAGTCAAATTATCTATGCGTGAAATCGGTTTAAAAACAGAATAACATTAATTTATAAGCTAATCTTTAAAATTGAAAAGATCAAATCTATAAAATAGTATAAATAATTAAATTATACAAAGATTAAATAAAACAAATCGTTAATCCATGAAATTAGATAATAAAGCTATGCAGTAGCCTGATATTGAAAAATAGATTAAGAGTTAAAGAAACTAAGAGGAAGCAAAAATGACTGAAAGTCAAACATACGAAAACTAGTATGATTGGAGGTAAGGTTATAGCCTTGTTAGTAGAATTTTAATGATGAATCTGTTAAGCATATCAATGAACATTAAAAGAGTTCTTAAAAAAGGCTTAAACATAAATCTCGTAAACCTTTAGAAGTTGAATGAAGATGAGAAATGTGAAACTACTTCTAAGAAATTCCTTGAAAATTTGGAGAAATATCAATCTGAAAGACCTCTCAAAGTAATTAATTTTCATTCATTTTTTTATTATATTTATTTAAACATTTTTTTTATTAAATAGCCTTACATTGTCTTTAAATCGCTTATATCTGTATTCAAGCTTAAGTGCTTGACTGTAATATTCTTTTCAATTCTTGATGCATCTTTTGAGATTTTTAACTCTGTTGCGCTTAACTTTTGCATTCAAAGTTTGGTAGATAATGATAAAGGAATGGCTTATGGCTGGGCAGGTATTATGATGGGTTCTATGTTTATTTCGAATTTACTTAGATGCTATAGCTGGTCTTTGGGCTTCAATATGAATTCTCAACTAAGAGCTGCAGTTATAAACTCTATCTATTTAAAGATCAGTAAGTTAAGCAATTTCGCAGTAAGGTCCGCTAATTTAGGAAAAGTTATTAACCTAGTTTCAAGCGATATGAATACAACTGAGTTGAAATTTATATATCTATTTCAGATGATTATTGGAGTTTACACTATCACTATTGCTTTGATTGTTTTGGCATTTAGACTTGGTCCTTTAGGTAATTTATTCATATTTATTTATAAATTTATAATTAACTAAATATTTATTAATATTTAAAAAGGTATGTTGAGTATTGCATTTTTGATCATCATTCTTCCTATTCAATCTTTGATTGGAAAAGTAGCATCTAGATACACTTCGAAAAGAGTTTAGAAAAGTGACGAGAGGATCAAATTAATTAATGAAATTATTGAAGGCATTAGAATTATCAAAATTTATGGATGGGAAGAAGCAATGAAGAACATTATTAACAAAATAAGGTCTGAAGAAGTTTAGCTAAACATAAAAGCCTATTTTTTTTAGTTTGTTGAAAGAGCTATGTCCTCCTCTGTTGTTTTATTTAGTCTAAGTTTAACTTTTATCATAATTTACTATCAAGGAAGCTATACTTTAAATCTCGCTAATATCTTCTCAACCATATAGACTCTTTCCTATTTGAAAATCAATGTGGTTTAATTTTACGGTTAAGGATTTTCTTACATATTTGAATTGTAAATATTCTTGAAGAGATTCATAGATATCTTCAATATCAAAGATATCACTTAACAAAAGTTAGATTGCTCTTTGGAAAATGTTTAAAAGATATAACCCAATGAGATCGCTAGGTTTGATAAGTTTTTTTCATTCTGGAAAACTCCTTCTTTTCAAATAAAGCAAAAGACAAATAATTAAATTCCTTCAATCTATAATACCTAGGCTGCAATATAAGAATCAGAGTCTCTTTCACTAGAAGAAATTAAACCAACGCTAAAAAATCTCTCATTTAGCATTAATAAAGGAGAGTTATTAGCAGTAGTTGGAAAAGTTGGCTGTGGAAAAACCACATTACTTTAAATATTTCTCAACGAAATACCACATTTTAAGGGATACTATGAAGTATAGAAACTAAATGAATAAGGTAATCCCTTAAAAATTTCTTATGTTGAGTAAGAACCATACATTTTTTCTGGTACAGTGAGAGAAAATATTTTGTTTGGCTCTTAATACGATAAGCAATGGTATGATCATGTTGCTAAAAACTGTTGCCTGTTATAAGACTTTAATTAAATGGATTAAGGAGATTTAACAGTTATAGGAGAAAGAGGAGTTAATCTAAGCGGGGGATAGAAGGCTAGAATTTGCTTGGCAAGAGCCGTTTACAGTAAATCTGATTTGTACCTTTTAGATGATCCTCTGAGTGCTGTTGATTCAAAAGTCGCAAAAGAATTATTTTATTCTTGTATTAAAGGTGTTTTAAAAAATAAGACTGTCATTTTAGTAACACATTAAATTCATTTCACAAGAGGCTGTGACAGAGTAGTCATTCTTGATGAAAGTGGATCTCTGAGGCGAATTGGTAATTTTGATGAGCTACATTAAGATCTTAAGACACTAACAGCAGGTTAACTCAAGTTTGAAAACGTAGCTGTCAGTCAATCAATAAACTAAAAAGAATATAATTAGAATTAAAAAATATTAGCAGCAGAAGATTCTAACAAAAATTAGCATTAATCTAATGAATCTAATCAAAAAGAGTAAAACAGTGATGATGAATAGGATGAAATATAATTAGAAGAAAAACCAAAATAAAATTAATAAGTAAAACCTGAGAATGTTAATGTTACAACTAAAACTTACATGAAATATTTGTCTTTGATTAACAAAACCTTTTTCTTATTCCCTTTATGGCTTTTTATATTCTTTGCATGCGCAGAATGTGCTTTCACAACTTTTAATAGATCTTTAGGATATTACAATGATACTGCTGATGATTCGAAAAAGAAGTTGTTTGGATTTTGGATAGGATTTGCTTTTCTATACATGCTTCTCAATGGTATAAAATATATGATTTTATCTTTTGGTATTTAAAGAGGAAACAGAAGCCTTCATAAAAACATGCTTCTATCTCTTGTAAGAGCTCCTGCTTTGTTCTTTGACAGAACTTCAAGTGGAAATTTAATGAATAAATTTTCAAACGACATGAGTTTACTTGATAACTTATTGCCATTTTGTTCTTGTGATTCTATTGAAATATTTTCTACCTTTTTAAACTTGATGATTACTTGTATTGTTTTTAATTACTACACAGTCATTCCCTCAATTATTGAAGGCATGTTCCTCGTCTTTTTCATGATGTACGCTAAAGACATTATAGTAAAAGTAAGATAGCTAGATCTGTAACAAAAAACTCCTGTTTTTTCCCACTTTAGCTCCACTCTTTAAGGTGTCATAACTATCAAAGTTTATGGATAAAACAACGCTTTTATTTAAAAAATGAATACTCTATGCAATAACAGTTTAAGAGCCAATATGACTTTTTGGCTTTCAAGTAGATTTTTTGGAGGATATATTTAATCAATAGCAATTATTTGTGCAACAATCGGAGTTTTTATTATAATTTCTATCCCAGATTAAGATGCAAGCATATAAGCCCAGTCATTAACTTACTTTATGCTTATGATAGATGCCATTTAATGGTGTTTAAGATAAATGATAACAACAGATTCTGTCATGAATTCATATGAAAGAACTTCTTTACTTATCAACTAACCTTCAGAAGCACCCTTAACTACTGAGTTTGATAAGAGTTTGAGCAAATAATAGCAAAAAGCAACACATTGGCCTTAAAAGGGTTAAATAGAATTTAAAAATGTTATTATGAAATATTCTAAAGAGCTTAATCCTGTTTTAAAAGGTTTGAACTTTAATGTGTCTCATGGTCAAAAAATTGGATGCGTTGGAAGAACTGGAGCTGGAAAGTCCTCAATTTTACAAGCTCTCTTCAGATTAACAGAATCTGAGACAGGCTCATAAATCACGGTAGATGGAGTAGATATTTCGAAGTTAGGCTTACATAAACTTAGATAAAATATATCGATTATTCCCCAAATACCATTTGTTTTTGGTGGAACAATAAGAAGAAATCTCGATCCATTAAATGAATATACTGATGAACAAATATGGGAAGCCTTAAGATGTGTTGAATTAGATAAATATATTCTTTAGAAGTGTAAAGATGGCATAAATACTGATATGACTGTCGCTTCAAGTGTTTTTTCTGTTGGGCAAAAGCAATTGGTTTGCTTAGCCAGAGCTTTACTAAAATAAAACAAAATGCTAGTACTAGATGAGGCAACTGCTAACGTAGACATGGAAACTGATAATTTTATATAAAAGACTATAAGAGATAAATTTGAAGACTGTACAGTACTAACAATAGCTCATAGATTAAACACTATTGCAGATTATGATAAAGTAATTGTTTTAAGTGATGGAGTTGTAGCTGAGTATGATACTCCTTTCAACTTATTAGCGAACAGTGACAGTGACTAAGAAATAACCAAAAACACAATCTTTGCTTAAATGGTAAAAAATACAGGTAAGAATAACTCTGAAAACATCTTTTAAATGGCCAAAACAAAATATTTGAAAAAGCAGTTAAATAAAAATTGAATTAAATAGCCTAAAAATATATATATATATATATATATAATTATAATTAGATTAATATTGAAAGTAGCTAAAAAAACAAATTTATAAAAGCTATTTTTGTGTTTGTAAATACAATACCTTAACTATTTTGAAATTACAAATCTTAAATATAGAGAACATAGATATTAAAAAATATAAAATTTTTATTTATGTAAACAAATATTATACATAAAAATATTGATAAAACTTAGATATCAGTTTTTATTAGAAATTCAAAATTAAAAAAAATTTTATTGTATAAATTTAATTTTAAAAAAGAATTGATGTAAGCAAGCTATCTACCAGATTTAAATAATTTATATCAAATATTTTTCATGTAATACAATTCAAATCGCACAAGAGTTTTTTAGGAAATAATACTTTTAAAATAAGAAGATAAAGTAAATTTTATTTAGTCTTTAGAAAACAATATGGATCTAAAATTTAGAGAAAATGGATATTTTTTTTAATTTTTATTTATTTAAACAAATTTTTTTTAACATAAAAATATTGAGAAAATTTATATTTCAGTTTTTATTAGTTAGATATTCAAAGTTTAAAAAAAATTTATTGTATAAATTTAATTTTAAAAAAGAATTGATACAAGCTATATATCTGATTTAAATAATTTATATCAAATACTTTTCATGTAATGCCATTCAAATCTCACTAGAGTTTTTTACCAAATAATGCTTTTAAAATTAGAAGATGAAGTAAATTTTTTTATTTTTTAAAAAACAAAATGAATCTATTTTTAATGAAACAAAAACCTAAAAGTTCATAAATTTTTTATTATTTTTAATAGTGAATAACAAACATATATTTGCAATCAATTTGTAAATTTTGAAGAAAACTCACAATTTATTATATTAAGGATAATCTATATATCCCTAAGGTCCTTGAGAGTAGAAAGTATTATGATCCGTTATATTGTTAATCTCATAATCATTATCGTATCTTATAGGAAGATCAGGATTTGATATACTTAGCTTTCCAAAAGAAATAGCATCAGCTATTTTGTCATTAATTAAAATTTCAGCTTCTTTGATGTTAATACCGTCATTAGCTACAATATTGCCTGAGTAATACTGTCTTAGTGTTTTGAAAAAATTTGGGATCTAAAGTTCAGGGTGTATATATGCTTCTTCTACTGGAGCTGATAAATCAAATTTACCAAACCTCCTTAGCTCTACAAAAGACAAATTTCTCTTTTCTAATTCAATAAATAAATGCTTCATTAGATCTAAGGGATTGCTATCGTACATTTAGTTATATCGACCAACAGGACTAAAGCGAATAGACACTCTGCCATTACCAAAAACAGAAATTAACTCATCTATAATTTCTAAACAAAATTTGCATCTATTTGGAATACTTCCTCCATATTCATCTGTTCTCAAATTTGAACTCTCTCTTAAAAATTAATCTACTAAAAAGCCGTTTGCTGCATGGAGTTAAATAGCATCAAATCCAGATTATTTAGCTAAAACTGCAGATTATTAGAAATCTTTCACAATTTACTTAATTTCTTGTATAGTTAGTTCTTCAGGAGCTTCATAAATTTCATTGTTAGCAAACTTATTTTTACCATTAATCTTAATAGGACTTGGTGCTACTGGAGGGCTTCCCATACTTGAAATATTAGTTCTTCCTCCATGTGAAATTTATAAACAGATTAATCCTCCTTACTGATGAACACTGTCTACTATTTTCCTCCATTACAGTGATTATTATTCGTTTATTAGGTATGGAAAATAACCTTTCATTTAATGAGTCATAACAGTTTCAGTTATTTATAATCCAAATGAGGCTCTTTACGAATAGTAGATATTCATTAAGTTATTTGCTAATCCCGTATCAAGATCAGATCTTAACCTTGTTAAAGGAGCTTGAATAAATCTATTTTTCAATTTTAAATCACCAAATTAAACAGGAGAAGATAAAATTTTATTTGGAATACTTTATTGATTCATATTTTGTTTTTTTTTTAATGGAATTCCTATTATTTTATTTTTAAGCTTTAGAAATTAATTATAAAATCTAAAAAATAAGTAAGACACCATTCAAATTTAAAAGTTCAAATTATAACTTATTATTGTCTACAATGTAGAGACTTTAAATGAATTTATTATTATCTCTTTAGTGAAAAGGTATTTAATCTAATAAAATAGAGTGGATATTCCTTCTATAATTAAAAATCAAGCAATTTTTTGATAGCATTACCTAAAATATATACTAACATATGTGCATTAAGTTTAAATAAATTATAGACATTGTTCCATAAATTTTTATGGCTACTTATTTATTTAAAATAAATGAAATGCGTCTATAAAAATTTCTAGATAAATATCTTGTTCAAAACAGTTTTAAAAAAGGCAAAATGTCTATTTTAAATAAATTAAATTTTGAAATAGATTCAATCTTTTAATCAAAGTAAATTTAATTTAATTTTTGTGTCTACATTTTAAGACAATAACTTTTATGGGTTTTATCTACATATTATATAAAATGAGTTGATTGAGTTATCTTTTTTTGAATTATTTAAATTAAATTTTTGATTCAATTAAAATTTTTCTTCATGATTAAATATTTTATTTGAAAATAATTATTCATAAAATCATTCAACTGCAAAAAAAAGTTACTGATAATAAATAAAACTCTTTTTAAAGTTTAAACAAACAAACAAAAAAATAGATATGATTGACAAATATCTATCATATAAAAGAATTTTATATTTTTTAGAATGTAAAATTAATTGAAATTAATGTAAAGAAAGTAACAAAATATAGCTGATTGATTGATTGATTGATTGACTGACTTAAGTTAATAAAGTTAAGTTTTGATCAATTAATTTTTAATCAATACTTTTGTTAATTATTATGTAAATTAAGAAAATCAAAACATAGAAATTGACTAATTCATGCGGATTAATTCTGCTTATTTTATCTTTTTTAATTTAATGAGAAATTTAATGTAGACAATATATTCATAAGAAAATCAATTCATTATTTTTATATTTAGTTTACATATTTATTACCCTATAAAAAGCAAATTTAGCCAGATATTTTCCATTCATTTATTCATTTCCTTCATTTTTAATATGTTAGCAAATTTTATCGAAGAATAATTATCACATTTTTAAATCTTGTCAAAAAAATTATTTTCTATTTAATCTAAATAAGATTTTAAATATTTTAAACACTTCTAATTCTTATAAATAATTACAAAGTCTATTTTAAAAAACTTCATCTTGATTTATATTAGTTTGAAATTTCAAACTTTTTCTCAAATTAATTATTATAATTAGCTTTACGATCAATTGAAAATGATTATCTGGAAAGTTACTTAACATTCTAGATATAAATCTGATTAATTATTAATATAATTTTTTATTTACATAATTTTTGATAATAAAAGTAATATTTTTGCCAGAATAATATTGAAGATTTATTTATTTAATTCATATAAAATCTGCAAGGATTACATTCAAATAGCTATTTAACCAATTAATTATAATTAAAAATTGATAAAAAAGCAATAACCATTGTAGGATTAAATTTATAAAGAGGATTGATTTAATGAAGACAGATATTGATAATAAAAAACCTGAAAAAGGAAAGGAAGCTAAGTATGTTAACAACAATTAGACTGAGTAAGAAGATCCCTATTAAAATAAAAAGAATTGGTAACAGGGTTACAATCTAATCAATCGATTATTTATGATGCATCTTCTGAGAATATCAGTAAATGTAAAAAAAGTTCTTTAATCAGGTAGAAATATTGCTCTTTCCAATTTATAAACGCTAAGCGATGACGAACTGTGTGAAACGAATTCTTCTATTTTCATTCAAAACTTAGAAAATGCTTAAAAGAATGGTCCCCTCACAGTAATTATTTAATAAAATTTTTTAATTCTAATGCTAACTTCATATTTATTTCATAAATTAGCCAATGAAAGTGTGGAAATCTTTGATTTCAGTTTTCAAAAAAAAGGGATATGTTGTTTTATTCTTCTCTTTTATTGATACGTCTTTGAAATTGTTCAACTCAGTAGCTTTGAATTTTTGTATTTAAAGTCTGATTGACACCAATTAGAAAATGGCTTATGTTTGGGCAGCTGTTATGATGGCTTCTATGTTCTTTTCAAGTCTTTTTAGATAATACAGTTGGACTTTGGGTTTTAATTTTAACACTCACCTAAGAGCAACTTTTATTGATACAATCTACAGAAAGATTAATAGACTTAGCAATTTTGCAGTAAGATCAGCAAATTTAGGAAAAGTTATAAATATTGTCTCTAGTGATATGAACACAACTGAGTTAAAATTCATTTATTTGTTTTAAATGATTATTGGAATTTACACTCTTTCGATGGCATGTATAATTTTAGCTTTTAGACTAGGGCCTTTAGGTAAATATTTAATTAAATTTTCTACTTTTCTCAAAACACTTTTTCAGCGCTTTAGCTAAATTTTTAATTTATAAAATAGGAATGTTAAGCATAGTTTTCTTAATTTTAATTCTTCCTATTTAATCATTAATTGGAAAGATCGCCTCCAGGTTTACATAAAAGAGGGTCTTGAAGAGCGATGAAAGAATAAAACTTATTAATGAAATCATAGAAGGTATTAGAATAATTAAAATATACGGATGGGAAGAAGCCATGAGAAGGATCATTGAAAGAATTAGATCAGATGAAGTTTCTTTTAATATTAAAGCCTATATTTCTATGTACACAGAAAAAGCCGTATCATCATCCAGTGTTCTGATTTCTTCATGTCTAACTTTTATTATCATTTATTACGAAGGAAGTTATGAATTGAACTACGCTAAGATTTTCTCTTCTATTGAAATGCTTACATATATTAAAGCAAATATAATATCTTTTTGTGGACAAGGATTTGCATACATCTTTGAATTACAAATCTTCTTGAGAAGATTTATTGACATCTATAACATTAAGGACATTTCTTCTCATAAAATTGATTATACTTCCACAAATTATAATTTAATATAACCAAATGAAGTTGCTAAATTTGATTAATTTTATTCTTTTTGGAAGGAACCTTCTATCAAAAACAATCCACCAACAAATAATTAGCTTCAAACTAATTTAAAGACAGAGGAGTAGCCAGCTTTATAAGAATCTGATGCATTATAAATGGAAAGTCTCAATCCTACATTAAGGAATATATCGTTAGCTATTAAAAGTAAAGAATTGCTTGCAGTAGTTGGTAAAGTTGGTTGTGGAAAAACAACTTTCTTACAAGTATTTTTAAATGAAATTCCTTACTTTAAAGGTTATTATTAAATCCAACCTCTAAATGATTAAGGAAAACCATTAAAAATGGCTTATGTGGAGTAAGAACCTTATATCTTTTCGAATACTGTGAGAGAAAATATCTTATTCGGATCTCCTTTTGATTAAGAATGGTATAATTAGGTTGTTAAACATTGCTGTTTGCTTCCAGATTTCGAATAGATGGATTAAGGCGATTTAACTGTGATTGGGGAAAGAGGTGTTAATTTAAGTGGTGGCCAAAAGGCTAGAATATGCTTAGCTAGAGCTGTTTATAGCAAAGCTGATCTGTATTTATTGGATGATCCTTTAAGCGCTGTAGACTCTAAAGTAGCCAAAGATTTATTCTTTTCATGCATCAGAGGAATTTTAAAAGAAAAAACTGTCATATTAGTAACTCACTAAATTCATTTCACAAGAAATTGCGATAGAATAGCCATTCTAGATGAAAGTGGTTCCCTTAAAAATATAGGTTCTTTTGAAGAGCTTCAAGATGATCTCAAGATTTTGACTGCTGGCTAGTTAAAGTTTGAAAATATGGGAGACTCGAGAAAATTATCATAAAAAAGTATTGATCAATAAAGCTAAAAATCATAAAAAAAGGTAAAAGAAGAAGAAGAAAAAAAAGAAGATTCAAGCGATGATGGTGAAGGTTAAATAGATTAAAAAAAAGAGGAAAAACCTAAGTAAGCAAACCAAATAAAACCTGAGAATGTTGAAATTACTTTTTCTACATACACAAGATACTTAAAGCTGATTAATTAAGTAATATGTTTTTTTCCTTTGTGGCTAATCATTTTGTTTGCGAGTGCAGAATGTGCATTCACTACATACAATAGAGCATTGGGGTATTTTGACTCGGTGTCTGATGATAATAAACATAAATTATTTGGTTTTTGGGTAGGTTTTGCATTTTTATATATGACACTGAATGGAATTAAATATATTACACTTTCTGTAGGAATTCAAAAAGGAAACAAGTAATTACATAGCAAGATGCTAGAGTCTCTTGTTAGAGCTCCTGTCTTATTTTTCGACCGAACCTCTAGTGGTAATTTAATGAACAAATTCTCAAACGATATCAGTTTACTAGATAATTTACTTCCTTTTTGTTCTTGTGATTCGTTGGATATTTTTAGTAATTTCTTAAATTTAATGATTACTTGTATAGTCTTCACTCCATATGTAGTTTTTCCTGCTATTGCACAAATCATTTTATTGTCAATCTTCTTTATGTACTCTAAAGAAATCATTATCAAAATTAGACAAATGGATTTAATGCAAAAAACCCCTGTCTTTTCTCATTTTAATTCAACTTTATAAGGCGTCATACCTATCAAAGTCTATGGTTAAAACAACACTTTCTTAAATAAAATGAGTGCTTTGTGCAATAATAGTTAGAGAGCTAATATGTCCTTCTGGCTTTGTAGTAGATTCTTTGGTGGATACATTCAATCTATATCTATCTTGTGCTCAACTGTTGGAGTTTTTATTATAATTGCAATTCCTGGCTAATCTACTAGCTAGTAAGCTTAAGCTATAACTTATTTCATGCTTATGGTTGATGCAATCCAGTGGTGCTTAAGATAAATGATTACAACAGATTCGGTTATGAATTCATTCGAAAGAGTCAACATTCTCATTAACTAAACTCCTGAAGCCTCACTTTATAATGAAAATGATAATAAATACACAAACTAGCTTAACTCAAAGCAATAAATATTGTGGCCTTCCTAAGGTTAAATTGAATTTAAAAATGTAGTTATGAAATACTCAAAAGAGCTTCATCCTGTTTTGAAAGGATTAAATTTTAAAGCTAATTCTGGTGAAAAAATAGGCTGTATAGGAAGAACAGGTGCTGGTAAATCTTCTATTTTATAAGCTTTATTTAGGCTAACAGAGTCTGAAGTAGGATCTTCTATTTTAATAGATGGAGTTGATGTTTCTGAGCTAGGACTGCATAAATTGAGATAAAATATTTCAATTATCCCTTAAATTCCTTTTGTGTTTGGAGGTACTATAAGAAGAAATCTCGATCCTTTGAACGAGTATAAGGATGAATAGATCTGGGAAGCTCTTAGAAATGTAGAATTGGATAAATACATTTTAGAAAAATGTAAAAATGGTATTGAAACTGATATGACTGTAGCCTCAAGTGTATTCTCAGTTGGATAGAAGTAGCTCATTTGCTTAGCCCGTGCATTATTAAAGAGAAATAAAATTTTAGTCCTTGATGAAGCAACAGCAAATGTCGATATGGAGACAGATAATTTAATTTAAAAAACCATAAGAAGCAAATTTTAAGAATGCACAGTATTAACAATAGCCCATAGATTAAACACTATAGCAGACTATGATAAGGTAATAGTCATGAGTGATGGAGTTGTAGCAGAATACGATGCTCCTATTAATCTTTTGTGCAATTCGCTAAACGATGAAGCAATTACCAAGAACACAATATTTGCCCAAATGGTCAAAAATACAGGAAAAAATAATTCAGCGAATATATTTTAGCTAGCCAAGGATAAGTACCTAAATGCAAATTAAGTAAATGAGTGAGTTATTGAATAAATGAATCAAACGTATTATTTTAAATTATTTGAAAATGATATTATTTTATATTGTATATTATTAATGTTTTAATAAACAAAAGAGTATTCTTATTCATATTTACCTCTGAATTTTAATATCTCATTTTATATTTTTTTATTTTTAGAATGATTAAATTAATTTAATGTATTTAACATTTATCTAAAATATTAAAAATATCTATAAAAATTATCTTCACTATTTGCATTTTATTTTTTTATTTTGGTTTACACAATTTTAATAGGAAAGACTTAATTTAAGCCTGAAATTAGCTTAAATAAATTGTAACAATAATTTAAATTAAGAATTATTTTCAATTAAATCAATATAAAAAAATATTTCTACCTCAATATATTAAAAATAATTAAAATGCTACCAAGAAATTTTTTAAAAATATATTTTAAAATTTTATTTAAATAAGAAAAAAAATTTCATTTTTAAAAGCATAAATTTTAAACTAATTTCTCACAACAAATAAAAAATTAAATAAATAATTTCATAATTAAAATATATTTTCTCCTTAATTAATCCCCTCAACTGAACTAATTTTTTTGAAAATGTTTGGGTCATTCTTGTAGTCTGCTTTAATTTTAGACACACTATTTAATTAATTAATAAATAAATATATATAATATAATTTGTATAAATAGGTATGCTATCAATACATCAAACAATAATAATCAATAAAAATAAAATAGATTTATGTTATGAATATTTTAAATTAAAATTGAATATTAAGAATAAATTAAAATGTTTATTGTTATTAAATTTTAATTCAATCAATTTATGTTACAAATACATCATTTAATTAATTAATAGAAAGTACTTTTACAAATTTTTATAAATTTTATATGACTTAAAAATTAAATTTACATTTTTGAATCATTATAATTTTTTCTTCAATAATGATAATAAAATGTATGCAATTATTGAGTAACCTAAACATAATCCAATCAAACACCCAATACTTTCCCATTTATCTAAATTGAAATTTAATTGTTTTATAGGATCTTAGGGATAGTTTTAACCTTCATAAGTGTACTCATTTTAAGCAAGTGCACTAAAGGAATATTTATAAGGAGAAAGGTACGAAATCCAACCTATCCAAGAAGCATAATCACCAGAGTTTTTGTAATATCCCCCGAAAAGCATAGTAGGTACTGTAATAGCTGGAGATATAGCAACTGCAATATGAGCATTTTTAAATGCACACCCACCTAAGTAACCGAGTGCTATTCCTGATAAGCCTTAAAGAGCGCTAGTGAACATAAAAAAGAGTACTTTTCCTGGACTATCAGTATTTAATCCAACCATCCAGTAAACAACTATACTTGATAAGATAGGTGATATTATGCAAGGTAATATGTCAACAATATATTTTCCTAAAAAATAAGGTCCTACTGTATACAACTATGAGTTTTCTTCTCTCAAAAACACAGCTCTCTCAGAAGGAAAGGTAAGGATACATGGTTTTAATGCCATCATGAAGGCTCCTATAACTTAGAAATACAATAATCCATTTTTACTATCAATATCTCTTTAAGTAGGATTATCTGTTGGACCAGGAGTTTACCAATATATAAGACCTATAAAAAACGATATAACAACACTCTATATTACCCGTGCTGCTAAGAGAATTGGATTTCTTTTTAGAATCTTTACTTATCGTAAAGCTATTTGTGTTGTTTAGTAAAACATATTCGTTCTAAAATTTGTTTTAATTGAATCCACTTACATTTCCTCTTCAATAGAATTTTTAATATTTGCTTCTACATTTTCCTTCAAATTTGAAGCATATTGTAAAAAGTAGAAATCATAATTTTTAACATTAATTTCTCTCTCAGGAGTCATTATTGACATTAAGAAATCTTTAATTTAATTTATTTAATTTTTAAAATAATAAATGGTTATTTATTTATTTACCTGCTGGATTAGAATAAACAGGACATTTGAATCCGATGCTTGAAAAATAATTTAGTACATTCATTCCTCCAGTGCCTTAGTAGATAAACTGTCCTTCAACCATTAGCATAACATTATCAAACATATTCCAAATATCAGAAGAGGGTTAATGAATTGTAAACACGACTGTTTTATTTTAGTTATGAGCATACTTTCTCAAGAAATCAATAATACAATAAGCTGTAAAGCTATCTAAACCTGAAGTAGGTTCATCTAAGAATAAGCATTATGGATCGCTTATTAGTTCATAACCTATTGATGTCCTCTTTTTTTCTCCTCCAGAAATACCTAATGAAAAATTTCATTTTAAGTTTATTTGAAATATAAAAATAAATTTACTTACCTTTAATAAAATTACCGCCAATGAAGGTATTCTGACATCTCTCAAGCTTCAAAATTTTAATGATTTCTTCAACTTTTTAAGTTTTTTATTATTAATTGCCGACAGTTTTTAGGTTGACAGCAAACTATAGACACTCTTTAACAGTTAACGCTTCAAGTAATATGTCGTCTTACATAACATAGGATGCAAATTATGTAAATTAATTTGAGGTATAGGGTAAATTGTTGGCCAATACTTTACCTGATAAAATTTAATCAGGTTTATTTTAAATTCTCTAGCAAAGAATATTGAGCAAAGTTGTCTTTCCAGCTCCTGATGTTCCTTTTGATTTAATTAAAAAAATGTTTTTAAATATCTAAGAATTTTATTTATATACCTAAAATAGCATTTATTTGGCTATTTTTACAAATTCCTGAAACTCCTTTTAAGATTTATCTTGTATGTTTTTTATTTTTCACTGAATAGTCAATGTTTTTGAAGACAATATCAACTGCTTGTCTTTTAGTATTATTAATGAGGTTATCTGACATTTATAACAATTGATTTACTTATAGCTTCTATTATTTAAAGTAGTTTAATTCTAATAAAATATTGTAAAGAATTAAGCATTTTTTTACTTTTAATAAAGAAATGGATAATTATTTATGTAATTATTTAGAAAATATTAATAAATTCTGATGAATTTACATTAATTTAAAAATTAAAAACTTAATTCTTTCTAGAAATTTAGAATATTTTGATAAATATGCAAGTTTATTTCTGACTAATTTAATTTAATCAAAACAAATTATATTAAAGAAATAAATAAATTCTTTTTTTCATTAATCATAAAAAATTAAGAAAATATTTGGTATTACTAAATTAAGATAAAAAATGCTGAATTATTTGTTAATTATCAAAGACTAATGATTGATAAATAAATTTATTTTATTATTTTTTATTAACAAATCTATTGTGAAATAAATTTAAAGTATATTCTTAGAATACTAATTGTTCCTTAAAATTTCCAAATTTAAATATAAATCAATTAATCAAAATTTATCAGATTTTTAATCAATTACAAAAATAAAAAAAATATTCTCTCAACTATTAATAAAGAATATTTTTAAAAGCCTAAATATGTAATTTTAGATCAAAAGAAATTTATTTATTTAACGACATCAAAAAAATCAAAAGTAATTTTTATTCATTTATCAAAAATATTTAAATAAAAATATTTTCAAAGCTTAAGGTAAAATTGTTACTAAAGATAAAAAAAAGGAAAGAAATTTTGATAATCATTAATTAGTATTAATTCCATTAATTGTTTTTATATTTTATATTTCTGGTAATTATTGCACAACTTCAATTTAGCCCTCATTAATATTATTATTATTATTCTTAATATCTTCACCTAACTTAATTTTATCATCTATCTAGATTACATAATTTACTATTTTTTATGCAGAAAAAGCATTTTCGTCAGGAACTACTAATGATTAGGATTATCCTATGGATTATATCAACTCCAATTTTTAGTCAGATGATAAAACTTATGGAATTATTGGTCTAATATTTTTGAGATCATTTTATTTTGATGTGTTATAAATGCTCTTCTTGTGAATTACATTTCTTGAGTTGAAGTTCAGTTTAGGTTTTGCTTTTTCTGAATCTTTTGATTTTTTAAGTTTTATCGAAACATCGTTTGATGATTACGAAGATTATTAATTATTCACAAAGAGATTAGCAAATGAGCTTGTTATCTTTTGGTCTTTTTATAAGCAATAAAGAGTTAATTTTTGGTAACCAACTCTTTTTATTGCTGCTTAAAGTTTTTTCCATCCTTTATGAGACAAATACAAATTTTCTGTGAGCTAAAAATATTTTTATAGATATGGCACTCTATTAATTAAAGATTAAATGCATGGGTAGATTAGTGTTTTTTAATTGTACTAGATTTTTTCTTTAATAAGCATGAATATGAAATACATCAAGAAGAAAGCATTCAAAATAATAACTAAATAAAATGAAGATTGTTATATATTGATGTTATTCGAATTCATGTTGATCATTCCCAATTAAAAACAAAGAAGCAAGGTAAAGCTGGCAGCATAATCAATTTAATTTAAAAAAAGTCTTTTATAAGGTTATTAAATGTATAATTACCTAATATAAAATGCCATAATAAAGCTCAATAAAGCACCTTTTGTTGTTTAATTTTCATTATATATGCTTAAACCTATATATATTAATCCTTTCTATGAGAATTTTACTATTTCCCAGTAATAGCATGAATGTTTATATTCTGAAAAGAAAAATTTTTATCTCAAATAAAATGAAATCTTAAAAAGATTATTTTTATTTGTCTTTAATTCAAAATAAATATATGCAGGTATAATTATAAGCATTAAAATAAGCAAAGGTACTGCAATAGGAAATCCAAAAAATAAATGTTATTTTGAATAGCAATGAAATTAATTATCAGAATAAATATATTTCTTAGTGCCAATTCTCTCACAAGATAGTATGTTAATGGATTATTACACAAGACTTGGGAATACCATATAATACAAGTAGTACATTGAAGTCCTAATAAATCTTTTTTATAAGATTAATAAAATTTCAATATAATAAATAATATAAAACTAATTCAAATAATTTCTAAAAGTAAAATAAAGATTAAGAAATTTTTGCTATTTTTTATAAATAAATTAAAAAATTTGCAAGTGCTTATTAATTTATAACTAAATTACCTATATATTGTATCCTTTTTTGTGGTAGACTTTTTAAATGTAAAGTAAGTAAATGAATAAATAATTATAAATGAGAAGATTGCATATATAAGAACATTAATTATTATCCATATCAGTCTTATGTAAACTATTTCAAGTTTATGAATCCATCCCAGTTAAATAAATAAACAATCTATCAAGTAAAAACTAATTTAAAGAGGATTTCCTAAAAAGTTAACTAATACTAATATGCCATAAGAAAATTTGAAATTAAAATAAGCAAGAGTAGATAAAATTTGTACATAGCTAATTAAAAATTTGATTATGTTACTAAATCTAATATTTTCACATAAGAGTCCTATATTAATTATACCAGCTTTCTTTAAATAGTATGCTTATAATATTGCTTAGGCTTCTATAGTTACTTGATAAGCCAAGTAAGTAAAAAATAAGGGAAATAAAATGATAAATAGGCAAACAAAAACATAATAAGAGATCTATTCTTTCCCGCATTCTTTACATTCATAAATTCCATACCTTGTATAGCTATAACCTTTCCATACTTACCCAGTATAATCGCAGCTTTCACAGCGAGGGCCATATCCTCCTTAACTACAACCGTTTTTCCTATAAAATAAAATAAAATTAATAAATTTTCATAAATGTGAATGTAAAAGTTAATATTTACAATTCAGGTTAACATTTATCTGGATTATTGAAGCAAAAATAAATGTTCGTAGTGTTTGGCTCAATCCAATAATTTTCAAATATTTCAATAACATTCTTATAGCACTTTTTTGCGTTATCAGGACAAACTAAGCATTTGTTTTCAAAAGAAGTAGGTTATATCAGAGAATACATATTGTCTTTACACTCAAGGCATTCAAAGACATCTTAATTAAATGGATTAAAAATCTCACCAATAACGCATTCTCTAAAAAATATATTGATCAGCAGCTCATTTTATTTGAATTTACTTCCTTCATCCTCTGGATAATTTATCATTGTTTTTACTTTAAGTTTCCCATAAGATTTAGGTTTTAATAAGTAGTTTTAGTTAGTTTTTATATATTAATATCCATAGATATCTTAAACAATCTCTCCTTTAACTTCAGTCTCTGTTTTTACTCTATTTATCCAAATGCTTTCTGAAGACATATAAAGTGTCGTGTATTAATTTAATTCTCTTTGAATTGGTTGATATTTGTTATTTTTTAAACTTATTTCTTGAGAAGTGTATTTTAGTTTCTAGTTTTACTCATCGACCCAATAAAATTTAATCTAAATAAATAAATTATGTATTATTTTTAATATAAAAAAATGTTTTTAAATTTTTTTTAGTTTAATATTTTATAAGTTATTATTTGTAATTAATTATTTAATTAATAGAAAAATAGAAATTTAAATAAATAAAAATTATTGAAATAAATTGTATACTTCTTATTGAGTTGAGGAGATACTTGAAACAACATTTTGCAGGGTGTTATTAGGTTTGGAATCTTTTACTATAAGCTTAGTTGGATAGTTAGTATAGTCCTAGCCAAAATAAATAGCTCTATTATGTTTTAAACATCCTTCTACAGATAAAACTTAATCAATATTTTGTCTGAAATAGCGTATGCCACCACCTATAGCAGCAAAGTTGTATTGTATTAGAGTTTTTTATTTTAAGTCAGTCAAACTATCTTCTATTTTTATAATAGAATCTGTAGAAAAAATAGCTCCTCCAGAGAAAGTAGCATTATTGTATTATATTAATGTATTTGTTAAAGTAAGAGAAGACGAATATAAGTAAATAGCTCCTCCATTTAAACCTGCTGAATTGTTAAAAAGCTTTACATTTTACAGCTTTAGAGCTACTTCGAAAACTTGAATTGCTGTACCATTGCTATTGATGCTCTATAGACTTTGAATCTAAGAATCAATGATAGTTGCAGAGCTTTTAGATACCAGAGTTGGATCATCTTAATTATTGTAAATCAATATTGCAGAGTTTTTAATTTTAACTAGGGTTTATTCTTTTTTATTGCGTTTATTTATAACGTAAGGATAGACTTAAATATTTTATAATAAAGAATTGAAGCATTTTATAATACCAAAAATTTGATTCAATTAGTTATTCTCTTAGACTGTGAAATTTTCAATCACCAAGTTTTAATTTTTAAAAAAATAGAATAAAAAATTAATCAAATTTGCTTTAATAATGTTAACATTTTTAACATTTGTTTGTTTGGTATTTAACAATCGAATTATTGATTAGAAGCAGGATGTGGAATAAATATTTAAAGTATCAATTGTGACAGATTCAGCATCTATTATTAAAAAATCGGTTTAATAGCATATACTCTATTATATTTGAGATAATTGATTGATTGTTACATTAACTATTTAGACATCTAATTATGTTGACTCAAACTACTCATTTATATTTGAATTACTAGTGGAAATAAAATTTATAGTTTTATTTAAGTGTAAAAACATAGACACATTACTTTCTTCTAATAAAATATTTTTTATAGAGAGCTACTTTTAAATAAAAACTAATCTGAAAACACTACTAAAGTTTTCTATGTTAACTGGCAAATGAGCGTAAAAATTTAGCATTTATTGATCTTATGATATAATTTCTCCTCTCTCATTTATGTTAATTTAAGTACCTGGATCACTTTGAGAGGGAGCATTTCCTTTTTTATCACTAAAATCTTCTTCCTCTTCGTTAAATTGGGAATTTAGATTTTAGAAAATTAAGTTTTCTAAATAGACTTCTTCAACATATTGTAAAAAGAATAGATCTATATTAGCGTTAACGCCTGTAAAATTGATATTTGAAATTGTTACATTAGGAGTTTATTAAATAGTTATCCATCCAAAACTTAAGTAAAGAGAGAATTGAGGAAATATATATGATTGAGAAGAATCGTCAAATACATTTAAGTAGCTGATATCCACTTGTTATGAGTTGATAATACTCAAAAATTATTTACTTAACATTGTTGAATGCACTGTTAAATTCTTGATTGATAAGCTAGATACATTATAGAATTGAAGCTAAATTTACAAAGAAGGATTATCATATGGGACAAATATGTCTTTAAGAATTACTGATTCACAATTAAAAATATTTAAGCTTTATCTCAACTCAACATTTTCCAAATGAATGAATTTAAATTATTCTAAGCTATTTGGAGTTATAAAAGGAGAATCAATTGTTTCTTATTTATTTTTATCAGACTCTTTTGTATTTTCTTCACTCTAAATTAATCTAAAAAATCCTTTATTGGCTTCAATTTTTCCATTCATTATTTTAAGTTTGTTTATTACTGAGCTCTTTATATTTAAGGGAAAAAGCAACACAGCAGTGTCACTTAAATCATATATAAAATATGATGCTAGTTTTGTTTTTAGCTTCAGAGAATTTGGGATAAATAATTCATTAAGATCATCTTTATTATCATCTGACTTATCTAAACTAAGATTATTTTCTTTTGAAGGAAATTTAAAATTGATTTGGTTGTATAATCCATCGTTTTGAGAGTAAATTGTGTCATATTAAATAATTTAATAGTCTTTCTTTTGGTGGATTATAAATTTGCCTCTGCAAGTATTCTGAGATTATTTTTGGTCATTTTATAATATATTTTTCAGAAAAGATACTTTTTAATCCTTCAGTTCAGTTTTTAATAAAGAACCCTTTTCTTATTTAGTTTAGTGATTAAAAATTAGCTATTTAGTTAAATCTACTAAATTGTTATAATCTGCTCCTACAATTCTAATAAAAACAGCTTCTTCTTGTGTGAAAGTTTATATTTCCAAAATTTAGAGATACAAGTTGGTTTATTCATAAAAAGGAACAGCTAATTTGCGTTGGAAAAACTATTTTTAACTGTAATATTCAGAATTGTCTCCTTAGTTGCTTTAGTAGCTGCTGTTGATAGAAGATGAAGAACTATATGATGATGATCCACTTATACGGTTGACTGATTTGCTTATGATATCAATTTCATTTGGATTATCATCTGTTATTATTTAATAAATGTACATCCTATTTATGTCTGATATAACAAAGTATTCTTCTAATACATAGAAAACTTACTAAATGTTAAAGAAATCTTTATTTGTTATGTAATACATTAAAGTAAAGGACTTATACACTTCAAAGATGTAAATATTTGAAGCACTCAAAACAGCAAGCAAATTTTTATTTAACTTTTATAGCTTTACATGGCTACGTGCTTACAGTGGAAGCTAGGCTACGATTATATTATTCTAATATTATTTAATGAGTAAATCTTGATATTAGATTATATAGATGTAGTATTTATCTGCAAAATATATCTATTAAGTTAAATTATCTTCTGTTATTACTTAAATGCCATCGTCAATATTATTTTTAGACCATATTAACTCACATTAAAAATTATAAACGTTTAAAATGTTTTTTATCCATAAAAAGATGTATTCAATGACTTATGCATTATTTTCTGTCTTAACAATTTAAATACCTTTAACTTGGCCAAAGAACTCTGAGGGAAGTTTTAATAAGCAGGGAGAATCATCTATGGAATTTTGAGCAATTAAATTATAATTTATATCAATAAGAGCATATTTTACATTTGGCTTTATGTCGATCAATAAGAAATTTTAGAAGTTAAATTGTGATAAATTAATTAATTAATTTTTAAATTCTAAAATATCATTATCTATTGTTAAATAATATAATTCTTTATCTTTAAATGCATAAATATAAACCAAGTCGTCTTATCCATCAGCATATATTTCTTAATACTCGTAAAGGTTTAAAGTTTTTAGATATTTATTTCTACGGTATAAATAAAACTCTCTATCAAATTTGATAACAGCTACAGAATTTGAGCTGCTTTTATTCAAATAAACTAAATATTACATTTTCCTAATCTTTAAAGCTTGCAAATTCTAAGTTTCAACCATATTTGGGAGCTTTAGAATCGTGTAATACTACTCGTATATATTATAAACACAAAGACTATTTAGATTTAAATTTATAAATATCAAATCTTATTCTTAGAAATTCTAAACCTAAGCTTATTATTTTACTTAATTTTCGCCTTTTTGAGAAGAAGTTCTTTACTGCTAACTCTTTTAAAAATAATAATTCTAAAAGTTTAATTTATTTTCAAAAGAAAACCTTTCGAGTACAAATGGGAAAATTTAAGAGAGATCTAAAACTTGAAGGTATTTTTCTATGGATTGCTAATGAATAAACGCTAAGTCTAGTGAAGGTGAGTAATGGAATTTACTTTCTTAAAAAATGTAGTAAAAGTCTGATTTGCTTGTTGAAATAAGAATATTTCCTATTACTACAATTTGTTTATCTTCAATAATTGCTACATTCGTTTAGTTAATAAATAAATCGATATTGATTCTCTCTAAGTCAGTATTAAGAGTGATATCTTTGAGAATGCTCTAATTTTCATACTCAATTATTGTAATTTTAAAGTTATTGCTAGAACTTAGCTGTTCATAAGTAACAAGGAATGAGTTACTACATGCCCTTGGAACGCTCTTCTTTACTTTAAAAACGAAAAAGGGTTGTTAATTCTCGCTAAAAGGGTAATCATACCCAACAATAGAGTTTTCGTATCTTAAAAATAGTTTTTAATACTGCCAACAATAAAAGTAGAAGCCATTTGTATTAAAAGATTCTGAATCAAATTCATAAAATAGTTTTATTGGAGTTAAATTCTGATAAGAGACTATCTAAACATACTATTGGTCATTCAGCTACGTTAAACCAATAATAAAATCTCTCTCTAAATTAAGAAAGCCATCTTTCTGATTTAAAAAGAAGAGAGATGAATCCTTAGATAAATTAGAATTCTATTACTGGATAGATTTTTATTTTTCATAAAAATAAATTTTAAGTCTAAATATATAATATAGATGAGTCTTATTTTCCATAATCTAAATCTTTGTTTATTATTTGTTATTGTAAATTAGCAATTCTGGTTAATTAAAAAACTTATTCTACAAAAAATCATAGATACCATACAAATTTAGGAATACGTAAGGATCAATTTATGAGAAATATGCAAATTTATCTACCTTTTAAGGATATTCCATTTTAAAGCTGTAAATATAATCAGGAGATTTGTAGTCTGCCTTAGCAGTGCCTTCAAATTTTTTTGTTTAACTAACAATTATATCATATAAACTATAAACGAGTATATTCATGTCATCACAAATAAGAAGAGTATCATAAGTACTTATTATCTGAAAAGTAAATAAACTACATTCAACTTTTATTTTGTAAGAAAAAATAACTTGCTTTTCAGGATATTAAATTAAATCTATTCTTTTATTATCTAATGGTTTTTTATCAGAATTCAAATATGCCTCTAAACCTATTACATGCCACTTATCTGAATACATTGTATTTTGATAATAATCATCTAAATATATTCTGTCTGTAGAGAGTTGCTTAATAATATTTGGGATCTACCATCTTTTATATAGAAGCTAATATTTATCAATTTTACCAGAATAATAACATTAGAAGCTGCATAAAATGCTTATCTATTCCTTAATGTTGATTTGATTCATGAACTAAAGTTAATTTTAAGAAAATTGACCTTCCACGATTTATAACTTCTCAGCTTCTTAAAGCTAAAGTATCCTTTTTTTACCAATTAATTTGATTTTTTTGCTACTAAATACTTTATAAGTAACTATTGTATTTTAATAAATTTCGAGTTTACCTATTTTTTAAAAATAACATCAATTACTAAAATAAATTAACATATAATTTAGCTTCTTCATTTTGAAAGATTCTATCATTAAAATTTTGATTGATAAAATTAAAATATTTTTACATAATCTTTTGCTAAATTTTATTATTGGTGATAATAAATGATAATTCATAGTAAATATTTAGTATATTAAAAAAAAAATAAATATTACTAAAATAATACTCAGAGGAAATAATTTAAAAGAAAGTGCCTTAATTATAAGAGCTTTATGGAAAAAGCAAAAACGAGCATTGATAATTTTGTAAGTAGGGAGTAAATTATTTGTCATCCTATGTAACTAGAGGTATTATTTCTTCTCCCACATGAGATATTGGATTAGAAAGTAAATTAATAAAGTGAAATATGAATCTACTTTCTCTTAATTCTTATATAAGCATCCAAGTCTATTTTTATTCGATTTGGTATTTATATATTTTGCCTGTAATTTTATTTTCATCTTATTAAAGTTCATTAAAAGATACTCTTTCTACATCAAATTTAATAAACTTTCCTGGCGATATTATTAGAATTGTTGTTGTGTCTAAAAATTCAAAATAAAAATCTGCTATCTAAACACCTACTTGCTGATTCAATTCTAGGCTAGTTTTATCGAATATTTGAATGAAGCTCTAATTATTGTTTTTATTTATTATAGATATAGCAATGTATTTATTATTGTCTTTTATCTGTTTATAGTTTTACAGCGAGCAAGAAATTAACTTACTTTTTGAATTATTTATTAAATAAAAGTATAGGCAAAGACTAGATTCTTTTTTCTCTTTAGCTAAAAATAATTAATCAGATATAATTTATTCTACTGAGAAGTAAACTTCATAGTTTGGGTTGATTATAAAGTTAAAATATTCTATAGTTAAAACTAAGTGCTATTTCTAGCTATTTAATAGACCAAATATTTTAATTAGCCTACTATCAGAGTTTATAAATATTTAAAAATTTTATCTAACAATTTAAAGTCTATTTATTACGTCGTCTCCCTAAAACTCCTTTTAAAATAGAGCTTAACCATTGTAAATCATAAAAATTACTAAATTTCCTTTAGTGCTAATAGCAGCATTTATTAAGATACGCCTTTATTCATCAATTCCAACTGCTCCATACTCTTCTATCTCTTCATTAAATATTTCTATACTATTTTCATTACAAAAGTTAAATAGATATGCTTCTTAATTATTTTCAAGGAATATTCTAGCATTATTATCATAACTAACTATTAGAAAATTTGAATCTCCATCTTTATTTTTAAAATTAACTTTAAGAACTCTGAAAATAAATTTGAAAAAATAAAATTCTAAAACTTAAAAAATAAAAATTTTTTACATATTTAAATATCACTTTAATAGTAGAAAATGCTCTTGATAGGCTTTTTGAAATCAGATTTAATATATTTTAGATTGAAATTTTAGTCAAAAACTTAGAGTTAAAAAGAATCCTTAATTGCCACATAAATATCATTATTAAATTCAGAAACGATATAGTATTCGTTGCTTTATATTTAAATTGTGTATAAAACTAAATTTTGATAATTATTTAGGCAGTTCAGATTGCTTAAACAATTTTAAATCAAATCTTTAATTCTTAAAAAGTATATCTTAGATGAGTATATAATTGATAAAATGTTATTTTATTCCAATACATAGCCATAATTACTAGGAGCAACTATATGAACCATAGAATTATTTTCTGAGTCAAAAATATTCACACTTAACCCATTCAAAACAACAAATTATTTATCTTGGTTTCCTTTATTTAATGGATAAGAATAGCTTTTAATCCAATCTACTTGCATTTACTCTCCTATATCTAACTAGCTAAGCGGCTCACTTTCATCCATAAAAGTAGAGTATATGGTAATTTTTAATAGAGATATAACAATTAATTTATTTGATTCAGGAATGATAAAGTATTCAAATATTTTCTAACCGATTTTATATTGAAACTTTACAGTATTCACATCCTTCAAATTAAACACCAAAACTTATTTATTTTAATAAATTAACAATAAAATCAATTAAATAAAATTAAAATATTAAATTAATAGATGACTATTTTTTATTTAGTCATCTTAAAAAGTTATAAATTGAATTTGTGATTTTCTTTTACAAATATTTTTTTATTTAAAATAGGGAAAATGTTTATTTGTTACTGTCTTAAAGAGATGCAGATGATGTTATAAGCCAATTGTATTCATATTGAAAATTTGAATTGTCACCAATAATCTAAGTAAACTAATTATTTTAGACCCATACTGGAACTTGAATGGTCTCTTCTAATGTATAGTATGCATTGTGATATATTAATATAGTATTACTGTAAACTATGTAAATGTAGTTATTGAAACCAATAACTGTTTAAATATCTTAATCGCTGTTTAGACTTTATAGATAGAATTAATAAGTAAATCTATCTTTTGTGAATACATAAACTTCCTTTTTTGTGTAGAAATATAAGTAATACCTTTCTATGAGTATTTTGATTCCATCTATTATTAATTAGAAAAAGTTAATTTTATAGAACTAACAAAAAGAGCGAACGAGTGAGTGAGTGAATAAATCAAATTAATTTTGCTTTTCTAAATTTACTATATAAAGCATTACCTTCATCTTTATTAAAGCAGTTCGAATTGAGCTCTCCAATATAATTTTCTTAAGAACATATCTTAGGATATGTACAAATATGCTATTCCTCATTTTACTCAAGATCTTCTGGACATTTTTAAACTTCTACTATTTCATTTTAATTAAAATTAAAATAAGCGTAGCTAGATTCATCGTTTAAACTAAAAGTGCATTCTGTTTTAGACTATGATAGCAAGAAACCTTTTTCGCAAGTTTTACATTTAGTGTTGCTTAGACATTCTAAGCAAAAAGGTATATTGCATGTAACACAAATATATCTTTAATCGTCTTTAAAATAACCAGATGGGCAATTATCAAAGCATTCTTATTGATGCATATATCCATAACATTTAAAGCAGTCTGTTTTACCATCTCCAAAGCAAGAAACGCAACTAGAATCACATTTTTAACAGACTCCTTTACCATGATAAAATTCATCAAATTTACAAATTTAGCATAAAAACCCATTCAAGATGAAGAAAATTAGTATAAAAGATTTTAAAACACTATTTAACTTTAACATTACTTTGATTAAAGATAGATTATTTTTTATTAACTAAGTATTCCTTTCTTCAAAATAATTAATTAATTAATTTAACTTCTAAAGATCACTATTTTAAATAAATAAATAAATATATTTATTAACTTGTACTTGAATTTAAACAAACATAATAAAATTTCTTATCATTAAAATGTTCTTGTTTACTCATTAATTTTTTATAACATTCTTCAGCATAATTATTAAGCAAAACTTTTGCTGGATGAGATTGATTGAAAAATATTATAAATTGATAGATAATACTAGCCAAAAATTTATGAGAGCAAAAATAAATTTCTAAATGCTAAAAAAATATGGAAATATTACTAAATAAAAATAGAAAAATTACACTTGAATATAATAATTTCACAAAAAGAAATAAAGTAAGTTAAAAAATAAACAATAATATATGCAAAACAATGAAGCAATACAAAAAAAAGCAAGTAAACAAATAAATAAGTTGAAAATTTAATTAAACATTTTTTTTATAAAGCAATTAAATTATTTTAGTTTTTAATTTAATGAAATAATTAATACTAAATTTAACTTTTGCTAATATTTTATTTGGGTTGAAAAAATTAATCATTCTTAAGAATATTTAATATATGAATATTTTCAAAAATGCTCTACAATCATTGTTTAGTAATTATTTCTAACATGTTCTCTGTTATTATAAATATACTGTAATAGCTTTTCTTCTGAAAAGAAAATTTTGATCACTTGTCTTCCGTTTTTAAAAATATCTTAAAAAATTGAATATTCTTCAAGACTTTGACTTTAACTTAAAATTAAAATTAGCAATTCTATTTATGTTTCAATTAAAAGTCGACATAGCCTTTATATCAATATTTTATTTTATAAATTTAATTTTTGATCTGTTATGTAAATAAGATATGTGTAGCTATTTTTATTTTATTTTGATGATTACTAATTACTATGTCTAAATTTATATTAAGCCATGAAGGAAGATAATTTTTCATCTAGATTAAAAGAAAATTATTTTATGCAAGAGAGAATACCTTAAATAAAAATTAAATCTCCTTTAATTTAATTCTTTGAATGATATGATTACTCGTTTTTACTTTAGCTTTAAAAGACATTTGTTTGATTAATATCATTTTTTTACATTTCATCCTAGCTTTTTGCACAATCTTAATCATAATTTTCAAAGAAATTTTTTATTCCATTATATGAATTTTAAATAGTTTTATCCTTTTTATTGGATAATAAAGAATTCTTTTAAGATAGACTTTGGAATTAATTACTTTAATTAAGGAACTATTTAAATTAATATTCAGTATGCTAATCAATTTCTTTACTTTTATTGCTATTATTATTAAAGTTTAGTAATTAATTTTATTCATTATTTATCTAATATTGAATTTGATTTTGCTTATCATTTTAAATATGATGTAATTGATTCTCCTAGCTGTTAAGTGAAGACATTTTATTTACTTCATCAGAATTAAAAAGAGAAATTATAGATTATTCTGATAAATTATTCGATAAATTACAATATTTATCTTAATTATTTAAAGATTCTTCATTTTTAAGCTTTTGTTTTTAATTTTGTTGAGTTAAACTTTATTTTTTGTCTGAATTCTTTAGATTTTAATTATCTGTCATTTTTTTATTTAATGTGTTTTGTTTTTTTATTTCTATTTAATCATTAATTTCATTTTTATTTTATTTTTAATAACTTTTAGGTGACTCAATTATTGAAAGGTTTTACTCTTCTTCAGCTGTTTCTTTTTATATGTAAGCTGCTTATGTTTTTTGTTCTTGGTTTATTTTATTTGAGAGATATCTTAAAAAAATTTCTGAGAATAATGAAAAGTTTGATTAGATAGTTTTAATCGAAGTGACTCCAATATACTAAACGAATATTTATTCTTCAAAGTTAAAATCTAATACAGCAAATGTGTCATAATCTTTGAATAGGATCTAATTAACAATATCATAACACATAGTGCATATCTTTTTTTTAAATTAATAATTATAACAAGTGGTAACTAATTGAATGTTCAAGTAAGCTTTAGTTAGGTTATCATATTTGTCTTTGACCTCTTGCAATTCTTAGTTTTTGATATTGTTAATTTGAGCTATCTATGAAAGAAAGTTAATTTGCATTTTTTTCAAATAAGGTAGGTAATACATACACTCTTCTAAAGACTTAACTAAGATTAATGCTGCGGTGTAATAATTCTTTTATATAAGTTAATACTATGCTTATTGTAATGTGCAATATTGAAAATAAATATCAGAGCTAAAATCAAAAATATTTTTTTTATTTGCTTTGAACTCTTTTCTTACTTGATGGAAGGATATTTTTAATTTTTGTTATGATTGAATGAGATATTACTATGTATTTATAAAATTATTTATTTTTTTACTATAAACTTGATTTTTAATAGCAGTGTTGAAAAGGTACTGACTGTTTTCTAATTTATCTTCATGTTCAGAATCCTTTAAAGCGACTTTAGCTTTATTTTGATAATGATTGCTCTTTAAATTAAAGGAGTTCGAATTTGTTGGAGTATTTTCTTTTTTTAAGAGGAATTGATTTGAAAAGTTACTTCCTTATTAGGACTGTTTCAATTTTTAGTTTAAAAAAATACTGTAATTGTTTTAATTACTTTTTGATTGTCTCTTTTAGTTACTTTGTGATCTTGATTTATTATTTTCTTTGTTTGTCATACTGAATTGAGAATTTTGTCTAATGAAATTAAAACTTAATTAATCATTTATTGATTAAAAATTTATTAATTTTTCAGTTTATTCAAGTTAACTCTAAAAGAAATTAGTATTTCTATCGGATTTTCTAGCTTTTATAGGACTGGTAAGAATTATCTAATCCTGTTATTTGCTACTAGTCTTTACAATTTAAATTTTACCTTTAGTAATTAAATTTTCAAAAAAAATCTTATCTTAAGTATCAAGTGTTTGGTTTTTTGTCAACGATTAGCATTCGTTTACATTAATATTCAAGTTGTTAGTATGAATATTAACATAATACTACATTAAAATATTTAGTAATTTATTTGTTTACTCACGCATTTAGTAATGAAAATCTCTTACTAATAGATTACAGTAACTAGTAATTTCTCTTTTAAATGAAGAGGATAAATAAAGTTAACTTATTGAGATATTTTCAATTACAATATCTTCAAATGCATCCCACATAAAGTAATTTTACTTTTTTAAATAAAATATTAGAGAAGTTTGATAATTAAGATTTCTATTAAATAATTATTCAAACAGCTATTCAGCATCATGAAGGCAATAATTTATTTTATGTTGATATTTGTAATTTTCTACAAACTGAGTAATATCACTGATATTGAAATCCTTATCCACTTCATTTAAGCTATAAAAGAAAAAATTCTTGAATTGTTCTTTAAAATTCTACAACTATTCATTTAAATTTTGGTCAATATCTAAATGAGAGTATACTTAGAGTTCATATTTGCAATAAATTATTGAATTTCCAAAGCTTTCTAAAGCTTCTTAGTATCTTTCTTAATTGAAATGAATTACCCCGATATTGTTATAACAAACACCTAAAGCTCGAAAATTCCCAAATTATCTAAAATGGTCAATGCATTTATTTAAGTTTAGTAAAGATAAGCTTTAATTATTTGAAAAGAAACTTGAAGTTGTAAATCTTAATATTTAAAAAACATTTTGAAAACTGCTCAAAAGATCTTATGTTTCACTTGAAAAGCAATATCCTTCTAAATCCTCATCAATTTAATCTTCAATTAAAATATCATTATTATATTCTGTTTCATAACTTATCTGTGAAGTTTAATTTTAGGTTCTTAAGCTTTTATTTATTTGGTCTTATTTTTAGTTTAGAATTTTAATTTGATTAAGAATATTCTTTAGATGGTTGACAGGATATAATATGCTAAATCCTATTTATATAGAGTAAACTGCCTATACAATCAGAACAAGAATTGCTAATGACCAACTGATGTATAAAAATATTTTATTATAATATGTGAGATTCAATTCAAGATTTTTTGCATAGACTTACATTTATTATTTTGATAGGATATCCAAAAATAAATAAATATTTTTAATTTCGTATTTTTTTGCTGGGTTAACAGATTTTAGAGTTTGATCCTTTGATATTTTATCAATTAATGTTATCCTATTAAGGATAACTAAACACTCTGTACCATTTCTGCTGTATTCAAATGTTTTTTAGTCATTTTTATAAGGATTAGATAGATCTATACTATCTGTTTTAGAAATAATTAAATCTGAATTTTATTTGATGTTGTCTAAAAAGATTTTAGTTTAATTTTAGTCTTGTAGGTATTTAGTTTCAACGTCTTAAATATATGTAACTGACTAAATTTATTATTTAGAATCATATACTAATGAAAGTTGTCTTGGATCTAAAAGCATCTATTGTAAAGAATTTTAGCTAAAGTTAATAAAATAGTTAGAAATAGATTTCAAATTTAGAGTTGTGCAAATTAAAGCAAATACAGAGCTATCTGAATTAGGATCTTATTTTGCATATTTTAATATCCTTTAACAAAAATTTGTTGCAAAATAGTTTAATCCATTGCCAATAAAATTTAGCTAAGGAGGGAAAACTGTTATCGAATAAGAATCAACTGTTGGTTAATAATAAAATCTACATCTAACATCAAACCTATACGGTAAAGAATTATATGGGCAATTTGGAGGGATTGCATATTCTCTCATAGTAGAATTATAACCAAAAACAAAAAGCATACCATCATGAGTAAATCCAAAATACATATTCTATATTTATAACCATCTAATGTCTTTATTCTGTTAGTCGTATTTTATGGCTTTCAACAAAAAATCTTAATGACTAGAGTTTTCTATTTGTTGCAGTGATATTTCATCTAATTATTAAAGGTAACCATAATTTGGATGAAGCCTTTATTTATTTTAAATAATATTTAAAAAAATCAATCAATTTATTTTTACTTCTTTTTATGCAAAAAAAAATCATTTTTACAGTTTTTATTGTAAAAATATTTCATTCTTAATTTCTTAAATCAATTATTTACAATAAATTTATAAATAAACTTTTAGTTAAAAAAATAAATAAGTAAATAATATTAATTACCAATTGCTAGTAGAAAGAATATGATCTTTAAAAATTTATAGTATAAGAGGATTTTCTTGGTTATCAAAAGCTCGCTGCATGTTTAATATTGCGGCAGTAAAATTACTATTCTTTTTGATTTAGTTTAGTAAATACTTTTAATATAATTAATTTGTAAGGTTTATTTGCCAAGCCACCTTTTATATCTGATTATTTATTTAAATGACCACAACTTTATTTTAAATTTTCGAGTTGGAGATTTGGTCTTAGTACAAATTTTCAGCAAAGTTTTATATGAAACTTCTACTTGTCTCTTAAAAAAAGAATAGTGTTATTAATGTAGTTAAAATTAAAATAAAAGTTGGTAGTAAAAATAGCATTGTCACAATGAGTTATGTTTAATTTTGTTTGAAAAAATTTAAGCTAGTAGAATTTGTTTTAACTATTTGTTTCTTCATTCTTTATCTTTATCACAAAAATTTTTATAATTATTAATTGAATTCTTTATTAATGTTTACCAATTATTTATTACTATAAAAATTAGTTAATAAAATCCAATGATTTTTTTCCCTTATCTTTAAAGTAATTTTCCTTTATTAAATAATTGAAGAAAAAATATCATTTTTATATAATAAATAATTAGTTCCCAAAATAAATTTTAAGAACTATCCTTATATTAATTTATTTATTTTACCTGTTTTAATATTAATTAATTATTCTGTTTAATTTATTTATTTATATTATCATTTTCATAATAACATTTTTATTTTTTTAAATTTTTTAAATAAATTATTTTTATATTTATTGAGGGGGGAGGGGAGGATATCAAAATAAATGACCTTTCAAAAAAATCAAGCATAGTTTAAAAATTTTTTTATCAGGGTAAAAAAGCAGTGTCTAAAAATTTTATATACTCCTCTCTATTGACAGTTTTTGAATGAACGAATACTGAGATTGGATTTAGAATTGTTTGAAATAGAAATCTTCACATATATGAATTTGGCTATTCTTATGATTAATTATTCACTTTAAGAAAATTATGATTGTTCCTTAAAAAACCTAAAACTGTTGCTATTCTCGCAAAGGAAAAATATAGATTTATCTGAAAATTTAAATTGGTGTAAGTGAATATTTTAGTGCTCAATATAATAATCTATAAAAACATTAATAAAATATTGATATTTTAAAGTGAATAAACATATTTTTAATTTCTTAAATGGCAGTGCTCTAAACTGATTTAATAATCCATATAAATATGAAACAATAAGTATATGAAAAAGTATTTAATATTTTCTTTTGCTATTGATTAAAAAAAAAAATACTTTATAAATTTATTTAAACAATTTAAATCTCTTTTATTCATTATTTTTATTAATTTGTATTAGATACAATAAAATAAATCAAAATTTTCAAATATAATTAAATGTATCAATGTTATTAGCATTCAGGATTAGAAAATGTTAAAAATTAAAGTAACTTAAAATTAAAATGAAAACAGAAAGAAAGTATTTAGATATTAATAATAAAAAATAAACAGAAAGAAATTCAGAAATGCTCAACAATTGTTGTTTAATAACAATTTTTAATATGTTCTCTATTATTATATATATATTATTACAATTTTTCTTCAGAAGAAAAAAATGTGATTACTTATCGTCCATTTTCATAAATATTTGAAGGTATTTTATACTCCTCTAAACTTTAATTTTAGTTAAGATTTAGAACAAGCAATTATATTTGTAGATTTACCAATAGTCTAATCAATTTCTAAATCAAGATCTTATTTTTGAGATTTAGTTTTTGATCAGTCACATAAATAAGATATGTGTAACTACTGTTATTAATTAACAATTATTGCTAATTTTAATTTCTAAATTTTTATTTAGCCATGAATGTAGTCAATTTTTCATCAAGATTAAAAACAAATTATTTCAGACATGCTAAAATTCCCAAAATAAAAACTTACTCACTTTTTTATTTTTAAGAATTTTATGTTTGAAAGTTTTATTTGTATTTTTTAATTTAACTTGTTTAATTACTATCTTGTTTGAAATTACAAAAGCTAATTACTGTATCTTCATGTGAATAATTTATTAAATTTTGCATTTCATTATCAGAACTCTTTGAAGATTCAAAAGAATTCTATTTTTTTATAGTTGATTTAAAAGTATTTGATTGTTAGAGATCTGTAAGATTCTTCTTTTAACTTATTTATGATTCAATTCCAAAATATTTAAATTAATCTGAAGTTTCCTACAAAATTTCATCACTTTTATAACTATTATTACTACTATTTAAAGATAACTATTTGCTTAAAATATTATTTTGATTTGTAAACATATTTTATTTTTCTGTTAACTAAGTTTCATTTCTCTAAATATCTTAGGAGAGATTATTGGGTTCATGGGCGGGTTCTGTATTAAAAAGAGATATCATAGAATATTCAGTATGCTGATTTTCCTCTTTACCCTAAATGTATTAAATTTTTGGTTAAGTTTCATCTCTGTTTTTTAATGTATCTTTAAAACTCTTCGAATTTAATTTTTCGTTTGATTAAATCTAGTTCTATTTTTTTTTTAAGCTGTTCAGATTATTTTCTTTTACAAATTCTGTTTATTGACTGATTACTGTTTATCTTTATGCTATCGTATTTTATTCTTATAATTTTGAATCTCTTTAAAAAAGCATCAAAAATAGTTTAGAGAATAATTAAAAGTTTGATTAGATAGTTTTTATTGAAGTAACTCCGATAGTTTAAGTGAATATTTGTTGTTCAAAATTATAATTTAGTAAACCAAAAGTGTCATCATCTTTGAAAAGTATTTCATTTATTATGTCACAACACAAAGCACAGAGTCTTTTTTAAAAGTACTTATTGTAGCACGTAGATATTATATATATGTTAAAATTGCAATTAGTGAATGTTTCATATTTATTTTTAATCTCTTATAACTCTGCGCAAGGTAGATTATTCTCTTAAAAAATCTTTGAGAGAAAGTTGATCTACATTCTTTTCAAGTAGGGAAGATAATATTTGCATTCCTCTAAAGATTTGATAAGTATCAATGCAGCTGTGTAGTAGTTTTATTATAAGATTTGAAAACTAGCTTGCTGAATTGTGCAATATTAAAAATATACATCAGAACTATAGTCATAAATATTTTATTTGTTTGCTTTGAATTCTTTTCTAACTTTATTTAATGATAATTTTAAAACTTATTTTGTCAGATTTGAATAAAGTAGAAGATTTATAAATTTATTCAAATTAGTATTCTAAACCTGTTTATTTATTGGATATTAATTTGCTTATTTTAAAGGATATTCTTTATTAATTTAAGTTTTAAGCATTTTATTATTTTTTTGCAATGAAGTATTGACAAAATTAGAGATTTTTCTTTAGTAAGAGTCTACATTTATTTCTTTTTACAGTAGCTGCTAATTAGAAATTTCCACCCCTTAAAATATTTTTTGTGAGCTGTCTTAAAGATAATTTATATTTTAGCTTTAATTTTCATCCTAAGTTTATTTTGATTTCAAGATTTTATTTACGTTTTAGTTTTAGTATCCTTTTTAAATTTTTTACTAAATAATTTATTGTTGCAATGATTTACTTTTTTCCTTATTCATTTAGTTAAAAATAGTATTCAAGGATTGCTCAAAGGATTTTTTAGAATCAATCATATTTTCGCTAAAGTCAAGTCTGTTTTAATAATCCTTTTTTATTTATTTTGACTTACGAGTCTAAATAGGAGAAGTAATTATTATTGACTCAAATTAATTTTTCAAATTTTTTTTAATATGAATGGAATCTTGATTTGCAAGATATTCAACTTTACTTTAAAATGAATTTTGAAATTCTAATTCTTTTGATTTAGAGTCATTTAAACTAATGTTTTTTGAAGGGTCATTTTCGAATATGCTCAGGTAGTATTCCATAATGATATTGAGTACACCATTTGTACATTTAATAATCTGGTTATTAAAGTATACAGAGAGTAGATTACAGTAACTTTAGATCTCTCTTTTCTGTGAAGGAGAAAGATAAAGCTAACTAATTGCAATATTTTCAATGACCATATCTTCAAATAAATCCCATAGAAAAAGATTTTATTGTTATAAATAAAATATTTGTGATATTTGAAAATTTAGATTTCTGTTAAACAAATTTTAAAACAAATACTCGATATCTTCATCAATATAACTAATTTTATTTTATTATTTATAATTTTCTACAAAAGCTACGATCCGACTGAGTTATAAATTTTATTCTTAATTTAGACTGTTCAATAGGAAATTTTTAAATAGAATTTTGAAGTCATACAGTTGCTAATTTAGAAATTAGTTAACCTCTTCGTGGGCATATGCACCTAATTCATATTTAGAATATACTAACGAATTTCCAAAATTTTCTAGAGCTTCTTGGTATCTTTATGAGTTCAAGTGAATTATCCCCATATTATTATAGCAAATTCCTAAAGCTCTTAAATTTTTAAACTGCTTAAAGTGATCAACTTAGTTGTTTAAATTTAGCAATGACATACTTTAATTCTGTCCAAAAAAATTTTTTGTTGTAAACTTCAACGTTTAGAAAACATTTTAAAAGCTATTCAAAAGATCCTGAGTCTCACTAGAAAGACAATATCCCTCTAGATCTGCATCTAATTAGTCATCTATCAATATTTCATTATTCTCATCAGTTAAAGTTCTACTGCTCATTGCGAATGAGTATTGTAAAGTTGAAAGAGGTTACTTTAACTTTTCTTTTTAGTTTTAAACTTTAATTTAATCAAGAATGTTTTTCAGATGAATAACTGGTTGAAATATGCTAAATCCAATTAATATTGAGTAGATTATCAAAAAAAAAAGCATGAGGATTATTAAACCCCAACTAATGTATAAAAATATTTTATTGTAGAATATGATTGTATCTTAAAGATTTTATGCGTAAATCTGCATATTTTTTTTTGAGAGTACATCCATAAACAAATAAATATTTTTTATTTAGTACTTTTTAGCAGGGTTAACCGTTTTTAGAGTTTCTTATTTAGGTACCTTATCAATCATTATTACTGAATTCAGAATAGCAAAACACTTTGTACCGTTTCTATTGTATTCGAAAGTATTTTGGCTATATGAATAAGGGTTTGATAAATTTATTGTATCAGTTTCTTAAAGAACAAATTCTGAGTGAGCATTAATTTCTCCTAAATAATTTTAAGCCTGCAATTAATCTTGGAGGTAATTAGTTTCAATATCTTAAATTTAAGTAACTGATTTTATTTGCGTATTTGAATCATAGACAAGTGAGAGCTATCGAGGATCTAAAAGCCTCTAGTAGACAGAATTTTTACTAAAGTTAATAAAGTAGGTAGATATAGACTTCAAATTTAATGTTGAGCACAGTATCGCATACACAGAACTCTCTGAATCCGCATTTTAACTGGAATATTTTTTTATTCTTTAGCAAATATTGGTAGCGAAATAATAAGTCCCATAATTAAAATTTATCGCAGGAGGAAATACAGAAATCGAAATATTTTTAATTGTTGGTTAATAGTAAAATCTGCACCTTAAATCAAATAAAAATGGTTAATCATTATAAGGACATCCAGGAGGTATAATATACCCTTTTGTGGTACCATTACTACCCATACCAAACAGCATTCCATCAGATGCATATCCATAGTACATAGTTTAAATTTGCATCCATCTAAAATTTTCTATTTTATCATCATACTTGATAGATCTCCATATAAAATCTAAGTGACTAGCTTAAAAGATATATTGCAGAGAGGTTTCATTTAATTGTTATAATTAGTCAAAATTCGGTTGAGTCCTTTAATTTAAAATTCAAAATAATATTTATCAATTATTATTTTTAAAATAAATTTATTATAGCTTACCATGTACTAGTTAAAAGAGGATTTTTTTAAAATATATTGAGCACTTACTAATTTCCTTTATTAACACTTGTTTGATATTAATTTAAGAAAGCAGGTTTAAAATTGTTATTAATTTTAACTGAATTGAATAGTAATTTTCCATAGAACTAATTTATCATGTTAAAATGCCAAGCTATCTTTTGTACTTACCCATTTATTTATTGGACAACAGCAGTGTTAACAATTTTAGAGTTAGATATTTAATCTTGATATAAATTTTCTGCAAAATCATCAATCATACCTAGACTTATTTACTAAAAATAGAATAAGGAAATAATGGTCGATATAAGCAAAATAGTAGTTGGAATTAGAAATATGGTTGTCATAATTAATTATGTTTTATTTTGCTTCCCAAATTCTATGAGAAAAAACTGCTTTATATTTTTTTGTTTTAACATTTTTTGAAAGTTTTTTTTTAAAATGTAATTTTCTTTAATTTATTTCTTTCTAAAATTTCAGATTGAATTTTTTTACTTTTTAAACTAAATTATTTTTGATTGAATTAACTATTTATTATTAAATAAAAATTTTAAAAACCTATGTTTTTCATAAAATAAGGCTATATTTTTTTTCAACACCCAAAAATAAATTTTGTTAACGCCAAATAAATTTTTTATTTGTGGATGCTAAATAATGCTAATTATTGACAATATATAATATATAATTGGAATCAATAATAATAATTATTTACTGAATCAATTATTTAATGCTAATTCAATAAAAATACAAAGTTATTTCATAAAATGACGCTAAACAAAAATAAAAATCTTAGAAAATGAATTGCCACAAGATTTTAAGCATCATTCCTCTAAGATAAAAAGAGAGTCCAAAGCGTTAACAATAGTTTGTAACACTCTGCTTAGAAATAGATTTTTTATAAATCATAACTAGTAAATTTAAAATTACAAACAAAATACAAGTTATTATTACATTTTATTTTAATATTTTTAGATTTTAATAAATAAAAACCTTTTTCTAACAATTCGATAAAATTTATTCTTAGCTAAGATTAATTAATTTCTTCTGTTTTTATTCCAAAATTTTGTAATTCATTTGAGCTGAAAGTAATCTTATTTTTAAGAGCTTGAAGTGTTTCTTACATTTACTCTATAGTGAATTCATGTTGTAAAATCAAATTATATAAAGAAACAGTAAAATAATGACAATAAATTAATTAATCAGTCTATGAAAGTATTATTTTTAATTTTATGAAGACTAAAAGTTTTGTATTCTGAATCATATAGAATTTAAAAGTATGCATATTAGATTGTTTTTATTGAATGAAGAATAATATTTTATAAGTCTATAATTAATTAATTGCTCACTATTTTAATAGTTAGAAAATATTTTATGTAACAATTCAAAAATAAATTGGAATTTAAGATCAAATTTTAATAAAATTAAATAACTTAAAATTATTATTTTTACTATAATGTAAATATATTTTAGATAATAATAATAATAATTAATAAATTTTATTGCTATCTAATTAATAATCAACTTATATTTCTGCGACACAATACTATGTCGTCATTTTAGATTATGTAATTGATTATAAAGCTTTTGTTTTAATAAAAGTTAATTAATGGATTTAATCAGCAGTGGGGAATGAATATTAATTATACACTTTTAATTATTGTTTTTTATGCTAATTATTTTTTTTCATACTACTCGAAAACAAAAGAAATATATTACATAAAGCAAAAGAAAAGTTTATTGCTTTCATTTTACTATTACTCTAAAAACTGTCTCAAAACCTTGGGGAGTGGGGAGTGTATTGTTTCTAAAATTAAGGTTAAAAAAAGCAAGTAAATATCCATAATATGGAATGAGTGTAAAAATAAAAAATATTTAATCTTTCACCCTCAACGTTTAATCCCTCTATTTTATATAAGTTAGATTCTATAAATTGCGTAAAAACAAGCTGATACATTTAATACTTATACTGAATATTTTAATATATGATCTGGGAACATCAAATACTCTAAAAACCATGCTGATTTAAGAAGTAGTTCGATAAACAAAATAAAAATATATCTAAACAGGTCTTTATTATTAATAAAGAAACAAATTTTCACTTATTTTAACTATTTATTTTTAATTATTTAAATTAAGATATTTTATAAATTTTAATTGATTTAGATTAATTACATAAGTACATAAGCATTATTCCCTTAGGTAATTATGATATTTACTTCCTTGGCTATTAGACTGTATTTTTTTTCTGTAGTTATAAATATTTATTTATTTACTTTAAAGTTTTAAATTATTTGAGAGTTGATAATAACCTCAATAAATAATATTTAGTTATTTATTTTTACTAATGCTAAATTGAGAATATTTAATTTATGAAATTTATTAGCAATACTAAAAATACAATTTATTTTTAAAGAAAAAAATTATTAATTAATTTATTATCTAATGCAAGTTAGTTAACTTTTAATCAAACAAACATTAGAAAAATTAATTTGGATAATATTCTTTCAAGTATTCATTTAGCTAATTCTTTTGAATTTGATTTTCTAGTAAAAAGGAATAAGAAATGGAAAGCATATTATTGTAAAGCTGAAAGAGGTTACTTTAACTTTTCTTTTTAGTTTTAAACTTTAATTTGATCAAGAATGTTTTTCAGATGAATAACTGGTTGAAATATGCTAAATCCAATTAATATTGAGTAGATTACCAAAACAAAAAGCATGATGAGTACTAAACCCCAACTAATGTATAAAAATATTTTATTGTAGAAAATGATTGTATCCTAAAGATTTTATGCATAAACTAACATAGTTTTTTTTGAGAGCACGTCCATAAACAAGTAAATATTTTTTATTTAGTACTTTTTAGCGGGGTTAACAGTTTTGAGAGTTTCTTATTTAGGTACCTTATCAATCATTATTACTGAATTCAGAATAACAAAACACTCTGTGCCATTTCTATTGTATTCGAAAGTACTTTGACTACTTGAATAAGGATTTGATAAATTTATTGTATCAGTTTCTTAAAGAACAAATTTTGAGTGAGCATTTATTTCTCCTAAATAATTTTAAGCCTGGAACTAATCTTGGAGATATTTAGTTTCAATATCTTAAATTTAAGTAACTGATTTTATCTGCATATTTGAATCATAGACAAGTGATAGTTATCTTGGATCTAAAAGCCTCTAGTAGACAGAATTTTTACTAAAGTTGATAAAGTAGGTAGATATAGACTTCAAATTTAATGTTGAGCACAGTATCGCATACACAGTATTCTCTGAATCAGCATTTTAACTGGAATATTTTTTTATTCTTTGGCAAATATTGGTAGCGAAATAATAAGTTCCATAATTGATATTTAACGCAGGAGGAAATACAGAAATCGAAATATTTTTAATTGTTGGTTAATAGTAAAATCTGCATCTTAAATCAAATAAATATGGTTGATCATTATAAGGACACCCAGGAGGTATAATATAGCTTTTATAGTTACCTTTACTACCCATACCAAAAAGCATGCCATCAGATACAAATCCATAGTACATAGTTTAAATTTGCATCCATCTAAAATTTTCTATATTATCATCATACTTGATTGATTTCCATATAAAATCCACATGACTAGTTTAAAAGATTTATTGCAGCGATGTTTCATTTAATTGTTATAAATTGCCATAATTCGGTTAAATCCTTTAATTTAATTCAAAAAAATATGAATCAATTATGATATTTAAATTAAATTTATAATGGCTTACCATGTACTTGTTAAAAGCTGATTCTTATTAAATATTTTAAGCACTTCCGCATTTCCTTTACCATCGTATGTTAGTTATTAATTTTACACTGTAGCAATAAAATTATTATTTTTTTAAACTGAATTTAATAGTAATTTTCCATAGAACTAATTCATCATGTTAAAATGCCAAGCTATCTTTTGTACTTACCCATTTATTTATTGGACAACAACCGTGTTAAGGATTTTAGAGTTAGATATTTAATCTTGATACAAATTTTCTGCAAAGTCATCAATCATACCTAAACTTATTTGCTAAAAATAGAATAATGAAATAATAGTCGATATCAGCAAAATACTAGTTGGAAGTAGAAATATGGTTGTCATAATTAATTATGTTTAATTTTGCTTCCCAAATTCTAAAAGAAAAAACTATTTTTTATTTCTTTGTTTTAACATTTTTTTAAAAGTGATTTTTTTTTTGATTATAATTTTTTTTTGGTTTATCTCTATTTATAATTTTTGTATAAACTCTTTTACTTTTTAATCTAGTTATTCTAATATAATTATGTTTATTAAATAAAAATTTTAAAAACCTATGTTTTTCAAAAAGTTAGGCTCTAACCTTTTTTAGACCCCACTCAAAATGAAATTTTTTAATGATTATTCTTTGAAATTATTTTTTTCAAAATACCCCCCTGGTTTCAAACTTACGACGTTTGCGCCAGGTCTATCATATTATTATATATCTTTATGACATAACGTAGCAAATAAAAATTTAAAAGCATATTCTTATAAAATCTTATCTCCACATTAGTTTAAGTATATTATTTATAATAGATAAAACTGATTATATAAAATGTTAGCAACAATTGTAACATTTAGGTTAGAAATAGATTAACTATAAACCATAAATAGTAAATTTAAATTTTATAAAATAGGTACAAAATATTATTGCCTTTTATTGTAATGCTTTTAAGATTTTAATAAATAAAAACATTTGTCTGTCTGTCTGTCTTTTTTTATTTGATAAAATTTATTCTGATCTATGATTAATTTCTTATAATTCCAATATTATACAATATATTTGAGCTGAGAAATATGGTTTTATATTTATTAGCTTGAGAAAGTATTTCTATCATAAATTTTATATTAAATTCATGTTTTTATATCATATTAAATGAAAGAATCAGTAAAATATTAGTCATAATTTAGCTTTTGAAAAAATTATTTTCAACTTTTTGAAGACTAAAAGTTTTGCACTCTTGAATTATTTAGAATTTTAAAGTATGATTAATTTGTTATTATTTTTGATGTAAAATTTTTATAAACCCATTATTTATTTATTAGTTTTTCTCTATTTTAAGTATTAGAAAATATTTTTATGTGAAATTTCAACAATTAAATAAAATTTATTTATTTACTAGCAATTAGTAAATAATATGGAAAATATTTAAAATTAATATATGTTATAAGTTTCACTCTCTATCTTTTTATCCCTCAAAATTAAGTAAAGTTAGAATCTAGAAATTGAGTAAAAGTAACTAATATGTGTAATACTTTTTTACTGAATGATTTGAAAATACTCCAAAAATATCATTAAATTCAGAAGTAGCTCATAAAAAATATGTCTAAGCTGGACTTTATTTAAAAATCATTTTTACTTACTTTGACTAATTCCAATTATCTAAATTAGGAGCTTTTACAAATTTTTATTGATTTAGATTACCTAAGAATTACTATCTTATATAATTATGATATATATACTTTTTTGCTTTTTTGAAATTGTTTTTTTAATTATGTATTTATTTACTTTAAAGTTTTAAATTTTTGAGAAATGATAAAAACCACAATTTATTTAGTTATTTTGATTAAAGCTATATTGAGAGTAGCTAGTCAATTTATGAAGTTTATTAATTTATATTTAATTATATAGAACATACATTGTTAATTCTTCTCTTTGTATCTAATGCAGATTCTTGCTTTTAATCAAATAAACATTAGAAAAATTAATTTGGGTAATATTGATCCAAGCATTCATTCATTTAGCTAATTCTTTTGAATTTGATTTACTAGTAAAAAGGAATGACAGATATAAAATCTATTCTCAGAGATTAGATTAGGTTGGGAAAATAATAGAGGAAGTCATTGCAAATCATGGAATTTAGGAAAAGCACATTTTAGGAGAGTAGCGCTTTAACTTAAGATATGAACTTAAAATCAAGTTAAGGATAAAATTTAATAAAAATGGAGACAATAGATTCTGTTTCATCGAAAAATTTAGATGAAAATTAATAAATTGAAATTGATAAAGAAAAAGAAAAAGAAAGTGAGAATGGAGAATTTATTCATAAATCTTAACTAGCAGAGCTTCTTAAAGATTAAATTTAAACTAAATGCCAGAAAAGACATGATTTATTTTAGCAAATGATTGAAGAGGAGCGTAAATAATAAGGAGCCATAGTTATAAAATTTGGTAATCAATTATAAATCTAACCTAAATTCATGAAAATTAGGGGTTCAATGTGCTCAACTGAGCTATGGTCAACTAGACAAAAAAAGGATTTATGCTACGAGTACATTATAAACTCTCAGCTTGAAAAAGGTAAAGCTGTAAAAACTTCTACATTATAGTCAAAAATAGTAATATTGAATGGATTAAACAAAAACTCTCCTTTTGAATTAAATCAGTTCATAGACTCAAGGAAATACAAAATGCCTATGTCTGATAGAATTAATGGTGTTTCGTATTTTAAACCTGAAAAAATGATCAATTAAGCTGATATTTATATGTAACTCTAGTAAGATAAATAAGGTATATAGGTATAAAAATACTCAATAGCTGATTCAATAATTAATTAATTAAACACTAGAATACCAATAGATTTAAAATTTCGTAGTAAGAGTGGTGAACCCACATATCAAAGGTAAACAGCTTCAAGCACAAATAAGCTTATTTAAAAAAATTAAGTTTTAGGCTTAAAATCACCTTAAATATAAAGTATCTAAAGCGAATACTCGCCAACATGTTCTCCTCTTTCTTAGACCAGAAATCAAAGTACTTTTTCTTCACAAGTCTAACGAGTATCAGAACAACAAAAAACCAGAAAAAGCTTAATTAAATAAAACCATGCTAAATAGCAATCCTTTTCTGATTAAATGAGAAGTAAGTATAAAAGTCTTAAGTTAAATAAATCTTTAAATTCTATGCAGCTTTCAACATAAGATATGAGTGGTAGTTTAACAATTTTAAAAAGGCTTAATTCTAATTCCTAAACAGAAATGTAGTTTCCTAAAGCAGATAGAATTACAGAGTTATAAAATGGTTCCTCTCAATCTAATTTTATTGAGTATCTATTGTCACCAAAAAGCCAAACATTAGGTTTCAAAGCAACAAACACCACAGAAATTTATTCAAATTAAGATTTCGATAATAAAAACTAAGCAGGAAATACAGACTTGCAAGTTAGAGATTAAGTGAAATACTAAATAGATAATTTAATAAATTAATGCAATAAGTCTTTGCTAGACAACCATCTTTTTCAGAGGTAATTTATTCTATTTTTATTTATTATTAATTAATTAATTAATTATAAAACTATTTTCTTACATCAAAATAAATAAAAGAGATTAGTAGCAAATTTTGAATAATTTATAATTAAATATCTATTTTATATAATTTAGTTTTAATTATAAAACAATGGGTTTAATCAACAATAATAATTAAATAGATAAATTAATTAAAATAAGAACTAACTGGAATACAATGCAAAATAATATGCTAAAAAGATAGAAAGAAAAGAAAAGTATTTATTTTAATTTTGAAATTAAATAGAGAATTCAAATGATTTTTATTTATTTATTTATTCATTTTATTTCTTTTTGTAAAAAATAGTGTGTAAATTTAATAAGTAATATAAAAAATTAAATAAATTTAACCTTAATTAAACAGAAAATTAATTAAATTACAAACAATAAAAATATTTTATAAATATTATTATAAATCTATCTATGAGTTAATAAAAATAATTAAACAGGTAATTCGATTAAAATAAATAGGTAGTTCCATTAAAATAAGAGCTAACTAGCTGATTGAATTGTATAAAATGCAAAATTATATAAAAAAATAATGTAAAAAGAAACAAAATGATTAATTTTAATTTTAAAATGAATTAAAGAATTGAAACTATTTTTAATTTTTTTACTTTCTTTTTTTATAAAGTCATTTATAAATTGAATAAATAAAATAAAATATTAAATAAATGAAACCAAATTGCCACTTAATTAATTTATTTATCTCGCAACATTAATTAAGTAAAAAGCAATCAAAATTATCTTATTAATATTAAATAAGATGATTCTCATTTTTTTTATGAGTCCATTGCCTCTTTAAGTTCTTAGCCCAAAATCAATACATTTTTACGCATTCTGATATTTTCTATAGACATTTTCTGATTAAATTATTTAAAATTATTAACAATAATAAAAAAAATTAAATGATACCTCAATTAAATCTTGTATTTCTTTATAATTCATCAATTTATAATTTTTAACTTCTTGTAATTCTTTTTGTTCATAGCTAATAATTATATTAAATTTATTCTTTTAATTATTTTTATTTATATTAAATATTTGTTTTACATATCTTTAATATCTTCTGAAGTAGGATTTTTATGGAAAAGCTCTTTAGAGAGGTTCTAAATTATTGCTATTTTGCTCTCCAAAACTTTGTGTATTTCTTTTATTTATTTGTCCATGAATTCTATTTTATCTTTTTGCTACTTGCTTTGCACCTTTAAAATAACAATTTATTTATTTGCTTTAAAGCTAATTAGATTTTAGTTAAAATTTACTTCAAGCTCTTGGTTGCGAATAGATAGTGATTCTAAAATAATTTTATCTTTTTTGGCTGTTTCTGGGTTAACATTAATAGTTGAATGGAATTGCTTTTTATTAGCTTCTCTCAAAGACCTTACATCGTTTTCTAGAGATTCATTTTTTGTTTTCAATTCCTTGACTTATTACACTAAACCATCTCTAACTTGTTTAATTTCTAAAACCTCATTTTAGTACTTCTTTTAGTTAATTTTTTATATATTTTAGCTGTCTTCAAGTTATGTTGTAATAGATTATAAGTTTTATTCTAACTCAGATTTTTGATTTTGCAATCTCTCACTTTATTTCTCCAAGTAATTAATCTTTTTTTGGTACTCATCATTTAGTTCATTTAACTCATTAAGTTTATGACTTAGTTTCTCTTAATTTCTCTCCTTATTTTCTAATTCTTCTTGTAGCTTTTTTGTTGATTGATAAAACAAACATTTATAAAAAATAAATCCTTATATATTTTACCTTGTCAACGAGCTCTCTTAACTTAGCACATTCCTTCTTTAAATTTTCATTATCCGCATTAAGCTGCTTATATGCTTACAAATTTCTTTCATATTCCTTTTTATAGAAATTATTTTATATAAAGCGATGAAAGTATAAAAAATAAATATGCTTTTTACTTGAATTTATTTATTTAAACTGCTATTTTGCTATATCTGGCTTTATAAAGTCATTTCTAAGTTGAATTTTTCTCTAGCACTTTCTCTTTAAATCTTCAACTCTTCTTCCTTTGCATTAAAATCTTCTTATAAGCCAGTGTATTTTTCTTTCCAGTACTCTCTCTATTTAAACCCAAATAAATAAAAATTACAATCTTATATTACAAAATATTTAAAAATAAAAAGATAAAATTAAGTAAGCAAATAAAACTAGGTAATTAAGTTATTAAGTAATTAAGTAAGTAAGTAGGTATGCATGTATTTAATTTAGTACCTCTCTATCGGCTTTTTAAAGATTGACTGAGTTTTCATCAAGCAGACCTTAAAGAATTCTGCATCTTTCTTCAAGAGATTCTAAGTTAAGATTTTTCTTAATTTACTAAGATTATTACAGCTTATTCTTTTCTTCTAGCTCAATTTTTAAATTCATATATTGTTGTTCAAGTTATCTCTTCTGGCTCTCTATTTGCTTTAAAGAATCTATGTTTTAGACAGGCTATTTAGATTTCTCTTCTAATTCTTATTTAAGTTGCTTGTTTTCTTTTTCTAACTCTTTTCTTTTCTTTTTTAATTCTTTAACCTATTCGTCCCATTTTTTCAATTCCTCCAGAGTCATTTTTACAGTCTGCTGCTTATCTGATTTGGCTTCTTTAGATTTTTTATCCTTTTCTTCTTTTTTATCTTTTTCATCTTTTTTGTCTTCATTATCTTTTTTTTCTTCATTATTCACAGGTGTTGATACAAGGGAACTATTTCTAGGTGTTGTGGAATCATTCATAGCTGAGTTTTCAAGATTGATGATATTGTTTGAAGAAGAGAAAGCTGTAGAATTTAATTAGCTTTTCATATCTGCTATCTCCTTTTCAAAATCTAATTTCTCTCTTTACAAGTTTTCATTTTATTTTTAAAGTTAATTAATTTCCTCGAGCTTAGATTTTAAATCCAATTCTACTTATTCATATTTAACTTTTAACTCATCTAATTGCGATTCGCCTTAAGTCTCTTACTCTTATTGATTATCTTTTTATTTTTAACTAGCTAATTCATCCTTTAATTAGTTGATTTCATTTAACTATTATTCGTTTATTTATTTAAAATCATCAACCTCTTTTTCTTTGTTTTATATTTCTTCCAAAATTTGTAATTCCGAATCTTTTAATTCTTTCAATTGCTCTTCTAGTTTTTTATTTTATTATTTAAGCAATTCAGTCTCTTATTAAATATTATTATCATTATTTTTACTTTGGTCCTTGAGGGAGTTAATTTGTTTTTAATATTCTTCTTCTTTTTGTTACTTTTCATTTTTTAGAGCGTCAATTTCTTAGTTTAGAGTATTTATTTTATTATTCGATGTTTCAAGTTCGGTTTTTAAGTTTAGGAGATCTTCTATTTGTTTTTTCAATGAAAGAATTTCTTCATTTTGGTTTTCTTTTGAATCTGATAAATTCTTTGATGATTCTTCTAATTCCTTTTAAAGCTAGCTTAAATTTTATTTGGATTCTTCTAATTATTTTTTGAATGCTTCATTTTATTCATTGATATTTAATTCTATTTACTTTGCATTTTCTAAATCTGCTTTCAATTTATTTATTGTTTCTTACTGTTGAGCTTCCTTTTATGTTAAATCTTAGATTTACAAGTTCTATTTTTCGTTATCTGCTTGTTATTTAGAATTTTGATCATTCAATAGTTCAATTTAATCTTCTAAATTTCTCATTTAATCTGCTTTCTCTTTAATTTAATTCTCTAAATCCTTGATAATTTTCTATCTCTCAACTTCTTATTATTCTGCTCCCATCGAATGTAATGATATTTATTCTTAGAGGCTCTTTTCTCTTTATTAAGTTTCACTTAAAATTTCTTGAATTTTTTTTAATTCATGAGCATTCTTATGCTATATATCTTCAGTCACTTTCTTGTGTGAATCTTCAAGTTCTTCAATTAATTTTTTGTGGGAATTGTTTAATTCTTCAACTTTATTAGAATGGCTGTTTTCTAATTCTTAAATCTTTGTATTATTTTGATTATTAATGCTTTCTATTTATTTTTTATGAAGTTCCTCCAACTCACTTTTTTGTTTTTATATTTCCTCTTGAGCTGATTACTTTTAAGTTTCTAAATTTTCGCTTAATTCCTTAATATCTTGAATTTACTTTTAAATACTCTTAGTGCTTTCCTCTAATTAAATGTTAATAATCTTATTTTCATCATTTAACTTTGCAATTTATTCATTTAAACTCTTTATTTCTTCTTGCAGCTTGTGTAGTTAATCCTGAGAATTATTTATTTCTTGAACTTAATTTACATTCTTGTTTTCTAATTCTTAAATCTTTGCAATATTTTAACTATTTATATCTTCTATTTACTTCTTATGAATCTCTTGCAACTCAGTTATTTAATTTTCTGATTATTTCTTCTCAGTTTCTATATTTTATTTTAACTCCTCAATATCATTTTCGTACTTTTAAATACTTTTATTGGATTCTTCAATCTAAATTTTAGCTATTTTATTCTCTTCATTTAATTAAGATATAACTTCATTCAAATTCTTTATTTCTTCATTTATCTTATCTAATTTTTCGGAGTACTCTTTTTCTTTTAGTTATAATTGTTCATTGTATTCTTTCTCTTTTGCTTGTATGTTAACATTAAGATTATCAATTTATTAATCTTTTTGAATCATTTGCTCTCTAATTTCATTGAACTCTTTTCCTAATTCTTCTGATTGAGATAAAGAGCTGGTGTTTTCTGACTCCAAATGCTTTATTTTTTCATCTTTTTAAGCTATTTCATTTAATTTTTAACTTAACTCATTTTGAACTTCTTAAATCTAAGTTGACTTTTCTTCAATTTATAAATTTAACTAACTTATTTACTCTTTTAAAGTCTGTTTTTCTTTTTCAGAGAGCTAAAATTATTCTTGAGCTTTCTTTAATTCCTCTTTAGCTTAACTCAACTCTTCGCTTAAAGAATTAGAAGAATTAGTCTATTCTTCTATCTTTTATTATATATTTTCAATTTGGTCTTTCAATTCTTTTATCTCTTAATTTTTTTGTTCCATCAATTTATCTTGATCAGAACTTGATTATTCTTTAATCAAATTAATTTAATCTTGTAACTAGCTTACTTGTTTCCCCTTTTATTCAACTTCTTCAATAAGTTTTTATTTGCTAGCAGTTTCTTCGCTAACTTTGCTTTCTAGAACTCCTATTTTTTCTTACAAAGTAAGGACTTCTTTACTTTGATCCTACTTCAGATTTTGAACTTCCTAAATTTATTATTATTTTTGCTAGTCTAAATCTTTTTTTAACTATTCAACTTCATCCTCTTTCATTTTAAGTTAGTCTTATAATTCTTTTTATGCATTTTCCTTTTCTTTTAAAGCCTGATCTAATTTTTTTTCTAATTCTGACAATTTATTTTACAAACCCTATTTAGTCTCATCAGCTTGACTTATCTTATCTTCTAAATCTTTCTATTTTAATTAAAATTCTTCATTTGTTGACCCAGAATCTTTAAGTTTATTTTCAAGGTCATTGACTTTTTAGTTAGCATCATTTATTTCCTAATTTTTTATGTCTAACTATTTTTTATTTTCCTCTAATTCTAACTTGGTTTTTTCCAACAAACTATCACTATCCTCCTTTTATTTTTGCAAATCTTATTCTTTTTAAGCAATTTATTAATGAGTAGACTTTATTTCGCTTTCTAATTCTTGTAATTTGCCATTCAAACTTTTATTTTCTTCATCTTACTTATCAATTTAACTATTGAGCTCTGCAATTTTCTTTTCATTTTGCTATATTTATTCCTCATATTTATGAGATTATATTTCTTCTATTTTAGCCTATAGTTTTTGATTAGTGTCTTTCAAATTATTTATTTCAAGCTCTAACTCAGAGTGTTTATCTTTCTATTTGTTTAATTCTTGCTGTAAAGCTTCAGATTCTGAAGAATTTCCCTATGACTGCTATTGCTATTCCTTTAATTGTTGAAGTTCCTTTTCTAATTCCTATTTTTCAGAATCAATCGTGCTTAGTTAAATCAAAATATCATCCTATTCTTTTTAGAGCTTCTTGATTTCTTGCTTCTTTTCTTCTAATTACTTTTCTTTTTCTTGTGTTTCTTTTACTTTTTCATAAGTAACCACCTTCAACTATGCTACTTATTCTTTAAAAAAAGCAAGTTCTTCTTTAATATCCATTTATTTTTTATTTTGAAAATTTAGTCTTTAGATTTGATAAGAAAAATTAGTTTACAAAAATTTAATTATCAATTTATTAAATTAATTTGAATAAGATTGTGTAAAATAGGCCAAGCAAAAAATATTTGTTTGTTTGTTTGTTTATTTATTTATTTATTTTTTTACTGCTATTTTTATAGCTATTTTACAAAAGATATATTAGGTCTGATTAAAATATTAGAATCAGATAATCTTTTATCAATTTCTCAAATCTAAAAATAATTCGTGGTGTGTTTTTACTATCTGATAATTCATTCATTCATTCATTTATTTATTATTGACAATGATAAATCCAAAATCTTTTACTATTTTTTTAAAAAAATAAATTTTATTGTGTTGATAAATGAATCATTTAATTAAAATTAATTGCATTAAAATATATTTTTTACTTAAAATGTTTTTATAATAAATTATTAAGCTTTTAGAGTATTTATTTGTGTGTGAATTATAAATAAATCTTTCATTTAAATCAATAAATAAATAATAAAAAGTTAATTTAATAATTTATCATTTTTAAAATTAAGCATAAATTTAATCAGATTTAATAGATTTAAACTAATTTTATTACTTTCTTTTTAACTTATTTTTAAATAAATATTAAAAAAAATATCGATAACTTTTTAATATTCTTTAAAATGTTTTTTAATACAAATTTGTTTTTAACTAATTTCCAAAAAAGATTTCTGATATTGATTTATGATTTATAAATATTTGTATGCATGTAATATTCCTTTCGATATTTCTTTTATATATAACACGGACAAAGGATTTATTTATTTGTTTGTTTATTTGTTATTAAACACTAATCAATTGTTCATAAATTTTTTTGCAAATAAGTGTTAACAAAGATATTTATTTTTAGTTTTATAAAAAAGCCATAATAAAGAAATATTCATATATAGATAAAACATTTTAGTATAATAGTAAATGTCCTTAATAAAGATAAATTAAAATATAGTTGATGCTATCCTTCTCTTTAACAAGTTAGATTCTGCCAAGGCTGAAGCTATTTTGATAAAAATATTTTCTTCACCAACTTCAAAATATTCAGAATTGTTTACTGAAAAAGAACTCAATAAGTTATTGGCATTGTTAAAAATAAATGAGGAATAGTTAAATAATATAGTTAGAGCGTTTTCATTTTTATTAATGCATGCTGTTGCTGAAAGAAACATTAAAGACGTTGAATAGACTCTTGCACATATAGGATTGAGTCAAGGTCATATTGCCTTATTTTAGAAATAATGGGTAACATATGGTAATGAGTATACAATTAAAATTAGAGAAAGGCCAGTAGCTATTTAGTAAGAGCTTAAAGAGTTTACTTGGTCAATTTCCCTTCCTTTGGAATCTTCAAAGCTTCCTCTTAAAAGTAATTTATTTATTTATTTGTTTGTTTAATTTTTCAATCTCCTAAATTAAAATTTATAAAATATTTTTTTAAAGATGCGACTCATTTAAGAGAAGATAGTTTCCCTATAGATCATAATGAAGAATTATATTCTATAGATGCTAAAAATCCTTAATTAATTTTAAATATGCTTCTTCAATAGGAAGATGGTTCTAATTCTGAAAAATTTGCTGTTAGATTAGAAAAAGCATAAATATAAAATCTTTTTGAGAATCTTGAAAAAATATAAGATTAACTCGATTTACTTCTATGAAATAAAATAAGTAAATAAATAAATAATTAAAAAATAACCAATAAATAAATAAATAAATTATTTTTTTTACTTAAGCTTCTTTATGTTTTATGTTGAAATTATTTTTAAATTCAAAAATATTACAAGATAAGATGAAAAATATTTTTAATTTTAAATAACAAGTCAGTCAGCATCTCAATTTAATTTTTAATAAATCAATGTGAAAAGAAATCATAAAATATAAATTTTTTTGCTAATATTAAATAATTTACTTAAAATAGGCAATAACGTAATTCATTGATTTAATTATCCAAATGTTTAAATAAAATATTTGATGATATTACTAACAACTAACTGTTGATTTATTTAACACTTTTATGAAAATTCACAAAAAACAAGCAAAACATAATTAGCATTAAAATACATGTAATAATTTTTTAACTTATTTTAAACAATTAATATTATCTTTATTTCATAATTCAAATCAAAAGTAAGTAAGTAAGTTCCAAAATATTCATAAAGATTCAAAAAAAACTAATTAAATTTAACAAAATTAATTATTTATTTATATATTTCTTTCAATACTTATTTTTAATGTAATTTTTTACATTTTAAATATTTTTTACTTAAAATAAAATTCATTTATTTAGCTCAAGTTGAACAAATCTGAAGAAATTTAGTAAAAAAACTAGCACTTTTCTTCTTTAAGATATTATACTTAAGTATTTGATATTGTTTTATAAAATAAAAAATAGTGATAATAATATAATCATTTAAATTTTAACTAAAATAAACTCATCTTTATGTTTATTTTTTATATTAAAATAATACAGGGTGTTCATTTGCTGCTGTAAAACTTAATTTTTTATCTTCTTTCTTTGTATTTTTTAGAAATTTATTATATCAGAAAAAAACTTTTAAATGATTTTACCAACCAAAATTTTAAAGAAGATTATTTGAATGAAATAAATTATAAATCATTTTTTATTTATTTATTTTTAATATTTGCTTTTAATAAATAATTAAGATAGATTTAATTATAAATAAAATAAATTTTTTTATAAGATAAATTAATTTTTTTTAAGAGTGCTTGTGATTGATTGATTGATTGATTGATCAATCAATTGTGTTAATTGTGTTGAAATAAATTAAAAAGAAATATTTTATGCAACTACATATAATTATTAAATTTAATTGACAGTATAAGAAAAATATTACAAAAAAATTTATTTTTGTTTTTGAAAATAAATTAGAAAATTTATTATGCGAAAATGATGATAAAATTAAATAGAATTAATTATTGATGTTAATTTTGATTAAATTTACCTAAAAAATTTGAAATTTTATTTATATTTGTTCAAAAATTTACAAGATAAAATTATGACTCCGCTCGTTTATGTTTGTTTATTTTTGGTTATGAATTTTGTAAATTTATTAAATGAATCTTTTTATATTAATAGATTTAGAATGTTAGATTAAATTAATTAATTAATTAAATTAGATACGAAGTTGCCGATTTTAAAAAAACACAAGCAAGTATAAAATAAATAATATACATACAAATAAATTTTGATTGATTAATTAATTGAAGAATGAGATGAGTTTTTAAGAGGAAATATTTCTTCGTTTAAATAAGGCATATAAGTAGTTATTAAACAAGTACAATCTCGATAAAATTTGTATATAATATTAAATTTTTTATATATTAGAATAGAAATAAAATATTTCATTCAAACTCAAGCCTTGAGGGCGAACTTTCTAAGACCGAAGTTGTTTAATTTCTTTTGGGTCTTGACGAGGACAGCTTCTCTTTGCTTCTTGGTGAGTTTTCTTCTAATAGCTCTAGTCTTCTTGACTCTAATGTCCAAAGGCTTCAAAGACTTACCCTTGAATTAGTCCTTGACAGCTTGTCTTCTCTTTTCGTTGATAATGGTCAAGTATTTAGCAATAGCCTTTCTGACGATCTATTTATTTTATTAATAATTTTAATTATTACTTGTTAATATTATATTTTTAAAATAAATAAATTAATAAATAAATAAATATCTCTCATTTTCAAAGTATTTTATTTAATTAATTAATAAATGCTTTGATAATTAATCCAAAAAATTTCATTTTTTAATTTTGCTTTGTCAGTAGAATATTAATTTATCTTTTATGTTTGTTTATCTATTAAGATTTTCGATAGTTAATTTAAATCATTTGCCAGTTTAAAGTATCCTTAAATACATTATTATTATTATTATTACATTGTTTCATCTTAAAAGTTTATATTTATTTAATCTATCTATATTCAAGCAATCATTATTTTTGAGCTTTGCTGTTAATTAAGAATGGTGAATATCTGCCTTACTAATGTTAGTTAGTTAATTATCTCTTTATTCAATTATATGTTTCACTAATATTATATTTTTATTTGCCTGCCTATTTTTAACACTTAATTACATTTAAAGTTAAGTCCCATCCATTTCAAACAAATATGTGTTTATTAACGCATTTTAGCTATTTCTGAATATCTTTAACGCTTCCTACTAAATTTATTGCCATACTGAGCTAAGACATAGCTTATTTGTCAGTAATTTGATTATTTACTTATCTTTCTTTGTTTTATTGAGGGGCTAAATTAATTTTGATTTTATATATGGTTCTGCTATCATATTAATAGGGGCTTCTTGAAAGCTTCTTTATTTATTTAATAACAATCACTTTCTTTGGTAAAACAGCTTTGAAAATGCGATTTTGATTTCATAGTGTATCATCATTTTCCTAAAATTAGTTGCTTGTAAGTGTTAGTTAATACTTTACTTAGAATTAAATCTTATTTTTTCACATTGGCCTAAAACGTTTTGTTCATGCTAGACTAAGTTAGTAGCTGTTAATCTGAAGTAGTTATTATTTATTACTTGATCATCTTAAATAAACAAACAAACAAACAATCTCAATATTTAAGTCAAATTTTAAGTTTTAGCATTTATCAAATCCAAAAATTACGAAAATACTTTGTCAAAAATGATATTAAGTAAAATGTTATTTTGGTTTTAATATTGAAAAATTGTAAAAAATTTGACAAAAAAGCGATTTGCATAACCTAAAAATGAAATGCGAAAAATGGATTAAATTGATAAAAAGAAATAATGAGAGATATTTGAATTAATAAGGTATCATACGCCAATTCTGCCGAGCTTGTTAGCAGTACCACCAGCAATCTTGGCAATTCTGAGTTGGGAAAGTTCAGTTTAGAGCTTGCCGAGTTCACCGACGAGCTATTCTTCAGTTTAGGTTCTAAGCTTGAAAACTCTGACAGACTTATCCATTTTGATTTATTTATCCTTGTTATTTACTTTGTTGTTTGTATATTAATTTTAATTTAATTTATTGATATCCTTTACACTGTATTTTTCTTTATATTTTGTTTCTCACTATTCCTATTTTCTCCCTTTAACTAAATCTCTCCCCATCCAAATTATTTGACTCTTTTTAATTTCACCCTGCAAAATATATAAGCATTTCTTTGTTAACTTCATTCATATTACTTGTTTTTGCTTCATTTTTTCTATCTTCATTCATACTAAATACAATAAATCCATATTAATTTATTCATTCAAACATGCATGTATAAATAAATAAATACTGACTTAATCTATTTTCATATTATCTTTTTATAGTTCTGCATGGGAGACCATTATTAATAAACAACTATCTATCTATCTAACTAAATATTTTTTTTGCTAAAATGTTTTTTTAAATTTATTTATTTTTTATTGATTTATTTGGAAAAGAAACTACTTTTTTAATCTTAAAAATAAAAAGATAAAAATGATTTTTAAATATAAATTTAGCTCATCAAGTTAGTAAGTAAGTATTAAAAACTAAATCCAAAACAATAAAATGAATTTACATATTTGACAAAAAAAAATTATTTATTTATTTATAAAATTAATTTTATTATAATAGATTCTAAATTATTTATTTATTTAGATTTTTAATTATTATTAATTGAAATTAGTTAAATATTTTTTTGTTTATTTTTGCTTGAAATAGTTGGGTTATGAAAAATTCAAAACCTCTTTTTTACAACTTGTTCTTATTTTAAAATAGTTTATTATTTTTCACTAGACTCATTAAGTTCCTTTTCTTATTATATTTTTTATTGATTTTACTTAACTTCTTCATCATTTTTTTTAAGGGCTTATTTCTTAGCATATTCAATCTAAACTTCTAACAATTTATTGTAGATAAACATGAAAGATCCTAAAAAAGAAGTTATAAGTCCTCCAATAGAATAAATATTTATTTCCATGTCTTAGAAAAAGACTAGAGAAGCTATTGTGCTAACCAAATCCTTTAAATTAAAATTTATATATTAATTAATTTCAGCCTTATACAATAATAGTGTAATAAACAAAATACCTTAACACTCTAAGTAACTGCAAGAGCTAGAGGGGAGCATTTGGCAGAGCATAAATTAGTAGTGAATTGATGGAAGAATCCTAATTTTTAAAAGTTAATTTACTTATTTTTATATTAACGATTATTTATATATTTATTTACCTAAGATTGCCACATAGTTAATAAGAAATAAGATCTCTTTATTAAAAAGTTCTCCACTAATTAAAATATTCTTCAATTCACCAGTAGAAATACTGATAACAAAGAAAAACGGCAGGACATTGATACTATTTTTAACAACTATTTCTATTATTATTTTTTATAAATAAAAATAGGTCAATTATCATTGATTTTTAATTAATTTGCTTAAAATAATACTAATTAATCATAAGCAAAAATAGATGAATTTATTTATTATTTATTATTAATATTACGGTATGGAGATAGGTTTTGGTTATCATTGTAATTCTTTGTCAATTAAAGACTGATGGCACTAAGAGAGTTATTGAAGAAGCAAAGCAAATAACCTAATATATTATCATCGAAAGACTGTAATCCTGCGAACAATGCACCAAAAGTTATCAAAAAGATAGAAGCTTTTGCTAAAATGTTGTGTTACAGCTTGTTTTTACCTAATACTAGAGATGCTATGAAAACAAAGAAAATTAAGGTCCTCCTTAACGCTAAGAACCTTTGTTAATTAAAAAAAACATGAAAAATTAGCCTTATTCATTTTTAATTTAATGCTTACATAGGTATAGGTAAAGAACTATGAGCTTTGGTGCCACTTAGTGTATTTAAAAAATAAACTGCTGAAAAAATAAACATATCCTTTTTTTCATTGAACAAATTTTTCATTTTTTCATGGAAAGTTGTTTTTTAATTGCCTATTTATTCACTTTTAGCTGGAACTACTTAAATTAATGTCTTTTTAGTGTAATATTTGTCTATCAAAGAGCATAAAATAACAATCACTATTTGTTAATATCCAAGAACCTATTTAAAATAAATATTAATAGTTAATAGTAGAGGTTATAGTTTTGAAGAATAGGTTGTTCTTACAGTATTTAGGCCAAGATGCTATCTACCTTATAATAACCATTTCATGGCGAATGTTAGCTAAACAGAGACTAATCCATAAAGAATACAAGGGTATATTTGTTATAAAATATAAATTACTTTCATTAGAGATTTTAGCTTGACAATTGGATTGTTAATTAATTAAATTATGATTATGAATAATGTTAATTTAATAAATTGTAAGATATTTTTAATTAATTTAAATTATAAAATTGTAGAGCTCTACTTTTCAGCCCATATATATACCTTTCACTAACTATTTCTTAGTTTACAGGATACAAACAAAGAGATCAATTATTGAAAAATAATTCATAATCCAACTTAGTTAACTTAAGTAAGGCAATTTCTTTGTATTTTCTTAAAAAAATATTGAAAAATATCTATTAGAGCAACAAATAGTGTATTTATGAGCCAAAAATACTTCAAATAGAAGACTGAGTTTGATAATAATTTATTTCATGTTTGCTTTCACTTTTCTATTCCATATCTTAAATTAATTTACTAAAATAATGATTTTTATTTAAATTTGTCCTCTTTTACACACTTGCTCTTTAACAGTTGATTTTTTTAATGTAAAAAGATCCTGTTTTTAGAAATTTTCTGGATTTCTTCTGTTAATTTTACTATATTTAGATGACTCCTTAATTTACTCACATTTGTCAATATGAATGAGTAATTAAATAGTCCTAAATTAATTTTTTCTGTAGAACGTAGATCTTTAGATATTATTATAAAGCTGATCAAAAATCAAAACATTCTTTCTTATTTTTTTAAATTATAAAACTATTAAGTCTTTACCTATTTTATCTAACTGAACTTTGAAGAAACTTAAAATTATGTTATTTTACTTTAATATTAATACTATCACAAAAAAAATATAGAAATAAATAACTTATAGAAATAATTGATAATATATAAAAATTTGTCTGCTTTAACTTAATGACCATAAATAAATAAATAATTATAAATATAATATTCATATTATTTACTTACCTAGATTATTTACAAATTAAAATTTTTTTTTTCAAGTTTTATTTTATAAAATTTTAAAATTAAAATAATGAATTAAAATTTAAAAATAGAAAAAAATCATGAATTAATGAGGAGATTGAAGTATATTTTAAATAAAACATGTAAAGAAATGCTAACTAAAAATATAAATTTTATATCATTTTTATTAAATAAGTATTTTGTTTATAAAATTTATATAAAAAGATAAAGAATTAATTTATTAATTTAACAGAAATTAATTTGTTGAAATAAAATGAAATTAAAATTGAAGACATATTCGTTTATTACATGTTGTATGTATAAAATAGATGAATAAAAACAATAAAAAACTAATATATATTTTAGATTTTATTATATGAGAAATTAGATACACTAATAGTTAAGAGTAGTTTGTTTGTTTGTTTGCATCATCACAAACTTAGTTAGTTAATTAGTAAGATGGTGTTCTTTTTTTTATTTTTGTTTATTTGTTTAATTTATAATAAATTGATTGATCAACATATTTCTAATTATTTAATTTCAGCAACTTGTGAATTTAGGATTGATAAATACCTATTTATAAATATATAAGAATGAATGAATGAGTGAATGAATAAATAAATAAAAATCAGCTATGTAAAATCTAATTAAATTTGATTACTCTATTATTGTGAAGAGCATTTGAATACTCAGATATTCTAGTAACTCTCATATAATTATCTTTACGACCAATTTCTGGATTTAACAAAGTGTTGTATTCAAATTACCTTTTTAAAATATTTATTGATTGAAAAATTAATCACTTTTCTAACTTGCTTGAATCAAAAATTAATTAAATCTATCTTCATACTTTTCATTATGCTCTTTGTTGTAGAATGAAGTTTGCATTTTCTTTCTCCAAACATCCTATTATATAAGTGTACAAGCAAAATTAAAAGAAATTCCAATATAACTGAAATAATTACATCTGAGTATTAATTAGATGACCAAATATCATTTGTGTTAGTGATTTTAGTTAGGGCTCCAATATGAGATCTTTGTTAAGAAACTCTAATTTAAAATCCAAAATCAATAAGCTGTTTGTTTAAAATGAATTAAATTACTAGAACTAGTTAGCATTTGCTTGCTAAGATGCACGTAGCTATTCTAATTCTTAGGTTTATCTTAAATTGCTAGCTGTCTAAAGGAATTAATCTTTATATGATTCTTATTCTGACATTTCTAACTATATTCAACTACTTTTATAATTCAAAGTTTTTATCAATTGATTAATAAATTAATTAATTAATTAAATAACTAACTAATATATCTACACTTGAAAGTTAGTTTTATTTTCTTCACTCACTCTTAAATCAAAAAAAAAACAAGGCAGAAATGCATTCATTCATTCATCTGCAAAACTAATGATAATTAATTAAATACACAATAAATTAATAAAGTTCAATACAAATTATAATGATTTTTTAATTAAGAAATTCGATAAAATTCATCTGCAAAAAGCAGAATGATCATGAATAAATTAATTGATTCATTATTTAATGGTTGCAATTTCTTTAAATTAATAAATATATAAAAAGATTTTTACTAAAACATTTTTAACATATTTCAACATTTATTTAATTAATTTAAAAATTTAATTTAACTATTCTAAATAAAAAATAAATAGAAACTTATAAAAGAGATGAGTTATTATTTTTTTGCTTTACAAAATTTGTTTATTAAGTAATTAACTAGATATTGTGAATTATTAATCTGTTAATTTTATGATTAAGATTTGCAATCAATAAGTCAGTAAGTTAGTTAGTTAGTAACTAATATTTTAATAGATTTTTTAAAAATAATTTTCTACTCCATTTTATAATGATGTCAAAAATTAGAAGGTGATAGATAGATAGATAATTCAATACTATCTTTTATTTTATTTATTTTGAAATTTGGCTTAAGTAAATATAATATGATTTAATTAATTAATCAATCAATAGTCATCTTCACTATCAATTTCTATATCTGAAGGGGCATTAAAATCGTTTAGTTCCATTTAAGCTTTTTCTCTTTATCTATTTAACATTAAAATAAAAAAAAATTAATAAAATAAAATTTGTTTTAATTTATTTTTATTAAATTTTGAAATACTCTCTCTTTCTTTCTTCTTCCTTCCTCTTTTTTTCTTTTTCTAACTCTTCCTTTTTGAGTCTATTCTTTGCAAGTTCAACTTTTCTATAATATTTATTTGATTTTAAATTTTTTAAACTCTTTTAATAAGTAAGTAAATAAATAAACAAACAAATTTACAATTAATCTTTAATACTTGTAGGCCAAATTTTCTTTGTTGTAGTTTAGCTTAATCTCGGATCATTATAATTTATTGTTTTTTTATTTATTTTTTCGATCATTTAGGAGACTTTCTTTTCTAAGATATCATCATCTATTTTAGTATGGAGATCTTTAATCTTTATTTTTAAATAGCAATTATTAATATGATTATAAATAAATAGTTGATAATTAATTACATGCTTAATGGTGTAAACTAGAATTAACTTTATGAACTCACTAAAAATTAATTCTGTGTTGATTAAGATATTTATTTTTTCCTCTTTCATCTTTTTAAAATCTGGAGTTTTTTTTCTTTAATTGCTTGCTTTAACTTAGGCACGTTTATTATTTACCTTTTATTGTTCTTTCTCTCTCTCTTTTTCTCTTTCTTTAATCATCTAATCTATCTGGCCTAGGGTTAGATTAGGATCGAATCCTTGCTCAAGAATGAAATAAAGAAAGTTTTAGTCAGCATCGTTTTTAATAATCTCACTAGACTAAGATTTATTTATTTATGATAAAAAGAATTAAAATTAAATACACATTTTTTAGTTTTTATTACTTTTAAAACTTTTATTAGTCCTTAAAGAAGGCAAGTTTCGTCAGAATAACCAAACTTAGAAGATCTATTTACAGTTTTTATTTTATCAAAAATTTTATGTAAGTTATCCATACAACTGTGTTTAATAAAAGTAGCCTTGTTGAAGTAGCTCTTTAAATTATAAAATAAATTAAATAAATTTGTAAAAATACTTTAAAAATTTTAAAAGAATGCTTTATATTATTAAAAATATGAATGAAATTGAAATTAATATAGATTATTTCTGAATTTTCAGTGCTAAAAATATTTAAGCTAGAATAAATAAAAACAAATTAATTACTTGAAGTTCATCTTCGTTTAATTTAGAGGAAGTTTTCATGCTTTTCTTTTTATTTTCGAAAAATGGTTTTATGTGCTATTCAATAATTTTTTCTAACTCAAGATGTAATTGATCTGGTATTTTCGACCTTAAATAAGCTACTCTGACGAGAACATCAACAAAATGGCGATACAAAATAGGCTATGACATATCGTGAATGTTGATAACTTTAGTATAGTATATTTCTTCTGTTTCTTGGTTAGGGTCTTATTCAAAAATATTTGGTGTCAATATTTTTTCATATTTAATCTTTTTTTTATAGGCTTAGAGGAATTCTACCAATTTTAAATCTTTTCTTTCTTCTTCTGTTATAAATCTGCCTAAAGATTTAATAGCCTCTAACTCAGTTAATAATTCTTTTTCACTAGCCTGTATTGAGTAATAATTCTTTCTACCTCTATGAAACAATCTATTAATTGTAGATTATGTAACACTACCACCAAATATTTTAATTTCTTTTAAAAACTTCCAAATTTATTGCATATCCATAGTGAAAGATTTTTCTCCTAAAAATGTTTGTTTAATAAATATCAAGCATAATCGATTAAAATTAAATTATACCTAACGTGCTCTCATATCTCTAAGAGCAATCTTTATACCACTATATCAAGTTAGAATTGTGTCGTAGTAAAACTGTGTTGACATTTTTATGAACTGCTTAGGCATCTTGAAAGTTTATGTCTAAGTCACTGTAATCAAGCAGGGTATTGTAAGGATTTTCTTAAAGCTGCTTTTATTCATCCTCTTTTTATTAATCTTTTTTCTAATCTTTTTTTGTTTACTTTTTAGTATCTTATTGTGAATCCTTTACTTAATCCTTGTTATTTTCATTAGACCTTTTTGTTGGGAGATTACTTGCACCCTCAGATCCTAAAATCGACTTATTAATTTAGTTTTATTTTTCATCTTTGTTTGTTTCATTTGTTGTTTAATTAGCAGGTTTGAAAGATGACGATTGTTTTTGATTATCTTACAATATATTATTAATAGATGCTGAAGATGTCTACAAAACGCTTTAAGATTTCTATTAAATTTAAATTAATGGCTTACTCATAGAAGTACCTAGTATAGATTTTTTAGGAAGAGGTGAACTCTCCTTCTTAATGCTTGTGTTTTTCTTGCTATCTATTTGAAATTAAAAAACAAAAAATAATGAAAGTTGAAATGAGTTTTTTGATATTTCTTTAAATTAAAAAAGTAAAAAATAATCAAAGTAAGTTGAAGTGAGATAGATTAATTATTTTTTTACTAGTTCTTGTTTGAGGAGAGAAAGTCTAGGAATTGGAGTTGTTTAAATCTGTTTTATCCAACTCATCAAAATTCAAACTGAGTAGAGGTTTATCTAAAATATTTTGAATTAATTTATCTCCTTTGAATGTTCCTTAAATGATGTTGCCGTTATCTTCAGTGAATACTGCAAATCCTTCTTTCAAGTTTTTAACCCATTATCCTTCATATTTACTCCCATTAGCATAATAAAATACACCATACCCATGTCTTTCACCATCTAACCATTAGCCTTCATACCTATTTAACAATTAAAATCAATTTAAGAAATTCAAAGTAATCAATTAAAAATCGATAAATAGACACCTGTTTCTGAACATCTTTTTTTCACCCTTATTTTCTAACCAAATATGAACTCCAAAGCCATTTTAAAGATTATTTGACCAGTTTCCAAAGTACTTCTCTGATGTATCAAGCCAATACATGACTCCATATCTTCAAATAAAGAAAAATCATATTTATTTGATATTATTAAATTTATAATGAGCATATGTATAATAAGCATTAATACTATTTCACTTTTATAATTTTTAATTTTGATTTTCTCCAAATAAAATTTGCATTTCTTTTAAAAATGATTTATTTGATTATAAACAAATAAATAAATAAATTAATTACCCTTCCTTTTTATCATTTACATATTCGCCTTCATAATAATTTCCTGATGCATATTTAAATATTCCTTTTCCATGCTTTATACCATTAAAAAATTCTCCTTCATAACTTGCTCTAAATTATTTATTTATTTATTTAAAGAAGTAAATTAGTCAAAATTATTAATGTTTATTTGAAGTATATATACCCTGATGAGAAAACTATTTTTCCTTTTCCTTGACGCTTTCCAGCGAACCACTCTCCCTCATAAATAGTTTTTTTATTCTCTGTTTCATAATATCCATGGCCATGCCTTTTACCATGCATAACTTAGCCTTTATAATAGCTTCCATCAGGCCAAAAATACTCTCCTTCGCCTTAAATCTCATTATAAACAAATGTTCCGACATATTTTGCTCCGTTTTCCCACTTAAAAACACCTTTACCTTGTTTTTTAAATGATTTAATTATAAATTTTAGCAATAAATTTATCATATAAATAAAAATGATATAATAATTGAAAGATAATTTACCATGCATGATTCCTTTAAAAATATCGCCCTAGTAAGTATCTCCGTTTTTGAAATATAACACAGATTACCCATTAATTGATTTAGCATAAATCTTATGTTAGTATATAAAATATTGATTTTTATAATGCTAATATAATGTAGTTATAATCAAATGCAGTCAACTAATAAAATGAATTGATCGTTAAATAAGTACTTAGCTTTTCTTATCTTAGATAATAAGTTCTTAGGTCTCGTAATCATCTATAATTAATTTTGTATATTCTAAAGGAAGAATTATATTATCAGCCTATAAAGACTGAGATTCCTATTCTAAATCTATCTACATTTCTACTTTCAGTTTTAGAATTAGTTTTAAAAACAATTTATTAGTTAATTAATTAATTAAATAAATAATCAATTAGTTGTTTCAAAGATTTAATAAATTTATTAAATAACTTGTAGATATCGATTAATATGTAATTATAGCAATAATTAATTTTTATAAATGTTATGTAAAACTTTTCAAAATCATTTAAATCTCTTCAAATTAAAATAATTTTTATTAAATAAATTAATATGTAATAAATACTAAATAAATATCTAAATTTGTAATAATGTAATTAATTAATTACCAAATAATTTAAATAAAACATATCAAAAATAAGAAATTTTACAAAATAGAATTATTTTTCAATAAATATTATTATATTTTAACTGAAACTAGTCTTTTTTTGTACATTAAAATATTAAAAACAAGTTTTGTGTCTACGAATATATTTTTTTATTTTTATTCAAATGGAAATAAAGAAAAAAAGCACTTGATAACATAAAAAGTACAAAAAATAGAATAAAAATTCACTGATCAATTTATTCAAGTTCATTTATCATTTTTTAATTAGTTAAAATTTTTTTTTAATTTTAATAAAAAATGATTTTAATTGCAAGAAAGAAATTACTCCATTTCGTAATTATTTCAAGAAAATTGAGAAATTTTTAAAAATTATTTTAAAAAGTTTCACCATTTTCACTTCTTTTACAAAGAAATACTCAGTATAAATTTATATTTAATAGATATCTTTCATTTCTTTTTATCAGATTCTCTCAAAATATATTTAATTAAACTGAATTATTTATTTGATTCATTAAAGTTTTTAATAAAAATATTTTTAATTTACTCTCAAAAAGATTTAAACATTTCAGATATAATATTTTATATTAATAATTCATTCATTTATTCTTTAATTCTCTCACTTATTCATTCATTCCTTGCTTTTATTTAATTAAATTAACCATATATTTTATGATTTGCTTGTTAATGATTTTGAATATTTAAATTGTTTTTAATCAAATCGATTATCATTACTTTTAATATCAATAAAAGAAACAGCTGAAAATTAAATATAAAAACTAGAATATATCTTATAAATAGAAAAATGAGTTTTAATATAAGGCAATTAAATTTAAACAAGAATCCTGCAGTAATAAATAGCTTTTTTAAATAAATTTTCAGATAAATATTTTAATTTATTTGATTGAATTTAACATTATTCCAATATTTTAGGCCATAAAAGCAAATAATATTTATGAAGAAAACCCTAATAATCCAGTAATTTTATCTTAACTTATTTATAATCAGCAGCATTAAAGTCTTATAATTATAAAAAATGTAGAAAAGGATTCAAAAAAATAAAGCAAAGACTGTTTCCTTGGTAATAAAATGTTAAAAAAGCTTATCATAAATGTTTAATAATAAAACAAACAGCTGAATAGCGGGACACAAAAAAATAAAGAAGATATTGAATTAAAAAAGGCTAGCAAAGTAAATAATTTGAATATTCTGCATAAAATTATAAAAATAAATTACAAATTTAGAGAGTAAGAGACATGGTCTCATTTGTAGATGCCTAATTGAAGTAAAATCCTAGAAGTAAATTCGATCCTAACATAGATAAAGATATTTATGAGCTGAGAAAATAACTTGAAGAATGTAATTACTTTATTAAAGTATAACTTAGATTTAGTGGATTTATAATTATATGAAATTGATTGATTGATATTTTTTTTTCTTTAAATAAAAAAAGAAAGACTTCAAGATGATTCTTAGAATACTCGACTCTTGAAAATATAATAGCAAGAAAGAAAAGTAAATGAAGAATATAAGTAAAAAAAGAAAAATATGGAAATTACTTTAGAAGAGTTAGCTCATGAAGCAGAAGAGTTCAATGAGTTACAGAGAAAAAGGAATTTAGAATTGGAAGAAAAAAAGGATACAGATATAGCTAAAAATGATTTAAAAAGGTAAATAAATAAATATATTTCATTCAAATATTTGTTTGTATTTAAATATTTAAATTGACTTAATTCAACAGAAAGAAAGAAGAGGAAAGAGCTGAGAAAGATAAAAAGGAAAATGAAAAAAGATAAAAAGACATTACAGAAATGACCACTTTGCTTTAAGATAAAAAGTAGATTTAATTAATGGATGCTTTTAAATAATTTGATTGTATTCATTTTTAAATTACAGAAAAAAACTAGACGAGCTACAAAACAATATTGAAGATTTGCAAATTTACAAAACTTTCTTGCATGAGGTCTGCAAATAATCAGAGGAATTTATGAACGAAGACGATAAAGATGAGCCAGATGTAGAGTCAATTATTGAAAGATATGATTAATTAAGAAAATTACAATAAAAATTTATGAATGATGGGACAAATACTGAATAAATGATTGATTAATTTAATAAAGACATTAATAGGCTGCAACATTAATTGGAAGAAGAAGCTTTGTAGTACACAAGTTAAATGAACGAAATTAAAAAACAAATAGAAGATATTAACTTAGAGAATTAGAGATGGTAAAGCTAAATTGAGGGGAAGCTTAGTGAAAATAATAATAAATTAGCCGATTATGGCTAAGTTATTCTTGCTATAAAGAATTTATATTATAATTAATTCAAAAATCAACCGAACATCTAATAGTAATAAGCAAATGAAAAGGATTCAACAGAAAATATACTTAAAAAATTAGAGTGGATACAACAAAGATTAATTTTTTATTATGAAGTTAGAAAATAAATTAATTCTAAAGAAGCTGAGCAACCCAAGTCAAGTGCTAATAATCCTCATTAAAATTGACTTTAAATGCTTATTTATATTTTTATGTAATTAAGTCAAAGCAAATAAATTATATCAATAATTTAAAAAAATTTCAAGTTTAAAATAATTTGTGCATGAAAGAAAGCAAGCGAGTAAGACATTCATTCTTATATAAATAAATTATTAAACAATTTTAAATAAAATTCATTTACAGAAATATTTTAGAAAAATTTATTTTCAAAAAATCCATTCAGGTATGAATGAATAACCAATTATTCTTATCTATTTTTAGAATTATTCCCTAATTCTTCAAGTATTTTTGCATGTTACATTGGGTAACATTTATTTAGTTGATTTAATTAAATCTAAGTTTGTTATGAATATGTGTTAATTAATATTTTATTTCGCTAATTTTTTCATAAAATTAGTGAAAATGGTATATTTTCTTTCTCGAATATTAACTTAATTGCATCATGGAAGTCTTCAACTACATGTTAAGCAGGATCCTCTGCATCGTTGATTCCAGAAAATACTCCACTCCTTTTGAAATATAAAGTTTTAAATAATATTTAAAATATTAAAATTTACTTGACTAATATAGAAACACAGCCATTGTTATTACCACCTCTTATGTCACTTTTAGGATTATCTCCAATCATATAAATATTTCCTATGGAATCTTCAGAAAGTGTTTATAAATGATTTTCTATTTAATGAATTATGAAAAAGGGTTATTTAGTTAGTAAGTTAGTTAGCTAAAAATTAAAAAATTAAAAATAAAAAATAAATTGAATACTAGCATAGTCGTAAGTAAGCATAGAAGGCTTTCCATATATGTGAATATTTAAGTTTTGGTTATGAAGTTCTTTAGAAACTCTCTGTAAAGTGTAAGTGAATGGGCCAAATGCCAGTCTATTTAATCTAAAAGTGTCTGCATAAGTGATGTCATTGTTGACAGTAAATATTTCGATGTGCTATTGAATTATTTAAAATAAATTTAATGCTATTTTTAATAAATTTAATTTACCTTCTATGATTTTTCAGAATCATTTTTATTGTTAAAGCTTTATAAATAATCTTAATGATAAATTTAGTTTGTAATCACTTATATGCAATCTTCCCAGTAGACAGGATCGTTAAGGATAAATATCCCATCAAATGAGGGGATTTTCTCTAAATTAATTGGAAACTTCTTCAAATCAATACGATTTTTTACTTTTTCCCAAGCTTCTTCTTTTGACATTCTTTATCTTTGGTATTGTTCTACTTGTTAAGGATACAGAGAACAAAATTCCTCCATGCTAATAAAATTTTTAAGACCACAACTTTAAGCTATTTCGTTTACTTTTCCGTAACCTGCAATCAGAATCAGCTTTTCTTTGTATTAGCCCGAAAGCACAGGACGAAGAGGAGTAAAATTCAATAGTAAATTCTCTTGATGAAGTTGAACATTTTCTTAAAGATTTAAAATTTCGTTAATTGAATGAGCTTTATCTTCCTCAAGCATTCCTCCTCCGTTTGTAAGGCAAATAAATGGAATTCTGCTATTTTTGAAAGGCAGTGGAGTACTTTAAAATATATTTTTCAATGGCTAACGAATGTATGAAAGAGTTTTTGCAACACGAGGGATGGGAACTTTCCCTCTAACAAGAACTCCATCTATATCGGATATAATTGCAGGAATTCTTCTCATTAAAATAAATAAATTATAAATAAGAAGATTTGATAAATATATTTGAAATATATATGTTAATTTTAGTGAAATTTCTGATGGATTAATCAGTCTTATTCTTTTAACCTGCCTAAAAAATATCTAAATTAATAAAAAATAAAAAAATAATAAATAAACAAACAAACAATCAAGAAAGCAAATAATTTATTTGAATAAAATTGAAAATTTATTTTAACTTCTCAGTAGAAGTATTATTATTTTTACTTTTATTTAAATAAATAATTCAATATTTGGTTGATTTTTTACCATTTAAATATGAATTTTTGTTCAACTAAATTAAGTAAAGACATTTTTTTAATTTTTATCAAAAAATAAAAAAAATATAAAAATATTTCCCGTCTCCATAAATTGCTCAAAAGAGTTTGCCTTCTAAAATTATTGCAAATTAGATACTTCATTTTATTTTTGTATCCGAAAAAAAATAAAAATTGTAGATGTTTTGATTTAAATAATATCTAAATTGAAGCAGCTTCATTTTTTTGAAAAAAATTTTAAAAATATTTATTTTAAATAAATCAGGCCAAAAAATAAATTGTTATTATTAATTTTTGAAAATTAAATTTATGTTTTACAGATAAATACATAGATTAATGTTGATGCTTTATAAATTAAGACAGTAAAAGAAAATGAAGGAATTAAACTGATTATTTTAATATTACGTGGCAATAAATTACATTCCTTATTTTTTATTTATTTATTTACTTAACAATTAACTAATTTATCAATCAATCAATTAATTAATGATAAAAAAATAATATGCTAATTTATTTTTGAATAGAAAGAAATTCAATTAATTAATTAGCTATATTAAATTTTTTGAAAGAATGGACAGCTAATTTAGATTAACTAGTTCCTATTTATTATATTTTTTTGAAGTTAAAATATCATATTAGTAAGTATGTGATAAAATTCATGAGATTTTTTTGGTTGGAAATAATTATAAGTAAGTTATTTTATTTATTTGTTTGTTTATTTATTTATTATTTTGTTTGCTTTTTGTACTTGATTTTACTTTTTATTGATTGATTTATTTATTTAATTACTTTTGAATTTTAACTGATTTTTCACTCTGTCACACAAATAGAAAAATCTAAAGAGTCTTTTGATTCCTAGTAGAAGTATTTGTTGTTGTTAATATAAAGAGTTCTACCAATGACTAGGGAGACTGTATTGTTTTCTGCCCAGTAGGTTGCTGATGAGATGAAGGAGGTATCAAGCATGACATGGTCTAAGCATACATAATCGGATTTTTCTTTATTTTTCATTAGGTAAGCATTCTTTTTAGATTTCATAGTCTCGTGAGGTAGAGCCAAATAAGCGTCTTACTGATTTTGAATGGGCATCAAGGAGTAAGTGCAATGGAATGCATCGATTCTTCTTACTTTAACTTTTGTGGGCATATCGTATAGAATAATGCGCCATTATCCGCACATAGCAAGCACTCTGTTATTGATTTTCTCTATGCAAAAAATTTCTGGTGCATTTTCAATTAACTCAGATGCTTTTTTCTTGGAAGTATCAATATCCCAAATCGTTTTATTTTGAACTTTTATCACGTGATTTGATTTGCGAGCTTTCATTTCTGCTGAATCGAATTCTTCAATTTCCATGAATAGCTTTATCTACTCGCTTTCGAAATATTCATTAATACAGAAAGCTTACGTTAGCTCAAATCTCTTGTAATTCTCTTGGTAGGAGAGGAGATTAAATATTTTGATTCTTGTACTATTAGCTGTTTTGTCAGATTCAAAAACAGCAAGATGAGGTTATGCATCATTTAGGATGAAGTGTTTGTTGACTTCAAGGATCTTAGAGCTAGAATGGATGACATTCAAACTGGGGATTGATATCGTTGATACAGTTATCATATTTCCTACGTTAATAGGATAACTTTAGTATGAAGTTATAACTATCAATTTTTGTTCAGGGTAAAACTTTTTTATTTCAACGTTTTCAGAGAGACTAGCTTGAGAAACGCTGGTCCTCTAACCTCCTTTATCAAGGGAAATTACTTCAAGCTGATCTATGTATTGGCAAAGCACCATATGACTCTCATTTATAATACCCAAGTCTATCAACTAGCAGACTTCACTTCCAAATTCATATTTAGTCCATTTGCATCTCTATCTGATGCAATGGACAATGACAAGCATCGAGAAGATAGCGTGAAAGGCTATTTATATGGCAACCAGATTCATATCAAGTAAAAAAATCATGAGTCCATCGATAATGTAAAAAAAACTGTACTTTAAAGCGTCGCTTTGACAATAAGGGTTCAAACCTAACCCACTTCCTTCAATAAATGAAGTGTAAAGGACACTACCCAATTCTAAAAGTAAAAAAGTTAAACCAATTTAGTTTAAATATTATTTGCAGAGAACAAACAGGCCAAAATGAGCCCAAATTTCTAACAAGTCACCAAAAGGATACCATTTAACGAATTTGGGAATTGACAAATACCTGCTCATCCAATCTTTTATTACAATGGTTCTTCTCTTAAGTCTTTCTTTGTTGCTAAAAGAAGAGGTTTCATCTTTTTGTAAAATTCCTTTAAGTAGAGATACCTGCGAAAGTAAAAAGCAAGTTATAAGCATGTTTATTATCGAAATGCGCTTTTTGGTTAAGTTCTAACTAATTACCTAGTTGTCTATGCTTATATATTATTGTTTATTTGTGAATAATTCTAGTATTTTTTATTTATTGGATGGTTATGTTATGTTAAATTAATTATTTTTTGAGAATGTTATTTATTATTTTTAAAAGTTAAGTCGTTTATTTATTTGCTTTTATGTTGTTGTTATTGCTTTTCTTATTAAATTATTTGTTGTTCTAATATTGAATGATGAAGGGAGAAGTTTGTTTTTTTGCTTTATACTAAAGTAGAAATAAAAATTAGACTATTCTTTAAAAATCCCTAATACTTTACTTAACTTTATACAATTATTTTAAAAAAGAAATTTATTAGCTTTCTTCTTTTTATATTTATTTATTTATCAGCTTTTCTTCCTAAATTTCTACTTTTAAATTTTATAAATTTTTGTTTGTGTGAAATGTAATGGTCTTGTAAATTTCTTTTAATTGAATTAGAAACAAATTTCTGATTTAGGTTAATTTTTGTTTAATATTTATTCAAAACTTTCCAAATTTCTTTTATTACTATTAATAGAACTAATAAGAAAGTCGGGGCCTTATGCTAATTTTTTATTTATCAGTTCTATCAAGCTAAATAACACAAATTTATATTTTTTAAAATAGCGTTGCTTCCTTTTATTTATATATAAAAAAGTGGGTCGGTCTCTAAGAACTGATAATAAATACCTCTTTAAATTTAATATATGAAGATTCATTTGAATTTACTTTATTATTTTGCCTAAAAATTAATTCCTGCTATAATCACCAAAAGAATTTAATAAATATTTCCCAGCATGAGAGATAAATAAACGGAATATTTAACATTATTACATCTAAAATTTGAAATTTCTTTGAATAAATATTTTTTAAGTAGTTCCAAATTCAATTCAAGCATTTAATGTCAAAAACTTAACTATTTTAAATTTTTTAATGAATTTAATTTTCTTCCACAATCATACGTACTATAATTATTTACCATTAATTTATGTTTTTACTGCTTTAAAATTTCGCTTATCTTAAAATTTTCTTTTTCAATTAATTTATTTTTCATCCCAAAAATAATTTACTTTCTAAATCAATTAATTGGATTGCATTAAAAAAATATTTGAGAATACTTATTCCTTTTCAAATATTTTATAAAAAAATCACCCACCGAGGGGCTCGAACCCTCGACCACCAGCTTAAAAGGCTGGCGCTCTACCGACTGAGCTAGACGGGTATTGCTTACTAATAATTTTCAATTAAATTGCTTTAAAGCAGTTATTTCTAAAAACTAGAAAAGATAAAAAATTTATCTTTCTTTCTTTCAAGATAAATGTAAAAAAATCACCCACCGAGGGGCTCGAACCCTCGACCACCAGCTTAAAAGGCTGGCGCTCTACCGACTGAGCTAGACGGGTATTGCTTACTAAAATATTTCTTTTAAATTGCTTAAAAATAGGTAATTTAAATTTTCTTTGTTAGTAAAATTTAACTCGTTAATAATCTGCTTTAATGCAGTCAAAAAATTATAAAATCTACCTACTAATTTATTTAACAAAAAAATCTAAATTAATTTCAAACATAATTTCCACTAAACTCTAAAAATATGAATTGATATTTATTTTTTAAGGTATAAAAAAGAATTAAGTAATTCAGCCAGATTTTCTTAATTAAATATATTTTATTATTTAAATAATTATAAACATTGTTAAATAAATTTCTTAATTGCAATTTTATCTCATCCGAAATATTCTTTTTAATAAATATTTTTAATTTTTTATATTTGGGTAATATTTTATATCTGTTTGTTTAAATATTTGCTTGTTAAAATTAATAGACAGACTACATTTTAAAAAGTTTATATAAAAAAAATTTAAAAGCAAATAATTTAATTTTTAATTTAAATACATTTTTTTTGTTAATTTCATTGAATTTTTAAAAAAAGGATATTTTTTAGTACTAAATTAAGTGATTTATTTTAAAAATAAATGAATTTTCAAATATATATTTTACTCTATTTAATAATTTTATAATATTTATTAATATTAATTCAAAGATAAAAGACAGTCTTAATGGGATCAGCAATTAATTATGTAAAATCTTCTTTTACCATGTATAATTCTTAGTAAATTCCCTTAAGTTTACTATCTATAACTATATAGCAAGAACTTACAGTTCCTCTCTCTTTTTTGCAATATTTACTAAAGTATTGCTTAACCAAAATAGGAGATTCTGATTCTGGGTCTTCGTTGAAAATAGTTTAATCAAACATTAACTTTTACAGATCTTCAATTATTGATTAATCTTACACATAATGATTTTGTTCAATGTTATTTACATTCTCTGAGTTATTTTAATATTTCAAGAGAATTTCGTTAAATATTTTTAAACCATATTCAGTTTTAGGCCAAAGTGTGTGGATATCTGTATTTGTAAGGCCATATGCTTTTCCTTATTCCAATAACTGAGGTTTAGGAGTAATATTTAATTTTTAGTTGTAAGGATTGCAAATATAGTAAAAAGTATTTGTAACAAGGCTGCCAATAACCAAATTAAATGCATTATATTAGTTTAATTCTTTTAGAATTGTATTCATTCCCTCGTATATCTTTTAATTTATAGTCTCATGAGAGCAACTTCCAAATTCAGATTTTAAGAATCTGTAAGTGAGATTTCCTCTGCCATATTTAATATCAGAAATATCATGATAATTTTAAGTATCATAATTTGTTAAAAATGCCACTATTCCTGTTGATTTATTAATTCCACACCATGTACCTGTAAAAATAAAATTTATATGACAAATATAAAATGGTAAAATTGATAAATATATTTATCTATCTATCTATTTACCTTTTCCTTCCAGATCTCTACCAGCAAGAATGTTAGTGTCTTCTTCGAAATAGTTTAAAATTGATGTTTTTTTCTTCATGCCTTCGTCTCTATTGAAGCTGAGAATGAACTTCTCATTTTAATTTTTAGGAATGTAAAAAAAAGTAATGCACATTTTTTTATTTTATTTTATTTTGATTTAATTTTTTTGTGAAATAATTAATTATTAAAGAAATAAATTTGATATTTAATTAAAAAAGAGTTGCAAACAAACATCTACTTCAAGCTAATTTGATTACATCAATTTTATCAAATTTAATTGATTAATTTCATCAAATACAAGTAAGCAAAATTTTTAATCATTTAATTTTCTATTTTCTTTAAAATTGTAGATCCTTTAACTTTTATAAAACAAAATATAGAAAAATCTTTAATTACTTGAACGAATACATATATTATATACAAAAAAACGAAATAGTATTCGTCATCAAATATAGAATTAACTTAGTCATTTTACTATTTCAACAAAATATAGTATTAAACTTCTACTAAAAAACTTAGGCTAAAACAAACATCTTGATTTAGGAATTAAATTATTTTTTTAAAATTTTATATTAACAAAATAGACAATTAAATAAAGCAAAAAAAAAATCCCTTTTAAAAATTATTTTTGTAAGAATTAAATTATCCACGATATTGAATTTATTTCTTCTCTTCAATATATTTAATCAATACACAACTTGATTAAAAAAAAATTAATATTTAATCATAAATTATGATTGGATTTATTTTTATTTATTTTAACAATAAATTAAAAAATAATTTTCTATCAAATAAAAAAGCAAATAAATCAAATTAATAAAAATTAGTAATATTTTCAAGTAAATAAATCTATAAAAATTGTTATGCTAAGAATGAATAATTCTTTCTAAATGAAATGAAGTATGGGATTTAATATTTAATATAAATAAAATGATAAATATTTGAAAATAAAAACCACAAATGCAATGCATTCATTCATTCATTCATGTATTTTACCAATAATAAATATATTTTATATTTTTAAAATAATAAATAAAAACATATTTCAAATTGAATTTTGAATGTAGAATATTACATTTATATTTAACAGTAAATTGATTGATTTTGTAATTGGTATTAAGTTTGAATTAATAATCTTATTAACAAACAATATTTATCAAAAATTAGAATGTATATTTGAAAGAAAGTGTTTGGTTAAAACTAAATTTAGTTTTCCATGTAAAATTTCTAGTTTTTTTAGATTGAATACTTTGAAAAAATAAATTTTTTTATATATATATTATTACTTATTATAAATTAAAATAATCAATTTTTTTGAATAACAAAGAAGTGATAACCAAGTCCGGTATCAATTTTATGATAATTGGTTTACTTCCAATCTATTTCAGGGTTTAAAATATATCTTTTTCTAAAGTATGGATCTTAAAATGTAAGCTACAAGAACTTACCCTCTTTCTTTAAGACTCTGTGGACAGCTTGACACATTTCGGAGCAATCATCCACAGTTTTTTGGTTAGGATTCCAACAACTACCTTCATCAGTGACCAAAGCATCCATTGTGGCTTTATCAAAAACAACATCAAACTCTCCATCTTAGAATTCCTTTAAATTTTTTACATCACTGACTACCCATTTTTGCTCTGGGAATTTTTCGCTCATATTTTTTATAACTGTAACACTAAAATCAGATGAAATAACATTTTCATATCCATCCTATTTTAATATTTTTCATTATAAATTTACTTAATTTTACAAATTTTATAAAACTCTTCGACTATTCTTAAAAGAACTTTAATCTTTTTTATTAGTGCCATTTATATACTATTTTGAAAGAATAATAAAACTACTAATTACCTATGTCATTTCGGGTCCTAATTATGAGTTTCCGCATCCAACAAGAAGGATTTTATCACTTTTTTTTACATGCTAAGAAAGAACATCTTTTATATCTTAGTATGAAGCCAACCATTCATATTTCTATTCTTTAGTAAATCTAAAGTCCCAATATTCCTTGAGCTTATAAGTAGTGTTATCTTTTGGCATAGTGTCAATAGAAGTATCTGTATCTACATTAGACTCAGACACAACTGATCCTACTACAGAGGTCTTTTATTCTTAAGCTACTTCATTTTGCTCTGCTAAATCTTTATTCTCCATTTTTGTTAAAAATCTAAATTTTTATGCTTTAAAATTTATTAAAAAATCAAATTTTTTGGTTTAATGATATTAAATTTATATAAAAAATTGTATGATCTTTATTATGAGTTAAAGCCCAATTTGAACAATTTTAACAACTCTATCAATATTAATAATTTTACATAAACCACTAAAAAATTAATTAAATTTAGTTTCGTATCAATTTATTATCTAAATTTCTAATTTTATTAAAAATATTTATGAAGTAGTTTTTATTTCAAGAATCTAATTTATTTATTTTTAAAACATTTTAATTTTTTATATTAAATAAGACTTTTAATTTTATACAAATTCTAAAAAGAACATCCAAAATTTTGAATCAAATTTTTTTTTACAAATAATAATTTTTAAAAAAATATTTTGGTTTTTATTTATTTTAAAACTATTTCTTTCTTTAAAATAATAAATAGATTTTATCTGCTATTTAAAGTAATAAATAGATTTTATCTGCTACAATTTTCTTTCCAAAAAGAACAACAACTAATTTTTAAAAATAAAATAAATATTTTATGTAATTTTGTATTTCATTTTTACTGAGAAGACTTATTGAGTAGATTTTATCAATTTATGAAGCTATTTATTTTTATTTAATTTATAAATAATATTTTAATTTTTAAAAGTCAATTAAAAAAAAATAAATGTTTGCCATTTCTGATTATTTTTGGTGGACATAAAGGTTCGCGCTTTCTTATTATGATAATTTATAAATAAGTAATAGACTTCAATAAAAGGTTTGATAAAGAAGGTTTGAATAAATGCATTTAAATTATAAAAGTGATAAAAATATTTGATAGAAATCAAATAGAAACAAAGTATTAAGTAGTAGTCAGAATTATTCACTTTTTAATTAATTAATCAATCAATGAATTAATTCTTTTTGTCTTTTGATTTTTCGCGGTTGATTAAATCAATTTTATTGCAAATTTTTGATCATGTTTCAAAGTTATTTAATTTGGAATTATGAATATCTTATTATCCGTATTTTATTAATAATATATTAAATTAATTAATTAGTAATTAATCATCAATCAATCATAGCTGTTGAAAATACAAATCTTTTTTCAGCATAAATAAAAGATTCAAGCAAGACAAACAATATCGTTTTAATTAAATGGAATTTGATGAATTTGAAGATGACTTCGTCGGCGGAGACGCTGGAGAAGGTGGTGACCAAGCTTAGGGATTTGATTTCTAGGAAAACGAAGTACTTTAAAAATTATTTGCTATTTTTTTAGTAAGAAACACAATAACATAAAAAATAAAAAGTTTATTCCTGATCTCATAAGTAAAAAAGATGCAGTCATCTTTTTAATTGACTGCAACAAGAAGATCTTCCAAAACGAGTTTAATGATGAAGTAAAACTATTTTTGAAAAGTTTTGATTTTAATTGTGTTTTAAATATTTGTTTATTGCAGGTTTAGTTTAAAGTAATACTAAAGAGTATTTAGAGTTTCTTCAAGTCAAAGATTATTTCAAGTTTAGATGACTAAGTTTCTGTTATTTTCTACAATGTGGTATGATATTTCATTTGAAAAGACTTTCAATTTTAAGGTTTATTACAAAAAATCAATCAAAGAAACAAACAAATAATGATTTGAACTTTAAGGGGATCAATATAGTTTATAATCTTAGCACTCCTTCAGCAGAAATGATTAAAAACGTAGTTAAGTTAGGTAATCTAATTGTAGGTTTTATAAAGTAATTCATATTACTTACATTATAATAGGAGATAATTTTGAAAGAGATTTCGGTTTTGCAGACAATGAAACACCTTTCCACGAAGCATTGTGGACTTGCAATAGCATTTTTACAAAATTGTAAATAATAATATTTAATTAAAAAATATTTGTATCTCAAGCATTTATTTATTAATTACAGAGATAGTAAAAAATTTATAATGAGAATATTCCTATTCACCAACAATGATTAGCCCCATTCAGATAATAAAGATTTTTTAGATAAGTGCTTTAACTAAGCAAGAACTTTGGCAGAAAAGAATATCTAAATTGAGTTGTTCCCTCTTGCTACTAGAAACTAAAAGTTTGATATCAGAAAATTCTATTCAAGCATCATTACCTTTGATGTAGATGAAATTAATGAAGCTGTTATCGATACATCAGATAAAGTTTTGGATATCCAACACAGATTACGTCAAAAAGAATACAAAAAAAGGTATTAATTCATATACATTTTTTAATTGCTAATGAATATATTTAATAGTCAGAATAATATTTAAATGATTTAAGTAAATAAAGTAAATAATATGATTCTAATTAATATATTTCAACTTTTATCAAATATTCACTTATCTTGTATCAAGCAATGAATCATTAATAGCTATAAAATTATAGATTTTAATTTATTAAAACTAAAAAGAAAGTCAATAAATTAAATGCATGTACCATGAATAACTAACTATATAATTATGGATTTTAATTTATTTAAACTACAACGAAAGTGAATTAATTAAATACATGCATCATGGCTGGCTGGATATAAAATTATGGATTTCAATTTATAAAAATTTTAAAGAAAGTAAATTAATTAAATAATAAATAAATAAAAAAAAGGGCAGTCAACAGATTACTTTTTACTTTGGGTGATGAAACTAGATTGGGAGTCAAATTGTTTTGCCCATTCGTGAAATAAAGACGCCCTCTTGCCAAATAATTAGAATCTAACACTAATAAACTTTTAAAAAGGACAGTAAAGCATATTTGCAAAGAAACAGGTTAGTCTTTATATCAAAACCAAATTTCCACATGTGTTCACATTGGAGGAGAGAAGGTTAAAGTTAGTAAAGGTGATATTAATGAAATCAAATCATTCGAAGAACCAGGTATGCGTTTAATAGGATTTAAACCTTCAGGAACACTTAAGGCTTACCACAACTATAGAACAAGCTACTTTGTTTACCCAGATGATTATCATGTAAAGGGATCATCTCAATCTTTTCATGCTTTGATCTCATAAATGATTGCCAAAGATAAAATAGCTATTGTTAGATTCATTCCCCGTAAAGGCACTTAGGTTAGGTTCTGTGCTTTACTTCCATAAGAAGAAAGTTATGATGAAGACCATGTTTAAACACCTCCAGGCTTTCGTAAGATTTTTTTTTTCTATGTATTTATTTAATGAATTTAAACTTATTAGATTTGATTTTCTTACCATATGCTGATGATTAGAGAAATTTAGGTTCCATCAGACCTTAATAAAAGGAAGAAGTTAGCAGAAATTTACTAAATGCAGCTAAAATGATGTGCAATGCATTAGATTTAGCTAATTTTGATTTTAGAAATTTCGAAGATCCTTCACTATAGAAATTTTTTGCTCATCTTCAGGCACATGCCTTATAAGAAGAAAACCCAGAAAATCCAGCAGACTTGATCTAACCTGATGAAGAAGGTATGAAACGCTGTGAAGATATAATTAAGCTATTTGAAGAAGCATTGAAGTTAGATGTATAAGATGATGACCAACCTCAAGCCGCTTAAAAAAAACCAAGATAAAAAAAGGTAGCTGTTGAAAAGTAACCTGCTGCACAAAAGAAAGTAAATCTTACTTAATTAATATCAAAATAATGAAAAAGTTTAAAATAATTTTAATTAAAATACGAAAAGTAACCTGCTCCAAAAAAGCCTGCTTAAAACAAAAAATAAGTAAAAAAAGAAGAAGAGTCTGAAGCAAGCAGTATAGGTGATTATGACTCTGAGGACTCCTTTATCGATAATGAAGAAGATGAAATTAAGCCTAAAAAAAGAGGAGTTTAAAACAAAAAAGTGACTAATTAAAGAAAAGTTAATAAAAAAGTTGAATACAGTGATGAAGATGATGAGATAAGCTATGAAGAAAAACCAAAACGAAAAGCAGCAGGGAAGAAACAAATGAGCGAAGAAGAAAAACTTATTTCACATGTAGAAGCTAATTTAAAAGAAGAATTCAACCCAGATGGTTTGACAATATCTGAGCTTAAATAGTATCTTAAGTTCAAAGGACTTAAAAATGTTGGTAAAAAGGAAGAATTGGTTGATACCATTTTAAGACACTTAGAAAGAAATTGAATGAAATTTTAATATTTAATAAAACTTGTAATTAACTAATTATAAATTATTTTCTTGTAATTGTATTTATTTTATTCTGAAAGCAATTCAATTGTTTTCTTTTTATTCAAATAAATCCTAATAAGGAATTCTCTTCATTAATTAAATATCAAATAAAATATTGCCAATTAATTTAATTTTTAAATTAAATCAAGATTAAAAATAAAATAAATAAATAAATTTTTAAGGATAAAATTTAAATTACAAATTTAATTTTTCAATTTATTAAATTGAGTAAAATAGTTGTTTAATAAATAAATTGTTGATTTCTAGTTTTTTTTTTTGTTTTTTGTAAGAAATTAATTAATATTTAAAAAATAAAAGAGTTAGAAGCTAAAATAAATTATTTAATTGTGAATAAATAGATTGCCTAAAATTAATTATTAAGAAAAATAAAATCTTGTTTATAAATAATCGTTCAAAATAAATAAAAATTAATTAATTCTATTTTCCCTTTAAAATTATTTCCTATGGTTAGATTTATTAATATTTTTTAAATTAATTCAAATTATTATTAAAAATGATACTATGAGAACACGAACCCAGTGACTGATTCTCATTAGTGTCATTTGTTTATGATAAAATATAAACAAATGACACTAATGAGAATCAGTCACTGGGTTCGTGTTCTCATAGTATCATTTTTTATTATTTTATCTAATTCAATTTTATTATCTTTATTTTAGCTAAAATTTTTTATTAATTTTATAATTTTTAATATGAGATAATCAAGTTTTTTTAAAAATAAATTGCTAAAAAGAGAAGTAAGTAAATAGATATTTAATTTATTTATTAATTTATTTAATTGTTTTAAATTTATAATTTGTATTTATTTCGAAATTATAGTAAATTCCTTTAATAATTAACTATCAAGGATTTTATCTTTTTAATGAAGTGTTTAAATGCGTATGTGATGCTTTGATATTTAAATTTTTATAATCTAATATTTTTATGTTTTTGCAGTAAATTTTAAATAATTAGAAAATTAAAGCCATTTTAAATTTTTATGACTGATGATACCACAAATCTTCTTTTCAAATTTTTAATATAATGATCAAAAATTTATAATAATCTAATCAAAGATTTAAGTTTATTTTCTTATGTTTTAAAAAATAGTTCTTATTCCAATTTTATTAATAATATCAGAAGGAATTTTAGGATAATATAACAAAAATATTAGCGAGAATATGGATTAAGCTGCTTCAAAATTATTAATCTCATTTGAATACGTAGTACATGGAAAGGTTTAAGGTGATAAAATATCCCATTTATCTATAGATTTCATTTGATCAGTAATTTTTTAATTTTAAATAGGGGTGTTCTTTAGAAAATACACCAAAGAGCAAGCTGATAAATTAGGTATTTATTTACAATTAATTCTTAATTAATAATTAAAATATTTTATAAAAAATTAATTATAGGACTAAAAGGATGGGTTATGAATACTCCACATAACACTGTTGTAGGAGCAGTATATATTATTATTTTCTTGAAATATATTTTTAAATTATATTTATTTTAATAGGTATAAGGCCCTGTCGAAAAGGCCAAACAAATGTATCAATCAATACACTTTTATATTTAAATAAACAAAATAAATTTTTATTATGCTAAAAAAGGGAAATTTGGCTCAGCACAAAAGGAAGCCCAAAATCAAACATAACAAAATTTGAGAAGAAAAATGAAAAAAACATAAATTCTTATACTTTTAATGACTTTGAGATAAGAAAGTGAGAGAGTAACTAACTAACTGATTGATACAAATATTTTACTATAGAATAAATTTTTTCAAAAATATATAACACTTATTTATTTATTTGCTATTTTATTTGTTTGTAAATGATAATCAATCATTCATTATTTGTTTTGTTTTTTTTCGTTAAAATCTACTTTTTGTATCCAATCCATTTTTATTAGTTTAAATCTTGAGCTTATTTTTTTATTTTAAAACAATTTATTTAAAATCTATCACAAACAAACAAACAATAATTGTTATTTAAAACTCATAGCAAAAATAAAATAAAACACATGATTTTGTGTTTAAAAAAAAAATAACAAAAAGCATAAAAAAATTAGATTTAAAAATGAATTTTAATTTGGTGAATTTTTTTCATTTACTTTTTCAAATTTTTTATTATTATTTGAATTTTATTTATTTATTTGTTTGTTTCTTGAATTGTATTATTTTTATTTTTATTTATATTTTAATTCGTTTTATTTGAATTTTTAGTTATTTTATTTTATCATCTTAAGCATCTAATTAATTATTTTCTTAATTGTTTATTTTCTTAAATTTTCTTATTTATTTACTTATTTATTTTCATAAATCTTCTTTATTTTATTTTTTTAATTTTATTAATTTTTCTTTTTTTCTTTCTTTTTTTAAAATAATCAGCAAGTCTTCTTGATGCTCTTCGTCTTCTTCTTCTTCTTCTTCGTAGGTCTTGGTACCTAGGGAATAGAGAACGGGTAATAAAAGAGGTGGAAGAGAAGCCTCGGAAAATAAAACGGCAATCTTTTTTGATAAAAAGCTGCAGCATTTTATAATCTTTGCTTACAAAACATTTTGAAAGACGCAGAGTAATCTTCATCTCACGGAATTTTAATTATTTCGTATGTATTAATACAATTAATGTATTTTAGATCGGGCAGCGAGCAATCACATTTAATTAAAAATGCGTTGCCTATTTTACAGAGAAGAATGGCATATTTTTTCTGTATTTATATTTGTGGATTGGCCTCAAAAACTTATACGAAATGTTCAACGCCGAAGAGCTGATGAAGTTATCTGAATTTTTTTTACTAAATTATCTTTTAGTAATTTTTTTACAATTAATTAATTATAGTTTTTCCCAGTTTTAGAGGCAAATTTAAATTTGAAAAAAATAAGAAAGAAAAGGCTTAATTGATTCTTTATTAATTAATAAATAGAAGATATTAATTAGCTAACTAACTAAATAATTCATTAATTAATTAATTAGTTATTAATGAATTAAAGATATTTACATATAAAATGAACTATTTATTTATTTATTATTGTCTTAATTTAATATAATTTGAAATGTTTATAATTTGTTTATTTATTTATTAATTTGTTGTATGCTCAAATACCTAGAGTAAGTGTATCTAACATTGCTTGCTTTTCCTAAAATTATAATTATAAGTGTTTTTAATGGGTTTATAATAAAAATATTTATTTATCTTACAGCCACAACTAGCTTAAGTTATGCGATTTCTTTAGCGTAATTTTTAGCATTTTCTGTTAATTCCTCTTGAAGTGCTTCTATTCTAGCATGTGCTTTGTAGAGTTTAATTTCGAATTCTGCTTTTTCGTTTTCCCAATCTGCATCCATGACTGTTTGGGGTTTTTTTAAATTTAGTTGATTTTGTAAATCTGCAATAACTCTTTCTAATTTAGCTATTTCAAGTTTTAACGCTTCTACATTTTCTCCACCTGAGTTTGTTTTTCCTTTAAGCTAGTTTTGTAAATTTAAATTTTCTGTTTTTAGCTTTTCTAACTCCAATTAAAATCCTCTTGCCTTTTGAGTATCTAATTTAATTATTAAAGGTTTACTTAAAATTGTATTGAAAATATTTTCTTTACCTTTTAAAGTAGATTCTATAAGCCTTTCAAGTTTTTAGATGACTTTTTCTTGCTTTTTAATGGTTTCTTTATATATTTAGGTTTTTTAAACTTCTTACTGCATAATGACAATCTTTTTCGTTGCATCTGCATATTTTTTAGTCATTATTTCAAAGTCATGCTCGATTTACCTTGCTTGAGAAATATCTTTTTAGGATTATTTGAGAGCTTTTTAGAGATCTTCCGTTCTTATACGCTCGTCTCTGTAAGCTGCAGCTAGTTTTAATATTTTTTATCTCAGCTCCTCGGTACTCATTAGAGCAATCTCTTTTGCTACTATCGATTACACTTCGAGTTATTCGTCATGGTTTAGTCTTTTTCTAAGTATAGAATTTTCGCTTTGAAGCAATTTTATCTACCTTCTTAGATCAACTATTTCAGTAGCTAATATTTTAAATCAATATACTTATTAATTCATCTCATTAAAATCGATTAAATTAGATATTTATTTTTACCTGTGACTTTCAGAGATTCAGTTTTGTCATCTATTTCTTTGATCATTCTATGGATAATTTCTTGTTTTTGAGATAACTCTTTAGCCAAAAAACTCCACTTTTCATTATTTCCCATTTTTCCACTCATCTTAACTCCCATATAATCTGCTATGGTATCTACAGGAGTTTAAGTTCTGATTCCTCCTTCTTGTCCTTCTAATTGCTTCATACCCTCACTAATCTAAATGTTCTTTTAATCTTCCAAATTAAAGCAAGCAAGTTCTAACATACATTTTGTAGTTGAAAAAACAGGATATAATTTGCTATCTTTTTTCCACATGACAGGTAGGAATGCTCCCTTTTTATCTCTTGCAAAAAGTACTTTTTTCAAAGTATCTTCTGCTAAGCTGCTAACACCTGCCACTCCGTTTGGCATAGCATGATTGCAAGGAATACTATCATCTCTTCCTGCAATAAAGAATAAAATCTTCTTTTCTAAATAGCTTTTAGGCAGGGTGAAAACTGCAACAGCCTATTATTAAAAGTAAAATTTAGCAAAAGTTGATGCTTTTAATAATTTAATTAATATCTTTCTAATTATTTATTTATTAATCAGTAATTAATTGATCAGTCTTTCAATTCCTGATTTTTAGATTTGGAATAGTTTGTAAAAAAAATATTTTGAATTTACTTTGTAAGTTTAATCAGTTTGGTATGGAGGAATTTTCATGATTGTGGAAATGAAGCATGCATTCACTTCCTAACTATTATCTTGAATAATTTTTGCCAAGTTCTACGGTCCTGTTAGATCGGCTTGCACAAATGGAGTGCTAAATAAAAATAACAATTTTTATTAATCTTTTTAATAAGAAATAAATAAATTAATTACCTTTGAGGGTGATACTCATTAAGTGTCATCATTAAGAACATTCTTTAAGTGTAAGGAAGAGGATCATAGTGCACATTATGAACTACTACATCTGTTAAGGCATCTACGAAGCTCTCTGTATTAGGTACTTCTAAAGTCAAAGAAACAAAATATTTAGGTTTCGCTTCATACTCTGCTCTTTAGCTAACCAATTCCTAATTAAAATTTTAACTTTATATTTATCTATGCGTTAAACAAATTCATACTAAATTCATGGGTACAAAGGCTCTTAAAGGGAAAATAGGAATATAAATTGTTTCAATAGGCTCAGTGACATACTTGTCTTTAATACAAATGTAAATAAATCCATCTTTTTCTGTCATTTTTTATGGATTCTATATTAAAAACTGTGAATTCCATAAGGGATGTCTATTATTTTCTACAAAGTTTGTTAAATACAAGCCAAAATCATCAGGACTTGCGTTATCATAAAGTGTCCATCCAACCTCTATTAATATTAAAATATATAAAAATAAATATTTCTTAAATTTCTAATTTTTTATTAGATTTCTTTGTTGGTTTCTTTTGATTTTATTGAGATTTAATAATTTACCAACAAAGGTTGTAGGCAAGCCAGATGGATTTACTCTATTTAAAGGGAGGTCAGTAGCTGAACGAATATCAACCCTAACTCTCCATGAAAACTCAAAGAATGGATCAGATTTAGGTAATTCATGGAATATGTCTTCTTTTTCTAGAGGTTTTATATCCAACTGATTGGTTACTGGAATCACTTGCTCTCCCTGATTATTTATTTTATTTGTAATTCATTGATTTTATTTATGAAATTAACCAGTCTTTCAAAACAATTTGTTTGAAAATTTAAACATTTTATCAAATTTTAAAAAGATTTCATTAAAATAAAGCAAATTATTCTTACAACTAACTTGAGGTTGACAATAAATCTTCCTACAGTGACTTCTTTTTCACCAGATATACGAGTGAATTTTAAACTTTATCTAACTCCTGTTCCTCCAATATCTTAAAGTGCAGCTGTTATAGGACCCATGTCAAGAATACATTCACCTAATAATCTTGCTTATCCCTTATTATCTAAATCTTTAATTCCTAATTCATTTTCAGTTCTATCCATAACTACGAATGCAGCAAACTAATAAAAAAATAATTGAATGAATGATACATTAAAAATGAATTATTAATGTAAATGAAAATTATTCTTAAAGCTGCTAATTTACATGAATACGCTCTCCATAATCTATCCTATATTATCTCAATGGTATAACAAAAGTACTTGCTGTAAATACTGGATTTGAAACACAAGCGCTGATATCTGTTCTTCTCTATTTTTTTCATTTTGAAATAATAACAAAAAATATAAATTAAATTAATGTCAATATGGGAAAAGATATAAAAAATAACTTTTTCTCCTTCACTTTCTAACTAGCATGTAATGAAGTAGTGATAATCTTTTTAAAACTCAACGTTATTTAGTGAAACTAATAATGATGATCTCTAATCGTTCATTTTTCAATCTAAAATAAATACCTAAAATATTCTATCGTTTTACTTTGTAAGTGCAAAAATTAATTATTTTTTTAATAATATATCTTTAAGTTTTAACAAAATATAATGCAAATCAATAAAATGTATAACTAAACCAACAAAGTTGATATCAATTACGCAATCAGAAATGAATAATTTAATAGAAATTATTTTTTAGAATTAAAAAGATTAATTTTTATCACAAATTAAAAAAGAAATGCTCATCAACTTCAATTATTAAATTTAAATTGAATAAATTAATAAGGCAAATAGTTAATTATCATTTTATAATAAATTGTATAATGTAATTTAGAACAAAAATAAAGATATTTCTGAATTATTTTGATTACTTTAGTAAATTATTTATAAATAAAATATTTAATAAAAATTGAAAAAATAGCTATTAATATCTAAAAGATTATTTAAACTTAAATTTTACAATATAAAGTGTTATTTTTTAGATAAGTGAGAATTAAATAAGAACATTTTTATTATATATTTCTCAATTAATTTAGTTGTTTTTGAAATAAAAATCTCCAGTGTTATTTATATTCAATCAAAATCTATAATCTTTTTATTAACTTAATTCAAAGAAAATAGCCACTTACCTTTTTTATATAATTTAAGATAGATTTTACTTACCTTTTTAATAAGGAGGAATATTTAAATAAACATTTTAATCTTAAGTTTATTAATAAAAAGATTTAGTTATTTTAGTGAAATTATTTTTTCAATCTAAAACTAAATTTGTTTTTCAGTTAAGAAAAGACATTATTAAAGTTAGTAAAGTAGTTTATAAAGATAAACAATTAAACTTGAAATATTATATTATTTATGAATATTATTTTTTTAAAAACAAGAGAAAAAATAATTTTTTGAGTAAGAATCAATTAAATAGTAATAAATATGCGATTTATATTGAATATAAATATAAAAATACTCAAAAATAATATAAATTTATTAGAAAATCAAATATTAATTGTACATAATAGTTTACTTAATAAATAAATAATATTTATTGATTAATATTGATAATACAGTTAAAAATTTATTACCATAAATGTTGTTTATTAACAAATATTGTGATTTGGTTTTCTATTTAAAGCCATATATTTCTAATAGATTTTAATTTTGTACAAGTAAATTTGGGTGGCTTACAAAGAATTTAATTATAAAGACCAAAAATAAATTAGTTGTTTTGAAAAAAATTAAATAACATAAAATTTTTCTATAGGTGTGGGAAATATAAATGAGTGATAAATGTATAAATGTTGATAAAGAATATTTTTTTAATATTTGAATATGGTTAAATATAATATCATTTGTATTTCTAAAATTAGCAAATATTATAAACACAATACAAAAAAAATAAGATTTTTAAATGTAATCTGTGAAGTGGGATATGTATAATATATTTTATTTTTAAATATTGCTTAAAGCTTCACTTAAACAGTAAATAAATAACTAAATAATTAAATTTATGTTCAAATTACTTGTGATTAATTTATATTCTAGTTTTAAATTAATTTGATAATATTTTTATCACTAAAAAATAGGTAAATTAATTAAGAAAGAATATTGATAATAAATTGCAACCCTTAACAAACTAATCAAATTTTTAAATATCTGTAAACTCGAAATTAATTATAATATCTCAGTTTGTTAGATTAATTAGACAAATATGTTTTCAGATAGACAGACAGATAAGACAGAACAAAATAATGGTTGAATTTTTAAATATCTTTTTTTTGTTAAAAAATATTTTTATTTTGCTTGTTTTATTAAATAAATATTTATTGTAAAACATTTTATTCAGGTATATTCATTCATTCACTCAACTATTTTAGATTTTAAAAATAAAAACATGTAAAAATAAAAAAATTTTTAAAAGAAAAGACTAAAAATTTTAGAAATTACCATATATTATTTATTTCAACATAAATTTTGTAGAAAACATAAAAAAAGAAAAAATTTTAATAAGGAAAAAATATTTATTTTGTTTGTTTGATTTGAGCCAGTATCTTACAGAATAAATTCCTCAATTCAAAAATGTATTTTTGATTTTTTTTTTCATCTAATTTATTAAAATCATCAAACGTAATAGAGAATGAGATATGATTTTTATTTCTAGTAATTCTTTTCCCTTTTATTTTTGGTATATAAATGCTTTGAATTATTCCACTTACAACTAAAGAAATTCAAATAACTCTTTTCTTACTCAACAAAGTACCACTTTTAAAGCATTTTTAAGTTCAGTAGGAAATAGCAGTATTGTTTGTACTTTTTAAAATAAGCATTTTATTTGAAATTTAAAATGATTAGCTAAAGTGAACATAGTTTAATTTTTAAAACATCTTTCTTTGAAAAAAAAGAAATACGTTAGTTGAAACTTTGTAAAAATATTCAATTATGATTTCTTTGAAATAAAGATTGAACAACTGTCGAGTCATTTTTTGAAATATTTGATGAAATTAGATTACAGATTTTTATAAAAAAAATAAATTACACACTAAAAATTTAAAAATTGTTCGATTTAGATATGTAATAGAGTAGATCAGAAGACAATTAGTTAATCTCTTAACAATTTTCTCTTCAAAAATATAGATAAATAGATTGCTTTTATGGCTAATAAAATTTTATAGGTGGGTGCTTAAAGAATTAATGAATGCGTATGCAAATGAATTGATAAATGAATGAATGAATGATTGAGTGTATTTTAATAATTAAAATTATAAATTATGCAAAATGAAAAAACATTAGGAATATAAGCAGATAAATACTTAATATAAGCCAAAGGAAAGCTTATATCTTAATTTAAATTAATAAATTTAATAGAGAACATACTATTTTAGTATATTAGTAAATCACTCATAGTAATTAAAACAACTAAAAAGAGCTATTTCACTATTAAATAGATAGTTTTTATCTTTAAGAGCTCTACACATTTAATAAGAATTTCAATTTTACTTCATAAAAAAGTGAATCCTTCTCAAAAATGCAACTTTCACCTTAATCGTCTATCATTTAGAGCATCGATGCAAGTTAACTCAACAAAGAATACCCTAATTAAGATCTTATTGAACAATTCTAAAGAATCGAAAAGTCATTTGCGGAATATGAATACTCAAAAACAAGTTTGAGCTGTAATCAGCTGATGAAAAGATTTCAGCTCTCGACTGAAGATGCTATTTAAATAAAGAAACTGATGGCTTTTTCTTAATTCCAGTGCAGCTATATGTATAAATGTATCTCATAATTTGTTGATTTGGTAAAAAATAGCGATGATTATGAATCTAAAGTATACCTAAATGTCTTTGAGAAGTCTACTTGCTATAGCCATCAAGTTGTGGATATAAAACAATTTTAAGGGCTTAAATAGTCATCTTTGGTTGATTTAGCTGAACCAGCTTAACATTAAGACGAGGACACGTCTACTTAGCATCTATCTACAAATCCATCTCTTCATTCATTACAATCTCTTGATTCTCCACTTGTTCCAGAAGAATAATTGGCTGCTAACTACTCTAAATACGGCTGCAAGGTCATTTTTAAACCTGAACCTTCATAGTTAATTCTAAAAAATCTTCTAAAAATACTTTCAAAAGCTAAAAATATTTTGGAAATTGAATAGGAACTGATAGAATTTTGCTAAAACACCAAAAGTACTTGGCTTGTTTAAGTAATACTTATGGTCCTTGTCTTAGAATATATCAATATAAAAGAAAGTAAAAAGGCTGAAAAGATTTTGATGATATTAATCAAGAGATACCCAAATAATCCAAAGTACAAAGCGTGCCTCGCTCAAATTTATGTGTAATTTGCTGATTTAAGAAACTTAGAAATAGTTTTGTAAACTATGAATTATAATAATTTAACTGACTTCAAGTAAAATCTATTGTTTAGTGTTTAAAGTCTACTTGTCCGCAATCATTCCCAATTCAGTTCAAAATACTTAGACCTTATTTTGCTGTACATGCCTTAAATTTTTATGGATTAAAACAAGAGTGCATTCTCAGTAACTTCATTATCTGAGATATTTGGGTATTATAGATAAAATGTAATAGAAATGGTTAAAATACAAGCTTTCAAAAAATACTTCTCAGATGAGTTAGTTTTTAGTCCAATCAACTCATATTTGGATCTATACTTTGATTGAAACAAAATTTAAAAAATACAAATCAAAAATATTTAAAAAACTGACAGCTCTTATTACATTCTACAATAAATAATAGGCAAGCACTATATTTCATCTATTTATTAAATAATTAATTAAAAATCTTAATTTAATGTTTCCCTATCCCATCATAAATCAATCAATCAATTCATAAAAAAATATCTCACAACTAAAATAAATAAATCAATCGCCCTTCAATTTCTTTCACAGTCAGTTTTTAATTAAAACTGATACTTTATATAAAAAGCTATTAATAAAAAATATATTATAAATATGAATAATTAAATATATATAAATATATCTGTCATAACTATCTTAAATTAATTATCTCAATTTTAAAAATAACCAATCAACTCTTGTTTAATTTTTCCATCGTAAGATTTTATGTACATATTTGATTAACATAAAAATTAATAAATAAATTTGGAAAAGATTCTGAATTAAAGAGGTGTTTTTTTACTTTCCAAAAACAAAAATAAAAACTCAATTTGATAAAAAGAAATTTTTAAATCTAAAAAAAGTATTAAAGAAGATTTCTAAATTTTGATAAGTGAAAAAATTTATCAAGAATGAAAAATTTAAATAATTAAGAAATCATCAATAAACTTTTTTTAATTAAAGATTTTACAATATAAACTCTAAACTGCTTATTTACTTGCAAATTATTGTAAATAAAGAAAAAGAATCAATCATTTAAAACTAAA